AAAGAGGGTTTTCAAAGCCGGTGATCAACTTTGTGACCAATTTAGTCCCCCAAACAAAATAGATGGTGTCATAAATGGAAAGCTTGGCTCCTAAGTGTTGCAAAACACCATATGGGAAAACTATTTGGCGACCGTTAGAATTCATAAGACTACTGGAACAAGGGGGTATAGATTCTTGGGGCTCTTGTTAATTATATAATTTGACTTCGGGTCCTGAACTCAAATACCTGAGATGTGGAGGTTGGGCAATTGAAGAGTTTCCACTGGTTATATGCGCTGTACAATGCACATTATACGCCCAAGGAATGCCAGTTAGTCAACAATCACTCCATGGTAATCAGCGGGCCAGAGTATGGAAATGAAATTTGACTTCCAGTTGCAGATAATACGCTACAACACAACGTACAGGTCAATGTGAAACTGAAGTCTGCATCCTCATGCATGGTGGGTCATTCATAAAGGCTTCCGAATAGCTTCGAACCAATATGCCGCTTACTACCAAATTTCATTATGAAAGACAGCTTGAACCTACACCTATCCCCCCATTTTGCAAACTCTTGACTTGGCTAACTCATGACTATACAGCGTATGAGCTAGATCATTAACCATGCTCCAAACAAGCAAAAATTAGCACTGCATATGTAGTGTGTATTATAAATGCCCTCACCAGTAACTACGTCTAACTGGGTGAGGACGTACGTACGTACATACATATATGTATAGATGTATGCATGCAATGCATATGTTATATATAAACACAAACATTTCAGGTAGTGGAAACGCCATTGCTTGGAAGTTGGTACCCATGTATGCACAAATATTTGCATAACAAATGCCCTGGTGCTGTCTACAGCAAAAAGGTCTGCATTTCTTATGCGTATATGTAGCATGCTGCATCGTGTAAGGGCCGACACTGTGTATCAGTTACATATAGGTACATCTTATGTTAGAAAATTACCATGTTGGTGCATATTGCATACGCAAGGTCTAGTATATATGTATATTATTGCATATGATCTCTGCAAAAGGTAAAATCTGCATCCATTCCCACATATGTACATATGTACGCCTATGTATATATCAATCTTCCAGGTTGAAAACTAAAGTCAACTCGGCAATGTGAATTTTGAAGGGGCGGTTCCATTTTTTAAAAATGATTTGGAATTTGACAAATTCAGTCTCTCCCTCTTGCTTTCTACCAACTACAAGAACTGAAACAACATTTCTCAGCTATAATGGTGAAACGTTCCTTGTCACCTGCTCAACAACCAAATAAAAGAGTTCATTCTGCTCAAGATGAACAACAGGAGAGAGATTTTGCAACGGAGGCCTCACGGACCTGGTATGTTCTAGGGAAATGTGCACTCACCCTTGAACTTATTCCAGTTGCTCTCAAAGCATTTGAATCATCTCTGCGTTTTGTTCCTGATCTCCCTGAATCTCTTTTAGGCTTAGCTACAACGCTGTGTACCCAGAAGGAGCCACAAAGGGCTCTTGATTTGCTGTTGGCTGCGCTTCAACAACATCCTCGTTTGAATAACGATTCTGCAATATGGAGAGAGATTGCCGGTCTTCACTTTTCATTGAAACAATACGATCAAGCATACCAGGCTGCAAACAGGGCACTAGGGCTTGTGCCAAATGACCCAAAAATCCTATTAATATCCGCTGATGCAATGAGCCATCTCAATCCTTCCCATTCACACCACTTGTACCATACAATTCTATCTATGGTTACTCAAAGACGGACCACACCAGAAGAATGCGATATTGCTCGTCACTGTCATTACAAGCTTGGACTGATGGCAATGACCGATCAAAACTGGAAGGCTGCCGTTTCAGAGTTCCAAGCAGCTGTTTCTTTTGCTCTTCAAGCTAACGTCGATGCAGAACTTCTATGGTGCCTCCTTGCCAATGTTCGTGAAAGAAACGGTGACATTGAAGGAGCACTTGCCGTGTGTCGTGATGCAATTCAAGTCTCTGGACTTACCAGAAGGGTTAGTCTTATGTTTGGATACTTGTCTCTTGTTTCTTTCAATCAACATCAAGAGGATCCAAATAATGCTATCAATCTTTTAACTCCTTTAACTGCCACCAATTACGACGATGAAATGGACTGTTTAACATGGTATCTTTTGGGTAAGGCGTACTCACTCGCCGACAATCCACGTCAAGCATATGATGCCTTCCAATTCTCTTTGAGAAAGGGCAGAGACTCATCTCTACCTTGGCTAGCAGTGGGAAGCCTGTATCTTAAAATGGGACAATTACCAGATGCACTTGCTGCCTACTCACAAGCTGCAAGACTCTTGGTTGATGATGGCTCTCTTGTCAGCGCCATGGCATCTGCCTCTGCATGGGATGGTCTAGCGTGTGTTTATGAGCGATGCGATGACCAAGCCATCGATGCTGCCGATGCTTACGCCAGAGCAGCGGCATGCTATCGTGCTGCTAATGAAATGAGAGCGGCATCGCAAGCTGAACAAAGAGCACATTCTCTTCAAGCTGCAGCCAGGGGCGAAGCACCTGTCCCGTCACTAAGACCAATTCCAGAAACTCCTATGACATTGTTGCGTGATATTGTTATCAATGCTATCCAAGATTCATTCGATACCGAAGACGAGATGTCTAACGAAAACTCCAAGAAGTTCCATCATCTACCGTTGCCTCGCGGTAGCTTGGCTGGAAGCACACCTACGAGAACCCCAACAGAAAAGGAAGTTACTAAATGGCCAAAGCAAGGCTCTTCTCAAATACCTTCTGCCCAGTTAACACCAGCAGTTCCAATGCAGAGACGGTTTAGTCAACATCGCTTGTCGCCTGTACAGGCAACAGAACCACCACCACCTCTTCTTCCACAGTCACAACCACAAGCACAGCACCAAATGGGCCAATTATCACCAATGCAAGCTCAACAGTTTGCCCAACCACCAAGAGTCTTGGGCTCCCATCTACCTGGTCCTTCACATATTAAGCAAACTGTCGGTCCTCCTGTTCGGCCGCCGGTACCTATGGGATATTACCCTCCAGGAGTTGTCTGGAGATGAGGTGGGCCTATTGATTATTGCTAGTAAGATCGTACAGGCTTCGATCCTTTTAATATGCTAATTTATGAACTGTATCTCAACTTTGGTCAAGTATTCATCAGTTTTATCAAGTTTCATGTAGATGATTGTATTTCCTTCTTCTTGAATGTTCATTTGAATGCGAGTTACATAATGGCCATGACTGCTGCACCCTTAAGCTATCCTAATGTTATAACAGCACTGTAATTTGTTTGGTCTGATCTCCCTGCTTCCAACAAAACATGTCCATTTCCAGACAATGCCATTTGGCCCATAATTACAATGATAAGCCTTTGATCAAGCAGTGACTTTAAGCAGACAGACTAGGTTACATTTCTACTTGCTGGCCCTGTGTCCAAAGAATTGAGAAATGCGGTTCAAAGTGACCAACTGGTACTCGATCTACGACCACTGCTTGAGATTCCACTAAGCTGTGTACGTATTGATGCACTATAATATATCAGGATCCCATGTATGGTGAGCTGGTGCCGAGTTCAGTACCAGCTGGCTCTGTTTTCGATTCCGTACTCTATTCCTTTCGCAATAAGTGAAACGTCAAATGATTGCTTCAGACTCTTGCCAATGTCACTCGTATATATACCTAAATCATACAAAGTACACACATCCCCAGTCCACGGTGCATAAGCCAAGTCGCACCTTTGAGCGTCTGTAGATGGTTTGCATCTCCAGATTCCTAAAAGGGCATACATTTTGGTAATTTCAGACGCGCATCGTACGCGATTGCGGTCAAAGGTTTAAAAGGAGTTTTTTTTAAGAAAATGGCTTCAAGACGCGTGTGGATTCTCGTGCATGTAACGATTAAGGTTATAAGCTGATTTCAACTTCTTTCCCGTGAATATATAAAATAAACCAACCTTTCCCCAAAAAGCAAGGGAAAAGCATTCCTTGTTGATATAGCTCCCATATACACTTCGTGCTGTGTTTGATAGAAAGCAACATCCATCTTGGAACCTCTATTTTCCATCAACATATAACACTGTTCGAATCGGATTAATCCCCAACATTACTGCTGCACGGGCCGTCATAGTTCACCCAAATGTTCAAAAGCAAAGGATCACAGGGAAAGAGCAAACACTGGAACATATTTTCCAAGGCAGAAGCTGTAAAGCCTGTTATTAACCATGCAGGCTGTATATCAGAGATATCCCATCAGAAGCTTCTAAAGGGATCACCAGCTGGCTTGAGTTCCGCCCAACATCGTGGTCACGTTCGTGATAACAGTACGAGCAGTACGCACAACCGTGTTCAGAATCGTCAGTCTACAACGACTTTCCCTCTCAGAGAACCAACAAAGAGAATGTCACACCAACGCAAGTTCTTGTCGCAGCATGACTTCAAACAACTCAAGTCACAGCATGATAAAGCTGACCCTAAAGAGCTGGCCTTTTACGAAAAGCTATTCAACGCTGACGAGGAGGACCATGATGATGGGGACTTCAACTTTGTCGATTTACAAGAAGCACCTGTTCTTGAAGAGCCGATAAAGAAAGAACCAGAGGTGAAGGACAACCTCTCTCTTGCGCTGGAAGATTATAGACTCTTCACCAAACAGCAGCGCGCTCAAGAATCAAAGCGTTCATCAATGCTGCCGAAAAGTCTCGACGATACAGAAAACCAGACTTTATCCACACACTCTTCCACGCCAAGTTTGGCAACGTTTGAAAGCACGATGTCGCATTCATCCAGCATTCTAGAAGTGAGCCATTCACTATGGGTCGGGATGTCTGAAGATGATGGCTTTGAGAAAATCCCGGATGATTCCCTCCAAAGATTTGATGCAATTTCTGCATTTCAAGACAGCAGTGACCTTACCTCTTGTCGAAGACATGACTACGGATCAATACACAGAACTAGCCTTAGCTTTGTTTGATATTGATGACATCACTAATGATAGATACATATAGACCAACAGACTCTAATCCAAACATTAACGAACCAAAACACAGATACTGTAGTGGGTTAATCGTTGCGTTGTGTAGGATGCTACACTGTGAATCCTACAAGGTTTATTAATGCAGATCATCTGTCTGTATTGGGGGCTGGCCCGGCGGGCCCTTACAAAGGCAGCACAATGGCCGGTCAGAGACACAACTGGTGGCACTTCCAATGATCCAGAGCAAATATACCTTGTTATGAGACTTCGCCATGGAACACAGACTTAGCCTAGACCGTGCAAACAACTAGAGGAATAAAAATAGAAGGCTTCAACAGGAGGCTCTCCACAGAGAAAATCGAGATGTGGATGTTCCTGGTACATACATAAGGTTCTGGGCAAACAGCGCGTGCGCTGTACTGGGTGACACTGCAGCGCTAACTTTGAGCAGCGCGCGCTGAACTTCCAAGGCAGACTGGAGGCGGGTTGTGGCCCCTTTCACAGGCTCGGGCAATAAGGTTGAACGACGGTCCAGCTAGCAGACTAGGCGCAGCAGCGAAGATGGCTCAGATTTTTTTCTTGCGATCGTGTGCCAACCGTTTTTGTTGTGGTGTACGGATGGTGACTGTGCTTTTTGTTTTCGGATTTGTTTTGCCTGTTTACACACCTCTAGCAGCAGGATCACTTGATCCGAGGGGACGCAACATTCGCTAACGCTGACGGAGGTCACATGTTAGTTTACCGGATTTAACTTTACCCGCGAAGTTTACCGCGCTGTGATTGTTGGTGGTTGTGTCCGGTGGGGGTGGAAAATTTTCAGAAAATCAATGAACTAACATCATCAACTTTTGTATTGAAAAACTTTCTTCAAGGAATAGTCCGCTGACACTTTGCCCGCTTAAACTGATTATTCTATTATCCATTAAAGATGAAGTACTTGGCCGCTTATTTGTTGCTTGTTCAAGGTGGTAACGCCACCCCAGCTGTTGCTGACATCAAGACCGTCTTGGAGGCTGCTGGTATTGAAGCTGAGGAGTCCAGAATCTCTGCTTTGTTGGAGTCCCTCGAGGGTAAGACCTTGGACGAGGTTATTGCTGCTGGTAACGCCAAGTTGGCTTCTGTTCCAACCGGTGGTGCTGCTCCAGCTGCTGGTGCCTCTGCTGGTGCCGCTGCTGAGGAGGCCGCTGCTGAAGAAGAGGAGGAGGCTAAGGAGGAGTCTGACGACGACATGGGATTCGGTTTGTTCGATTAAACTCCCGGTTTGTTACTAAAAGTTTATTAAGTAATATCTACGTTGCATTCTCTTTTTCACTTTTTGACAGGCTTTTGTAGTTATAGGAATCCATATAACGACAGAGCAAAGCAATTGGAATCCACCTATAGCCTTTTACTCTTGAGTAAACTCCTGATTTTGTCCTTCCTAGGTCCTTCCAGGCTAGTTAACCTTTCCAGTGCAATAATGGCCTTTGCCATCTCATCTCGTTGTTCATTGTTTGGTGGCATCAAAATGTTCTGGATGTTGGTTCTTGACCCGAGCTTTTGACGAATTAATCGACCATAATTGGATAGAAGCTGTTTCTTTGCTCTTAATCGCTGTATATTACTCACTTTCTCCTCAAGCTCTTGTCGTTTGACATTATAGAAGTTGTATTTGCTCCCTTCTACTTCGGGAAGCGCGTTGACAGATTCCAAAACGTCATTCAATACGTATAGTTTCTCAATAGGCTGTATGTTGATTGGGATATCGACAGATTCAACCTTCCGGAGCGCATTCATAGACTCCTCATCCCGCTGTTTCCAAATCTCTTCAATCTGATCACCAACTTGTGATATAGCTTGTTTAGAAAAGTACAATTGAACATGGCGCCTCAACTGGTGATTTACTACAAATGTTAGATCAACAGACTAAAAACACAAGCTGCAAAGGAACCAGAAATGGAAAAGGACTTACTTGAATGCAGTGCTGACTGCGCAGCTTTAGAGGAGTACCTGTGCTTGTTTGCCAGACGTGATAGCTTTGTGTCGAGTCTAAAAGGCCCACCAATACGTGCCACCTGGTGGTTTATCAGTCGCAAAAGTGTTTGGTAATCTTTATATTGATCGCTCATGCTGTTCCGCTAGATCCTGTGAATAAAGTCTGGTTATACGAGCGTTTGGGTGGCACAGTGATCCTGACCAGTTCGAGCGTTAGGCCTTTGTTGTTTGTTTTTGTTTTGAGCTGATCCGATCCTCCATGCCAAACGTAAACATTGGACTTCTGTGATGTGGTCCATACCGTAGCTTACTAACGATTTGCTTCATGCCGACAGGCGCCGTAGTCCCCGTTCTCAAAGTTCCGACTCTACATCAAACCAACTCGCAGCTCCACTAAAAGCAGCGGTGGGACTCGAATGCAATTCCATGCAATGGCGTTTTTCCTGCTCGTACATTAGCTGTAATTCTTGTACAACTCAAACACTCAAGACGAGCTTGTGCTTACAATGTGATCACTGGGTATGAACAGTTGGAAATTCCGATGTGTACTCCTGTTTCGTGCGCTTATAATGTTCAGGCTTGTTCTTATACATAGCAATTGAGTGAACGAACAGGTCCAAACAATTAGGCACACCCACAACACTGTAAAAGTTGACCATGCAATGCTAGCAAAAGCACCAAACAAGCACGAAAAGTGATTAGCCAATATTCCTCCTATGTTTATATTGTGGTTAGATGTTTCTTGTTATGGTCACAATCAGTGCTTCACTTATGAACATGTCTTTCGTAATGCATCATATACGCATTCCATTATTTCTTTTTCATGATGAACACACGGGCGGGGGATGGAAGGTTCAAACTTTGAGGGTGTGATACTGAAACTGCACTATGTACCTCTACTTCAAAATCGTACCAGTGTATGCCGGTAATCACCAGCAGTCGTCTTATTATCTATACCGTTCCATTGTTGGGCCAAACCAAGTTTATAGTCCGTTTAGACTTTCAAAAGATCTTTCACATCACTGTCAATACACATAATCTACTGGAGCCTGTCAAAGTCAAACTGGTGGGTTTTCCCCATCTCTACAAAATACATGGACCCAGATACAGTTGTTTAGAGATCCCATTGTCCATACCCAATGTCCATACATAGGTTATTCAATTGACGGGTTCAACTGTTTTCCGTTCATTCCAAGCTTCTAAGCTTCTCCGGATATTATTTGTCGGAGATCGGTTGATGCAAAGTATAAGTGCCGACTTTACACATCTGTCATGTCTTATTCATTTGTATACGTCCTGTCTGCGTCCGGTTGAAGGCTGGATCTTCTCTGCATCAAAAGCAAACAGCATGTAAAATTAACGAGACTAACCCCATGCGCAACACACAGGCTGTTTATTTGTTCAGGCGGCTCTATCCGTACAAAAGCAAATCCCTATGGCAACTTACAGTGACGATGATGATGATGATGCTGTTGTTATGGTTGCTTTCCTATTATGATTGAGGAACAGTAGTGAAAGCAGTACTACTATTCCAGCCATATCTTCTTGCAAAGTTCTTATGCGATGAATCCTGATAATTCGTGGACTGGTTTCTAAAAAAGAACCCAAGATATTTTAGATATTCACTTCTAAGTCATGATCGCTTCTCAAAATTTATGTATGTTTTCTAAAGTTATTTGCGTTCTCTGCAAGGTAAGATCATCTGATATATCCTGTATTTCACATATAATGGTCACCTTTATGAGCACTATTTGTAATTCATTATAGATGCCCACAGCTGCAGAGATCGTATTTGATAACAACCTGTGTCAATAGATTCACGGTAAAGGGTAATCGACCTTTACCTAGGTGAATTGACAGCCGTCAAAGTTTCTACGGATGGTCACTCGTTTTACGTTTATAATTAAAATCACCAACTACTTACAAAGATGTCTCTGCTGTTCGGACATCAACTAGCCAATTCCTTAGTAAGCCAGAGACTAGCTCATTATATGAGCCAGCATTCATCTGGAGTTATTCTTCTTTACGGAGGGAAACTATGATCATTTACTGAAGATTATTTAAGGCTAAGTTTGTTTGTCCCTGTAGTCAGGAAAAGGAATGTTCTTTGACAGTTTTTGTAGTACGTTCTTACAGGTGAGCAGATCTGGAGTCAACAATTTACTAAAGTAGTATGTGATGATCCTCCCACCCCTTTCACCAGGTGCTCTATGCTTCAACTACTCTTTCTGTATGTAGTTACAGTTTGTCATTTGTATCAAAACTAAGTCTTGGAAAGATATCCACTGGTATTGTTAAGATACTTCAACTTGTAGAATGGTGTAAATATATGTCCATATGAAACATTACTCTTTGACAGGTCTTTTTTTTGAAGTGCCTGTGATATACATTGAGAAACAAACACTTCCAATAAGCTATAGGTTGAAACGTTGATATGTGGTGCTTCAAAGACACGCGTGTCCACCCTTACGAGAAACTGGCTTGTGTTTGTCATCATTACGAAATCAACTTCACCAAATCTCATGAGATTACCAATCAATGCCCAGATAGGTCGGCTTCTAATACTTCATCAGCAACAAAAATCAGAAACTCAACACGCACATCAGCATTCTCAATTCACTTGATAAAAAGCGTTCAAACTGTGATGGAAATAGATTTGTTTTGTCAAGAACCAGGTCTTAGGTAAGCCTCTCTTCATTGTAATGCTTTTAGAAGATTCCAAGCTACAGAACTAACTAACTCACCATTGCTTATCTTTCATGTCTTTACTCTTGACACGGACAGTCCTTGTTTGAAGCCAGTACGAGAGTATTACAGTGGAGGCAGGTAGACTGTGTAGGTACATGTACGGCCTCTATGGGTCAGCACAAACACTGTTGCAGATAATGACAAGGCGGTTTTACATTACCCCTGGGATGTGAAATGAGGTTTCAGCACTCGAATGGGTTCAAAAAAAAAGCTCAACATCAATAACGGTTACAGTTGCTCTTGTGAAACATCTTCAGAGAATGGAGGGAAGATAAGTGCTTTTCAATACGGAAGAATAGATACAATGGGCTGTAGACATATTCCGTAACTTGAGATGGACATCTTCCTGTAATATTGAAAGAGCTTACTTTGTATAAGAGATACAAACACGATGTATAACATCAGCACTTTGTCAATCAGATCTAGCAACCTCACTGGAAAAAACCTCGTAGTCATCTGCTTAGCGTGCTGTTGTTGATGAAAGCCATATGTTTTACAGTCCATTCGATTGATTGGGTGTATGGTTCGGAAGAACAGCAAAAAGGTAAACAAACCACATCCCGGTAACGGGTGAAAAGTGACCCCATCCTCAGCTGGCCTTTACACACGCTACCCATTGCTTATTACCCACATTCCGTGTCTCCCTCACTGCCCACCCTACCCACCTCTAATATCCAAAGAGGAAAGGAAAAAGAAAAGTATAACGCCATGTGTCCCGTCAATATGGGATCATCGGTAGTCACAGACGCGGTCGGTGTTTACGGCAAGGAAACAACAGCCGGACGGCTGATGCTGTCACTGCAGGCCTGGGACTCATATCATCTTCGGATCTTTCCAAACCCAGTCTTTCCATAATTATTATCAGGCTTTAACCAGCAAAACCTAGTCCTTGGTTCACTGAAAGTCTCTGATAGTCCCTGGAGTGATGTGGGAATATGTGTGTTTGAAAGATCATGTACAGCAAAGAGATTACAGCTCTGGAACTTCAGGTATAAACCGGTTGGCCTGAATTTCCTTGGGCCCCCTCCGTACGTACATACGTATAAACATACATGGCAGAAAGCGACATGGGAGGGAAATCAAATCACAAAAAAACTGCTCTTTTCCCTTATACACCCTCAGTTGATAGTTTAAAAGTACTCCCAGTTCCCTGTTTCGAACACTAGTGCAGTGGGGACACCCTGGTGGAGTTTTGGTGTTCTCAGTTGTGACATCTGGTCTTTCCACATCCAATACTTTGTCTCAACGCCAGCAGCCTACTTGAAAGAGCCGGAAAGCCCATCTTTGACAATGGACTTTACAGTTAACGACAACAGAGCCACCTCTAGTGCCTCTGAATCAAACAACAAGCTGATAGGTGATGTTCCTAGAAGTGCTGAAGAGACGAAAACTGCTTATAAGAATCTAATCAAAGACAAAGTTTTAAAGCCGTCCAAACTTTCAAAGTACGACGCAATTAAGGCTCATCACTCGCATTTAGTCATTAGAGACTCACACTACCTTATAAAGTCACCGACTTCTTTCATCACATGTGCATCGTGTCACCGTGGGCGTGTTCTCAAGATTAATACAATAAAGGAGCTCTCTACAGAACAAATTCTTTATGAGATTTATTCAACCATTGGAAAAAACCTGTGTCAAAAACGGAGAAACGCAAACAGAAATAACCAAGTGTTACAGCAAGAGCAGATCACACAGCACTCTTTTGCAAATAACCTGGATTCAAACCATCAGATCTTCCACCATCAGCAGCAACAACATCAGCAGCAACATTTTCACGCACAACAACATCATCAACAGCAACATATCTCACATCAAAACCAACAAAATCAACACCAATCTCAGTCCATGTCGCATAACCTTCAAGCTCAGTCATTGCCACTTGTACCAATGGTTTCATTGCCAAACACATATCCTTCCTCAGTCTATCCACCGGCTATGGGCACCTCGTACTCTCTTCCAACTTCGCTGCCACAGTTGCAAGCCTCTCATCAGACACATAAGATGCCTTCCTTTGAGGATCTCTTCACTGATTTTGAGCCTTTGCAAAACCTTCCACAGTTTGCGGAGAATATGACTATTCCAACTATTGGATCAACGATTAAAATTACATCCTTCACTTTGGCCTCCTTGTTTCATGCCCAATCCAATTTCCCTGCCAACTTGGACTGTTTCTTGTCAATGGCCTTGGAACAAAACTTTGGCTTGTACACCAACGACACACTCATCGTTGCGTTACCCACGTATGCATGCACTATGTTTGTCAAAGATCCCGAAACCAATATCAGCCACTTCAGAAATGACGAGAACCTGCTAAGGGTGTTGAACACACGAATCCATAACTTTGTGCAACAGAGTGACTTCAATCTGCAGAATCTTAAAATTGTGATATATTTCAACTGCTTCAACGACACAGTTTCGGACAAGCTTCATGAACCGCCTCTCAACACGTATGTCGGCAATATGTACGTTCTGAGTTCTTTCCAAACGATGAGTGACTCGAGCCTGACCTACACTGCTGCCAGATATGCTTACAATCAGAGCACAAATTGGATCGATCCAGCAGAAGAGCTGGCCAAAAATAAGTTATTCAACGAGCTGGTGATCTCCAAATTACAGAACGAGGTGTTTCTCTCCACTAATGAGGTTCAACTCGGCACACACATCAATCAACAATGCTTTGAAAAGAATGCACACACCACTGTCATCACCTTCATATCTGACGAAAACTTTGTTGTGTCGGCTGCTTCGAGCTTGTTTGTGGTGTGTTACATCTCTGTAAAGCTACTGAGAGTCTTACTCGGAGAAGATGGCTTGCAAATGCTGGCATACCAGTCCAACGTTCATTTCAACTCCAAGTTCCACATTTACTTGTTGAAACTCATGCTGGAACAACTGGAGAGCAGACGGAACGTCGTTGGCTGATTAGAGGAACAAACCTTCGGGTTAATGAGCTTGATAATTAGCCCCTCAAATATTATGTTGTACTATATTTTACAGAAACATGAGTATGATCTTCCGAGATGTTCCCAGCTTCTACAAAGATTCAACTGTAGATCCAGTACCGGATATCACAGCCGAGGTTTGGGTGTCTTCGCTGTGCTTCATCTTTCGGCTTCCATTTCAGAAACCTCAGCTACAGGCTTTACATCAGCAGTAGGCAGAGAGCTCTGGAAGAAACTGACGGTTAAGACTGTACTGGAAACACGGTCCGAGATGAGACCGTTGACGAAGCAGCTGCCAAAAAATATCGTACGGAGGATCCTTTTAGGTTTTATCACCAACGCACGAGTCCCATGCAAATGCAAGTGTAACTTATACAAAGTCTAGGAGTTGCATAATAGTTGAACCTAGAAAGGCTACAAACGATAACAATTTATGTTCAGAATCGGTTAAAAATTGAATTGGACGTATACAACTAAAACTCAGCTTACAACTTGTCGTAGTACTCAGTGTATGGTGGAACTTCCTCCTTCAAACCTTGTCTCTTACGAGCAGCAATGACAATCTCACCAGCCTTAGAGGTTGGGTCAAGTGGGTCAGTACCCAAAGTAGCCCAGTGGTCGAACACCATCTGTGGGAAAGCTTGACCACCAGTAGCTTGTCTCAACTCACCGGTGAAACCGAAGGACTCGTTAACTGGCAAGTAAGCCTTGACAGTGAACAATGGAGTACCTGGTCTTTGCTCCTCGGAGATGACTTGACCTCTCTTCTTGTTCAAGACAGAGTAGATACCACCGACAGCGGACTCTGGACATTGAATCTCAACAAGGAAGACTGGCTCTTGGATTCTTGGCTCAGCCAACAACATAGCAGCGTAAGTAACTCTTCTCATAGTTGGCAAGATTTGACCAGCACCTCTGTGGATAGAATCAGCGTGCAAGGTAACATCCATGATGTTGAAACGGATACCACGCAACTTCTCATCCAAAATTGGACCAGCACCGGAAGCCCAAGCGAAACCAGAGACAACAGAGTCCTTGATTTCAGACAAGTATTGGACAGCCTTGGTTTGGTCAACAACAACGTTTGGACCGGTACCTTCTGGACCGAAACACCAGATCTTTCTGGCATCAGTGACATCCCAACCGAACTCGTCAGCCAAGACTCTAGCACGAGCCTTGAAATCGTCTCTTGGGGAAACCTTACCGGTCTCAATAGCGACGGAAACCTCCTCACCCAATGGCTCGGCCTTCAAGTAGATACGGTTATGTTTGTTTGGAGACTTAGACAAAGCAACCATGGAGGACTCACCCTCAACAGTCTCTCTGTAGGAGACAACTGGTGGAGAGATCTTCAATGGAACACCAGCGTGATCGTTCTCCAAATCTTGCAAACAGATCTCCAAGTGCAATTCACCAGTAGCAGCAACAATGTGCTCACCAGACTCGTTCATTTGACACAAGACACATGGATCAGACTTGGACAATCTCTTCAAACCTTCAACCAACTTTGGCAAGTCAGAAGCGTTCTTGACCTCAACAGCAACTTGCACAACTGGGGAGACAGAGAACTTCATAACCTTCATGTTGTGAGCGGTCTCGTTGGTAGTAAGAGTACCAGACTTCAACAAGAATTGATCAATACCAACCAAACCAACAATGTTACCAGCTGGACAGTCATCAATTGGCTCGACGAATCTACCCATCATAAGAACAACTCTTTGGATAGCCTTGACGAACAAGTCCTCCTTCTTACCTGGAACGTAGTTTGGACCTTGGATTCTAACCTTTTGACCAGACTTAACAGTACCAGCGAAGACACGACCGAAAGCGTAGAAACGACCCTTATCAGAGGTTGGAACCATCTTGGAGACGTAAAGAACCAAATCAGCGTTTGGATCACAGTTCTTGATGGATTGACAGGTAACGTCATCAGATGGACCTTCGTACAAAGTGTCAGCTCTGTAGAATTGAGCAGTAACTGGGGATGGCAAGTGGATGACAATCATCTCCAAAAGAGCATCAGCAGCTGGCAAGAACTTCTTCATAACGATCTTCAACAAAGCCTTACCTTCGAGGTCCTTCTCGTCACCCTTCAAGGTGATCTCCAACTTCTCCAAAAGCATTGGGATCTCATCCTTCTTGAAGTTCATGATAGCAGAGAACAATCTGAAGATTGGGTCCAAGATGAACATGTTGAAAGCACGCTCCAATGGCTTACCATCGGCGTCTCTGTCCTTGTTGGTCCACTTCTTGGTCTTTGGGTTGAAGTAAGAGTCACCCCACAATCTCTCCATCATCTTAGCTCTGTCAACACCAAACTTCTTGGAGTATCTGGTAGCGAATTGACGGACAGTGAAGGCCCAACCGTGCAAACCGGAACCGAAGGCAACGGTACCACGCTCTGGGTAAACTTGGACATCACCCAAAACCTTGTCAGTGTAGGTAGCAATGATAACGTTGGCGGATTCAACAGTTCTGGAGAAAGATTGGTACAAGTCCTCCTTGGTGACTTGCAACTCAAGCAAAGCTCTGTCAACCTTGTTGATGACGACAACTGGCTTGATTCTCTCACCAAGAGCTTGACGCAAGACGGTCTCAGTTTGGACACAGACACCTTCAACACAGTCGACAACGACAAGAGCACCATCGGTAACACGCAAAGCGGCAGTGACCTCGGAGGAGAAATCAACGTGACCTGGGGAATCGATCAAGTTGATCAAGAAGGAGTTACCAGTGGTCTTTTGCTTGATGTCCTTGACATCGTCGTCAGAGATCTCAGAGTAAAGGGAGATGGCAGTGGACTTGATGGTAATACCACGCTCCTGCTCATCCTTTCTGGTATCGGTGAAACGAGCCTCACCAGCCTTGGCAGCAGAGATAATACCGGCACGCTGGACAAGGGAATCGGTCAAGGTAGATTTACCGTGATCGACGTGGGCAATGACGGACATGTTACGAACGTTGGTAACAACGTCCATCAAGGCACGCATTTGATCAACTGTGAAATTCACTATCAAACCGCTTGTTAGTACTGCTTCGCTCACCGCACATCCGCTCGTCTCCTCCTCTCACGGGTTGTCTCCCTGTGGCCAACCACATCATCGCCACCCGCCAATGCCCGCAAACAATGCGCAAGCACAGACCGCCAGCTTCAAATCACCACAAACCACAACAACCACACCCGCCAAACCACACGGGCGGCAGACACGCCGCGAGAGGACAAGCACACGCAGACAAACAACCGTCGCTTCAACGTCGATACTCACCCATCTTGTTGTTTTAATTATGGAGATTACGATAGTGAAGGGAACTATTTCAAAGAAAGAGAAAGAGGGAAAAGGGAGGGAAATTTTTTTCTCTTCCCTTCGCTGTGTTGTTTTTCGTCTGCGAAGTGGAAAAATTTTTTCATGCGCCAAAGGCCAAAAACCACAAAAGCACAAAATTTTTAACGGCAATGAGCCGGTACGCGCACGCACAGCGCACGCTCCCGGTGCGGCCACGCTGGGACCGTGCTACGGTTCCCGGGGCGTGCGGTGATGGTTACGCAGCGGAGGGCTACACAGGGCAGCTCAGCGTTGGATGGTTGGTGGTGATACAGTTCAATTAGATACACATGTGGTTAGAAAGTGCTGCCTCCGAGCAGAGAGGCTGCGTTGCGGGCATCGAGCGGCGTCTCGTCGGCAGCGTCGTCTGGGGCCTGAGCTTGTGCTGAGTCGTGCTGAGCGTCGTCGTGTTCCATGGCGTCGTTGTCGTCGTCGTTGTTCAACAGATCACGGGAGACGTGTGAGACCTTGCGGTCGCCGCTCCAGCTGTCGCCGTCGAGGGTTTGGCTCGACGTTAGCACGTTCTTGGTGGTGAGCGGGTAGGACTCTCTGCCGAGTCGTGCGAGCCCGCCGTTCTCGTCGACGAGCCTGACGTCGATTCTGACCTTCTCCAGCACACGCAGCTTGCGTCTCTCATGGTCGATCCGCTTGACGACAAAGTCCCTCATTATGGCCTTGATCTGCTCGTCCAGCTGCGCCATGTACTCCTTCTTCTCGATGAGCATCTCCTCGGTGATCCGCTTGATCTTCTTGGAGAGCTCGTCCTCGTAGCCTGTGGCCTCCTCCAGGGATCTGATCGCCTCGTCCACTTTGATGGGGTTGATGTCCCTCTTGTTCCTCAACTTGCGAGCGGACTCGTGCTTCACCTTGGTCGTAGCCTGTGCGTTGATCAGGTCCCGCATCAGAAGATGTCTATTTGTCAGGGCCTCCTTGATGATGTACCCGTCGTTTATAATGCCTTGTAATCCATCACCGAGTGTCGCCAGCTCGTAACTTCCCATCACACTATCCAGGTCCCCAACCGTGGTCAGAGTCTTCCCAAACTTCTTCCACATGTTCTGCATACCTGGATGTGTTGTTTCCAGCACGCAAAGCTCTGCGATCATGGCCCCGAGTTCATTCTCGTGCTGTCCCAGTTGTCTCCTCAACTTGGATAGCTTCTCCAGTTTCTCAATGGAAGATTTGGCGTTTTGGTACGTGGATTTCACCAAGGGCCTGAACTCGGCCAACTCCAACACTTCGTCATATGGTGGCTGGAACTGTTTCAAAGTCTTCCGCTTCAACCCCGTGGCTGGCAGCTCAGACTTGTGAATTGGAGAGTACGTTCCAAAATCGCTCTCAACAAAGAATACAAACTCCTCGTTGCGAACCAGGATTGGATTCCCCGTGATTCTGCTAAACCACACCTGGAAGCTGTGAAGCGTTCTCTTGTAATCCTCCTCGTTTAGAATACCGAAGTTCGTATATGCCAATGGAATAGCTGGAACAAAGCACTCAGGGTTAGCACCGTTCAGGAACTTCCAGAAGAGATGGAACTCGGCATATGACTTCTTAACACCCTTGTACATTTTCTTCCGGAAGTGCGTGATGTTCGTACTCAGGTCGAATATCACCGCAGGGTTCTCCTTCTTGTTGACTAACGACCCACTTCTCTCCAGGCTCGTCACCTTCACCGTGATGGTGTAGAGAGATGGGTCCTCACATCTCTCAGGGATAAGGGTCAACGTCTTAGCGCCTGGTGCACTTTCCGTTGGCTTAGCGTCCTCTTCTTCCACCGTGTCCTTTGAGCCAGCTGTGTGTGACTCGCCATCGTCGTGAGAGCCGTCATTGACCTCGCTGTCTGGCTCAGCAGCGTGTTCTTCAACTATCCCTTCATTTGGTGGGGTCTTCGGGGTGGTGGCAGTTGCGGCGGACGAGATCGCAGAGCCCCCCAAAACGGAGCCAGACGGTTCGGCAAACGGATTGTTATCGAACTCGTCTGGATCATAGGGAATCGTAGAGGTCATTGGTGCTGTTTGCTTGCTCCTAGCGGCCCAGTAATGAGGTTCAATCTCTGTTTGGACATAATAACAAAGGGGGTGTTGTGCTGGTGGATCTTCTCCGGGCAGAAAAACACACAGTAATCGCCGATACGATCTGTGTGTAATTTGTGCTGCCGTGGGCTACGCGGTGGGACACACAGGCTACGCGGGAGGACACGCAGGCTACGCGGTGGGACACACAGGCTACGGGGAACCACAGGCTCAAATCCACTCGCTAATGCTTCAATTATAGGAGGACTTCTTCTTGGTCCAAATGCCACTGAGGAAGCCAACAAGGGCAGTACATAGCACACTTGTATCGTCGATGAGTTCAGCGTTGACGTAGAGCATGAATTCAGTCGGGTTCTTTGCAATGCCTCCAACCTGGACCAATGCGACCGGGATGCTTGTAGGATCAACTTCAAACTTGTCAAACTTGTATAGGTAGCCGTTCGCAACCCATTTGTATCTGATGCTGCCTCTGGAGACCTGGAACGTTGCCTGACGGCGTTCAGCGTTGTAGTATATCTTCAACTTGTGTGAGCTTCTCTGGTCTGGCTTCAACAAGTCAAAGGGCACCGGCATCTCAACCGTAGGGCCCAAGTCATGCCTGTGAATCGCCCTGTTTGACGTCAAATCAGGGTCAATATAAGGTGTTATTGGTATACTGTAGCCAACGGGATACACGAGTGGCCGAGCAGGCGAATGCGTGCCAATATGAGTTGGCTCTGTAGCACTGGCCGTGTTCATCAGCGAAGGGCCCTGTGGTTCCCTCAGAAAGAACACCATTTGATCATCGAGCCAGTTGAGACGGAACTTTGTGATCAGGGCAATCTCCCTCTTCTGGCTATCCGTTAGAGTCCACTTGTCGTAGAAAAGCCATCTCCACCACGACTGCATCACCTGGTTGTGGAAGGTATACGCAACACTCCCAGTCAGGTCTATGACGGCGTACTCCCAGGCAACACCGGGCTGCTTCATCACCCTGAACCTCTTGCAATTGTCAAAGTCCAAGGGGAAATACTGCCTTCTACTCTCAAACTCGATGTTCTTCCGGATACGCCAATGCCTCAAAAAGGACCACGCTATTGAAACTAGCGAGCCGACAACACCAAGTGCAAGCATGAGCACTGTAGGCAGCTGGCCACTGATTCGGTCCATCGTGACACTTGACAGTACAATTGGCTTCCAGGTGCTTCCTCTGTGGTGCCAAAGAGGTCTTCATCATGAACAACAAGGCATAGGCACAAAGGCACAACAAGCCATAAACACACGCAGTACAATTACACAAAACAACACACAGTTTGCATGCTTTCAGCAAGTGTTTGTGTCTGCTGGAGACATGGGCGTTGTCAGCCGGGCAGTTTCGTCCCAGTGCATCTCCAGTGGTGGTCTTCCATCCAACTCCACTTTCTCCTGGAGGAATCTCTCCGCGTAATGCCTATCAACAAACGTCACCTTGATGGAACCGTCATCACGCTTGGATGATTCAGAGACGTACTGGTGACCAAAGACACCGAGGGCTCTTTGGAAACCTTCGTCGTCTGGGTCTGACAGGCCCTTAATAACGAGGGTTTTAGTGCGCAGGTCCAGTTTCCTGTTTGGACCAGCGAACGAGTGTGGTCTAGTGTATGGTGAGAATCCTGTATACCCACCACGGCCTCGTCCTCGTCCTCGCCCTCGTCCTCTGCTATGGCTCGACCCTCTAGTGATAGCAGGGAACGCGTGTCTTCCTTCCAGCCTGGCCTTATCCTCGTCAATTGCATGTGGTGTTATTCCCTCTTGAACCATCTTGATCTGTATCTGTTCAACTTTAGCTCTAATCTGCACCTCGTTCTCTGGATGGGCAATGAGTTCCTCTTCCAGGGACTTCAGCTGGGCCTCGAACCCTTCGAGCATCTTCTCCTTCAGTTCGATAACCTGCTTCAGCTTGGCATCGTGCTCCAGCCTCTTGATGCGCTTTTCTTCGAACTGTCTCTGCTTCAACAGTTGCTGCTGCTTGAACTCCTCCATGTTGAGGGGCTTCTCTGCTGGTTCCGGCTCGTGCTCCCGTCTAAAGTGCACCTTGATGAACCTGTTGTCGAATATGGGCTGTGGACTGGACCAGGCCTTCTTTGCAGACCTGTGGTCGCCAAATTGCAGCACAGCTGCTCTGAGCGAAGTATCAACGACAACGTTGTGGACGTCGCCAAACCTCGAGAAGAACTCTCGCAGCTTTGAGCTGTCGAGCTTATCCGACGGGAGGTGTGTAACGACAATCTCCGTCGAGTTAGGAACCACTGTCTTGGAAATCAAATCTTCAATGCCTCTGGACTTCCCCTGGGCCTGTTGCTTGCTCTGGCCAGGTGGAAAGTCACGTTCACCATATTCTGAGGCGAAACTACGCTCTTCTTGTAGCTTGCCCTGCTCAGCCGGCACAAATGACCTCTCCATAACACACTTCACAACCTCCTGTGCAAACGACGCTGGATCGTGGACAAACACATCCAGCTCCGTGGATAGCACGCCCACGAGCCCGTCATCAGCACCGTGCTCGTTGTTCAACAGCGCAATGACATAGTCCGCCAGCACATCTGGCTCAGCGTCCGAATTGGACTCGGCCTTGGACACGATCCACGCCTTCAGCAGCTCAACGTCGTCTCCTTCAATCCGGGCCATCCTTCACGTCAACAACTGCAAATGGACTCAAGACAACCGTGTCGCTGTTGCTAGGCCCTTCGCTATTTCTTCCAAGTCCCAAAAGTCCCAAAGTCCCGGTCCGGAGAAATAGAAAGCGAAACGGACGGAAAAATTTTGAGCATCACCAAGGAGACGGAGAAACACCCACACACAGGGACTGAGACCACATTCAGGAGGTGGAAAACTAAGGAAGATGTCATACGTTCTCACTGCGATTGCCAGGTCGCCAGACGCTGAGCTGCTGAACAAACTGGAGGAAGTTGTTGAGGGCCTTCCAATCACCATCAAACACACGAGGGTTCTGTCGACGGACCGGGCGTACGACTTTGAGGTGGACGTTATAAGATCCGAGGTGTGGTGTTCATTGGAGGGAGAGGTTGTTCCTAAGCTGAAGGATGAGCTGAACAACATTGTTCTGCCCGGCGTTGACTTGATCTTTCAAAAGAACGATGAGTTTAGACAGCAGAAGAGGCTGTTCTGCTTCGATATGGATTCCACTCTCATCTACCAGGAGGTGATTGAGCTCATCGCTGCGTATGCCGGTGTCGAGGCTGAGGTGGAGAAGATCACCACTGCGGCGATGAACGGTGACATAGACTTCAAGGAGTCGCTTGCGAGACGCGTGAGCCTGCTGAAGGGCATCGATGGTACCATTTGGGACGAGTTGAAGAAGAAGCTGGTGTTTACGAAGGGTGATTTTGAACTTGTAAAAGGACTAAAGGCAATGGGCTGTAAGTTGGCCGTCCTGAGTGGTGGATTCATCCCATTGGCCAACTACGTCAAGGAGACTTTGGGGTTGGACTATGCCTTTGCAAACACTTTGCAGACGGAGGTTGATGACCAGGGGAAAACGGTGTTCAATGGTAAGACTGAAGGATATATTGTTGATGGAGAGAAGAAGGCAGAGTTGACAATCTTCATCGCTGAAGAAGAGGATATCGACTTGAGATCTGTTGTTGCCGTCGGTGATGGTTCCAATGATTTGCTTATGATGGAGACAGCAGGGTTTGGCATTGCTTGGAATGCAAAGCCAAAGGTTCAGAAGTTGGCTCCGGCAAAGTTGAACACCGATCAAATAAGTGATATCTTCTACATTCTGGGCTTCAGTGACGCTGAGATTGCTGAATTGACCCTATAGCTGGTCACCGATGTATATATTAAAAATAATACAGATATACATACTTAGAAGGCCAGCGACAATGATCTATCGACGATTTTACCCTTGACTACTCCAATGATCCCGTTGAATAGCAAGATATCGTCACCAACTTTAACATCCTTGAGGTTGATCTGTGTCTCTTGGATAAGGCCCTTGGATAGTAGCATGTGCCTCACCACTCCACATAGACATCCAGATGCCAGCACTGGAGTAAACCATGTCTCAGTGAAGGTTTCCGGGTCAGTTCTCTTGAATGCAACGTTTGTAATTGAGCCTTCCGTGATCTGGTTGGCACTGTTATACAGCAACACCTCCTGTGGCTCTGCAAAGCCCTTGATTAGCACCCTCTCCCTTGCGTCGTTATACCTTTGACGTCTTGTTGTTTTGAAAGAGGTGAAAGGTGAAATCATTATAGGCTCAACGTCGAGGAACACGTTCCACGTTGGCGACGTGTAGCTCTGCAGAGGGTTGAATCCGTCAAACAAGTTTAAGCGAACCGGTATTTGGGTAACATCAATGTTCATTGAGCCCTGTTTATCGATAGTCAATCTCAATTTGTAGGCATTGGACTTGTCCAAGGGCTTCATAACGGTGTTTAGTTGTTCCAAGAGCTCGTCCCTGGAAACCTCATATCCAAACTTGAAATACATCAGCGAGAGGTTAATCCTTCTCAGGTGCTCCTCAAACAGAAAGAACAACTTGGAGTTCTCATCTTTATCGTCAAAGGCAATCACAGAGTCGATGTTGTCGCTTAAAAGTGGGTCGAATCGTATCGTGGAGAGGATCTGGAAGTCCTCATCGCCGGTGTCAAACTCAGCATCTGTGTACACAGCTCTGAGGACGCTGGCAGTTTGTTCGTATTGTGCCTTCTTGGAATCGTCAACGTCTTTGGAACCCATCGGTGTAGTTATGGACGTCCTTAATGGTTGTTTCTGTATATTTCATTATGGGTTTAAGTAGTGGAAGGCCCGACGCCTCGGATATTTTTCACTTGAGAGTTGGTGCCTCACAAGCTGACGCTACAATGAACAATGGCAAACTCAACAATTGGTTAATTAACATATCAAATAAAATCACAATATCATGGCTAGAGATCAGTGATCACTAACAATAGAAGGCTGTAGCAAAGACAGCGAAGGAAAGAACGAAAATACAGATATAACCGAACCAGAACAAAACCAGAAGCAGCGTGAAACTTCACATTCAACCCACATGATCAGTCATAAACGTTCTTCTCAAATCACATCTCTTGTCGCCGTGAAGCTTGATGACAAACTCTAGGGCCTCCTTATCACCCTCATCGGCTTTCTTTAACAACTCGTCGTCTCTCTTTGTCCAAATACCATGGATGTCAACTGGAGGGTTTTGAGCAGTTTTCAAAAACTGTTCAATGTAATCTGGGATAAGAGTTAAGTCACCACATACACTGGCAATGATGAACATACCAAACTTCTTTTGTATACCAGCTTCGCTGTACAAGGCATTGATCAACTCTTCGGCTTCTTCAGAAGCAAAGTTACGTCCGACGATTTCCCTGATTTTGTCAACAACGGTATTCAAAGGATGGAATTCAAAGAACTTTTGGGTGACCAAATCGTCAGTCAATTGGTTTTCAATGTTTGGATGGATATTAGATGCACTTGCTGCGGCAACTGCTGCTGCTGCTTGAGATTCAAGCATACCAGCAATCTCAGCTTGATCACCGTGCAAGAACAGGTTAGAAGCATCTGATTCAGAAGAGCCATTGAGTCTTCTTCTCTTGCCTTGACTCTGTTGCAACTGGTTGTTATGTCTCAACAGACTTTCACCGACAACGGTATCGAGCTCGGCATCGTTTGCCTTATTCTTCTTTGCTGATTTGTACAAGTGTCTTCCCGTAAAGTTTTTAATCTCTTCAGGAACACGGTTTGCACTGAGTTCATCCTCATAGTATGAAAGGTACTTATCCACACCGTATGGAACGACAAACTTTCTGTATCTATCTCTCCATGCTGCCCTTGTATGGTTTGGATGGTCCTTCGCCATCTGTTCAAAGAATTTCCCTGGTAAAACAAGATCTCTTGCGTCATCTGGAGTAGACTCTGGTCTATCAGCTATATTATCCATAACGGCTTTGGCAAGCGTATAATCATCCCTTGCTGTGAATTTGTTCTTCATCGTTGAAGGCATTGCTTCAGTTGGGATGTATTTACCCACAGAGTCTGTAATCAAGTTACCTTCATCATCCGTCTTGTAGACGTATTTCAACTCATTCTGTAGATGGGTTCTAAATCTGTAACGGATAGAATTACCAGTATGTCTTCCAATCTTTTCTGCAATTTCGTGGAATAACTTGTGGGTTGAGCGACGGTGAGGGTTTTTACGAACTTCTTCCAAGATCATATCATCTTCTTGTCTCGTGAATCCATTCTTGTTGTGTAAGTTGATGCGATCAGCCTTGGAAACGAAGTTTCCCTCCTTGACTGCTGAGGCAGCGTTCATACGTTCTTCACGAAGCTTATCAAGCTCGTCACCTTGCTGTTGATCATCATTAGCCCTGCCCGACCCGTCATTGGACTGGATGAAAGTCACCAGGTGCTGGACAACACCAGCATCATCTGTGGTGGCCTTTGAAGCATCGTTCTGTTCAGAGACCTCAGTGGCAGCCTTTGCAGCGGCGGCAGCAGCGGCGGCGGCGGCAACAGCATCTGAATTCGATGAATCGTCATACGTGGCCACCTTATAGGAGTCCAAGCTTTGGATCCGTTTCTTCTCCACGGAATCCAACACGAATTTAGGATCGATAACGTCACGATGAGCATCACCGAATTTTGACAAGTAATAACCTTGAGAAGCCTCCTCCACAACCTTCCCGCCGTGGGAGGTGATCAGGTTAATCAAGTTGATACGGCCATCTTCTGTGGTTGGGATGAAGAACTCAAGTGGCTTACTATCCTGGACGAATAGGGCACTTGTGTCTTGTCTATAGCGGGTGTTAGTGTTGTTTTGCAAGCGTGCCAGTGTTCGAAAAAGCGTAAACAAAGGGTAAACAAGGCGTAAACAAAGCGTAAACAAAGCGTAAACAAAGCGTAAACAAAGCGTAAACAAAGCGTGGGTTCAAGCTCTCCCCCTCACACCCCCTTTTTCTACACCATTCCGCCTCCAATGGCCTCACCACCGATAAACTCACTCAAGCAAAGACGCGTCGATGTTCTCCTCTGTCATTTGGGTATGGTTTTCCAATCCTGTTTGCTCTCTTTTCATAATGCCTGTGTTGCAGAATCAAGAGAGGTTGGTGTTGAGGTTTGTTTGGGGATGTTTGGTGTGTGGAAGTTTTCGTTTTCGTTTTTGTGTGTCGATTTTTGTGGTCGGATTTTCCGTTTCTTTTTGCTCTTTCCGCGGTGGAGCATGTGTTCCACAGGCGTTACCCGGCCTTACCGGGTAGCGTGAGCAAATGCGCTAATACTCGCGAAAGGCACAGCGTAATGTTCCGCCTAACGCTCTTACAGGGAGGGCGACGGCCCGCAACTAACACTGTAGATCACTTTACAGCACGGTGATACGGGGATTGGGTGAACACATCTTGATCTCGGTGTGTATTTTTAATATGGCATATAGCAATTGGAAACACTACATCAGTTTAACATGGCACACAGTTAATGGGGGAGCACTAGAGGAACAATTTGCACAGCACCCCCAGAGAGTAACATTATATTATGTGTATCGTCAAAACAGGCAAAAAACGAAAAAAGGCACACGGAATAAGAAGACTTGGAGGGCTTTTCGGCCTGCTTAGATGTTGGCAGCGATCTTCTGCTTCAGGGCATTTGGGTTGGCACCCACAATCTTGTCAATGACCTGGCCGTTCTTGAAGAAAAGGATGGTTGGCATAGCGCTCACCTCCTGTTGCTGCGCAACTTGTCCGAGCTCGTCAACGTCAACCTTGTAGAACTCAGCGTCGGTGTACTCGTTGGCAAATCTCTCCACCAATGGAGCAATCATCTTACAAGGACCACACCAGGTAGCGTAAAAGTCGACAACAACCAACTTGGAGGACTTGATGGCCTCGTTGAATTGCTCAGCGGTGGTGATTTGAGTAACCATTTTCTTTGTGTTGGTAGTATCTGATGAACTGGAGTTGATTCCTTCGCCTTGTTCAGCGAGTAGAGGAGAAGGAGAAGAGAGCCTGGCTTTTCTTTTTATACCGCTGCTACGCTTGCCCGCAAGCTGTCTTAGCGCGTTTGTCAGCAGATTAGACCGGGCCCGCCTCCCCCTGCTGCCACGGCAGCAGCTCCTGTTCACTGTGGACGGGAAGCCCACACTGACCGTGGTGCTCCTCCTATCCAAGGTCACATCACAGCAGGTGGCGACTCGGTGAGCAATTGGCATTACCACACGCCAATTACTAATGACAGAGCCAAAGAGCTCGTCACAACGCCCATAGCTACTCCGTGTCCTCAGCTTGTTGTATAACACAGCGTCCACACCTTGCTGTATAACCCAGCGTCCAGCGTAAATCTCAGCGCCACACCTGCGTAACTCTCAGTACAGTCCCCATGGCGTTCAAAACCCCACGAAGGGTTACCCGCCCAACCAAACCCGCGAAAACGTTTGCCGCTCTCTGTTTTTTTTTTTTGGCCTTGTGCTTCCTTCGCTACGGGCGCGCACAGAAAGGAAGCGACAGAGGAGTTTTAAGTCCCCTTCACCGTGTAAACATCTCTGCTAAAGAGCACATTATCCCCCAACAGAAACGCAAAATGTCAACTGAACTGGAACAGTCCGTTGCTACATCCGCACCATACGAGGTGAGTATGCTCTTTGCAACCGTCACGGGTTGTTTTCCCAGCACTGTGGAGATGGTTTAGCTCTGCGCTCTTCAGTTTTCTCTCACCAGCACCAACCCCTTATTCGATGTTGAACCTCTTGTACTAACAACGCTGGAAACGAACAGGTGATTGACACTGATCCACACTTCAACAGGGTTGTTGGGTTCTTCCGTCCATGCGACTATGCTGCCTGGGCCATTGGAACCGTCGCAATGCCAGGTCTCTTCACCGTTTTCGAGCGTTTGGACCCGGTCAATGGGCGCACCTTCACCAAGCCGTCACCAAGCGTATTAAGAGTCACAACCTTGTTGGGATTTGTCGGTGGGTTCCTGATCGCCTACAACAGATCTTCCCAAAGATTCTTCGGACACACAGAAAACGCTAGGGAAGTTGCGAAGGACCGTTATCAAGTCAAGAAGAACCTGAGTCAGGGCCTCCCAGCATTTGGCCAGAAGCCTTCCATCACCGCAGACCTTCAGGAGGTTGCCATGCGCAACTCCAAGAACTCACAGTACGCGCTGTTCTTCTTCCCTTGGTTCTCCTTCTTCACACACGAGTACCATGGCATCGACCTGAAGAAGTACTACGAGGTTAGACCAGGTGAAGAGAAGTGGGAATTCAACCTACCTCCATACGAAGATTTGGAGAAGAAGACCATCTGAACCTGTAAAAGGCTCTACTCTACTTATTTATTTATTTATCGAACCTCATTGTTTCTTATTTATTCCTGTCGTGCAACAAATTCGTCATCATTATATATCAAAAACATATAACATCCTCCATATATGAAATCATATTATGCTCTCCAATTGTAGAAGCTTCAGATTTGTCCACCGCAGCGCTGAGGAGCTGGGGGTGTGGGCAGAAAAAATTTCACCTGTTCGCTCCACCACCAACAAATTGCAAAAGGTGGTTGTCCCCTTGAATTGACCGATTGATTGGGATTCGACCATCCGCTGAAGTACAATTGACTCTCCCTCATCATGTCAACCAAGCTTAACATCCTCGTTCCTGTCAAAAGGGTGATCGACTTTGCCCTTAAACCAAGAATCAACAAAGCCGGAACGGGTATTGAGAAAACAGGTGTCAAGTTCAGTATCAACCCATTCTGCGATATTGCTGTCGAAGAGGCTGTCCGTATCAAGGAGGCACACAAGTCATTGGTTAACAAGATCCACGTTGTTTCCATTGGACCAACAAAGGCCCAGGATGTTCTACGTCAGTCTTTGGCAAAAGGTGCGGATTCCTCAACGCATATTGACTCTGGTGAACAAGAGGTTGAGCCTCTAAACGTTGCAAAGATCTTGAAACAGGTTGCCGAGAAGAACGAGTCGAACTTGATCATCTTGGGTAAGCAGTCCATCGACGACGATTCCAACAACACTGGCCAAATGCTCGCAGGTTTGCTGAACTGGCCACAGGCTACAAATGCGGCCAAGGTGGAGATCAAAGACGATGAGGTCTACGTAACAAGAGAGATTGACGGTGGTGAGGAGACGGTCAAGTCCAAATTGCCCCTGATCATAACGACAGATTTGAGATTGAACGAGCCTCGTTTCGCCTCGTTGCCAAACATGATGAAGGCGAAGAAGAAACCATTGGAGAAGCTCAAACTGAAGGACTTTGACGTAGACCTCTCAGCCAGATTGGAGGTTCTGAAGGTGGAGGAGCCTGCTGCACGTGAAGCTGGTATCAAGGTTGGCTCTGTCGATGAGCTCGTGGCCAAACTGAAAGACCTGAAGGCCATTTAATGGCCTCCCAGTGACCAAACTCGGAAACGGCACAGTGTATATGTGAATATGAAAGCAAAAGATCAAGGTTGAAGCCTCGCACAGGTAGATGGTGTTGTCTAAGCACGGGGCCAAACGCTGTAGTCTTAGTATTCCTCGTCAATTGATGAGCCATGCAATTACTGCAAGCACATCCACTGTTCAGAACCAAGTGATTCGGACGGCACGCACAGAGACTGATGTGTCCTCGCTGGCGATCCCATTGTGAGTGCTGCTTAACATCCACGTACACGCTGGCAACACCACGCAGGAAACCAACCACAGGCCACTGGCCACCAGCCTACTGCGCCCAACGCATTCCCTAAACCTCATCAGCTGCACCGGAATCAACCAGTGGAACCACACTGACCCAATTGACGACTACGTAAGTACGCATACGCCAGAAGCCCGCCCTTTCTGCCTCTCTGAACGAGGTCACACAAGGTACCAACAGCCAGTGCGCTAAAACAAAGCAAAAAAGAAAAGACAACGTAGGCTGCCCATACGCTGGGTTCCGGGATCGGGAGGCTCCGTGTGTACGGACACGGGCACCGATGGCGGGCACCAAAGCTGTTGCAATGGCCCCGTTGGTGTGAGCCGTCACGTCTGTGCCCAAATGAACACCACCACGCTCGTGTCTGGGAGCTGTGGAGTGTCCTTCGTCCGCATTCAGTCGTTCTCCCTCGCTCTGGAGCCACCCAAGTCTGCGCTGTGTATATCACCGTGTGTGCGTTTGTCGCATGAGGTGACACTGCTGTACGAGCCTGCAAGTGAGGTGAGCCCAGCGAAGGGTTCGTGAGTCAATTGGGGAGTCCCCGTGAGTCGCTGTGAGTGACGAGAAGTTGCCTGGCACTGGGCCCCCAGTTATCATCTGTGTGTGGGGGAGAAGGGAGGCGAACGGGCTGATTCTTTGCTGGCACTGGGAAGAAACTTCCTTTGTTTCGAGAAACAGAAATGCTTATAAAAGGGGCATTCCCGGGGTGTACGAGCGTGTTTCCTCGATCTCTCGCCTTCTGTCCTGTCATTTTGGACTGTTGATTTCGTTTCCTCCTTCAGTTTACTCCAACCATACACATACACACAAGTACAATGACAGCGTTACAGATAGCAGCGGACTTCCTGGAGCCAATTGTTAAGAAATGGGACTTTGAAGCAAAGCCACTGATCCTCTCCGTCTCTGGTCCTCAAGGTTCTGGTAAGTCGTACCTCTCGTCGAAGCTTATCGAGCACCTCACCAGCGAATACCCAAAGCTTAGATCGATCACGATCTCCATTGACGATATGTACGTTGTGAACGCAGAGCAGGAGAAGATAGCCAAAGAGAACCCAACGAACCCGCTGGTTAGGGGCCGTGGATTGCCTGGGACACACGACGTTGAGATGACTTTCAAAGTCCTGACCCAATTGGATAACAAGGAGGTCGGGTTCACGATTCCAACCTATGATAAGAGTGCACACGGTGGTGCCGGTGATAGAGCACCACCGTCCCAATGGACAAAGATCGATGAGCCAGTGGATATCGTTGTTCTCGAGGGTTGGTTCAACGGTTACACCCCAATCAACGATGGAAGGGAAATCGAAAGACGCCGTGAGGCATCACCACTTTTGCAACAGTACAATCTCGATGATCTGTACAACTTGGATATTTTGCTGGACCAATACATCAAGATTTGGGGATTCATCAACTACGACATCTTCTTCGACACCGATGACGTTAACAACGTCTACGAATGGCGTAAGGAACAAGAGCACGAGCTCATTGAGAAAAAGGGATCGGGCATGTCAGATGCAGAGTTGAAAGACTTCATCGACAGATACATGGTTGTCTATGACCTTTACTATGAGGACTTTGTTCAGTACGGTGTGCCTTCGCTGCCAAAGAACAGTCATTTAAGGTTAAAACTAAACTTGAAGAGAGAGATTGTTGAAAGTAATATATTTTAAGGACAGTTTCCCTCCTCTTCTGATACCAAGCTAATATACGTTGTGCCATGTTTTCTCTCCTGTGTTGGATTGATTATCTCTCTTTCGGGATTTGATCATTGCGTTATTGATCTGTAATCTTCTTTGCTCGTATCCCCCGGTTCGCTTTCTTGACTGGATCAACATTTGGCTCGATGGTAGCGAGGTGCTGTACCTTGAAGATGGCACAATCAACGTACTGTTTGGCGTTGGTATGGGCTGACCCTGTGCATGTGTTATCCTTGAAAGAGAGTCCAACTTTGAATCCATATCCCTATGCGATTTGCTCAAGGTATTAATTGCCTTCAAGACAGCTACCTGTGTGTCATTGATTTCTCGCATCTGGTTAGAACATGCATCCAACTTATCCATCAAAGTGTTGAATATAGTTGTTTTCTTTCTCCCTTTAACTTGCACGGACAAGGAATCATCGACTGCTTGCTTGATTGAACTTCTCAACTGCCTGTCAAAGCCATTCGTAAACGATGACACTTTCTTGTGGAACAGTTTGATGGCATTCAGGGATATGACACCCTTACATCCTCCTGGGAGAGAATCGACGCTCTGCCGTATCTGGTCCAAAGTGTTCTTCATTCCAGGTTGGCCTCTCAACGCAGCATTGACCTTGTTCCAAGAATCAACGGCGCTCTTCAAATCGATCGATGCGTTTCTCATGATGCCGCTGTTGCGTGCAAGCTCACCGATCAAGCCACTTGACTTGTCTCTCAAGTCTATCGACTCCAACTCAAGCCGACTTGCCCACATAATCAACTCTTTGCTCGAGTCTGCGCCCGCGAGATTAACATCACCATATGCTCCATCGGCATTGTCACTATCTTCACCATAGTCGGTATCCTCCTCCTCCGCCTCATAACCACCATCCGCTGCGCTCCTCTTTACGCCAACGCTGCTACCAAGACTCCTAGACAGTGGCACTCTTCGTCCTCCCAATCTCGTTCTAGCCGCTGTCATTGTTGTTTATGTTTCGCAGTTGTATAACAATAGCCGCCAAATGGGATGTTGATTTGTTTATATACTTTGTGGGTCTGTGAGGAGATTTAGGATTAGCCGCCGTTCAAAAGATGTAAACAAAGGTTGCCCCGGCATCGCAAAACTATAGGATGAGCAGAGATTAGTATTGTTATTATTATGATGGTTTCAACTATCACGGTGAGCTTGAGATCTCCATATCCTGTAGCGCTGAAAGTTCTGTATATGTCTTTGGTGGCGCACCTTTCACAGGCGATCTTGTTACTTCCACTTGTGCTCTTCCCTCAGTGGCCGGTGATGCAGTGAACCAAGGATGAGCTATTGCTCCACGGATATCAAGACGCTTGGAAGGATCCTTCATCAAGAGGCGGGCAATTAAATCCAACGCTAAATCGTCAATCTGGTCGAAATATGGAGAGTAGAAAGCATACTTGGCTTGCATGATCTGTTCTCTCATCGATGGAGGGCCGAGCTCGTCGCTGAACGGTGGGAATCCCACGAGACAGACGTAAAGCAACACGCCCGAGCTCCATAAATCAACTTCCTTGGAATACTTTCTCGTGGAGCCTAGAACCTCCGGTGCAACGTACGCAGGTGTTCCGCAGAGCGTGTTGGTAAACTCGTACTCGCCGATGACCTTGGAGAGTCCAAAGTCCGCTATCTTCACCTCCACATCCAACTCGTCGTCGTCCCATGGCCCAGTCTGCTCTTGAGAAGGTGATGTTCTCTTTCTGATGTTTAACAGAATATTCTCAGGTTTTATATCCCGATGCAAGATATCCCTTTCGTGTAGATACGAGAGCCCCTGTAAGAGCTGCTTGAAGATGTGCTTAGTCTCGTCTTCACGTAGGAATTGCTTCTTGACGATTCTTGTAAAGAGCTCCCCTCCGTTGACTTTCTCCAAAACCAAGTACGTCGTAACGTTATACTTGTTATTGGGTTCGATGAACGCGTCGATCAACTCCACAATATTCTCATGCTTAATGCTCATCAACACCTCCATCTCCTGGTTGAACTGCATTGCACTCTTTGCATCGTCCGCTCTCTGCGGCTTGAACACCTTGACGGCCACTGCCACGCCGGTCCTCTTGTCAAACGCTTCGTTCACGGTGGCATAATGCCCTGTGCCCAATTGCTCGCCCATCCGGTATAAATCGCTGAACATTTTCTTTGTCTGTGCAATGTCTGTAGGTCTACTCTCCTTGTTTGCATCGAAAAGACTTCTCCCGTATCGAACAACATAACTACCACTCTTTGCGAGGTTGATCTTATCACCATCCTTTAAGATCACATTATCGTTGCTGATCTTTGAACCATTGACAAAAGTCCCATTAGAGCTCTTGTCAACGATGTTCAGGAAGGTCATCCCCGTCGCTTCGTTGAATACAGGTGTCAATTCACAGTGTACAGTTGAGATGTCCTTACCATCCAGTACAAAATCACACTTCCGGCTTCTTCCTATCACTGTGCACTTATCACCACTAATCGCAATATGCGACGCACCTGAAATCAAACTGAAAAGATGCGCCAATGGCTCTTTCATCACAGTTTGTGATCTCTTAACCTCTCGAGACGCTTCATCAGCAGCGTTCGATCTGTTCTGTATGGTGTTAGTACTCTCAACTTCACCACCAGTTCCAAACTACCGAACTCACCCTTTTGTTGATGCTTGGATTGAGCGACATTGGTGAACTGGCTTGTTACCACTTCTCGTATAAACAAACACGTCGATGGTGGCAAAACACACTCATCAGATCAAATCAACGCGCACGCTCGCTGCTTTGCGTGTGTTTTTGCCGGGTTTTTCCTGTTTGTATTTTGATTTCGAGTTGGAATCCATCACCACGGCAACACGCATACAATGAAGGGTCACATCACCGTTTAACAACAGCACCAATACTTATTCCAATACTTCACCCAATCAACAGTGGGTCACCGTTCCTTGGAGTGTCAGCTACTATCTACGAGTTTTGTAGTGTGTGAACCTTTATGACCATGATGACCGGAGCTAGGCTCTCGTTAATAAACTATCAGTGTAAATGTATAAGTTAATTCAAAACCATCTGATTGTAGTCATCAATCTTCAACACTTCAAACATGTACTTTAGATCCTTCAACGGTTTCGATTGAGGTTCCCATGATTTGTAGTCCGTGATCAGTTTCTCTATCCGTTTCGAAGAGTCAATGTGCTTTATTTTGCGGAAGTTATCCAGGAAAGCATGGAGAGTCCAAACCAGATTGTAGTTGTTGTTCAGCACAGAGTCGTGGATCTCATTCGTTTTAATGCAAGTTGGCTCGATTAATCTCGTGGTGCTCAATGTGTTATAAACGAGCGAGTCGAACATCTTCTGGTGTAATATTGTCTGAGGAGTTGATTGCTGTGTAAAATACTTCGAAAGTTGTAAGAGGAGCCTAAATGACGGCTGGCCCAGGTTCGATGACATCAACAGTATTTCGAAGAGGTCCACTTCAAAGTTATTGTTATACTGCGTGTCTGGAAAGTACATTGTTCTGAATATATTGGCGTGCCTGTATTGCAGTGCCAAAGAAGCAGCGACATTGGCTGTACTTCCAACGATTGTAACCTTTAGATTGTGGTTCTCGATCAGATTTGAGAGCGTGGTTTGTAATTCGGATGCATCTGGTAGCTTAGGAGACTCTGAATCCTCCAAGTATGGACCTGGAATGATGCCGTAGATACTTATGAGTCCTAACTTGAGCTGTTCTTTCAAGAGAGATCTTGAAACTAACATATCCAACAGTTGCACCACTAGAGAGAAGGAGCTTTTGAAGCCAACCATCAAGAGACAGTCGGCATTTCTTAGGCTTTCTCTCCAGTTGATCACCAGCTTGAACAAGTTATCCTGTGTAGCATCGTTGGTCTTTGGAGCTTCCAATGAGATCGTTTCAATTGAACAATCCTCTTGCAAAAGCTCATTATTCTCTAGCCACTTTTTAATCGAAAGAGATGTACAGTCGGACAGCTCCCTCGCAGTGATGTTTCGTTTGCCCTTATGCTGTGCCACAGCTGAAATGACAACCACTCTGTTAATTGGTGGTTTTTGTAGGTTGTTCTTCAAATAGATGTGTCTTTCAGCTGGGTATCTGTAGTACAGTTGAACTGCAGTCCTCACCTTAGTCTTTAGAGTGATATTTCTAAAGCAGTCTCTCACCAAGGGTACAACTTGACCCTTGTCAGTGGTGAGAGGTGCTTGTATATCGCCATTAGGATATTTCTTCATCTCAACCGGTGACATCTCTGTCTTGGTCCCCAGTACTGAGGTTTCACCGTGTGCCTCCGTGCCTGAAAGGTGGTACCAAGCCCATATCGAATCGCTATTCTCAATCGCCCTTTTGGCCTCTCTAATGTTCTTCTTGATCTCAGCAGAGCTCTGTAAGTCACGAACAAGCTCGTCATCTTGGTTCTGGGTGCCCCATTGAAACCAGCTGAGCCAACCGGCTCCTTGAGATGATACGGAATGTGCATGCGGTCGTTGATTCTCCTCCTGATGAAGTGTCTCAGATACACTATGCAATGGTATTGGTGGCAGGAAATTTAGCACGTTCAAGTAGCTGGACCATGTCCTCACATCGCTATCACCCTTATGGCCATTCACAGCAGTTGCTCCATTCAGCAGCACAGGCTCCCTACTCGGAGGAAGGCTGCTCAACTGTTGCTGCTGAGTGTCCCCATTCACTATGTCTGGATCTGAATTCACATAGGGTGCCTGAGACACCGGCTGTAGCGGGTCGATTGAAGAAAGCTTTCTGTGGTGATGCTCGGACGAGCCTTGTCTCTTCTTCCAGTACTTCCAACTCTCCTGGAACGCATCACGCCGTTCATCGAGCTCATTGAACTCTTCCACTTTCTTCGGTACTTCCGCCATGTGTGTGCTCGATTATGGACGTTCGCCGCTGATATTTTGGATATGAGTAGACAAAGCTCGGTTTGTGTGTTTATTGTCGTTTATTGTTCCAGAAGAGAGAGAATTGATTGACGCCTGCTCGGATTGCGTGTTCGTATGTGTTTTTATCCCACGGGGAAAACGTCAGAAGGAAGCTCCACAATCATTTATAGATAACAGAAGAAGCCAACCAAAGCAGTACACATGGATTGGCGGAGTGAGCTGATAAGGAGTCTTGAAGATAGAGACAGGAGGGAAAAGGTGGATGGCGAGTTCTACGCAGCGTGTGAGTGTGTGTTTTTGGAATAACCTGAGGAGTGACTGGACACTGACTGTAATGACTAGTTGATGTAGTTCTACAGAGGCTCAACAAATCGGAGATGACGGTGAGGACGCTCACCGTGACAGATGCCCATAGAGAACACCAGAGGCTGCTAGATGAGAATGGTGCGTACGAACAGGATCTCGCAGAACAGAAGTCCAAGGTCCAGGCTCTTGAGGATAATGTATCGATGTTACAGCGGAGAGTTAGGAACTTGGCCAATGAGAAGGAGAAGCTGAACGCGGTGGTGACGAAGCTCACGGATAAGCTGAACTCTCAAACTGAGGAGTACCATCATAAGAACAAATCCATCGAAGTCTTGAACGACGAGTTCTTATCCATGCAGATACAAAACAACCTATTGCACGATCGGTTAGCCACATTGGAGAAGGAGAACGACCAACTGGTCCAGAGGTGGCTGGCCAAAGCCCAGGAGGATGCGGACAGGATAAATGCTATGCTGGAGGGATGATCTACGCTGAAAGTAAGTGTTGTAATGAGGGCGATGGTGTCTGTTTAAGTAGTATTTATTACCATGCTTTGCATACAAGGGCAGTATCACGTCTTGAAGCTTTGTCTCATTGAAAATACGCCAATTTCAGTGAGACTGTTATAGTATCGAACCAGCATGTTCTACACACTACATCTCCCCACCACATCTTCCCACTGCGGACTAACGGTGTAGTCGTATGAGCTCACCGTTGAATGGCCCTCTGATTAGCACTGGTGTTGAGATGTGAAGAATCATCCGGACACCTTGTGCACTGTCGCATATCTTCGCAACGGTCAGATAAGATCGGTATGTGTATTTTTGGTGCAATTTATATTAAAGTACTCAGTGTATTTGGAGTTTCTTGTTACGTCTGCAGTACTGTTTCCTCATTGCTAGCGTATGTAGATTTAGCCTAACAATTGTTGATATTTTCCATAATGGACAGCAAAAATTTATGCGAGTTTAATTTTGAAGCCTATGCAGTAATTTTTGCACAGTTAAATGGACTTTTCATGATTTTAGATAAATACAATTGAGTCCATCGACATTGCTCGACAGGTTATACCGATTATTGCGATAAATTAATGGTGGATGGATAAGCATTTCTACTATATAGTTTGTCTTATATATAGTTACTCTTTTGCAGTGGTTTTTCCTCAGATTTAGTTTTGAGTGAGTTCTACCTCTTCTGAGCTTGGTGTTTTGCTTGATATTGAGCATTTCACTACTGGTATTGGAAAATGGCTAGTCGGAGAGGAATTATACAAATTAAACAAGAAATAGAAGAAGAACACAGTACTAAATGTGCGGTGATGTTTAAACCCATACTTCACTGGTGCCTTCATTCGTTAACTGTTCGTCAACGTTTGAATTGTTACTCTCATGAGTTGGCTCATCAGCTGCTGACGCTGTAGCTGCCGCAACAGCAGCAGTAGTGACAGTGTTACCGTTGTCGGCTTCTTTAGACTTTGGTTCCGCATCCATCTCAGCTTGGATACAATCTAACAGTGACCCGTACATGCTACTCAGTTCATCCAAATGAGACACTGCGCTAGGTTTTAGGTGGTAGATGATTTGTCTGAACGTTTGTGATTGCACAATCGAGAGCGGAAGCTTGTTGTGTACGAGGAAACGCATAACATACTTCTGGAATCTCAATGCACTGTATTCTCCATGTTCAAACTCAGAGGAGGCAAGGTCCGCTTGTTCTTCTTCCTGCTCCTGTTGTTCTGCAGGCGGTTCCGTCGTGTCGTGTGATAAAGGGTGCTGCTTAAAACTTTCTGTAGCCTGGTTCAAGGTGTTGAAGTAATGGCGCTGTCCATCTTCGGAATGGATCAGTATGCCATCTCTTCTTGGACTCGGCGAGTCCTTGTTGATCTTGTGAGTTCTCAAATGTTCGCCAAGTTTCTTCGGCGAGCCTTTATCAGAAGGCAGACGCTTAATCACCTTTTCGCAAATGTCACACGTTGCAGAGTTGTAATCCTTTTCATTCTGAATAAACCAGCTCCAAACCCAAGATTTCTTCTTCGCTCCAAACTTTTGACCTGGCTTGTTGACTCGAGGCTTCGATACCTTGTTTGTACTTGATTGCTTGTTGTTCTGGGAAGATCTCACCGCGGCCTCAGCTGTGGATCTGGCAAATTCAGAACTCGTCGTGTCTTTGTTTGTACCATCAGTGATCGACGGGTCGATGGGAACTGCGCTGCCCGTGGCTTGTTTCTGTTGAGCTTGACCTTCAATGGCACGGGAACCAAAACAGCTCAGTGCTTGTTGAATCTCATTGTCAATGTTGCGGGCCTCTGGTTGAGTTCTATCATAGTCCATGTTCATCGTAGACATTTTGTTAGATTATTTAGCTGCCTTATACTTGTGCCTGTATGTTTGGATTAAGAGAGACACAGGTCGGAACTGCTAGCTTTGGGGTGTGTTTGTGAATGAAAAACAGCTCTATGCAATTTCAGGGGACCGGAATTTGTTGATTTTTCTTTAGCTCTTTGTTTTTTCTCTCTATTATTGTTAGGCGCAGCACGCTGAGCAACAAATGTTGCCCTGGTTACTGAAAAAGGAGAAATAATTTCTCGTTGTTTACATCTGGGCAGATGTAAACAAACCATCATTTCAGCAACACCTGAAACCCATACACAGCAAGTATTCTTTTTCCAGGACATACTTTAGATACTATTAATACATTTGAATTTGTATATACGTAGATATCCATCTCCAGGGACTATATATATCATTACATACACATGATAATGATATGTGCTGGTAAGTATTCAAATAGAAGGAAGAAAAAAACGGCAACGAAGAAGAAACAAAAAAAAGTTGTCACACCAGCAGTAAAGAAGACGTCAGTTCTTCAAATGATAGAGACAAATGTAGATTAAAAAAAGGGACAGAAGACAGAATTGGTATCAGTTATAAAGTATTTTTTGGGGGTATTCATTGTAGATGAATTCCATTAAGCATTAAGTGGTGAAATTCCTTTGTTTCTGCATGTGAAAATCCTTGGACTCCAGTTAGACGTGTCAAGATTGCAATGGAACGGAGGAATATCGATATAGTAATAATAAAGAAAAAAAAACACAACTGGTCATACACCTTCTCAAACAGATTCTTGGTCATTGTTGTGACGTCTGATCTTGAAGAACTTAATACCACTCTCTGCTGGTTTTGTTTGCTGTGCTTGTTGCTCTGGGTAGGAATCATCAACCTGTGGTGGAACATCAATGTCGTGAACTGGTGCTGGTGCTACTTCCGTGTTGTAAACAGCAGCTCTCTCTTTGTGTCTTCTGTAGGAAGCCACGCAGAAACCACCCCATGACAAGAAGAAGAGGATAATCAGGCAAGCAACAGTGGTCCAAGCGATGGCCATAAGTTTTGTTCCAATGTGACCATATCTGTCAGCATCGTGGAATGCATTTCTAGCCATGACAGCAACAGCTGTTTCAAAAGCAGCAGCACCGGAACCGAATAGCAATGCACCTGAAAGGAGCCAGCCGTTGATTTTGACAATAGAATAAGAGCACACAAGGAACAAAGAGAGGATTAAGGCAACACCAACAAATGCAAGAGTAATCCAGTAGAATGCGAATGCAAATCTTGACAAGTTGTAGAAGACATCCCTGTTGTCGATAAAACTCTGTGGAACGTTTTCATTTGTGCGGAAGTTGTCAACTGGTGAAATTGGGTAAGCTGGGGAGAGCTCAGAAACTGAATACGAGTTATCATCTCTGTTAATCAAACCCCAGTAAGTCCAACGTGACGTGTTTGGAGCATTTGGAATACCACTTGTGTCACCTTCGACCCAGTAGAAACGGTTGATTGGAGCATGGTCAATGGAACCTGAAAGAACAATAAACACCAATAAAAGTGTGGTTCCTGCGAGGAAGAAGAGCTCAGCTCCATATGTTAAGAATGGAAACTTCATGGTAATGTATAATCAAGCAATCTGAAAATTAGCCTTGTTGGTCAATTAGAATGTTTGAAAAAGCGAATAGAAGAGAAGGATGAAGAAGAAGGAAGGAAGGAAGAAAAAAGCACACATTGATTTTTACAATGGCGGTACTTTTCGCTGTTTTTTCCCTTCGACAAAATACCCCCCCTCAGACAAAAAAAAACCTGCCTGCAAAAATGTGCAAGTGATGTTTTAGTTGTTTACAATTTACTGGAATAGGATTGCCAAAGTGCTTTTGTCGCGAACCCAAATGGAATGGCGCTGAACTTTAACTGAATTGAGTAAAAGTTAAGCCCCAAATGGGAAATGCGTATGCCTAATTACGCAAATTCGTGACATCATTAAACCCAACCCTAGTTAAAATACGGACTTTTGCGCAAAGTTGCTCTCTTGTTGAAATGGCTGCCAGCGCAATGTTCTTTCTCCTTCTATTCATTTAAATTGTAGTTTAGCTCTTGATACATGACTACACTGCAAGTTTGGGGTCCAGTGAGCCATGTCAGATTGCCCTCCGATTGAGGCTCAGTTTCAAACGTGGTCATACAAGTAGTCCATACCCGTTACATCAAATGTAACCGTCATAACCGTATCCTCTGGTTTGTGGTGATTCAAGGCTGAGTCGGAACTCGTAGACAGCCACGATCCCAAGTATCGCAATTTCAAGTGTGAGCAGTTGGATATCACTTTAGGTCATTACAAAATTGGCTGCAGTTTATGACCCTTGGGGAGCCCGTTTTACTCGACATGCAAAGTCACAATTTGTCTGCAGACAGGCCGCAAATTGTGTCACAGCCTAGAAGGTGCCAGCATGTAGGTTTTTACAACTGAGATTTTGGACAAACTGTAAGAGGCTTTATTCCATATAGTTGGAGCGCATTTTTGTTCCTAAACACTCCCTGCCCAGGTGCTTCATGATCTCCACACTCTTCTAATGTTGTTCTCTTCCCCAGGCTTGATTGTTCTCTTTCCCTGAGACGTTTGACGATGTGTTCCCTTAACTCTGTGGGGCGGGCTTATGCCCATTTGCGCGAACTTTGCTGTTCTTTTTTTAGGTGTGGTGCCATCATCGCGCACTAATCAGTTGATTTGTGAATTTGAAACACGAATTGCACTGACCACGTTGCTGTGACTACCGTCTCCATACAGAGGATGGATTGCCATTTCCTCTTAATTCCCTACATACCGTTAAATGTACTCAATATATCCTATTCTGAATGCGCAACTAGATCAACTAGTTGTAGTTATAAAAGGAAAAACAGATATAAAACGTTTGCTCCCACTGCACAGTGAGGCATATTCGATGAAACCAAACAATATTAATATTAGAACTCCCCAGTTATATTATAGAGCTCAAATCACAACAACCAATCGTAGAACTTGTCCCAGAGGTTGACGATAGGTTTAGCTTTTGCATCAAAATCTGCTTCGATTCTTTCAGCGTCATCCAAGCCTGAGATAACGTCAATCTCTTCAATTGGCATTGCCCATTTCCAGTTTCTGTACCAGATCTTGTGTCCGAAGTACAATGCAAAGAACACTGGAAGTGTCAAGTAGGCAGCGACAAAGTCTGCACCATTGAAGTCAAAGAAAACAGCGTAACCGTTGGTGATACAGATCAAAGTGATGACAAAGATGAAGTAGTAAGTACCATATGGTTGAAGGATTGTCTTGAATGGAACACGGTCCCACAAACCGTTATAGATAACAGCCTGTCTCCATCTGAGGTATGCGATACCACAAATGATCCATCCGATGAAACCAGAAATGGTACAAAGGTTAGAGAACCAGGCAAAGACATTGGCACCACTAGAGCTCACGTTCAAGAAGGAAAGCATAGAGACGGCAGTGGTAACACCACATGCGTAATATGGAACACCGTACTTATTAGTCTTGGACAAGAATTTTGGAGCGTCACCGTCGTTACCCATGTTGGCAAGGAAACGAGAACCAGCGTAGAAGAAGGAGTTACCAGAAGACCAAGCAGAGGACAAAATACATGCGTTGATGATGTGGTTGAGCACTTTGATACCGACAAGTTGGATACCGATGACGAAAGGAGAAGCGGTAGCATTACCAGTACCAGAAAGCAAGTTTGGATTGTTGTATGGGACAATAACACCAATGACAATGGAACCAACAATGTAGAAGAACATCAATCTGTAGACGAATCTAGTAGCAGCCTTGGAAATGTTTCTTCTTGGTCTCTGAGTTTCAGCAGTGGCAACGGCAACCAATTCTGGACCAACAATGAAAGCGAAACCAGACTTGATGACACCAGTCCAACAGTCCAAGAATCTACCAGTGTTACCTGGGAGCAAGTGGTAAGAAAATGCACCTGGGTCCTTCCAGTAATGGAAACCCAAGACACCTTTCTGATTTGGACCACCACCGAAGAAGATAACGATACCAACAATAATCAACCCAAGAATACAGAAGATCTTTAGAGAGGCAAACCAAAACTCAGATTCACCATAGTACTGCACAGCGAGGAAATTCAATCCAATGATGACCGCCAAGAAGATCACAATCCAAACTGCAATGTGAACGTCTTTGGTCCAGTATTCAATGACAATGGCCGCAGCAGTAACCTCAGTACACACCAGGATGACAAAAGTGTAGTAGTAAATCCAACCAGTAGCAAAACCCATGGATGGACCGACGTATCTCTTAGCCAAATCAGACACGGCACCACCTTTCTGAGGCAAGAAACAAACCATCTCACCAAGAACATTCATGACAAAGAAAATAACAGTAGACAAGATCAAATAACCAGTAAGCAAACCAGCTGGACCACAGGTGGCCAAAGCGGAACCAGAACCAACGAAAAGACCAGTACCGATACAACCACCAAGGGCAATAAGTTGAATATGACGGGACTTAAGACCCTTGTGCAACTGAACCTCTGCTGGCTCATTCTGGACCTCGATATCATCAACAAACCCGGCTGATGATTCACCGTATTCGTTGACAACGGTGAAGTTTGCCTTCTCGTCCTTCATGTTCGAAGACTTAGGAGATATGGAAGACATATTCTAAAGATGTAATGTGTGTGTGTTACTTAGTTGTTGCAAGAGCGCTTCGTATGATGGATCAGAATGGGGGGATATGCTTTTCTTTATATGCCCCAAAAAATCGAGGGAAGCTTCCACTTTAATGCGGAAGACGCTCTACAGGGATGATAACCCTACACATGATTAGACGTATCAATCAGCCTTTGCAGTTTATCTATATGGTTGGATTGGTGTAGATTCTAAGCAGAAAAAGAAAATGCGCATGGGCCGCAGCTAAGCTCCGCTATCAAGATAAAATAGAGTTTTTTTGGTGCCAACGGCGCGTTTATTCTTTTTTGTTCTTATTTACCCCCCGCCACAAACAAAGCCCAGGAACTGGCCACAAACAGCGCATGACAACCGTTGTGATGGATTTGTTGGCTTCGAGAGCGTGAAAATGTACATACAGAGAGGCGGAACCCAGCTACTTTTCTGGCGGACCAGATCAACAACCTAACCATGATCACCTGTACATCAAGCAAGGAAACAACCCCACACTCATGGCGTGGCTTTCTCAGGTGGACATCACGACCCTTTGCTTCCCCTTCCTATGGTTGACGCCCTGTGTATAATTTGTTGGCCGCTGGCGCCGCTCCTGTGTCACACACGGAGACTGGAAGGGTCATTCTGCGAGCGTTCCAAACTTCCAACCTCTCTTTGGCCCTTGAACTGGGCGCATTATTGGCGTGTAACTTACCGAATACAGGTGCCAGGTCTCTCTCTCGTTCCTAGCTGCTCTTGTAGAGTTCCCGCAAGACGCCCATTTTGAAATAGTGGATGTCCGGGTTTGTGCGCCTATGAAATCGTTTGGTGCCGTTCGTCAAACGTTTGACGAATTAGAAGGCGCGACGGCGCAGCTGCGGCGTATCTGATTCCCGCAGGATTTAACGAGGGTCCCCGTCCTACTCTGAACAAAGTGCACCCTTTTCGCAGTGCGCGTCTGGAGCCACCTTACATTCTCAGAGCTGATTGGCCGATGTCTGATGAAGCTGTGCAACTTGTAACACACTTTGGAGGGTTCTTAATTACTGTTTTGGACGAGTCCCGCGCGCAGATTTTATTTTATGGAGTAACTACAAGGCCTGTGTATTAATCAGCTGACATACCACACATACAGTAGCCTCATGTCGTGAGATCCTGAAGTTATACGTACCTCTGTGCGTCAGATAATGTAACCTGGGTGAAGCATTGATTGCTATCAGGCTCTCTGATATAGCTTGTTGAACTTGTAGTACTACTAAAACCGTTCGATAATCTTTGGAGTTGACTTTGATTTTTCTGTGTGTCTGGGTGTAGCAAAAACCCAAGCGTTGCGACACCCACATGCAAAACGTTTGCGCTTGCAGTCTATCTCAATGGTCAAAGCTTCTTCGCATTGCATGTATGTAGGAGGAGGAGATCCAGTGGAGGGAGAAGGGGTACTTGCTTGTGAAAGTAGAGTAATGATATGCGACGCTTATGCTATACACTTTATTGAGCCTTCCGAAAAGCGAGTGCTCTAGTTTGTGTAGAATCTAAATACGTGCGGTGTATAAACCTATCTTAAGATTTTTGGTTTTAAGAGGCTTGCATTTGAATTTTGCCTCTATGGAATGTAGTTTAGCGGGATGATCGTGAAGGTTACTGAAGGTCTAAGCGAGCCCGTCAATGTTGCTTTGGCATCAATATGCCCTCAAAGTCGAAAGAAGGCCTTTTGATAGCTTTTTGCAATTAGGAGGTATTATAATAATTCAGATAATGTGGTAGGTGGGTAGAGAGAGAGAGAGGAGAAGGTAAAGCTTAAAACTTTTGGGACCGGGTAAGGCTTCCAACACTCGATGCTATTTGTGAAGTTCTTCTTCTCCTACATTGTCGTATGTTTTGAGCTCATGTTTATGCACAGAAACAGAGCCTCCCATCGCATTCTAGCAAGATGCATCATGAGGAGTTAAACACAGCTAGCTGGTATTAAACCTGGCTATTAACAGTATCAGTACAAAGCTTCAAACCTCGGTAGGGTTGTCCAAGAACAATGACTGCTGGCAAAAGCACATGATTGTAAGTTTCCTCTCTCTCTATGGACTACAATGAACCAAATAATGTACACAACCACTACGCATTGGAATGCATAGCAGATAGTACAGCACCGGCGAACATTGACAGCCAAGGATCAGAGCAAAAGTTCAGGATCTTCCGACATTGAGGAGACAGTGGTTACACTCAACGAATTCACAACTGATGCAAAACTTAACCTTTACAGATGACGGGAATCCGCAGAATCATTGGTTTCTTGCGCTGGACTCCCTCTTTTGTACACGTAACAGAACACTATACGTTACACAGACTTCCTTTCACATAAGTGAGTATACTTCCGCGTACTTTGTTGTCTGGTACCAAAGAAGATATTCGTGCCTTCTGTATTATCGACTTGTTGATGCTTTGTTGCCCAGCATTCTTTAGTTACTGTTGACACCCTTTAGAAGTTGAATGTAACCCATTTCAGAACAAGAATTCCCAGCTTCTGCATATTGAAAGAACCATCAATTTCTTTTGAGCTTCACTTGAGGATATCACAATACATATAGTAGCGTTGCTTTCAGAATGACGTTATTCACATATACCACTTTGCTCTGAGACATTGTTTCCTTTCAAATCACATTTTCCTGTACAGCTGGTAACATCAAGGGAAAGGTTTTCCGACAGATCGCTGATGAGGTAGATTACTGTCGATTCACATTACCATTTCTGGATGTTGGTTAACGGAAATTCTCGATTTCACCTGGCAATAGGCATTGGGCTCTCATAGACATTAATATTCCATCTATCTTGAGAAATTGGGTCTAGGTGGTGCTTCTGGGTTCATCTTATAAGAGTCTTGAACCTTCTTCAAATTATGTGTGAGTTTTCTTCATCTTTCAGAAGAGTCATTCAAGACGGTATGGCACATTCAAGTCACCAGCGATTTTGTTCCACCGTACAATTCAGACGTATAAGCTTTCGAAAGTTTAGAGAAGTCATTATTAATCACTAAGGGGAGGGAAACTCCAGTATAATTTAACAGATGACTATTCCCGCGGGCTTCGCTTGGCTGCCAATAACTCTGATCTCACAAGAATACCACATATTCCAGCAACTCCAAACCCATATACGTGTGCAAATGGTACACAACTTATCCAACTACAAGCCTGTACATTCTGAAAACACTGTAGAAATTATACCTGAATGGATTGCAAAACGTCTATTACAAACGAAACAGTGTCTCGAACCGACAGGCCCCGTCGAGGTCTGGATGAACGACCGGTTATCGTACATCATCGTACGCCAATTGCAAAGGTTGCACCTCAAAGCGCAGATACAAACGGTAGACACACGGCACTGGTAGCCGAACGACACCTGGCCGCAGTAGGGCAGCTGCAAGTTTTGTGTCAAGCGTGGACGAAAAACGAAAACAACCATGCACAAAGGCTTACAACTCTAAAGCGAATAAATATAGTTGATTAATATCGAGAAAGCGTGTCAGGCACAGCATTCAGCAATTACAATTTGGCGAATTTACATGTGGTAGATCCAAATTATGTCATTTCTCAAAGAAAAAAGAACAAAAAACAAACTAACTAACTAACTAAGCAAACGGTGGGATTGTCTCTGACCAAGGGATCCAGCCCATGAGGATATATGGTGTTCAAAATGATCAGAGGACTCAGTGAGACCAGATTCGACCAATAGAGAGAAGAGCTATCACTTGATAGTCTTAAACACCAAGAACAGAGGAACTGTGGGATGAGTGGTCGCCACTCATGTGCTGAGTCAAAGCCTTCTCCTCATCAACATTGGTTTGAGAACCTCTCAGGGTCTCTTCCTGACCATTATTCAATCCATGGAGAGAGCCACACAATCCCTTCTTGAGCTTGTCTGGTCTGTAGAATCTCAAGTCAACACGACCAATGAGGTAAGCAAGATTGATGATGGTTTCAAGCGCACCGAACATAATGTACATGACGGTGTTGTCAAAGATCCAAGATTGGTTAGCATACGTCTGGTCGATGAAAGTTGAGACGCATCTGAAAATCGAAGAGATAAGCAGGATAATGGTGGTCAAAGCAATGATGGCAATGGATGTATTGTGAGTCAAGGTACCCTTCTTCGAGGTTACGGATTGCACCTTCTCCAAAGTATTGTGGTAGTGAGTAGTTGATGGGATGATTCTGACAGCATCCTCAGCGGATGGTTCACGAATGGCAAAGGTCTCTTCAGCCTTTTGGCACGCATTCTTCTTAACGTAGTAGAAAAGACCAAAGCTCTCAATCCACCAAGGTTGGTAAGTCCAGATCTTGTCCGATTTTGGAGTTGGCTTGATGAGGAACGCACCAATCACCAAGTTGATGGCCAAGACGGAGTAAAGGACACAGAGCACTGCGGCAGCACGAACAACTTGCTTGCACATTGTATAGTGGTGCTCAGACAAAAAGTAAATGTAAGGAATAAGAGCACCCAAGATGGCCATGACAACCACACCGGTTACAACGGTGTAGACGATTATCATACACGCCCAGAACCAATTCTTGGAACCAATGTGAGGGTGGCGCCATGTAAAGATTCTCTGTGCCAAAACCAAGTTGAAACTGGCCAAGAGCACGATGGGAACAATGATAAACACCTCAGATGCCATTCCCACTCTTAAACGCTGAATATCATCGGCCCAGGATATTCTCATGGCAAACCCTACAACTCTCATGAGCGTGTAAAAGGCAAACCCAATCGAAAGCCAAAATTTATGTCCTCTAGACATGTTCTTCAGAAACACATAGCTGTGTGCAATGAAAAAGATTGCAAAAATAGCTGTGAAGATTGCACTCGGTGCTATGTCATCGGATGTCGGGTAGTCACCAAAGATGGCAATCTGCTGACTCAAGGAGTACTTCACGAGGTACTCCGGGACGGTGCCTCCAAACATGTCCTGTGCCATAGGCAACAGCTTGAGGATACCTGTGCCGCTGGCGGCACCGTTTGTCATGGAGTGAAGCAGTGATGTAATCCCATCCATTGTTTATCGGAGTATGTGTATTGGTTATCTTATTGCAAATATTTGTTAGGAAGGCTCAGTAGAAGTGGTGGAAATGGGGACTTTGAAGCGTACTTATATACTGGAGATGGCATCAACTGCAATTCTTGGGAAACGGATGGAGGAAATATCAACGGACTCTACAGAGCGCGTATGTTGCATGCTGTGTGCTGTGTGCAATGATGGATCACAAGGCCTCCAATTCCCCTCCCTTGCGTTTTCTTGGACTAGTCGAATCATAGTGAGTAGGTATACATTACACTTTCCCTTCCGGTTATTGTCACCTGTCCGGGAGACTTCATCAAGTGTAAGCAAGCTCGCGTCAAAATTGCTTGTCCAGAACAACTCAGCGTCTGCATTTAGACTCCAGGTCTTGCCCGCCCTGGACTGGCAAACAGTGGATGATGTTTGCCAGACGCCTTCTCCTGGGCTTCACCGCTTTCTCCCATGGAGTCTCCCCTCCACCTCCAAGCAGTTGTGGGTGGTGCTCAGGCCTCCAATACGTACCCCTCAATGCAATGAGATTACATGAGTTTGTTGCAGATGGAGACACGGAGCTAACTCAACGGTCAGGTTTCAAGGCCGTGGTAACATGGGCACCTTTGTTCGTCCCTACAAACAAAGCAAGCAAAGGTGCTGCTTGCTGGTAACTGCTAAACGAGAATAAACACGCCATCGTCACCTCGACCCAACATTTTCAAGACAGTCTCGTGTACCAAGCTCTCGTCTAATTGCTGGATAAATTGCTGGATAAATTGTGGACTGTTGCCGGGATTCACTTACATCACGGCATGATACGAGCACCGTCAGCTGGCCTTCTTTGCTTATTGGCACATAAATAGCAGTTTCTTTTTGCTGCTGGCTTGGAGCACAGCAGTCATAGTTGTGGGTGAATTGATCTGCAATGATGCGAGCGGATAATAGCGGACTCGTGCGGGCTGTACAATGTCTTAGCCATTTGCTTTTCTTATTTTGCTAACTGGGTTGTATGCGTGGAGAAAGCCTTGGACGTCAGCTTGGGCGTTGGGGGCATGAGAAGTTACAACCACGTAGGTCGCTCTGGGGGAAATTTAGTGGCATAACTACTGGTGGTGAAGCGCTGTCAAGGCATCAAACGTATCGTCTTAAGCAGCTTGGAAGACGAGTGTAGTCTCTGCAAGCTTCAGAGAATGAGTGTTGCGGTGTGTGCTTCGACGGAAGGAATTAGAAGGAGATAGGAGCGGTGTAATTAGCGACAAGGATCGTCAACTCTTGGTCCACATTGCTTAGCGGATTAATAATGAAGCAGCGGGGGGATTCTATTGCCCGTGGGACTAGAAGATAGGATTGGAGGTAAAACATCCTACTGATGAAGATAAGACGGGTAGAGCTACACGCACAGGAAGGCCAGGATTCGTACTAAAACAGAGAGAGGTGGTGCTCGCACGAGCAACAAAGGCCAAAATGTGGGGAAAATAACCCTGGAAGCCTGTCACACCCGCCACCTCCAACTTCGACACTTTCCATTTCGTAGACCAAACGAAGCAGTCACGGGCATATGGAACGTGTGTGCTTATGATATTTTTTCTCTTAGAATGCCACTTAATCTACGCAAGAGTTCAGGTTGTGCCACAGGATAAGATGAAAGTTTGACATGGGGTAAGTCAGAGATTCACGAGGAGTTGTTCAGAGATTGACGTGTCTATATGCAGGCTTTCTGGACTTCACACTTTGGATAGGACAGAATGTTGAAGCACTCATGGAACAGCGTGAAAGAACCAGGGATGAAACCGGGATTGGCAGATTCACGACAGTGGTTGCGTTCCTGTTGCACGAGCCATGTTGCGAGAAGAAGCTCATCAAATTACATACATACGTCCACTTTTGTTAGGGCCTCGTGCCGCACAGGGAAAGGATGGCGGAGAGTGTGGGCCATATCGGACTTGGTTGTATATATGGTGGGCATGAGGAAACATCCGTCATTGCTTTATGATATCTTCATACACTGATGCGCGAGGTTGAGGATATTATCTCCATATTTGCTGATCTCAGCATTTGAGGTGGGATTACGATACGAAGGATCAAAGGAGGTGGGGGTCGTCCTTACCAGTCCAGCTTGTGAAGGACTATTCTCACCAGAACATCCGGCTCATTTACGAAGGACACATGCTGAGACAAAGATTGGCACTATTGTATACCAAGTCCAGGTTTGCGCAACTGTACGGAGCCGACAGTTACTGGGTTAATTGGCTCTGGGCATCTTCCTGTCTTTGTTGTGCTCACTAGTGGTTCTACATTGTCTTGATCCAAGTAACTTTTGGCTTCTTGCACAGGAGGAATGATTCATCAAATGGCTAGATGTGCTAAAGGCTATCAAACTCAATTGATTGAGCCATTCTCTGCACATTATCCTTGTTGCATCAGGAGCCTGTAAACCATTAACATGTCTTAATGAACCGTTAAGTCCCAGCTTTCACTTCTAGAGCGATCCATAAAATAGGCCCTCCCACTAATGGAGGGCTTCATTGGCATCGTAGAGAATATTTCTTGTCGTGCTGAATGGGTAACAGATGACAGTCACTAGGTTAGAAAGTCTACATATCTTGGCCTCTACGCAGTAAATTTTACAAATAAATCGGTCCCGTATGTTCAGCAACCAATGGCACCACACTATCTAAGCTTCGTTCATCAACTCAGTGTTCACCATCATAATCAAGACAAGTGCTGCTTCCATGCTGTGTCTACCTCCCACTAGAAGAGCGTATTACATAATCAATGTCCGATGTCCGGATGTTGTGTTTCGAAGTTTGGGTGGAGCAACAACCCATTTCAACTTTTAGCCTACACAAGCAATACACACAGGTACAACAAGGTGTTATCAATTGACGAGATGTCGCAAGAAACTGAGCAGCCATCTGCCGAGAAGATTGTGGGGTACTTCAACAGTGCCCTGAAGGAGCTTAGAGTAAGCTTTATGTTGTATGTCCTCGTATGTGCCGAGATACTAACACCTTGTCCAGGAGACAGATGACTATATCTCCTACGCCACTTTGCTGGATGTTTACCTGTCCGATACTTCACGGTTCTCGAGTGCTGAGAGAACCCTGTTGATCAAGGGCTTTTACAAGATCCTGGAGGACAATGTGGATATTGTAGAGGAAATTGGATGGGATATTCCCGAGTTATTGCTGGATCTATTTGATTTGGATTGGTGTTATGGTGATAACAATGAGGAAAAACAGGCCATTAGGCTCATCATGCGTGGGTTTGAGATCGTTGCAAAGAATGGTAACCCCAAGGAGACGTTCTTGAAGAGTATTGAATTGCTCAACGATTTGGATTTCTCTCACAACGAGGGCAAGGATGAATTGATCTTGGACCTCAAAATTTATGCACTGTTGGAGCTTGTATCAAGTTCGTTGAAGCGTATTAATACCATTTACCCTTCAAAGTTCCTTTCCATGGCACTGAGTGCGCTGTTGAAGGCGTACTCACAGTACCTGAAACATACAACGCTGACAAGGTTTATCGCTCGTCGTTTGTATTCATTTGCAAGAGATTATATACCACCTTTGAAACCAGCTGAGTATTTAGAGGAGCATGGTATCTCGCAAAAGGAGGCCCAGATGATCGACGACGATGAGAACTATCTGCAACGTACACTGTTACAAAGTTTCATTACGAACGTTGTTGGCTTAGCTACAAAAGAACGGTCTCTTTCGTTCAGTGCAAAATTCTGTAACGACTTGAAATTGAAATGTACTGGTCAAAAGGTTACACATGAGCGTGGCGATGAAATCATTACGTCAACCACGGATTGTTTCCTTCGTATACTGACACTCTCTGAATCGTTTGACATGGATATGTACGACGAATTTGAAAAACTGAAGAAAGATTCCATGTCATTGCTCTCTAAAGTTGTTGACTCCAAGAGTGACGATGCCCAGATTCAAGATTATGTTAAAATCTCTGTTAGCAACAAGATTGAAACTATGTACAATCCGCAGTCAAAGACCATCCCACTCAACGATGTCGGTGTCTTATACTTGACTGTACTTGAGTTCTATGAAAAGGACCAAATCCCAGATCTGACAATCCAAGAGGCCATTGCTCTTCACTTGCGATTCCTCTCGCCTGGGTTGTTCTCTGAACAATTCAAGTCCAAAGGTGCCTTGGATGGTGCTCTGTTTTATGACTGGGCTGCGATCACACACGCAACACCAGAGCAATTGGCCAAGGTTCCACATTACCAAATAATCCTGTTTCTACAAACCATAGTCTATTACTCTTCCACCGATGACGATGAAGTTTTCCGTTGGACAGCATATACTTTTTTGGTTCGTGTCCTGTGTATGCTTGAGGAGTCCATTGCTTACAACTTTCTCATTGATACGTTAACCACTGCTCCATTTGACAATGCCAAGGCCGCAGTGATTAACATCTTGAAGGATCTGTGCATTAGAACAAGACCGGATGTTGATTCACTTGCAGAGAAATTGCAAGATGCATCATTAACCGAATCAAAAGAAAGAACAACAAAGCCGGCTCTTCCACAGAGACGTTATATTCATTTATCTATTGACCGTACTGATGATATATACGCGCTGATTCGTGAATGTATTGATGAAACGTTTGACGAAAAGGTACAGTCCGTTGATACGAGCAAGTTCAAGATTCTTTTGGGATATTTGAACTTTTTGGTGGGTGTTAAGGATCAATTCCCAAAGAACAAGATCAAAGAGATCGTGGTCCTCACTGAAGACAAATTAGCAAAGGCACCATCTACAGAACTCGACGATGACGCTGCCAATTTGGAGTTCGCCTCTATGGCTTGTGACTTGTTAAACAAGTTTTTAGACAGCAGTAACACATCATTGTAAGTAGGAGTTAATACACAGTTTTCCATTAAAAGTGGTTTATGTACAATCATGAAGCCGTCTATGACGACGTGGTGGCGGGCTCTCCGTCCTGTGTGGTATGTTCCACCGGAGCAGGAGTAGCTGATGATGCTTTACTTGCCGATGCTTTAGTTGTTGACGTTGATTGTGATGGTGCTGGTGCAATTTGTACTGCTTGTTTGTTAGTTGCCTGCCTTTTACGCGACGTTCCAGCATTATTAGTCGTACCGGCAACACGTTTTCTTGTTCTTTTAACTGTCCCATCTGCCCTCTCAATGACAGCGTTTTTACCTTCCTCAACCAATGGACCCCAGTATACAAAGAACCCATCTTTTGTAGATGCTCTCTGCTCTTCCCAAAGCGTTTCAGAATCATCAATAAAGGGATCCTCGTAGTCATATTGACCAATCTTGGGCTTACCCTTTTGTAATCTTCTCTTGTCAATCTTGACAGGTACCTTTGGCACCTCTTCATGCTGTTCTTGATCGTCATCCATTGCATCGTTGTCATCGTCTTCATCCAATTCATCGTCGTTGTACAGATCCATGTCGAACTTTGAGGCATTTGGATGAATTGCCTTCCATCCGTACTTATCCTCACACATCTTCATAACGTTGAACACCACCTGGGTGGATCCAAGCGATTCGTCTTTAGAGAACAGTGGCACATGGATTGCCACTATTGGTTCTTCCTTCGATGTCGGCTTCGTCGTGGTGTCCACCATCTGCGGCGGAGGTAAAGAGGATGACGGATTAGGCTTCTTCAAAGATTGATTTTGCAGTTCGTTAAAAGAGAGCACCGGCTTCTCGGGCTCAGGCTTATCCACAGAAGGCGTGACTGAGGTTGAGGTGGTGGTCTTCTTTGTCACTTTCTTCTTGGTGTTGGGGTCAGCAGGCTTCCTTTTCCTCTGAACTTTGGGCTTATCCTTCGTGGAAGATGGCGTTGCGGTTGTAGCAGTTGCTGGTACCTCTGCATTGGATTGTGGGAGCGTTTCCGCTGCGCTGGTATTTGCAGCTTCTGATTCAACAGCTGTTGTAGTATCAACAGCATTTGTGGTATCAGCTGTAGAAGACATGGACTTCACAGCGGTCTTTGCCGTTGGAACATCGTCATCAAGGTTCATGAGGTTGATGATGCTTGGTTGCATCGTCTTTTTCTTTGGATTCGCAGGGACATCGTTGACGGTGCGTATTAGCTTGATTGTCTGCTGGGATGATTTGGTGCTCTTCTTCCGTGGCGCAGCTTTCGGCTTTTCCTTGGGAGCCTCAACCTCATCACCTTTGTCAGCCATGGGTGATTGTTCTAAGATCTCGACACTATCATCATCATCATCATCATCATCATCATCATCCTCTTCATCACCATTATCAGTATTATTGTTGTTGTTATTATCATCATCATGCGCATCATTACCACCGCCATTGGTGCCATCATCACCGCCTTGGGGCTTTGGCACTTCCTTCTTCTTCACAGACTTCTTTAAGGCCTTAGCGCTGCGTTGCGATGCCTGTGGCACACTTTTCTTCTCTTCCGCTGACGATGAAGAGAGTATCGAGGCAATGGCCACTTTCGTACGACGGGGCCTTGCTGTTTTTGCCGGCTCCGCACTGGCAACCGTAGTGGCATTCCCCTGTGGCCCATCATCAACAACTATAACGTCATTATCTTCACCTAGCAGGGACGATATAGAGATTCCTATTGGGGTCAAGTCCCGCTGTTAGTGGGCTGTCGAGATCGAAATACCCAGGCCACGCCAGGAATGTATCACACGGCCAAACTCACCTTTGCCTTGGGACATCTGAGTATTGTCCTCCGGAGCCGTTGCTATCTAATTAATGCGGTAGAATTTGAGTGCGTGATGTTGATCAACAACGCTACCACCTTTTTTCCTCTCTCTTTCTCCCTTCTGCCCACCCCTTGAATTTGCCCAATTTATCACCGGTTCCCAACTTTTAAAATGTCCAACTTTCCGCACAGCCAATGTCTCTGCAATTTCCCTCTCCAATTTCGCACTCTTCCTACCCTTGTTATTCCGGCAAATTTTAACAAGCCATCATATCGCCCACGCGGCCCACACTTGCAAAAAAAACGTAGACACGCACAGCACCGCTGTAAAATTTCAGGCCGGCGCGCAGCGCTCGCGCGCGGCCCTACGCCTCTACGTACAAAACTTGTAGTGTGTGTGTTTTTTATGAGGAGTTCACAGTTGTTTACTGCTGTCCCTACCGATAGGTGTCGTTATGCACTAGTCTGCGGTGTGGGTAGTAGTGGTGGGCAGGAAGGAGGGGGTAGTGGTCCGTTTCTATGGATACAGTAGGGGAACTGCTGGGCTCTTCTGGTAAGAATATGGTTGGGTAAAACTACTGAATAATCATCAAGATGTGGATTGGTAAGTAAAGGACTCTGCGAGGAGTCTGTAGAGAAGCCACGTTATGTTGGTTGCGGGTCTACTTGATCCACCACAGCTTCTTCTATAAGCCTTTTGGTCTTGTAGTTCCTTTTCTGTTCTGACTTTCTTGGTCGTCCTCTTCCTCTCTTCTTCTCAACCTTGGGAGGCCGTTTATTGGAAGCATACGCGATCATTTGCCTCTTCTTAGAGACCTTTTTGATCGCCAACACAGTGTCGTGATCGCCTCTTAACGCTTCAATCGCCTTCAGTAGTAGTCCTTTGTTGAATGTATGCACCGCTGACCTGGAACTTTGAGACGCCGTCTTCCGTATGATACATCTATTGGCCTTTGACAAACAGCTCTGGTATCTGAATACTGGTGGGCAGTAGCTGGAGTTCTTCTTTCTACTATCGTCATAGAGAACCTCTTTGGCAAATATGGACAAGGATGGGATAAGGGCTTGGCCGTTGTGGGCCCTTCTCATTTTCACACAAGTAATATGTGGACATTCGAAGAATGTATACGCTTGATTGCGACAGTGGGAACAGCTGTATGTAGACTTTACTTCCATTTTACCCTCCTTTGAGATGGTGTATCGCTTCTCAGTAACAACGGCTGTTCTGAATCGCAATTGATAATAAGCATAGGCACGAAAGTTGATAAACGAATCACATCTTCCCATCTTCTTTGTATAAACTCTCAGCACCTTCAGAAGCTCATAAACAGACAAATCACAGTCCCACGACACACTATGCTCGTGAGTCTTCATTTGTGTTCCAGGTGAACTCTCATGAACAGTTACACTAGTCTCTTTGCTATTTAGGCAAGAAGAAGTGATAATGGTTGTTGAGTACAACAATGAACCATAGTTTGTGAGCATCCCGACATCTTCTGGTTCTTCCTCTTCATCAACAGAGTCACTCGTGTCGTCTAAGTCGCTCGCGTCATTCATTTCATCATCATTTCCGGTCACCAGTCTCACTTTATTCCAATCAAGGGTCATAGACTCTGTGATTTTCACCTTCTCACACTGCATGGACAGCAGTTCGACAATGAGGTTGGTTGGGTTCAATCGTCTAAATGCGTACATCTCTGCATTCAAAATCTCGCAATGATTGGATGTCATGATATCAAACCTTGGAGTTACCGAATTGTAAAGTTGAAGACCTCTAGCACAGTCTTGCGTGTTGGTGATGAGATTATAAGTACTGTTAACTTTCTCCCTCTGATGCCTCTCAAAGAAAACCCCCTTCATTGTTTCTTGGATTGATGGGATCTTTTCTGGATCAGATTCAAATATCAACTGGAAAAAGCTATGTTGCATAACCTTTCTGTGCTTTGCCATTGTGTACTTTAAGAGTTTTCCTTCGACGTGTTTGGAGCATACGAAGCTCTCAATCGGAACACCACATTGTGTTCTCAACATATCCAAGGCCTTCTTGATACCCCTATCCTGATCTGATATGATTTGTAATGGGGGAATGCTCTCATCAGTGATCCTATCATCATGCAATTGCATAGATTCTCGTAACTTCTTCCAATGTGATCCACCCTTCTTCTTGAAGAATGTGTATAGGAAAGTAAACCAGTCAAATCCACACTCTGCATTCTTTGAGAGCATCATACCCAGGGGAACAAGTCCCTTGGACCCAGCTTGGCCAACAATAGTGTATAATGTAAGAAAGTCATCTTTGTATCCCTGACCATTGTACAACGACCAATTGCAAGCATCTAATGAGAGTGTTGGTACTATGCTTTCGTAGAACTCGTCATCAATAGAGTTGGAGAAATAGATGCACTTGACTTCATGTTGTGAATAAGATATTAAATCGAATGCTGCTGTCAGCTCTGAGGACTTTACAGCAGCTTTCAATGTCTTTGTTGCTTTGTCAGGATTGAAATTTAGTTTCTTGTCACACGCCTGTGCAGACCTCTTCTTATTAGAAAGAACTGTCAGATTGTTGAGTGCTGACCTCTCACCCTGAGAATCGGCTACAGGACCATTTTCGGGGTGATCACTATTGGCGTCTTCCAATTGTTGTAAAAACTCGTCCTGTGCCTTTTCCCATTCAACATTTGTATCACTAACACTTGGTCCATCTACATCTGTTGTTGAAGCACAGTCACTCTCTACTTCTCGCTGACGCCCATCTCTTCTCCAGTCAGAAATTATTCTGGAGAGCTCAGTCGCATCCTCCTTGCTTAGGATGTTGTCGATATACCTGTTATCCTGTAGAAGTAATGCTATCTCAAAGTGCTTCAAGCCCTGTAGAAGGTCTTCACTTTCTTGATTGTCTTGTACAACATCATGAGCTGTCTGGTTGTTGCTCATATCGCTATCTGTATGTGAAGTTGAGAGTGCAGTCAATAACAACTGTATCATGTATTCTCCATTCGCCGTTCTATCTGTGACTTTGGAAAACGATGTCCCCGACAAGGCTCTTTTTAGAGAGTCATACATTTGTGCATTTAGTGGTTTGGTGGTCGACTCAAATCGAACCTGGCATATATCTTCTATTTCCTCCTCTGATCTGGTGTAAATGTTGTTCAAGATGAGATGAGTCGCTGTGAGTGTGAATTTTCTCTGATATGAATCATCTTCAGGAGGCCGAGATACCTTCAGAGTTGTTTCATCTGCGTCTTGAAGCCATTCAAATATCGCTCTACCAACGCTGGAAAGTGAGTGGGATTTTATCTTTGAATAGAGCAGATAGTCTTTGAGACAACCGAAACTATCGATCTCTACTCCATCTTTGTTTGTACCAAAATAGCCATCACACCTCAGCAGTTCAACAACTCTCTCTAATTTAGGACTCCTAAGCTCTTGCCCTTCAGTAGTGTCTCTAGAAAGTACCAGTTTGATCAACTTTGGAACCTCACAACAATGTCTCTGTTCGATATTACCGACTGAGCATTGTATGTCAAAATCTAAGACCTTGGTATAACAAAATGAACACCGTGCGATATACCTATTGTTTGGTCTTTGTACAAGGGATACAAAGATACCAAGCTCCAATAGACAGTATATGTGAATAGCTTGTTGTAAGCTGTGCAAAGACGATGGCCTCTCCTCCACAACGGTGCCTTTTGTTTGCCTTCTCTTGATTCCTTCGTTAATGAGAGACTTTGCGGTATCCAAAAGAAAGCTTTTCAAACTAGTTCTGCCTCCATGCAAAGTAGAGTCAAAAGTTGACTGTTGTAGAAAAACATTGTCCTCATTAGATGATGGTTTATCTGCGATGTTTGTCTGGTTTGCCTCACAATTCTCAACATCGGGCACCATTTGAGTTTGGACTTCAGCAAGAAAATCAACATCTTGATACCAAGAAGTATCTGACATCATGCCCTGATGACACATGTTGAACTCGACAAAGCGTCTTCTCAAATCACTTAATACATTTCCCATATTGAAAGAAAAGATGTTTTCGAGATTGGTCAACGTCTCAATACACGCTTGGAAATGATGTTTGCATTGTACGAGATGGTCCTTTAGGAGCGCTTTCTCTTCCACCGGTGAAGCTAATATTTTCTTCTTCACAGATGCAAGCATATCGATCATCCGAGGAGATAGGGACATAACGATGTCCGGGTCTGGTAGAGACATTAGGACTGCCAATGATCTGTATTAGCCACACATATTTGATGTTTTGTGTGTGGATTTGTTTACGTTCTCTCTTGGAATTTTTCGCGTTTGTTTCGTGTTTTTACCATGAGATTTGTGTGTGGTGTGCGGGTGAAAGAATTCGGGACTACAGATGCTAATGATATCTCGCTTGATTTGTACTGATTTAGTAGGGTGACGAGGTTAGAGGGGTCATAGCTTTTCAATGATTTGATAGAACCATCAGAGCATCTTTGTTAAAGAGTTGGCAACGTATAAGTTGTTTGATTTACATTTAACAGGTTATTTTTTTAGTTAATATTATATCTTTGCATTTCCTTGCCTTATTCTTCTGAGTTCATGATAATGTTGTGTTGTCTTCTTCAAAATTTACCCAGAGGCTTCAGTATAATCTAGGAATCGCATACTAATGAAACTCAATATTCTTATATCCCCAATCCCGCTATTATAATGAAATTTGCAAGTGCTTTTACCTTGGAAGTTTGTGCTACATTCATGCTGTTTTTCAGGCACTAATAGCACGATGATGGTAGTGTTAGAAACGGCACAACCTTTTGGCTCAATCGTCAGAATGAGGTATCTGATGCACTCTATGCATCCAGCGCAGTAACTGTATAATGATGTGAGGTCGTCGTAACTGGAAAATAGCACCTTTTTCTGTATTATTCGGTAACTTCCAGTACTCTTCTGTGTGGTGGTTTCTCCCATGTTGAGCCGCAATACGGCCAACACATACAATCTCACAGCATTTCACTGATCTACAAAGCTTGGGCTCCACGAGTAAAGTACAAGGAGAGATACGAAGATATTTATCTGATGAAATCACTTCTTGTCTTCAAAACCAAGCATGAAGGATAGCGTCATATTTCTTGAACCGAGGCATTCACATTGGAAAGAGGAGGATTCCGCTCAGCCGAGTGTAAGTAACTCGTCGCATATTCTAGGATTTTACTCACCAGTTTGAAACGAGTAAACCAGATACCTGTTATTTATCCTCACACAAATATCAGCTGTGTATTCCATCCGCTTTGCTTTTATCTCACAAATAGATCCCTCCTAGTGCTATAACACTCTTTTTGGTATTCAATAAGTTGGTGAACTACAAGATTTTCGCTTTCTCAAACTCGTTTATACCACCAGTCTCCTAAAATTGCACACGAAATATATCTTGAGATCACCCCATCACCAATTATGGCAGAACATATAGCTTAGACTACTAAGCAATTCATTTCTATCGACTCATTGATCTTGCTGTTCTGTATACTACCATTCAATATTTATATGCGTCATGACACATAACCTATGCACCAGATTGTTTTTTATGGGGCGTGTGTTGCGCTTTTTTCTATTTTTCAAAGAATGTGAACAAGTTTGGACCTTTTCGCGTTTGTAGCATATATAAACAAAAAACATCCAAACACCTCTATCTCTGGTTATGCACGGTCCAGCTGTAACTTGTCGTTGTAGTAACCCAATTTACCCAGCTTAAGGTAAGTATCCGTTCCGTAACCCTTCATGGAGTGTAGCACAACGTCACCGTTCCAATAATCTGCGTAGACTTTGCACATGGCCAGTCCCAGCCCGAGTTTAGACTCTGCAGGTCTTTGGATCAGGTTAATCAACGTCTTCTCCTTCATGTAGTTATCGTCAATACCACCCACTGACGTGTTCATGAGAGATTCCCTAGCCTGCGTCACATGATCGGCCTGACTGGTCTGAGGCTGCGTACATAGTGCCATCTTGTGGAAGTTGCCCAAGGAGGCTCTCGCAAGGGTCGGATCCTTAGCAAAAGACCACACTTTGCCAATAGGCTCTATTGGCACACCACCACCACGGTCACTGAATCTGAAGGCAACGTGGTCTTTGTTATCTATGAGACATACAGACACCGGTGGTGGTTGGTCCGTCTTGTGGTTTGGATTGTGGCTGACAAAATGGGCCATTGTTGCTTCGTACGAGTTTCTCAGGATTTCACCAAGCATGAAGTGTAAGTGTGGTGTTAGAAATTGGAACTGGAGGTCACTGTTACCTTCAATGACCAGCTCTGGCATCTTCAAACCGGGATATAGGTTTTCTGTGAATTTGGAAGCGTTCTGAGCAGTGATCTCGAGATGGTCTCTAGCTGAGCACTTGAAGAAAATATCACCAATCTCGTTGTGAGTCTTCTGATCCTTTGAGGTAGAGTGTGTCTTTTTATCCTGGTAGTTCTTAGTCAAAGACAAGTGCTCCTCAATGATCAGACGCCTCGAGATTCTAGCTCTAAGTAATGAAGAAATGAGTTCGTCGAGCTGATTTCTCGGTAGCGACGACAAGATGGAACATTCTAAAGCACCCATCATCAAGTTCGGCAAGTTCAACAAATTAACATCTGTTAGCACGTTCTCCAACATTGCACAAAATGCATCGTTATCCTCAATGGACTTTACCTCTGGGAACTTTCTGAATGTCTCAAAGATATCGTAATATGACTCGTAAACTTTTGCTAGATGGAAGTTGTTCACCACCTCAAAGGGCAGCTCCTGAAGCTCAATCAATTTCCTGGCGATTCTGATGGGCAGCTCTAATCGCACAAAATTTGCACTCATGATGATCTTTTGCTTGGTAAGCGAGCGACCATACTGTGCCAAATGCATAAGCGTCACAGGATGTGGTGTCTTTTGCGACCATGTCTGTAGTACTGTGTTCTGGTAATAGTGTTGAGGGTTCAGATAGGGCGAATGTACGGGATAAGGCCCCAAATCTGAAAGGTGGGACGCAACCTCACTGATCGAGATGTTTGGTATCTGGGCAATATTGTACGACAGCGTAGAGAGGCGTCTCTGCGCCAAATTCCTGGTCAAAGTCCTTATCATGGCTTATGTTTCTTGTTGAATATGAACTTGCTCTATCGTAATATACTGATCTAAAGGGCAAATTAAAGAGAGAAAGAGGGAGAAATCAGTTTCAAATTCAGTCCCAACCCACCTCACCTGTTTTTTATGGGAAGCGGTACTCTTACACAATGGAACAGGACCTGGGGAATTGGACCAACGGGACTTTTCGTTTTTTTTTGGCTTTGTCGTGAGTGAAAACTCCTCCCAGATTCTAACGGTAAAGTATAGAGAATTATGTAGTTGTGAGAGACCGAAATGAGCCCCCCTGAAAGATAAAATCGACGGCTTTGCAGTGTCGTGTTTCGATAGGAACAATGTTGTTACACTACGAGCTTTGACCAATTGGTTCAAACTCGTGAATCAGCTATTGCTTTCAGTCGTAGGAAAAAATGGCGAAAAAGAGTCATCGAAGACGAGAGAGACCAAGGAAGATCATGCATTTGATTGCGCTGTTTCGCCAGATACGGTAATTCGTTTCGCTTTTGGTAAAGTTTCGTTTCTTGCGCTTTTTCGCAAAAGGGCAAGCTCACGAAATCCCGTAGTTGCCTTTGTGAAAAGCGAAAAACGCGAGCCATTTCGCAAGAGTTTTTCTCTAAAGGGCAATGACGCTGTTTTGGACGGGACTTCTGGTTTTATTCTGCGACATTGCCGAGTTTTCCTTTAGCACGAAAATGGCGATGGCGAAAATGGCGATGGCGAAAATGGCGATGGCGAAAATGGGAAAGGCAAACACACCCAGACACCACGCTCCAGCGACGGTAAAGTACACAGCGTGCGCACACGCGACGAAACAAAAGCACAAGCCAAAACTCCCAGTTGAACCAGCGAGCCCACTACAAGCCAAAGAAGTGAAGTGACCAGAGGCCACCAACTCATATAGAGACGACAGACGACTAGACAAGGCTACATAACGTGAAAGATGTCCACACCTGCACGCCGGAGATTAATGAGAGACCTTAAGGTGAGTTATCAGTTTGCCACTTGGTGGATGTTCACAACATGCAACTAACCCGATATCTCTCAGAGACTCCAATCGGATCCACCAGAGGGTGTGTCAGCGACACCGTTACCTGAAAATGTCATGGTTTGGTAAGTGATATGTGCTTGACTGAGATGGACTCTGAACACTAACAAAAAGGTTGCATAGGAACGCCATCATAATCGGACCAGCAGATACCCCATTTGAAGATGGAACCTATCGTCTACTCATCAATTTTGACGAGCAATACCCTAATAAGCCACCGAGTGTGAAGTTTATCTCTGAGATATTCCATCCAAACGTGTATGCCAGCGGTGATCTATGTCTTGATATTCTTCAAAATAGATGGTCTCCGACATTTGACGTGTCGTCGATATTGACATCGATACAGTCGTTGTTAAACGATCCGAATATCTCATCGCCTGCTAACGTTGAAGCTGCAAACTTGTACAAAGACCATACTGCGCAATACGTGAAAAGGGTGAGAGAAACTGTGGAGAAGAGTTGGAATGACGAGATGGATGATGACGATGACGATGACGATGACGACGACGACGACGAATGAGTAGTCCGATCGCCATACCTCACATATATTACTGGCATTCTACATGGACTCACTACTATTTAACTAACATACAAAATCATCCATTTCTCTTTTTAATAGTCTATCTGAGCCACAAGAAATACCACTTTTTAGAATTTGATCTTTCGAGTTGTAATTGCCTTTCCTCTAATTCTTTCTGTTCACGTTCCACATCTTGTTGACGTTTAATATCAGCCAAGAGTAAAGGAGATTCTGGAACATCTATCACCATCCCATCTTCTCCAATGGTCTTATCCCTATAAAGCGCAAGCAACGAGATGATTAGTGCCAAATAAACAACGGTTTTACTCATCGGGTCTAACCTTCTGGTCATCTTACGGAATTGCTCCTGTCTCAACGGAGAGGATTGCCACATGTCAACTTCAGGCAATTTGTGGATTTTATCCAAAGGCGATGTTGCCACCGCTGCAGGGGAGGCAAAGGGTAAGTCCTCTGGTTTGATGTTGGCAAACAAGTTATCCTGAAGTTCCTCTCTTGGTCCATAGTTACCGTACGAGACAAAGTATGACAGCCTCTTGTACTCAGGAGAGATATTCTGCCATTTTTGTTTGAATCTTTTAGTCAAATCCTCTGTAATTTGATCTCGATGGAATTGGTTCAGCTCCGCAAAGGCTCGTGGGTTTGCAAGTATAGGCTTTATATCCACTGGTTCATATGATTCCTCAGTAGTTAAGAACCCATCAAAGATCGACTTCAACGATGACGATACTAGCTCCGCCTTCTCACGGGAGGAAGGCTCATGTTCAACCGTGGGGGTTTCGATCTTGGACGAGTACAGTCTAGCATTCCTCAGCGGGATGACGAACGATTTCGAAGTGGATTTTATCATTTCACAGCCAGCGCTCATCCAGTGTTACCCCAAGAACTCGAGTTGCTGCGAAAGGGCTCATCGATTTTTCACTCATCCGTGGTGTTCACCAGAGGGCGAATTCTCGGTATGCGCAACAGAAAGGCACGTGACCTAGAAATACATGGTACGCGCAACATCATGTCCAAAAGCGGTTTGCGACACACCACAAGTCTGTCTAATCGGGAATGCCAGAGGTCTGTCTGAACGGGTAAACCGCGTGTACGCTTGGCTAACCGTTGGAAAAGCGCAGCCTGTGAAAGACGTGGGGACAAGATGGTGGGGACAGCAAGAGCTGCACGGGCGGAATTCCCAGTGTGTACACATTTTACTTATGGGACCACATCTCTACAAAAGTATCACGAAGGGTTTAGTTCAAGGCATAAGAGGGCGTTGCTGAACTGCTCCAATTCATGATCGTGGATCCATCAGCAAATGTGCTGTTTTGTTTCTCCGTTGTAAGTTGTCCAGCAATTTAGGTCCTTGCTGATAAGCTTGTCACCAAGTGGTGTGGATTAATGGAACTTTCCAAGTAGTGGGATATGACCATGTTGGCTAGCTGGCCCAATTGGATCACATCATACGCCATGGTTGGTGCTGTACAAGTGGCTGAAACTTGTCGGAGAAGAACATATGTTGTCATTCAATCGAGTGATTGTAGATTGAGCGTTTCGAGCGTTATTCTCCGGTGTGAATCGTCACTTGGTTCATTCCTTTATTCCATCTCCAGCTGTGCCCAAGGGGCTGCGATCTTGAGATCCAGACGGACAAAAAACCGTCATACCGTCCTGGGTTTACCCTTTACCCGGACTGCGACTTTTCCAACCTACTGCCACCTGTGAGGTTCCAGTTGGCTCAAACGTATGATGCTGGCACGGTCCTGGTGTTCTTTGTTGATGAGGGAAACCCAGCATGGGTTTCACCAAAACACCACAGATTCACACCCTACAGGCCAAGCGCCAGGGAGAGCAGGCCCGTGTGTCCTCAGAGGCCCACTAAGTGAGCGCCGGTGGGAGCACCGCGCAAACCCACACAGCTCACACATGCTCTGCCTAAGTTTCCCTTCCCCCACACGTGCGGCTCTGTTCGGGCTTCTTCGGCTCCCACATATGCTTTTCCGCCTGCCTCTCTCCTATCAATCGCACACCTCGCGCGCACTTCTTGCAGGGAAGCGCTGCTGATTTTCTGGGCTGGGGGAGACGTGGGTGTGGGATTGACACCAGCGTAGGCAGAGCGAGCCCAGGAACGGGCTCCCACACAGGGGCTCCCACACAGCACCCACAAGATGGTGGCATAAAGGAAACAAGCTGAACCAGCAAGAGAGGGGTTCAATTGAAGACCAATCAACCAACACCGTCCCCTCTCCAGTCACTAGAAGCAAAACCATAAAACTTATGGGTGATCCTCCCGTGTATTTATATACCTTGACACATCCTCCGCTGGAGCCCACCCTCGCGCTCTTTCCCTCCTTCCCACCACCGTGCCAATCTGCTGGGGTTTGTGCCTTATTTTTTTTCCCTCCCAGCCTGATGAACGGAGACACCTCTGTCCGACGGCACTGGCTCAGCGTGGGTGCTCCCAGCCCGTGGGCTCCAGCCCACCGGCTTCCCCAGCTGGAGCTGGGCCCAGTCTCCCAAACACGCGCCCTCTCGGTCGCTTGGGAGAAATCTCAAGAAATGTTCAAAAGGAAAAGAAACCCAGAAAAAAAAACCGATTCGTGAACGGCTGTCGTCCTTTCCTCCCCTTTTTCCTTTATATAACATACCACACATCTTTTCTATTTCACTCTCCCGTGAAGTAATTTATTTCTTCCTTTTTCTCCTTTCTCTCCTTCTCCAAGTTTTCCAAGGCTTAAATCAATTCGAAAATGTTCAAAGCTGCCTCCCGCTCTGTTGCCAGAGCTTCAAGAGTATGTTTGCCGTGTTGTGTTGGAAGGTGGGTTCTGCGATGGTGACGTGCTCGTTAGCTGGGGGATATATGTCCACGACGCTCTCCACGGGGGACGGGGCTAGTGTCCCAGGAGCGCGAGTGTGTTTTCTGCGATTGCCGGTGGAGGGCCTCTTGTGAAGCCCTCTTTGCACGGGGAGTCCCATGGTGGCTTCAAGGGTTGTTCTGGCTCAATGGCTTGAACCGTGGTGTACGTGGCTTCGCTCATCATCTGGAAATCTATCACCCATTTTTTTTAGTTCCGTGGGGGACGGGAGGGAGCGCTCTCCCTATCAATGCCCCCGGTTTATCAGGAATCAGTTCCACTAACAATGCCTCTAGATCGCTTCTCAAAAGAGAAACTTGTCTATCCACGAGTACCGCTCTGCCGCCCTGTTGAGATCCTACGGTGTCGGTGTGCCAAACGGTGATGCCGCCACCACCGTGGAAGGTGCTTATGACATTGCCAAGAAGCTCAACACCGAGGACCTCGTTGTCAAGGCTCAAGCCTTGACTGGTGGTCGTGGTAAGGGTCACTTTGACACCGGCTTCCAAGGTGGTGTCCACTTGGCCAACTCCCCAGAGGAGGTGAAGTCCTTGGCCAAGGAGTTCTTGCACCACAAGATCATCACCAAGCAGACCGGTGCCGCTGGTAAGGAGGTGACTGCTGTGTACGTTGTCGAGAGAGCCTTTGCCAGAACCGAGGCTTACTTGGCCATCTTGTTGGACAGAGCCACCCAGAAGCCAATCATTGTTGCTTCCGCTCAAGGTGGTATGGACATTGAAGGTGTCGCTGCTAAGGACCCATCTGCCATCAAGACCTTCCCAGTTGACTTGGAGGCTGGTGTCACTGATGCCCAGGCTAAGGACATTGCCGCTGTGTTGGGTTTCACCAAGCACGCCCAACCAGAGGCTGCTGAGACCATCAAGAAGTTGTACCAAATCTTCAACGACAAGGATGCCACCCAAATCGAGATCAACCCATTGTCTGAGACTGTGGACCACAAGGTTTTGGCCATGGATGCCAAGTTTGGTTTCGACGACAACGCTGAGTACCGTCAAAAGGAGGTCTTCTCCTGGAGAGATTTGACCCAAGAGGACCCAGACGAGGTTGAGGCTGGTAAGTCCAACTTGAACTTTATCAAATTGGACGGTAACATTGGTTGTTTGGTTAACGGTGCCGGTTTGGCCATGGCCACCATGGATGTCATCACCTTGTACGGTGGTAAGCCAGCCAACTTCTTGGACTGTGGTGGTGGTGCCACCCCAGAGACCATTGAGAACGCCTTCAAGTTGATTCTCTCCGAGAAGAACGTTTCTGGTATCTTTGTCAACATTTTCGGTGGTATTGTCAGATGTGACTACGTTGCTGAAGGTTTGATCTCTGCCACCCAGAAGTTGGGCGTTGAGGTCCCAATCGTCGTTAGATTGCAAGGTACAAACTACGAGAAGGCTGCTGACATGATCACCAAGTCTGGTCTTAAGATCTACGCCGTTAACGAGTTGGACTCTGCTGCTGAGAAGATTGTCAAGTTGGCTGACATTGTCCAGAACGCTAAGCAAATCGGTGCTAAGGTCTCTTTCGAGTTCTAAAAGGCTTTTTTGTGTGTATATAGGACTTGACTACCCATTAGCTCATGATTAAGACGCTTATATTCAATATAAAAATCGCAGTTAACGATAAATGAGGTGAATTGATAGAGCTTTCGGCTTCAATATTTTTCCTCCTTGTAGGGCTTTCCGTATAATTTTTTTCTCCTGCTGTGGTGCGTACACGAGACACATTTACTCTCACGATGAAGCTCCAAGTACACTGGAGCATATTGGAATGATGCTGAGCAAGTCGTTAGGGCCTTTGTTGACCAGGAGACTGGGATGGCTCGGGCGGTCAGTTGGCTCACTCCCGGAACACTCACCTGGGCTTGAAGAGAACGAGTCCTGGTTGGAATCACTGGATTACTACGAGGACGACATAGCTCAGAAATCGCTACCTTCTCAGTTCCATGAGCTTTCCGACGTTTCGTCTTCAAAGTTCACCATCCTGAAGGACTATAACAACGGCTCGTATGATATATCGCTGAAATTTACGAACAAAGATGTGTACTCTTCCCAGTTCTCCACTGTTAGTCATAAGAAGAGGCCCAAAGCTGAGGCACAAGGCTTCACTGATGTCCGTTGTATCAGGCTCAGATCTGGTAACGGTGGTGATGGCTGTGTTTCGTTCTTTCGAGACGCTGGTCGTGCTGTTGGGCCTCCTGATGGAGGCGATGGTGGTAGAGGTGGTGACATCTACGTCCAGGCCATTGAAGGACTGACATCGCTGAATAAGTTGAAGCAGAGCTACATCGCCGGCGACGGACAGCCAGGAAAGGCGAGACAGCTCGATGGTGCAAAAGGTAAGGACATTGTAATAACTGTACCTGTGGGCACTGTCATCAAGTGGATGCCAGATCCAAAGGTTCTGAAGGAGCAACTTGAGGTGAAAGAAGAAGTCGAATGGGAAATGACTGCCAAAGAGGGGAAAGATGATCTTTATGAACCAACACTGTTACAGCTCAAGAGAGACAGTTACAGCGTTGGTGAAGGATGGCTGTTCAAAGATAAAGATAAAGACGAACAGTGGCATAGATCTAAGGATCATTTTGTCAAGTTGGATAAGAAAGTGCAGAAGTACGACTCTAAGATAATATCATCGGAAGAACATGGTGATCTATTCCCGTTGAATGGACTGGATCTCAACAAGGCCAATGAGATGCCAATATTGCTCGTGAGAGGTGGAGCTGGAGGACTGGGGAACATGCACTTCTTGACCAATAACATCAGAAACCCAAGGTTCTCGAAGAAAGGAAGAAGCCATCTAGAGGCACATTTCCTCTTCGAGTTGAAGCTGTTGGCTGATTTGGGTCTTGTCGGCTTGCCTAACGCTGGTAAATCTACTCTTCTAAGGGCCATTTCGAATGCTACTCCTAGAGTTGGCCACTGGGAGTTCACCACGTTGCAGCCTTCCATCGGCACAATTCCTCTGGGGGTCGATAAGGAGTCATTCACCGTTGCCGATATTCCAGGTATTATCAAAGGCGCATCTCAGAACAAAGGAATGGGTATCGACTTCTTGCGTCACATTGAGAGATCTGGAGGATTGGTGTTTGTTATCAGTCTAGGTAACGATGACCCTATTGCCGATCTTAATATCTTACTTCAAGAGCTGGGAGATCGTGTAACGGGAAAGAACGTTCTCATAGCAGCTACGAAAGCTGATATTGAAGGATCATATGAAAAGTTTCAAGCATTAAGAGCATATGTGGAAGGTAAAGATTGGAAGATAGTTCCAGTTTGTGCCTTGAAGAAGGAGAATGTTGAGCAGTTGATCTTAATGATGGGTGAATGTGCTGGAAAGTTGTAATTAATCATCTGTTCTTGAAAAACGTTAGACTTGTACATAGGTGTATATTACGGTGATGAGACATTATCGATATTCTCCAATAGTAGGGCAATGGACTTCTTCAAGCCATAGAATTCCAACATCTCCTTGAAAGTGCTATTAAATTGTGAGTTCACAGTCAGTTGAGAATACAGACCGTCATGGGGATCAAAGACGATGTCCCAAGTTAGTTGAATAGGAGGAAGATGTACAGTGTTATTGTAAATTGAATGCCTTGACTCGAAATCATCTGAGACGTATCTCTGATACAGTTCTTTGAACGTACTGTGCCTTTTGGTAATCGACTCAAAACAAGCGTTCAATGTATACAGGAACCCGTTGATGTTCTTAGTCTGTGAGAAGTGATCTGCAATTGAGATCAGCAATGTGTTAAACCTATTGTTGGATGTCTTTGTCAACTTCAGATCATAGACACTGTAGATATTGTCTTTGCTTCGTAATAGGATGGCAACCTCAAACTCAAACAATGTGCTGTGCTGTATGACAAATGATAGGGATTTCAATACCTGAGGTTTGGCATCGATGTAGTGTAATGTGAGTGTAGAGTGTGGTGAAAGAACTTGAATGTACGGATAGAACTTCCTGAGGTATTCATGCCTTATCGACCAGTCCCGAAGTGGTAGTGTCGAGTATGCGAAGTCATCAAATTCCACCAGCTCATCAGGTGGGTCGTCAGGTGCATCATCGTTGTTGCCCCCAGTCTGTGATGCCTTTTTTATGAGATCCATAATCAGCTCATCCTCTTCCTTTTGGGATTCAGTGCTCGAGACATCGTTGTTCAAGGAATTCCATTTCAGTTCCAACTCTTCGATCTCCCTCAACAGCCTGTTTCTCTTCTCCAACAGCGTGTTGTTTTCCCTTTCCAGCCGTATTTCTTTCAGTCTATCCGTCTCCACGACGGGAGATGAGGACTGGACGCCTTCGATATTGAAAAGATCTGACATAAACCCACGAATCTATGGAATGGGAACAGTAAAGAGAAGGAAACAACAGGAAGAAGTACAATGGACTCCATCGAAAAGTAAACAAACAAACGGGCCGCGAGGTATTACATAAGATATTATGTAATACATTACGTAAGAACATTGATGATCGCGTTTACATGCGCTTTCGTAATTTCTTATGTAATCCTCTCATACTGAAGGTTTTTTCCTTCTTCCATTTACGGTTTACAGGTTTCATTTCAACGGCTAAAACAACTCGAGGAAACTCTACGATATAGCAGAGATAATAATGGTGTCCACTCCAGAGCTTAAGAAGGTATGTAAACTAGTGATTGCTCACTCGTGGGAATGGCTCTCTTGTCTTTCTTTTGGATGTTTTCTGTTCTTGTTTTGGCAGTACTAACAGAGTCCTCTCAGTATATGGACAAAAGAGTAACAGTAGCTCTGAACGGCTCCCGTAAAGTGACCGGTAATCTAAGAGGTTACGACGTGAGTTCACTCCTGACTTAGAATATCCATTGCAGCGTAAGTATTAACCATTTGATTTAGATATTTCTCAATATTGTACTGGAAGATGCCACAGAGGACTCCACGGGAACACCAATACAGATAGGCTCAAGTGTGGTGAGAGGAAACTCAATCTTGTCTATAGAATGTCTAGAATCGATATAGTACAGTGATGGAATAAGCACAAAAAGTGCTGGAGGTGGACGATACATTCACAACCTGGGAACGGTGAGGGTATATAACATTGAAATGGAGGCTTTCGTTGCCGTTCTCATTAATGAAAACACTAGAGCTTATGGGGAATAGATAGTCATTGTCGTATCTCCATCTCTAGCCCGTTATTCTTGTATCCACATTTTTCGTAGAATCCCACGTTCTTTGGATCGCAGTCAAGGATTATCTTATAGCATCCAGCGTCTTTACCTATCTGCGTCAAGTGATTGATTAGAATCTTGCCCAGTTGCTTGCCCTGTTGGTCTTTTCTGACCGCAATATCCTCTATGTGACCAACCAGCCCACACTGATGGATCAACTTCTCTTCAATGAGTATCATTCCGGTCGCAACGACGGTATCATCACCGTCAACGATCACAGTGGGGTTATACATGAATTTACCGTTGTTCAACTCGAGTGATTCCCACTTGTTTACCAGCGCCTGGAATTGGTACTTTGAGATAGTCCCCACCACTGTAAGGGCCTCCAACGTCGTGAGAACACCACGGTCATAATCAGAAGATACCATTCTTCTAATACTGTAATTCTCAGGAAGTGACATGTTTAGGATTTGAAGTAGGCTATTCTTTTCTTTGATCCTCTGATGTTATGGAGAAGATGACAACAGACAGAGAAGTTGAGAAAAAAATCCACACAGGAGAAAACAAGCAACTTGAAATTGTGAAAACAAAACAAACATCAACAAAGCTAAAAAGGTAAACAAAGGGAAAATAAGAGGAAGAACACGTTTACCAGACGAGAATACATTGATTACCAAGGAAGATTTATACATTATTGATGGCGGAATTGAACGAAGCTGAAGAGTTTGAATTGAAGCTGAGAAGGGTAAAAGACTGGCTTTCACAGGGGTCCCATGAGCCAGCAGGGAATAGGCAAGACAGTGAGGAAGAGGTGAAAGAGCACGAAGAAGAAACAAACGCGCGAAAGGATCACTACTATGACAAGCTGCAGAGAGATCTAATACAAAAGAAGAAGTTCTTACGGGAAGCGAAGAAAGCTCTGTTTCAGTTGCAGGCTCCGGAAACAGTCGAGGAAGAGTTACAAGGTGTCCTGTACACTAATGAACGTTTACCGTTTAAGGAGGAACGTGGTGATTCCATAGGCTTAGTGCTGGCGCTAGGCAAGGTGGAAAGCCAGGTTGTGGAGTGTAGACAGCTTTTGGAGAAACTGAACAAGGACTCAAGGCTATTGGATGAACGACTAGCTATTGAGAAAGGATGGAACGATGAACTGAACCTGTTAGTTAACGAGCTCTCCAAAAGGCAAGAGAAACGCAGTGGAGAGTCAAACGACAGAACTGAAGATGGCGTACGTGCCCAGTCAATGGATGAAACTGCTCTAAGAGCTAAAATTGCGGAGGAGAAACAAAGATATAGACAACTTCGTAACTCCCTAAGGTCACTACAACAGACATGAGAGACATGTTCTAGCTATTCTTATGAGTGGAGACAGAGCAGAGACAAAATGGAACTTGATACCAATGAAGGGTGTAATACACTCCTCTATTTAACAACCAGTTGTTGGGCTCAACACGTAATAATATCTCTCCCTACTCAACAGAAACTACGTTGTATATAAATATATCGCACCACAGACGGTGTGACGTATCGTAAATCACCCCCTGTAAATCACTCACTGTGTATACTATGTCCGTGTGTAAAACACCGCCAACTTTGGATAAGACTTTAACCTCATTTGGAATCTATTCCAGACGCCAATTTCCTTGCCATTCATCAAAGTTTGATAGGGTCCAGTTTGACAGTTGTAAGGTACCGTGATTGAACTTATGCATTGTACTTTTACAGCTCTCAAGTTACGACCTGGCCCAAGAGGGAACATAGAGAAGTTAAGAGATGACAGTTGAAGTAATGCACGTACTTCGGGGGCGTCATGACAATTCGCAGTGCTTCAAATGAACATCAATATAAACCCACATGGGACATAGGACCCTATCTGACGACATCACATCAATTGATTGCTCGTTGTGCGTAGGGGATTGCTAAAAATGGACACGATGGCCAATTGATAGATACGCGTGAACGCCAGATTAAAAAAAGGGGACGAAATACTCAAAGGGACGGGACAAACGCGAAAAACGCACAGCAAACTCTAGCACGTTCGCGTCGCACTTTCCGGTTTGAGCGCTAAAAAGAAAATCTTTGTCCAGGATTTTCAGATTTGTCTTTATGGGCTGCATGATGGGAAGGAATACCCGGGAAACGAAATATAATTTGATACCCTTTCTTAATCCTCCTTTATTCTTTCTATTTCATTCTTCTCTACTTTATTGCTACGTACAACGCAACAAGAACACTCGACAGTTTCAAACAGAACGACTTGAAGCAGAAAATGATGATAAACACCTTGCCACCTATCTCGTCAGACGAACTCATGACGGAGATTACCCCTGTGTCTACCCCAACCGACCAGCTCTCAAGCTGGCCGGAACATCCTCGTTATGGAAGAACTGCTTCAGTGTCGAGTATTGCCTCTTCGATGTCAAACTTCCCCATGGGCCAGCAACAGGATTTTTCATACCAGCAATTTGCATCCCACTATAAGCTGTCAGATGTCTTTGAAAGACATCTGTACGACGTTTATCAAAGATACCATGCTAACCCTGAAATTACTCCTTTTCAGATAAACAACCCACCTTCAGGGGTGTTGAACCGTGTATCCAAGGATGCCTTAATCACTGCCGAAGAACAAGGCATGGAGATTGGTATAGAGATTAACAACTACTCGTTGGCCATCATTAGACAAAAGTTAATCCAACTTTGTCGTTCATCCTCAATATGCTCCTCTTCATCATCTGGCACCAACATTATTATGTCACAATCCAGAAACAACTCGGTTTCGTCGGTGAATACACCGCTCAACAACTTCCCAACGCTCAACCTCAATACAAAGTTCAACCAGATTGGTGGATTCAACCAAACAGCCCCACAAAGCCCATGGGAGTCTCGAACCAGCATGGAGCCACAACAAAGCGGTGGTTATTTCTCCTTTGAAGCACCTCCACAGTTTGCAAGAGATCAGATACAGGCTCCACAGCTTCAGCCTTCTTTCCTACACGAGCAGATTCAACAACAGCAATTACAAGAACAGATGAAACAGGCCGAAGTTGTTATTCCAGAGTTGTTCAACGCAACGAGCAATAGAAAGAGAGAGAGTTTGAGGTTGAAGAGAAGTGGAAGTGCAGTGACGTATAACTAAAAAGAGAGTGTTGATTTCCACTTTCATGCGTCATTCACTTTGTCTCAATTTAACGACTGCATAGACAACCACGATTAACAACGGCCCCCTATAATCATTTCTCTAATAATTATTGGACAATAGTGTACATAATTACGTGCTCAGTTGCTTTTTTGTCTTCTTCTTGGTGACCTTTACCCATTCGTTTTCCCTCATTAATACTACAGTTACATATGAATCATTATGAGTTTATTCAATCGTTAACAACGCCTAGTAGTTATATCGCTTAATGGTTTATTTAACTTAAGCGTATACGACAATGGGACGGGGTTGCAAAATTACAACCAACCACTTTAGTACTGTCCAAAACACACATCATTTGGCTGTATGAGCCCTATATGGCACCGAATTGTGCCGTTCCCTGCTTTCACAAGCGTCATCAAGGATCACACACGTCGGTGTAGAGTTGGAACTGGGACGTGGAACTGGGGACATTGACTTAGGCCAAACGGAAGGAAAAGGCTGAGGCTGCAATTTCAGGTCGTGAATTAACACGGACGCCTTACTAAACCCTTGAATTAGAAACTGCTCATAACAGTAATGTGGTCTTCATCATTGACTCAGCAGAGTTATGGAATCGAGAGTTCTTCCTGTGTTAGGTTCTCTTGTTTGTTAAGCACCGGTTAGAAGGTGGACGTCTGGCGTGGAACTGAAAGAGTACACAGCAGGAATCTCAAGACCTATGCACTTTTAGGTGGTCCGATGGGACTATATAAACATCCCACGCCTGGTAAACTGTTCTGGGGTGGGGAGATGAAGTACGTATGTTAGTATATCCTACATATGATTACATCACTGTGTGCTTTTCGGGGTCCAGCTTATAATCTTGCAAATAATATGGACGTGACAAAGGATAATACACGACCAAATAGCTGGGTGAGGTGTTTTGGTATACTTCTTTTGATGTGTGCGTGTAGTGATGAAACCTCACTGGTAATATGGGATTATAACAACAAGATAATTCTTAATCAATATAATGTGAAAATGCGAGATGAGCGAGCTGACAGTCTAAACCTTAAAGTGAAGAGGATAGACTTTTCATAAAATTTCCTTTCATAGAGGGTCGATGGCACGTGACGCGTACTGATTATAATTCAGATAATCTGATTATAAATGTGAACGGCGATTATCACAACTGGGAGATTGTAATACGATTGAGATCGGCATAGGCTTAGAAGCTCTTGTGGGGCGTGGTGGTAGCCTTGTTGTTGATGTGACTACATCCTTGTGTTACTTATAACGATGAATTTCAGACATTGGATGCTGGATGAAGATAGTCATGTCCTGTAGAGTCCATAGCGGAGTTCAGTACTACAGCAACAGCGTGATAGCAGATGATAACCCCCATTTGTCGTGTCATGCCTTTCCAGGACCCTTGGAATGCGCACGGAGCACTATACGATGGTGATAAGATCATCCCTGCGTCATTGCTCATTCTGTAGAATTCGCATGTCACTCAAGCGCAGCACTTGAGCCCAATGGACTTGTCATGGAAGTCATTTCAACTTTACGACAGCACGAGCTGGGTATCAATATCAAACAAAGTGTATCTCAATGACACCCACCCAGATTCCTTTACAATCCTTTTTCAGGGAGACCTCACTGGAGCGGTATTTTACATCACCGATCCATTTTTGGGGTCTGTATTGTATAGAAACACTCCGCACACTACGGTTGAGGTCTGTGAACCAGTCAACGTTGTGAGGGTGTTTGAAAGTGTGGAGTGCATCAAGTCGAAAACCCCAAGTTGGATCTCTCTGCATCTTGCACTGACCTATAGTCATCCATAGAGATAAGTCTAATTCAAAGTCGTTGGTGATAAATCGCACAGCCTATTCATTTACATAATCCTACACGAACACGATACACCACGTTTCCTAGACAAGATGCCAGGCTTAAAAGCAAACGTTGTAACTGGATGACACAACCACAGCGTTCAGTTTCCCACCAAGAGCACAATCATTGCGGTGCAGTATCATAGACGAGGCCACTTTAAGTTAAACCACGTGACACTCTCATATCCATCCGCCTTCTCCCATAAGGACCACCTCCCTATGAACCAATATCTCGTCGATCTAAAGGTTCAGGAAGGCCCAGAGAGTTGAAGAAACGCCCCTAACCACCACACAGGTTAAAAAGTCACGCCTAGCGCCTAATAAAATCACAGGTTATTGTCGGCCAAATGAGGCCAGGCGGCTCGCGGGGTTCAAGTTCGCGAAACGTTTTGTTTTTCGCGGTGTGTTTTTGTGACTTGTTTACACAGTTCAAATCGGGCAATTTCAGACGAGAGGTTTGTTTACAACTTTCCTAATCCGGCACAAGTGAATTGCATGCATTTATCGAGCCTCATGCATTTTTAAATCTTTTCTGCCCAAGTTGTGTGCGATTTCATCATGTACGAACTTCCATCAAGTCTTCAAAGAAAGAACAAACTACACCTAAGTCGTCAAATAAAGGGTCAAACACCTTGGAAAGCTCTAGAACGGATAGTTCAAACTTGACGGAAGTACTATTGTTGATATCCCAGGACTTGTCAGTAGAGAAACGTATTTCTCTGAGGACGTATAACAGAGGCAGATTACAGCGCATTTAATAGGAGTATTTGTGAGAGCAGGTTCAAACGGGAACAGGGAGAAAACGTGTTCATTCAAACTCAGGAGAGAGAGCAAGACAAAGAGAAGTCTTACTTTGAACTGGACGAGCCATCTATACTTCATCTTGAGAAACTCATAGAACCATTGTCCAGTCATGAGTGCATACAACCAAGCATGGTCCGGCCCAGCGCAGGGGATAAATCGACCAACCAACACTGACTATTCCGAGAATGAGTTTGGATTCAGTGAAGTTGATGATCTGATTCAACAGACTCTTAACACCCTCCAGGATCTTGATATCCCCATGGGTCCATCACAGACCTATTCGAATCCATATGCTGGACATATGAATATGGGACATAAGAAGCAGCCTAGCGGGACTGCGATCTTTGGATTTGCAAATCATAACAAAGTATTATCGATTCCAGGTATCGATATGTCCAAGTCTCAAGTCGAACCAAGACAAATGGCGGCACCTGGCCAATATGCCTTCAAGCAGCCACCTCCACCATTTGCAAAGCAAGAACCAGTGTTGTTTGCATCTCCTGGTGAATTTGAGGCATCATATAGACCATATGAGGATCAGAGAGGCCCTACTTTTGGAATGTACGAACCACAGTTGTATCCACCTCAACCACCATCGACTTTCCAGGCACCACCTTGCTCTCAGCCTTTACAAACACCTCAGCCACCACACGCACAGTTAAGTCAACAACCACCACATACACAGTTAAGTCAGCAACCTCCACACTCACAAAGATCAAATATGGGACATATCTCCCCAGGAAGACGACCGGATGATGATTTCTACATAACAGGCAATCAACCAAATCAGTACAAGTTCCCAATGAGAAACTCTGGATGGACTGCACCTCCTAAAATGGCACCTTTGGTTCAGGAGAAACCGAAGACCGTCGAGGTCCCTGTGGAGTATCTAAGAAAACTGACAAGTATGATCAAGAATACGGATGGTGCTTCGATGGATAACTTCTTGAACTATGAACTGGACAAATTCATTCATAGCGGTCCACCCCGTGCAAGAGAAGACCGTGATGGCTCACAGACAGTTGCAGCTTCTAGCTCTAGTTCTGAGGCAAGCACTGCTACAGATTTCAACTCAAGGGAACCAAGTCCCACCTTTTCAGAGATTGCGAGTGTTAACCATTCGATTCCATCTCCAATCAAGCGAAACGTAACCGTGCCGGCCCTTGATCAGAATGGCATGCCATCACCACTAAAACCATCAACTTTTATACATACAAAGGCGCCTGCCACTGGACTGGGTCTGATGGTTGACCTCAACAACGGAGTGGATCAACAGCCAGAATCCGAGTTTGTGATAACAGTACCCAAGACGCCTTCGCCGACGTTAGGCTCACAGGCTACGTTTACACCATCACCGAAGAAAGGATTATCATGGAGACCAGTGGTAACCAGTGACAAGTCTTCAATGCTACAAAGGAAGACACAAGATAAGGCGTCAACGTTGCCTCCTGGCGAGATCGACCTTTACATCAGCGGTCCATTAGAGGATAAGCGGTACGTCTGTAACTACAAGGGATGTGGCAAGAAGTTTACCAGGCGTTACAATGTGAGATCGCACGTTCAAACACACCTCTGCGATAGACCCTTTGTATGTGAGCATGAAGGCTGTAACAAGGCATTTGTACGACTCCACGACTTGACAAGACACCACAAGATCCACGAGGAGTTTGCCTTCAGATGCGACTGTGGTAAGAAGTTCTCCAGGCAAGATGCACTCTTCAGGCACAGGGCTAGAAACATCTGTTCTGGAGGTTTGGAGCCCCAGGAAGTACAGAGGTTGGAGATGAGGGCAACGCAAACAAGCGTGAAGAAGAAGAAGCAGCCACGTCCACAGATCAGAATGGAGAACGATAAAGTTGCAAAGCGACTGGAGTTTGACATCACACGGAAGTGTAAGAGCCAAAACAACACACCCCTGGGGTCTCCAATCCTGGGGTCTAGGATTATATCAACGTCGTCGTCATCATCATCTTCCAACGCGGACGAGAAGAACCAGCTGGGACTGATAGAGGGATTCGACCAGCCAGTCTCCAGCCATATCTCGGACGCCAATGATGACGTCTTTCTCATAAACGATATGGAGTTCGGGCATCACTTTGATGACGATGAGAGTGATCACCAGCTATGAGCTAGCTAGTGATCCTCCATAGATATAACGACTTGATGACTTCTAATGACCCTGAATACACTACCCTTTGTTTGCTCTGCTCTACTGCTGTTGTTCCCTTCAATATGTTGTTTTTCTCAATGTTTTTTTTTCAGTTCAATATTAATCATTATATACACGCTCATTTGTTCAAGTCTCTATCCGAAGCTGTAGTAATTAGCGTGTGGTTATGGCTTGTTCTGCTTCCTGATTGGTCAGCTCTTTATATGCCCGCTCGCAATTTTCACGCATTGTTTTCTTTTTCTGTGGGGTAAACAACTCCACAAACCGAGGATGAACTCAGCAATTATGATCACCGTGGAGACGCTTCAGAAGGGTATATAATGACGGCAGAGGAGCCTTTGATGATGGTGATTTTGAGTGGTAGTGAGCCCAGGACTTTGATAATACAATGGCACACGTTGTTGATACTGAACAGGATATTGGGCCTGTACGTTCGCCGCTAGACACCAGCGCGCTGGACAGGTTGCTGAGCAACAACTCCACACCACCAAGAGGCGTGCACTTGGGCTATGGCACAGCATGGAGTCCGCTGAGGGCTCCACTGAGCATCGAGCAGTTCAAGTTTGGACAATCCAATCCGACTTATCTGCTGACTGATGCGGATGGGAAGAAGGCGGTGTTGAGGAAGAAGCCGTCTTCGAATGCAAAGCTGATTTCAAAGACCGCACATGCTATAGAGCGTGAGTTTTACATGCTGGATGCGATACTCAAGACAAGTGGCTCCTCTGTACCAATTGCACGGCCTTACTTTCTATGCGAAGATGAACAGTACGTGGGTGCTGTGTTTTACGTGATGGAGTTTGTAAAAGGCCGTATCTTTCACGATCCGTCCCTCAGCATCCTCAAGGATGAGGCGGAGAGGGATGCCATCTGGCACTCTGTTGTGGACGTTGCACTGGCGATACACTCAGTCAATGCTGAGAGGCTGTTTGACGAGCTTCCTGAGAAGCATTTCAGAAAGCCGGCGTCCAAGGCTAAACATTCCTCAGCTGGCTACTTCGCAAGACAGGTTAAATCACTCTCCAAGATTCAGCAACTACAGTCAGAAACTGTGAAACAGATACCGCATTTCGATGAGCTATCCCAATGGTTACTGAAGTACGGTCCAGAGGATCCACCTCATAGCACCCTGATCCATGGCGATTTCAAGATTGATAACTTAGTATTCCATCCAACAGAGCCGCGAGTTATCGCTGTTTTGGACTGGGAGCTGTGTACCATGGGACATCCGTTGTTTGACCTAAGTAACCTCCTACAGCCCTTTATGATGACACCTGAAATGAACCTGGCCTTTTCCAAATTCGACATCAAACAAGATCCAGAACTAGTTTCAAAAGTCCTGGGTCTTTACAGATCTGGTCTGCGTAAAAGTCCTGTTGCTTGGAGATGGGACCCAGAACAATATTGGAAAGTTGGCACAGTGTTTGGACTGTACAGGGTTGGTGTTATATGTCAGGGTATAGCACAGAGAGTGGAGAAGGGCATTGCGAGCTCTGCACAGGCCAAGCAAACAAGCTTGTTGTTTCCATTGGTGGGCGAGTTTGCTTACAAGCTTATCAAGGTTTCAAAGCTGTGAGGAAGTAGAAGAGCAACTGGCCAGTGTAATTTATTAAGTAGTATTAAAGTAAGAGAGAATGCAGATATGATTTAAATATGACGCTGATAAAGTGAACTGAAAGAATCATCCAAAGATGATCTGGTATGTGGTGTAGGACATCGAGCAGAATCCAACACAGATCAATACAACATCACCAAGTTTTGCGCTCCAACCTTTCGCAACACCTTGGAGATGGAGCATTGGTGGGTACATGTAAACCAATGGAATGCATGCAAAGCAGCCGATGAAACTAACAAACTTATCCAAGTTCTTCGCTCCAAACCAGGCAATGTTCACGGTGAATAGAACGATACAGGTACGAAGTAAATTCTTGAACCATTTGACCCGTGCATTGGTCTTTCCTGAGGATCTGTTGAATATCAACCTCTCAATTAAGCCCACCACGGGGAATATCTGTAGTGGAGTAGAAAGAAGAATCGCCAGTGAATAAAAGAATTGGATCAACTGGACAAAAAAGTTTGACTGTGGTAAGTTCAAAAGAATCACAGTTTGAATATCTTCACCGTATGCCAGATAGCCAATGGTTGCGATTCCAACCATGATGATTGTAATGGTGATGAGCACCAAAGCAAGCACCAGTGGGAACTTCTCTGGATGACGCATGGAGTCTTGGATAGGAATGATGAGTCCAATGCCTTCGAATGCAAAGATTGCAGTTCCGATGAAGAGCGAGAACTCGGATTCGTTGATGAAGAGTTCAATGGGCTTAACACCGTTATAGATGATTTCAGTTGACGTGAAGTAAAGAACAATGAGCAATCCTGACAAGATGAAGAAGTTTGCCAACAGTGAAGTTAATGACAGTTTGGAAACGTTTCTGATAAAGGACAACGGTATAAAGATCAGTGTTTGTAAGATAAAGAACGCACCTGGTGATATATCCACGTGTAGTGCGTTTCTCGTGAATGCACACAGGTTTTCAGTGGTGAAGATGATATAAGCACCTGCAAAACCAACCTGAGTCAAGATCAAAGAGAACAAGATGAGTTTCTTCATCCAGCTTCCGCAGAACTTGGCACCGATATCACCAAATGACGAAACCTTTGCAGCATTTTTGGAAAGCACGAGCAGGTAATAGCAGCAGTAAGAGTACACACCAAATACACCGAGCATTGCAATGCTGAAGAGCAATCCACCGTTGGAGAATCCCTTTGGCAAAAAAAGAACACCGGTGCCAACGAATGCCTTGAGCATGATGAGGAATGCCTTCAGAGTCGAGGTTGTACCCTTAGCCTCGTAAGCAACGGGAGCTTGATGTTGTCCAACCAACGGCGTTGATTCGTCGATGCCCTCCACAACTTCCGACTCGCCACTATGATCCCAATCGAAATCATCGTCAAACTCTTCACCTGCAAAATGGCCGTAGATGTACAGGAACTCCATGAAGTTCTTGGTCAAGAAGGGAACCTTCTTGAGCTCCTCGTCGTTCAGAATGGCCTTCTGACGCGCCCTTTTAACGATGAACTCCCTTCTGAATCCTCCAGGAACGTTCAGTGCGCTGGCACTTGACCCTCTTCTCCCTTCAACAAGGTCGCTCAGAGATCGGTTTCTTCTCACGCTCTGGTTGGTGTCTCTCCGATTCTTCTTCAAGTTATGCGTGATGTCGTCGCCCTCGTGTGAAAGAGACTCCTTGCTGAAGTACGCTGACGTCTGCTCGTGTATGTTCTTCGCCTCAAGCTCATTTGATGTGAAGTCGGGGTGACGTGGATCAACAAAGACGTGGTTGCTCGAGTATGACGAGTGCTGTGAGTTATCGTGCAGCCTGGCACTCATGGAAGAGTTCGCAGCGACGAAGGACCGTGGCCGGGGGCTCATGTTGTTAGAATCGTCCAGCACAGGCGAGCCCAACCGTGCCATGCTGAGCCTTCTCGAGTTGAACGAGGCTCCATGGTGGAACTGGCCCGAAGAGTGGGACCCAACTGGATGAGCTGGCGAGCTCCTCCTGGACGTGTCGATGTTTCGTGGAATGGATGCCATCTAATGGGGTCAAGGGGCACTGGGCAGTGATAAACAAAGCGTTGGTTGCGGTAGATGAAGGCAGAGACAACAGTCACGGATGTTGATTGAAGTGTATTCTTCTTCTGCCTGAGGCACAACTGATAAGCGAGCCAGGGGGAGCGAAGATCTTTCTCTACAGGGCGGAGGCAGGTTGTTCTGAGAGTTACGCACCTTGAGGGTCGGGTGCGTAATCGTCAGAACGCTGCCTACAAGTGAAGCAGAAGCACGGGTCTACGGTTAAGAGGTGACGACGAGAATGAGAGCTGTTCTATAACCCCAGGGGGGCATCATGAGGTAAGCCACTCCAGGCCCTGGTGTATGCCCTCCCCGGTGATGGCACTGCACTGGATGATTTGCCACTTCTCCTCGCGCGGCCCGTACGAGTCGAGTTCTAACTCCTTGATAACTGTCGATGTCAGATCTTCAAGGCCTGTGTTGACGAGGTCGATCTTGTTGAGCAAGATGAGCAGTTTGACGCCATGGACCCTTTCGTTCTGTAGCACCGTGTAGAGCTCTCTGAAGACCTCATGTAGTCTGTCGAGCTGGCTGGCGTCGATGACCCACACAAGCGCATCTAGTTGATCGAAGTAGTTGAACCAGAACGACCGTAGGGTCTGCTGCCCACCAACGTCCCAAATGTTCAGATTGTGCTCTCCAAACGACACGCTCGTGATCTCGAACCCCATGGTCGGCGTCAGCGACGCCGTGGGCTGGTTCAGTATCCTCTTCACGATGGTGGACTTGCCTGCATTGTCGAGCCCTCTAAGCACTGTGATGTTAGACCATGCCCTTTCTCTCCCCCACAACGGGGCACAACAAAGCACTCACAAAAGCAACACGCGAAGCTCCCTGTCCTTCATCTTCTGTTTCCTTATCACGGTGAGCAGTCCCATCTCCTTTGCGCTGGCGTAGATAGCGTAGATGGCGTAGATGGCTGTTGTTGCCTAACGCCATGTTGAACGAGCCTGGACGGAGAAGCTTTGTCTCCGTGTGCCTGGTGGCTTCTGCCTGTGCGCGGCGGCTTCTGCCTGTGCCTGGTGGCTTCTGCCTGTGCCCGGCCAATTTCTCTCTTGCCATCTTACAAATCACCTCATCTACCCTTGGAGTAGGCGAAGAAACCACCAATATGGGCGCTGAAAGGGTCGAGATAGGGCCTTCTGGTCGTAAAATCGTGTACGACGAGAATGGCAAGCCGTGAGTTCCGTGATTTGCCTTGTATTCCGCTTCTTATTGTATCTTCTGGTTGCTAACCATTGGTTTCAAGGTGTCGTTCGTGTAACACTTTGCTTGATTTCAAGTCCGCCATGGGTATGCCATCTCCAGCGGCTTCAAAGGGTGCTGGTGGCATGGCTGCTGCAATGGGTGCCATATCCCAGGCTGCTGCTGCACCAGCCAGTGGTGCCAGCGAGTATGCGAAGGACTGTCCTCCAGATGTTGAGGTGCTGGGAAGATCATCGTGGACTCTGTTGCACTCGATGGCTGCTAAGTACCCAGAAGCACCGACACAGGAGCAACAGCGTGATATGACGCAGTTCATAGGGCTGTTTGCAAAGCTCTATCCATGCTGGTTCTGTGCAAAGGACTTCCAAAAGTTCATTGCCGAGGAGAAGCCAAAGGTTCAAACACAGGAGGAGTTTGGCAGATGGCTATGCGATGCCCATAATGAGGTGAATGCCAAACTTGGCAAGCCCAAGTTTGACTGCCAGCTTTGGAAACAGAGGTGGAAAGATGGCTGGGGTGATGACAGATGCTGATGATTACGTACACCCCGTGGATGCCTACAACCGTGTATATACAGATAGAAATAAAAGTACATATGATGACAAGTACGTAGGATGACGAGTACACGGATAACATGTGGCGAACCATCAAGTGAAGAGCGAAAGGTTCAGAGGAACAGAGGATCCTCTACCACTAGGATACAGCTTCTGTTTACCAACAAACTGGCGAGGTTTCGGCAAGTCGTTCTGATTGACAAATTTGAAACTTGAATCGTTGATAACAACACGGCTGTTGCTGTTACCGTGCGTGTTGATGGTGTAACTGGAAACGTCGATCTTGGCCTCTGCTGTAGGTGCGACTGCTGTCGGGCTTGAGCTGGCCTCACTGGAGAAGAGACGGTGTTTGAAATGTGACGAGGAAGTTGTTGGTGGTGGAGGTGGCGCAGCCTTGGTAGATGACAATGTAGGTTTGGTTGAAGTTGGAACATGAGGTGGAGGCTTTGAAACAGGCGATGGAGATGGTATAGAGGGAGCTGCTGTAGGTGGTGTTGGTGCAGATGGGGCAGATGTGTTTGGCAATGGTGGAGCAGTAGATTCTGGCATGTGTGGAGTCAACATTGAAGTATCAAGCATGGAAGGTAACGATGGAGCAGGTGGTGGACTTGAGTGCGGCAATGAAGGTGGTGGTGGTGGTGCACTAGGGATGGAGGGTGCCTTCGCTGATGGAATTGATGGAATTGATGGAATTGATGGTGCAGAGTGTGTATTGGAGCCTGAACTGTCACCATTAGCGTTATCGACAACAAACCTGTCATCCCTCTTGGAGTTGATCTCTGCGAGGAAAGGCAGCCCACCGGCAAGCGGTGCAGCTGAGGAAGACTTAGAAGCTGGAGCAGAAGGTGCAGTCATAGGTGGCAGTGATGGTGGAGCAGGAGGAGCAGGTGGAGCAGGTGGCACTGCTGCTGGTGATAGTGAGGATGTAGGTAGCGGTGGTGGTGGTGGTGCTGATCTCTTTGGCAAGGAAGGTATTGGAGGTGCTGATGACGTTGGAATTGATGGAATTGAAGGTGCTGATGGTGCTGATGGTGCTGATGGTGCTGATGGTGCTGATGACGTTGGAATTGATGGCACAGGTGGAGCAGGTGGTGCATGCATCGATGGAAGCGGTGGTGGGATAGCAGGACCAGGCGATGCACTCTTCGACGAAACTGAAGGAATAGGTGCTGCCACAGTTGTTGGAGCTTCTGCCTTCTTGTTCTTTGCAAATCTAGCAGCCAGTGCATCAGCCAATGGATTGCCAGTTGGTGCAGGTGGACTAGGCACACTTGGTACATTAGGCACACTCGGTGCACTAGATGTCGACTTCAGTGGTTCATCAGTGGTAGACTGTGCTTGATTTGCAGCTGAAAAGTTTGAAGGCACCGAGTCCACAACGTATGAATCATCTCTCTTCTTCTGGATGTCTGCGAGGAAGGCGAATGCGCCAGCAGGTGGAGCAGCTTTACTCTGAGATGAGGAGCTCGCAGGTGGTGCTGGAGCAGGTGGAGCAGGAGGAGCAGGTGGAGCATTGTTACCTGGCAATGGTGGAGCAGGAGGAGCAGTTGAGCTTGGTAAAGGTGGTGGAGCAGGAGGAGCAGTTGAGCTTGGTAAAGGTGGTGGAGCAGGAGGAGCAGTTGAGCTTGGTAAAGGCGGTGGAGCCGGGGCAGTTGAGCTTGGTAAAGGCGGTGGAGCCGGGGCATTTGAGCTTGGTAAAGGTGGTGGAGCCGGGGCAGATGGAATCGAAGGTGCACTCAGCCCAGGCAGTGATGGAGGAGTAGAGCTGATGCTAGGGGCCTTTCTATGAGGTCTCGTAGTTGGCACTGATGGTACTGAAGGGATCGCTGTGTTCGGCAGCGGAGGAGCAGCTCCTGGTATAGGCGGTGGCCTTGAAGAAATAGGCGGAGGCGCCTGGTGAGACGCCACCGAGCCTGAAGAAGGTGTTCTCGCATGTGTCTGTGAGGAAACGTTCAACATCGAAGGTATAGGCGGCGCAGAGCCTGGGATTGGTGGTGCTGCGCTAGGTATCGACGGCGCACTTGATGTAGGGATTGAAGGAGCAGATGGTACGCCGCTTGATCTCTTTGGCCTGGACGATGGCATCGATGGCGTCACAGGGGCATCGTAACTGGGCTGCTGGCCCAGACTGGCAGCTTCACGGTGTCTCAGCTTGGGCATACCACCGGCAAAGATGTCCCCCAGCTGTGGAGCTCCTACAGGGACAGGTGGTGCACCGGAGCCAGGCCTCTGTGTAGGCAGCTGTGGCGCTGCCATCGCCATCCCCAGACCACCACCAGATGACGACGACGACGAGCCACCAAGCTTGGGCTTGGATCTATCGTCAGTTTCAACCTTCTTCAGCGATTTGCCCTTTCTGATATCACCCAGTAGCGCATCCCTACCAGCCATGGCCGCAGCAGGGGGAGCTGGTGCTGGAGCACCACTGCCCAGTGACGGCGCAGGTGGCGGCGGAGGAGGCGGAGGAGGAGCAGGTGCCATGTTCGACTGCGTTCAGCTGACTGTATATCTCACCAATTGAGCCTTTTCACTAGTCAGGATTGCTCTTCCTTGATGAATTAGAACGAGGTTATGGCTTCCCGCAATAAGCCCTAAGCGTAGCCTCCGCCGCGGTGTAATTTTACCGGCGGCGCAATGGCAGAGCTCGGGTATAAAAAGCCGAAAATTTTTCCAGCTTCTTCCACTGTTTACTTCCATTGTTTACCTTCACGACGGAGAAGGAGAGAGCACAGCGCTAAGCGCTGTTTGCTCCAGCAGCCACCAAGCGTATTGTGACCGTATGGTTTGTGTGTAAAGAGAGGTCTCCACGTACGGCTCGGTGGTGTGTGAGCTCCAAGTCACGTCCATGGCACCTTCGAAGATCCGCAGTGTTCTGCTCCTCCATAGCCTGTGGATTCAAAGCGGTGCCTAGAACGAAGCCAATGCCGTTACCAGAAACAAAAAAACATTGTGACGGCAGATCTGTATCAATCGAGCTCCACGCGGCGTGATTGCGTGGAGCGATGCGTGTTCTTCACCTCTTTGAACTCTCGGACGATTTATACAGCTTACATCGGTAGGTAGCCATGTAGGGGCCGTAGAGCTCGGAAGCGAGGACACCACTATGAGTCCAATGTGGTGCTCTGTTCACTGTAGTGCTCTGCTCACTGTAGTAGGGCGAGCTGCTTGCCGAATAGCGTTGCGTGGGAGTGAGGTGTAAAGCGGTTGTACATCACCATCGTTCAAGCCCAGGACCGCACTCTTCGAGAAGGGCAACATCAACAGAAAATGGCACGCGGAGAGAAGGTGCTTTCCCCAGGAGGCGTCTATGCGGGAGCAAACAACTGCTGTTGGACTCAGATACGAGGCACTATCCATTAGCTGGTACCAGGGGCTTGAATCTTTGCGTGTTTTTGACTATTTGCACTCTCATGGTGAGTTTCATGGTGAGTTTCATGGTGAGTTTCACAGTGAGTTCCAAGGGCTTGGGATTACAGCTTGCGGTGACTGATGAATAGTAACTTGGTGCTGTTGACTGTACGGGACCCCAAGATGTGGCTATTTGTCGTCAGCATGTACCCCCTCATCAGTATCGTGCTCGACAATTGATCCGTACAGCAGGCAGTCGTATACTTTGTCTGAGATATCGCATCTATTACACTTCGTATCGACATAAGCGTACGGCACTTCAAATTCAAAGGAGACGTGCCATTGGCCCTCTTGACCAATCTTACAAGGTGAAATTGAGCTGCCAGTATATGTGAGATGCTGAGTACCACGATGCGGTGTATTACGTTTAGACTTCAGGGTTTCATTGACGTTTGGAACGGTTGATTGATCTAGAATCTCCAAAGCTAGTGTCCAGATCATCAGCGGTGCAGTGTATGGGTGCTTCTCACGTCCAGATGAAGATATGGATGCTGAATCGCTCAACCAGCCAGTGATTGGGTCACTGACCCAGTCGTCATCCCATTGCTTGTCCATATCTGACAACTTTAAAGCCAAAATGTATACGGATCAGAAGGCTCACTACACCAGCAGTTTCCCTATGATGCCGAGCAGGAGCGAGAGAGAGAGAGAGAGAGAGACATGAAATACGGATCATGTGCTCATCTCCTCCTACTGCAATGGAACAATTAGATGCCTGTATCAACACCAAAGTCCACATACTGCCAGGGACCTTGTGAACGCTCCAGTTAACGGCTTGAGTGATAAACCAGCCCAACAATTACACTGCATACTGCCTAAATGGACTACATGCTACGCTGCAATGCACTTGTGCTTGTGCTTTTAGCTCATACCGGATCTTCCAATTCCAAAGGCTGCTCCAATAATACTCAAACTGGCCTCTTTCCTTTGCTCCTCTACTGAAGGACGCTTGCTTTCGTTGGCTTTAACCTTTGGGGATCACATCAAGCCACATGCGTCTATATGCTTCTCCCACACTTGTGATTGGTGCTGTTCAGCTTCTTCAGCTGTAACACCACCACTGGTTCTCCCATCATGGACTGTTCTGTCCCACAGCCACGCATGCGTGGATGGTTGCTGTCCACTCAAACAGTGGTTCTGTCTCTCGCACGACAGTCTATCATACCCACCAATACAATGAATGCCTTGTACAGCTGATGCTTTATCTGGTTCTAATTTGACTTTGATGTGCAGTGAACTCAAATTGATAAAACCAAATCAAAATCCATCGACGAAGTGGGTTGCAGCTTTTAATATGCCAGGCATGATACCGGCTGCTTATTTTTAATGCTTTCAAATCCTCTCATTTACCAACTCTCCAATCAGCTGTGTGGTTCTCTCTCTGGGTTTTGGACACTCACTGAAAGGCAATCTTCTCTTGGTGTTTAAAATAAGACTGCCACCGTGCCTGGTTTTGAAAGTTCTGGCTTGTTCTTTTACCTTCTCTCTTTACCTCTGGACACCTCGGTAAAGCATTCACACTCTGAGCAGAATTTCACGATTGGGGAGCTGAAATGTCTTCGAACACGTACGGACATACAAGGTAAGTTGTATTAATTATAGTGTAGGTATGGTCATGCCGGGTGGAGTGCAACGGAGTCCTTAATTGGATTATATTATGTTCCTCTTGTGCTACGTCCAGGTAGCTTTCTCTGTCAAGATGATACCGGCACAATATAATATTATTCTGGTGGGAGCCAAAGAGGAAATCAAAACGATCCTGCTGCACTGATTCCTCAAGACTTGTGTGCTATGGATCACTGTGGAGCAGCAAATTGATGGGAACTGTTTATAAGTTTACCTCTTCTTCCATATTCCACTGGAAATTAAGGCTTGATCGCACAGAGGCATAAACCATACCCGTTGAGATTTCTTTCGTCTGTCATTGCTAACACTGAGAAATGTCCTTTAGACTGCCTTCTTTTACGGAATTGACAGCTACCTTCAATTCTTCGTTACAACTTCCAGGCGATGCTTGTATTGGTCCAAACAGTGCGAATTCACGATCATTTAAAGCGTCAATACCACAGCGAACACACTCTGCTGCTCCAATGGTTGCAGCTTCAACACCGTTTACTGGCCACCATTTGCATCAGGCAAATCAACAGTACCATGGGCCTCATCAGTATCACACTCATCTGCCTCCGAATGGGTTTCAGAGAGGGAATCGTGGATCTGCTTATAGATTCCCACCTTCACCAACACGTCCACGCTCACAAATGTACCAACATCAACAGCTTAATGGGTTTGGTTTACCTGAACATGTATCTCCAGCTCAGGGACCAATTCCTGTTGGTGCTCAGTCGGACAGTCGTTATAACCAACCAAACTATGTGATTACAGGATCAAACAGTGGTGGCTATAATCACCAGCAGTTCGAAATGCAACCAATGATACCGCAGCAGCAGCAACAACAAAAGCAGCAGCAGATAAAGCACCGTAAGGCAGATTCTTATGATAATGAGAATTCATTATCTGCTCTTGCAGACGTTGCCTCCAATGCCTCCGTTGACTTACAAGGACTGGTTAATAAGTTAGAAAAGGTATTTGGATTCAGTGCTAAGCTCAACTCGATTTTTGAGAAGATACTTCAGGACTTTAAAACTTCTGTTCACTCACCACTTGGTGACCTTGGGTCTCCCACTGAAATGTTACACCTTATAGGGAGGTTCCATAATCAAACTGGGGATGAGACTGTACAAGTAAGTGCCGATGTGATTAATGACTTGGTGCAGAATACGCCACTTGATATATTGAAGGAGGCAGCTCATATAACAGCTGAAATCAAGTTCTTTTTCGACCAGTGGATATTGTACAATGAACAGTCGTCACACAAGAGAGAACCGTCTGCGTCTGGACAAGGTGATCGGACCAATGTTCTGGATAAATCACCAATGAGCTCTGTGAAACCACAAGTCAAAGGTCCCACACCATTACAAGAACATGTGCGTTCAAAGAGGGCTCGTGAAGAGGGTGATAAGCTGAATCCAGTCACTAAAAGACACCGAAGCTTCAGCGCAGAACGTGGTAAAGGAGGTCAGAGCATTGCTCTTGTTGTCAAGCCACCTACACCCGTAACTCTACCACAGTCATCACAGCCGAAGAACAATTTGAACCAGGAGCTCAGCATCAGGACACATCATGTCTGTAAACAGTGTGGATCAGATGATACCCCAGAGTGGAGACGTGGTCCATATGGTGTGCGGTCCTTGTGCAATGCTTGTGGTTTGTTCTTCTCCAAGCTCACGAGAAAGTTCGGCACCAAGGAAGCCACTTCAATCATGATGCAAAGACGTGACATTGGTGAAGGTGACAATAGACGACTTCCCCTATGAATCATGGTCCCCTGGTGTCGGTATACCCTGATCTTGCTGTTAATTGCTTTCTCTTGTTTTTATAATCTCTTGATGAATATAGCTTTCTTTTGTATGGTTGCCATTATCCTGTAAGGATTGTATGTGAATTTCAAACGTTGAAATGGCTTTCAACCACAGCGTAATCAACTGTGGTCTCCTTCCATACCTTGAACCACTGTGGGTAATCGTGATTGTTCACATTAACCGTGGGTATAATGTTCCCCCATTTCAGAATTGAGCAAAACAACGATAGCTCTTTGAAGCTCGAATGTTCCGAGTATGGAATCTGTAGAGTATGGCCTCTTTGCCATTGACTCTTCAGTTGCTGGAGAAATACGTCACTTGCACTAGTCGAGTCTTCGCTGAATGACATGGCCAGTGATGACTTGAAAGTGTCGCTAACCTCGTGATCTTCATGAGTGTCTTTCGCTCGACCTAACCGAGTGAACGTCCAGCCTGTTGGACGAATCACAATGATATTCTTGTTCGAGAACCTCTTCAGCCACGGTTTATCAACCAGCTTTTGGAAGTTGACAACATGAATCATACAGCTAGATTCATCATCTTTGGAGAACATGGACATGTCGTACCCACACAGAGTCAACGTTTCGTACCTTTTAGGAGCGACGAATACTTTCGTCTTCAACCTCTTCGCCAACTCTGTATAGACCTTCTCCTTTCCAATGCTGTAGCTCCCCACTAAGATGACAAACTCCGTTCCACCTTTCAGGAAGTCTATTATACCATTCTGCTTTGTTGTCACACATTGTTGAACGAAGTCCACAGTTGTATTAATCACCAACCTTTGGTCATAAAATGAATAACGAGGGTCCAAGTATGTGGTATCGAGGTAAATCTCGTCCAAGTACACATCCTTAAACTTGTCTATCAGCGCCTTGCTGACCCTAAAGTCTCCTGTGTGTAAGATCCTCTTCACAGTGTCACCATCGCTGGCCTCGAATAGGAAGACAACGGCACCAGGACAGTGGTTGGCATCTTCAAGCGTCACCCAGACGCCTTTACACACTTCATACTTCTTGTGCATTGGGATCATCACAATACGATCCTCTGGCACTCGCAGGTGCTTCATCACCAGTCTGCCTGTTATCTCAGATGTGTATATGACACCTTGGCTCCAAGACTTCACTATCCCAATGTAGTGATCTGAGTGGTAATGCGATAGGAAGTACTTGTCTGTTGGGCCTGGCGCGTAGCAGAACCCGTCCACTATGACCTTCTGGGCCAGTAAGTCGAGCACTTTGAAGTCTGGCAGGGGTTTCTTGGGCCGTCTGGGCCTCTTCTCGTGCTTCTGCTGCTTCTGCCGCCCGTGCTGCTTCCAGGTCGCTGCCACAACGTGTGTTGATCTTGAAGGCGACAGCAAACAAAGCTCAACATGGGACTCTCGTTCTGATACCTGAAGACATGATAGATCGAGTTCACAGATAGGGCATGGTATTTGCTCCCCTTTGACCTCTGTTGCCACCTCTTTGTGGTGGAGTTCTTCAGCGTTGCGCTTCTCCTCTTCAACTATTACACGTTGTTGATCTTCATCCTCCGATACGGTCAAGTCCACGGTGACGGAGCCATCATCTCCAACAGACACGTATTCCTCTCTCGTTCCAGTCTTCCTTCTTTTCAGCAGCTGAAGGATGTTTGGCATGAGGCTGTGGTGTCCTTTGATCTTCGCTAACACCGGAGCAGCTGCTGGTTCGCCTTCTCATCTTGATGGTTATTTTTTGAAAGGCTGATGCTATGCGCGTAGCCTATCATTCTATGGCTAAATAGCGATATTCAACTTCCCGTGTAATTATATAGCGAAAACACCATATATTGATACCTATACAGTCTACTTTTGTGAGTTGAGTCTCTGCTTGAGCTCCTTGTTATCCTCCACCAGTGTTTCAACAAGTTTCGTAAGGGTTTCAACTTTCTCATACAACGGGTACAGCTCCCAACCGACGCGTGAATCAACACCCTGTTCAATAGGTGGCGCCAATGACTTCACCTTGCCAAACCATTCACTCTTGACTCTGAATTGTGGGTCGGCTCGTTCTGCTGCTAGTTGTTCGTTGATTTCCCTGTTGTTGCGTTCGATAGTGTCAGCGGTGCCACTTGTTGCAAAGATTCCCTCGTAGCTGTCCTCGTACCCATCAGTGAGGTCCCATTCATGATCAACCTCGTTTGCATCGTCACTCAGTCTTTTGGAACGGTTGTACTGGACTCTTCTGGCTTCTCTGGTCTCTTTAATGGCAATGAAGCACAGCACTGGCGAGTATATAACGAGCATGATCCTGTAGAGAAGCTCGTGATACTGACCATGGGTCAAGAGCAGACTGGTTGGGGAAAGAACGATTTCGATGATGTTCAGGGGAGGAACAAACACGCAAGAGTCCGGTGCACGGATATATCTGAGAGTCTTCGACGCAACCAATGCCATGTACTCATCATTGGCGTTGTCGTAGATCTTCTGATACGCCGATGCGTACAGCGCAACTAGGATGTTGAGGAGGATAACGGTGACCAAGAACGAGTAGAAGTAGTAGAGTATGCCAGCATAAGGTGGGACAAACCTCTCAAAGGCACTGAAATCACCACCTCCAAGGATGGTTTGCCCAAGTTGCTCAATGATCAATATCGTTGCGTCTCTTCTACCATCAGAGGAGTCCAAACCAAGGAACCCTTGAAGGAACCCCAAAATCACAAGTATCAGCAAGAAGAAGAAGATGATGGACTCTTTCATCATCACTTTCACAACGACAATCATGGCACCAACGAACTTTTCAGCATCGAGGTACAACAGCAGACGGCCGTACATCAATGGCGCAGCGAGCGAAAGAAGCCTGAAGGATGCTTCGTCGAGTCTGATTGCCGTTGGAGAGTCCCAATCCAACGTCAGAGACCATATTCTCAGCCCAGCAGATGCTGAAACAAGGGCATACAGGGCATCGTTCAATATTGACCAGAATGAGATATAGTTCCATCCGATGTGATAGAGCTTCTGGGCTTCATCGTAGAGGTAGGAGAACGTTGAGATGTAGAAGAGATACTCTGCAATGTTCAAACTAACAGGGCCCTTATCGTCCTTGTTCACAATCAGTGTGTACAGAACGAGATAGAAGACTGTGAATCCAATCTCCAAGGCATTCTGATACATTGGTGTTTTGATACGATCAGGATCAAAATGAGCAGACAACGTAGACTTGCCAGTTTGCTTGTACATCACATACGAAGAAGGATCGTCTGCACTCTGAATAATCCAACCACGCCACAGCCACTTGACACAACGCTGGTAGCCGGAAGAGCCAATGATGATGGTGGAGTGCATGTCAACAGCAAGCTCAAGGGCATTTGCAGGCTCCGAAAGCTCAGAGTTCAAGCTGACCACGTAACGGTGGCAGAGCATGTGGATGAACAGCTGTGTGTCATCCTGTTGCTCTTCGATGATCAGCTTCGCCAGCTGCTGAGCAGTCGATGCTCTGAGAGCATAGAGCTCGGAATCGTGAAGCTCAGTTGCGCTGAGTTCATAGTACCAACCAGTGACTTTCAAAAGAGCAAAGATCAACACTGACCGATATTTATAGGACGAAGTGCCACGCTTGCCATCACCTTCACCTCCAGCGGCTTCTAGCGCCAATTGAACCACTTTCGAGGTGAGGATCTTCGAGTCCGCTGATAGGACCACAGCCTCATCGAACTGGATTGGAATGACGCGGTCGATGAGATACTTCAGGTTCAAGCAGATTCTGAGAACTTGCCTTGGGGCTGGTTCCACGTAGCTTGAGAGATCATCACCGCTGATCGGAAGAATGTTCTCAGACATCGTTCTGTCTCACTTCTGGTTAATTGACAGCGATGGTAAGGAGAGGCGGTCGAGTTAGACCGATGCCACCAAAATTTTAGTCCCACACACCCCTTGTTTCATTTGGCTTGAAGACGCGTCGAGGTGAAATTGGCCTCTTTTGGGAAGATTGCCATATTGATGATGCTGTTTCCAGAGATGAATCAACCGTGTTATGGTGATGATGGGAACGGGCTAAAGCACCTTATACGTGTCTAATTGAGGTCCTACAACGATGTGGTGGGCACATCACGCCTTTTTAAAATATTGTATGGTCTTTTTTATATAGCACTGTATTGAAATGCTCTGAATGGAGAGGCAACACGTTCCCTGTTCCGTCCGAGTAGACACATTCAACTTGTATATCTCTAATCAGGATTGTAATTTCTTCTTTAGTACCCAGAATTCACATCTATACTTATAACCTCCCATTGCTCTTACGTCGGAGGAGTACCCACTTTCAATGCCACTTTCCCGGTGTATCAATTCGAACCAGTTGGACGAGAGCGATAGCAAGTCCTCTGCAGACAGCTCCAACCCCCTCACAGGGGCATTGTGAACAGTCTGATCTGGATGCTTGATCTCATACACTGCGCCATCGTCCTCATAATGCCACAGCAATGGGCCATAATTGATCCAGAGCGCACCTGGCTTGAGACAATGGTTCAACGTCTTCAAGTATTCAATGACATTAGAGGACGTATCAATGAAGAAATGTGTAACGACACAATCAAAGGAGTTCGCATTCTCCTGGCGGAACTCCATGGCAAACTTCTCCTTGGAGTACGTCTGCGACTCCGAGAGATCTTCTGGGCCGTACAGATCAGTGAACGAGCCTGAGGCAATGGACATGAGGTCTGCAAAGTCGGTAGTTGGATGGTCTTTCTGTATCATTTGCAGCTCTGTGAGAGGGTGTGCGTCTGGGAAGAAGATGGGCCTCGTCTGTAAACTCCTTGAGTATTGGTTAGAAGTCGAATGAATGAAGGGGAAGATCGAGTGTTCATTCGCCATACGCGTGCAGTTCAAGATGTAGTTGGACGCCAGAAGCATATGGTAGCTGAACTCATTTCCCTGGCACCAGAAGCCCATCTTCACAAGCTCATGGTTGAGCCTACCAAGCCCGGCTCCTGGCACGAGAACCCGTGCCTTTGACCTCTGCTCGAAATCAGGGAACTCTCGACCCAGAACACCCATTATTCTCTCTAGCCCAGTACACCTCTCCTCACAGCCTTCGCTGGACCACTCCCTCACGATCTGCTTCATGACATAGCGCACCTTATCATAGTCTTGATACTGAGCGCTGCCCCACGTATCGGGACTAGACACAATGCCCCATGAAGGAGCCACGGTGACGGCAACCTGGCGCATGAACTCACCATTCATTCGAACACACATCTCCAGGTTCGCAAGGTAGTCGTGAAACCAGGGCAGCAACTGCTGCTCTTCGAAAGTGAGCGACTCGTATTTGGCTCTCTTGCTCAGCACGATGTCTCTGCGCGCAAAGTCCTCATAGTGGTAGTACGCTGTCCTTCTCCCAGCCACAATTGTCAGTATATGAGTACACCATTAGGCCCTCAAATTGAGCATCATACTAACAGCACATCCAACAGCACTCGCTGCTCAGCCTTCAGCTCTTCCTCATCCATTCGACCAATGCCTGCGATGCGTAGGCCCGCTTGACAAGTCGCTACGCTGGTGCCCAGGAAGCAGCCCACGCAGCTCCTTCTAAAAGATTCCGAGCACACTCCGCCAGGGCGTTCCGGGCAACAAACCTCCCCGTGGCGAAGAGCCACCGCGCTGTGCCCCCGTTGGAGGCCACGCCGTCCACGCCAGGAAAGCGAGTCATTGGCATAACGGCACAGGCCTGAGTGCCGGTCAGTTGATGGTGTGCGCTGCCTGGAGGCTCTCTGCGCTAGTTTCTGTGCCCTTAGCGGCCAGCCAATCCCATCTGCTCGCCACTGGCCCAATCAGACGTCTCGAATTGACACTTATCCCACGCTTCAAGCCCTACCCCAGATTTCAAGTCTCCATCAATCCGGACGGTCCCATCTCTGAGGAAGCAAGCTGGGAGGAAATTGACTCGGTTCCCGCTTCGATGGCAGCTTGGTCCTCGCCGTCAGCCCCATCGTAGATAGACAAGTGTGTCATGACGATACGTAACTTCCATCAACTACGAGTGCTGGGAAGAAGCCATGGCGTAGGCCATTGGCTTCTCCTTCCCGTCCTGTTTGTAGCGGCATCGCTTGATCAGCTCGGCCTTGTCCGATTGGCTTCGGATTCCATCATGAGACGTACGCCAGGTTGCTCCGCCTGTTTGGTGGAAAACCTGTGTGGCTCTGCCTATAAAACGGTTTCTCTGTGTGTCTGTGTGTGGGTTTTTGCCTGCCTGGGCAGACGTGCTGGGCAGAGCCGCTGGGCAGAGCCGCTGGGCAGAGCTGCTGCGACAATCGATTCAGATCTCACGCTCGTCAGCGCGCGGCCTGCCCCGCCAGAGGTCCCTCATCCTGCAATGACGATGCCGTTGTTTCTCCTTCTGAGCAGCTGGACGTTTTGCTTCCTCTTCGCCGAGCTCCCTGTAGTACTGCCATGCGGTTCATGCAAAGTGTTCACGGGACATTGTGCATGTGCTTTGGTAACAAGTTGCTTACAGCGTGGTATCTTGTTCATGCGTTGATAACGACTCACGAGTCAAAAAGACTCAGCTCTTCATGACTTCGACCACCTGGGGAGCCGTCTATAAAAGATGGGTGGAATCCCTCTCCCAGGTAGAGCCTGAATCACTGATCAGACCATTGATATCTCCATTGCACGAAGAAATCTATACACAATGGTCAAAGTCACGCTTGAAGGAGTCCAACTGCTCGCACCGGTGTCCAACGAGGCACAGTACGCATCAGGCACCACGGTTGCAGACATCATCACGAAACAATCACTTGAGTTCGTGACGCTTTTGCACAGAACTTTCAACGCTCGTCGTAAGGAGTTGCTTGCCAACAGACAGAAAGTTCAAGAGAAGCTCGACAACGGTGAATCGCTTCACTTCCTCGAGGAGACTGAGGCCATCAGAAACGACCCAACATGGAAGGGTCCGATCCTCGCTCCTGGGTTGATCGAGAGAAATACCGAGATTACCGGCCCACCAACCAGAAACATGTTGATCAATGCGTTGAACTCTGATGTCAAGACATACATGTCTGATATCGAAGATTCTGCTTCGCCAACATGGGACAACGTCGTTTATGGCCAGCTCAACTTGTATGATGCCATCAGAGGTCAGGTTGACTTCACCAACGCCGCTGGCAAGGAGTACAAGGTTACCAAACCAGTCGGCAAGACGCCAACTTTGATCCTCAGACCAAGAGGTTGGCACATGGTAGACAACCACGTTGTTGTTGACGGTGAGTCCATCTCCGCCTCTTTGTTCGACTTTGGGCTCTACTTCTTCCACAACGCTAAGCAGCTCATTGCCAATGGCCATGGTCCATACTTCTACCTTCCTAAGATGGAACACCACCTGGAAGCCCGCCTTTGGAACGACGTATTCAACGTTGCACAAGACTTCCTCGACATTCCTAGAGGAACTATCCGTGCCACTGTTCTTATCGAGACTTTACCAGCTGCTTTCCAAATGGAAGAAATTATCTGGGAGCTCCGTGATCACTCTTCTGGTTTGAACTGTGGCCGTTGGGATTACATCTTCTCCACCATCAAGCGTCTGAGAAATAACCCAAAACACATCCTGCCAGACCGTGGTCAAGTGACCATGACTTCGCCATTCATGGATGCCTACGTCAAGCGTCTCATCCAGATCTGTCACCGCCGTGGTGTTCACGCTATGGGTGGTATGGCTGCTCAAATCCCAATCAAGAATGACCCAGTTGCTAACGAGGCTGCTATGACTAAAGTCCGCAACGACAAGATCAGAGAGCTTACAAAGGGCCATGATGGTTCTTGGGTTGCTCATCCAGCTCTTGCTGCAATCTGCAACGATGTGTTTAGCGAGATGGGGACAAAGAACCAAATCCACTTTATCCCAGATTATGATGTCCCAGCTTCAGAATTGACAAACACTCATATCGAAGGTGGTAAGATCACTGAGAATGGTATCAGAGAGAACTTGTACATTGGTCTTAACTACATCGAAGCATGGTTACGCGGATCCGGTTGTGTTCCTATTAACAACTTGATGGAAGATGCTGCCACTGCCGAAGTTTCCAGATCACAACTATACCAATGGGTTAGACATGGTGTGACTTTGGATGACACAGGTGTCAAAGTAACCCCAGAGTTAACTACTAAATTACTTGAGGAAGAAACCGCAAAACTTCTGAAGACAGCACCAGCAGGAAACAAGTTTGAGCTGGCTGCAAAATACTTCAAACCTGAAGTGAGGGCTGAAAAGTTCAGTGAATTCTTAACAACCATGTTGTACGACGATGTGTCCACTCCAGGTGAGGCATTCAACCTCGCGTCACTCAAGCCATAGTACCACTCAACTACAACAAAGATTTTCTATAGGTAATAGCATTGATTAAGAGAAGTGTTGGGTGTTTGTAGTCAACGGCGAACCTATAAACCAGCCGATGTGATGTTAGAACTACCTATTCATCTGAGAAGGGTAAGAAGCTGACCACTCATTGATGTGAAGCATATGTTGACGGTAGAAAAAGAGAAGAAGAGAATGTGTGAAAATACCAAATCATGCGTAAAGAAGGGAGAGAGGAGAGGAAGAATCACTCTGACTGTTAGATACTCTGCCTTGTGATATAAAATGAAAAGAAAACTGCACAACACAAAACAAACGTTGGAACTCGTAACACAAACATGGGCAAGAAACACTTGAAAGAATTGAAAGGGACGGCCCGGTCCCAGCGTGGTTTGAGTACGAAGTACTCCACCGAAGAAGGAGTGAAACATAGAGTGATCACCAGTTTGTTGCCTAATATCTTTAACAGATGATGCTGATAGAGGAAAGTAGATGAAAGAGGACGAAAGAGAAGAGGGACAAGAGCAAGGGGAAGAAAGGCAACAAACCAACGTTTCAGAACAACCAAGCAGCAACAGCAGCGACGCCAGCCGACACTGAAAGCAACCCGCTCGTCAACATCATAGCACCACTCTCGGATTCGTCGACATCCGGCACAGTTTCGTTCGTTTCATTGGATACGACTTCTGTTTCGTTGGCGTGAGGATAGTCAAACTGTGGGATCTCTGTGCTTTCGTCATCCAGGTCAAAAACACTTTCGTCTATATCTACTGAAACTTCTTCTGTAGTTTCTACCGCCTTGTTAACAGCGTCTGGTTCTGTTGTTTGAAGGTCCGCCGCAGCTTGAGCCAAAGCAACAGCTGAAAGAGTCAATGTGATGAAGAGCTTGATGTACATTTGTTGAACCTTTAAGATATCAAGTGATAGTGATCTCGTTTTGAGCTGAATACCAGGAAGAGAACATTCATTTGTGAACAGTCAATCCTCTGCCTTTATATCCAAAGTGAGAATTGTGACACAAAAACATAATTGCTGCTCTTACACAATGGTGAGCCCTGTTCTTTTAAGTTCTTGTGGCATCAATGACAAAAAATGCTTTGTTTACGTTTTGACGTAAACAATTTGAGGTGAATAATGTAACTACGACAACCAAGAATGCAAAACAGAAAAAAAAAAAGACGCAAAATGCCGGCGGCGCTATGACTCAATGGGGGAAAACAACGGGGAGAAGAAGGAGTCAAAAAAGAGAAAACGCCATATGGGAAAAAAACTGTGGCTTTTGTTACTGATTAGACTCAAAATTTTCCCGCTTTCTTGTGTATTTCTCTCATCTTGCCTATATACTCTTGAAGTTAGCTATCAGAATTGCAACAATCATGGTTAAAAACACTTCAATCAACACCTTAGTGGTGTCTTCATACAATGGCGATCAACACAACGCCTCAGTTGCTCCGTTGTACCAAACAACCACGTTTAAGCAGAACTCTTTGACCGATATGGGAGAGTACGACTACACAAGATCTGGTAACCCGACCAGAACTCTTCTTGAGCAAAAACTGGCAAAGATCATGAAAGCTGAGAAGGCATATGCTGTTACAAGTGGTATGGGCTGCTTGGACGTGATCACGAGACTCCTCGGTCCTGGTGACGAAGTTATTGCTGGTGATGACTTGTACGGTGGTACCCATAGATTACTCACTTTTATGCACAAGAAGGGCGCCATCAAGTTGAAACACATCGACACTACCAACACTGAAGTGGTCAAGAAGACATTGACCAAGAACACCAAAATGATATTCCTCGAGTCCCCAACCAACCCTTTGATCAAAGTTGTCGATTTGCCAGCAATCTCAAAGTTTATCAGAGCCAACTACCCAAACTGTCTCATTGTCTTTGACAACACCATGATGACGCCTTTGTTGATTTCCCCACTAGATTATTGCGATATCCAGTACGAATCCGCAACCAAATATCTGAATGGTCACCACGATATCATGGCTGGTGTCATTGCCGCCAGAGATCCAAAGATCATCCAGGACTTGTACTTTGTAATCAACGCCACCGGTTGTGGGTTAGCTCCATTCGATTGTTGGTTATTACTCAGAGGATTGAAGACATTGTCTATCAGATTTGAAAGACAGCAACAGAACGCTTTGAAGTTGGCGGAGTGGTTGGAGAAGATTGGTTTCAAGGTGAGATTCCCAGGCTTGAAGTCACATCCACAGTACGCACTGCACAAATCCTTCAACAAAGGGTTCGGTGCGGTCTTGTCCTTTGAAACCGGTTCCATCAAGCAATCAGAGGCTATCTGTGAAGGTACCGCTATTTTCGGTGTCACTGTTTCCTTTGGATGTGTCAACTCCTTAATCTCCATGCCATGTAAGATGTCCCATGCATCCATCGATGCAAAGACCAGAGCTGAGAGAGCCCTTCCTGAGGATTTGATTAGACTCTGTGTCGGTATCGAAGATATCGATGACTTGGTTCAAGATTTGGAACAATCCTTGGTGAACAGTGGGGCCGTTAAGAAAGTTGGCAACCAACTGATTAGACAATACACTTCCAAGTTGTGAACAGATGTTATGTTCAAATTGCATATTGAGTTTGTTTTCAACATCACAAAACTACAAATCCCCATGCCATAACAGGCCACGTTAATCAACGTGACTTTCTCTTGAAGATATATGGAGATGTTTCAACATACACTTCATAAGTGATCTTTTCCCTTACAGACTGTCTTTTTTTTCTATTACACATTGCATCTATAGAGGAGGTTTCCAACAACCTATGTTTTTTTTTTTCACTTTACTGCTGCTTATATCCTTTTTTTTCTTGTTTGCTTTTTTCTCACCTCTTTATTCTAATCATTGTCATTAGAATAAAGGGAAAGGATTCACAATTCCAACATTGTTGATTCCTCATGTTACGACCGACATCCTTGGTTACAATTCCAACATTGTTTCCAATTTCCATTTGTCCAAAATTCTCTTCATTTGTTGATAAAGATGGAGGAATTATTGGACAACCATAATGACTACCGTTCAATTCCAACATTGAGCGGTCACTTGATGATCATGATGACTATAAATACAAGCGCTGGTATTCCAACATACACAGTTAGCATATATTTATGTATACAAATTTACATTAACATTCTAATGCTGAATTTATGATTGTGATGTAGTATCCAATGATGATTTGCTCTCTTTGGTGTGTTCTTCAGACGTTTTTTGATAATGCCTCGTATGCCGGCGTAACGTTTTCATAACGTTTTAAGAAGAAGAGTTTTTTATTCCTATCGAGATAGTTCAAGAGTTGTTCAATGTGATCCTTTAATGTTCCAACGCTCTGTTGGTCCATGGTTGTCTGTGCAATCAATGCAGGAAGAGAAACCATCAATCTCAGCAAATGTTCAGCTCCATATATTTGACTAGGTTCCTGATCTTTGAGCTTTGGGTCCTTTGTAATCTCCAAGTATTGTTGTCTTTCAAATCTGTACAGTAAGATGTTCCCCAGGGATCTGTTGAAGTATATTCTCATTCCTGACAAGAACTCATCCAGGATCTCATTCTCCACCGAGCTTTTCCTTCCTAACGATTGTCTAAAGGTCCTTAGCAGTGAATCCACATTTGGCTTTGTGGGTAGTGATAGTAGTTGATGTTCCTTCGTGACCAGTTCCCAGTCATCCACCAGTAATGATTTCAGAGTATCGGGAATCAGAATGTTGATCTCTGGTTTCCTCAAGTACTCCTCCTCCGTCTCCATATCCATGTCGTGACGTCTTCTGTTGGCTCTTGTGACCAATGCAGTGGATGTCGACGACTTTGAAACGTTTAGCGTTCTCTTACTATTTGTTGCTGACACACTCGACGTGCTGGTCAATGCTGCCTTCTTCAAGCTTTTCTGCAATTGCAAGTTGTCCAGTGTTAGCTCTTTAAGTCTGGAGATATCTACCCACTCATCCCACGAAGATTTCCAGCCTTTGTAGTGAATGTAATAAGTCTTGTCATTTTTCAACTCCTCAGGGATCTCATCCCACTTGACTGGCTCTTCACCGTCTTTTGTCTGAACAACGTCTTCGCCAGGTTCGTGAACTTTTACAATCTTGGCTTCGTAGAGCAAAGGCCCATGGTATGCCAGACATTTCGCATTGACAATCAAATCCGTCATGCTATCGCACTTTTGAAATCAACAGTAGTATACACAATGGCGTGTGATGTTACCTATTAGAGTGAGCTGATGAACACTGGATGAATATGCTTTGGGAAGTCGATTATTATCCGCAACTTGTGTTGTAATGCTCAACCACGGTGTTTAATCCCACTGTATGAAATTACAGACCAGAAGTGTAAGAGGAAGGAAAGATGCGAAATAACAAAAATAACATAAAAACGACAAAAAAAGCGAAAAACGAAAAACGACGAAAACCACAAAACCGAAAACGAAAAACATGTTCGCTCCAAAAGCGACAGCCCATCCAAACACCGCGAAACAAATGCATCTGCCAAAATGCGTGCGCAGGCGATGCGGGTAGGGTATTTCGGGCAATTTCCGCATTGGGCTATATCTCATACTGATAACTCCACCTGGAAGATACGCCAACATCGTCACCATCACTGCCCCCCCCATACAACACCACCCACAACGCATCATCTTTACCTGCTTTCACAATTAGAACACCACTGCCATCATAAACCTCGCTGTACCTCACCCTGTGCCCTGTCATTCTGATCGGCATCTCTATCTGAAAATTATATAACCATTTCAACCCTGCTATGTATTGCATTACAAATCTGACTAACCCCGCCCCGCCCCGTGCCCATCCTTAAACATCAACACTCATCAGCCACCGAAATGCCACCCGCACACACGCTTCTCATCCCACTTCAACAGCCTCCCACGCCATCCGGTTCTGTGTACAATGTGCCCTTGCCACACAACTCGTTTTGTGTTCACCGCTCAAATTTCACAGCAAAGTAAGGGCACAGCGCCTGCCCCCCTCGAAAAGTAAAAATAAGCACGCGAATCATATCCTTACTTTGTTTACATAATAATTGTACCATTAAAAAAGTCTTTGTTCCAAGTCGTTGGCCGATTTTTTTTTTGCTCCCCTGGGACGCCCTTTAAATTTTTGTGCGTGAGAAAGTGGAACCGTTCTGTTTTCATTTTTTCGCTTGTGTTCTTCCCCCGTTTGTTTGGTTTTTCGTCAATTCCTCCCTGTTTTGTGGAAATTGCTGTAATTTTCTCTCCAAAATCAACGACATTTGACAGCCCATTCACATTCCCACCCTGTGATTTTGGAGTCGACAAGGGGAGCACACACGACGGAAACATCAACAGAGAGGAGAAATTGTTTTGCAAGGACGTTTGATACCTTTGAGGACTGAAGAGATGTCACAGAGCCAAAACGCAAACGTTATTGGGATCCACTACAAGGTTGGGAAGAAGATTGGGGAGGGCTCCTTTGGTATTATCTTTGAGGGTGTGAACTTGTTGAACAACCAGCAAGTTGCCATCAAATTCGAGCCGAGAAGAAGCGAGACGCCTCAGTTGAGAGACGAGTATAGGGCTTACAGGATATTGGCTGGCACATATGGAATCCCCAGAGCCTACTACTTTGGTCAGGAGGGACTGCACAACATATTGGTTATCGACCTTCTCGGGCCTTCGTTGGAGGATCTCTTTGACTGGTGCGGACGGAAATTCAGCGTCAAAACAGTGGCACAGGTTGCCAAACAGATGATCACCAGAGTCCAGGCGATACACGACAAGGATCTAATCTTTAGAGATATCAAGCCGGATAACTTTTTAATTGGAAGACCGAACACACCAACGGCGAACACGGTGCACATTGTGGACTTCGGAATGGCCAAATATTATAGAGATCCAAAGACCAAGCAGCATATTCCATATAGAGAACGTAAATCGCTGAGTGGAACTGCAAGATACATGTCTATCAATACACATTTGGGCAGAGAACAGTCGAGAAGGGACGATTTGGAGAGCTTGGGTCATGTTTTCCTGTATTTCTTGAGAGGTGCATTGCCGTGGCAAGGTCTAAAGGCTCCAACTAACAAGCAGAAGTATGAGAAGATTGGCCAGAAGAAGAAATCGACCCCAATCGCCGAGCTCTGTGAAGAATTCCCTCCACAGTTTGGCGAGTACTTGACCTATGTCAGAAACTTGAAATTTGAAGAAGATCCAGATTATGATTACTTGAGATCCCTTATGGATGCTGCATTGGAGTCTATTCATGAAACTGAAGATGGATATTACGACTGGATGGCACTAAATGGAGGCAAAGGCTGGGACTCACAGATTAATAAGAAACCAAATCTACATGGTTACGGGAACCCAACTCCAAGAAATACACAACAGAATTTCCCATTGAGTGGTCAACAGCAACAACAGCAGCAGCAACAGCTGTCCTCACAGACCAAGCAAAAGGTCCATTCCTTGAATAACTCAAGATCAAAGATTCCAAAACTTGCACAGGGAAACTACTTGATGAATTCATCGCAGTATGCAATAAACTCAAACAAAGTTAGTGATCCTCAGCAAAACCTGATTGGAGATCAAAACGATCTGAGATCTGAAACATCCTCGAAAAAGGGATTCTTTGCCAAATACTGCTGCTGTTCCTGAAGTGTAATATTAAAAGAAGGGCATGTTTAATCATAATTTACTTGTATTCTGAAAGAAAGTCATACAAAATCACAACACTAAGAAGAGAAGAAAAAATGAAAAAAAAAATACAGAAACAAAAGACCGTCCTAGTGCTCTTAGATATTGAACTCTTTCATCCAGGTTGCATTTCAACATAAGGGTTATACTTGTTGCCGGTGCAGTCTTTAAATAATCGTCATGCTAATGCTTCAAGCGAGAACTGAAAGCCTTTCCGTATAGTACGTATTCTTAATAATCATGTTATGTCTAGACCATGTGAATTGACACTACACACCTTTGGTGTATTTCGTACTATCTACTTGAAATGAATTATAAATTTGATCACAGATCATTGGTTTTGATTAAGTTGTCGGTGACATGGAAAGTTAATTAACATCGAGCGCTAACAAGTTAGGTGCTCATGTATTGGGATATCATTTCGTTCAAGGAGTACCAGCAGCTTGTACTGTGTTATAGTTAAATATAAGCCATGGGCTGTCTTTCAACAAGTAACCTCATGGATAAGTCCAAAGGAACGATCTTTTCATAGGTGAAAGCAGCTTCCACTTCTTCAGAGCGTGAAACGTCAGTACTTAGTGAGTAATCTGTTCCATCGCTGTCGTGCAAAGTATCTCCAGAGACTCTTCTCGTGTTTGAAGTTTCTCCTTTCAGGAGAAGCTCAAACTTTTCAACTAAAGTAGATGTGGAATCGTTTTCAAGTTTTGTCAAAGGCTTGGACAGTGATGGCTCAAGAGTCAATGAGGAACTCTTAGCCACCGATATGACAGGAGAAGACTGTGGCGAAGCCTCGTACAAAGTGCGAGATGATGATGAAGGTGAACCTGGAGAAGACGATACCGAGAGTATTGGGAACTCGCTCAACATCTCCTCCATAATAGTATCAGAAGTACCTTCCTCCACTGTGAAAGAGTCTGCACCTCTCTTATCATGAGCACCAAGGAACGCCGAGCTATCAATAGACAGTATTTTACTTCCAGTGGAACACATATCAACAATTGAAGTCTTTGCTGCTGGGATCAAGCTACCACACTGTCTTCTCTTCAAGTTTGCATAAATGTCCTTGTCGTCTGTAAAGAATTGATCTGCCATATACTTAACACTTTCGAGACCTTCTCTGAGACAACATTCTGAAAGGTCTTCTGTCATTGGAACATCCCAGTGAATTATACAGCCGTCCTTACCACCAGTGTACAAATCAGCAGAACTCTCCTCGGACCATTGAATCGACGTCACCATGTCTTTATGGCCAGCCAATTTACCAAAGGAGTTCTGAGCTCGGATATCCCACAGTCTCACAGTTCCATCAATGTGCGAAGCTGCTAAGACGTTTGAGTCGTATGGTGCCCATTTAATACAGTTTGAGGCACCAAGGTTCTGTCTTGGTGTGAAAACGGAAGGTGTTCCAGTTGGTGCTCGAAGGTCATTCAGAGCAATACCAAAATCACCAGCTAGTGAAATCATTCCATTCTGGGCTAAAGATGCATCAAAACTCAGTAGACCCAGGTGCTGAGTCTTCAGAATTGGTAAATCTGATCTGTGGTGCATGTCCCAAAGGAAAATGCTTTCATTACAGCTGGATAGGAAGTTCTGTCGGTTGTTGATCCAATTTGGCAGCACAAGCTGATCCACGCTTATTGAACGTTGATAGTTGGATGTGAAGTGTTTCTTGTGGTTAAATCTCTTTATGATACTGGCACTCTCTTCGGAGTTGGAGTCAGGGATAGAGACGATATGTGCGGAGCCGTTTCTATGGCCTGTGAGAAGCAGGCTTTCAGCCTTATCGTATCCCAGCCACTGTGTGCTTTGTATATATGGAAGCGATATGGTTTGTTGATGTGTCAGCGACATGTCTTTGTAATCAATGTCATAGATGAAAAGGTTCGATTCGCATTTGCCTGAGGCAACGGCCAACTGTTCTGGGTTCTCTTTGTTCACAGAGATGGATGTAAGAAACAACTCGTCGTCTGGTATTCTCCAGTAGTTGGAACAGATGTTTGATTTTGGACTTGGTAGCGTCTTGTTGATAATTTCCCTGTCTGCTTGGTGATAGAGCCGGGTATCGTGTGGAGCTGATACCGATCTCATCTTGGAAGTCATCGCGTTTTGTCTAAAGAGTGTGGGTGGAGAATAGTGGTCCATGGAGGAGTTGATCGTTCAGTAAGAGCAGCTCCAAAGGAAGCTGAAGAGACACCTTCTCAACTGCAAACTCGAAGAAACGACTGTTTATATAAAAAGCACCACAACCGCTGAGGCTGGTTGTCCCATGCGAAGATAACCTCCATATGTTTGTTTTGATAAGAAATCTGGACCTCGTAGCTAAAGAAACAACGCCCGTCATCCCATATTCCACACACCACATCGCTTCATTTCTTCCGCTCAATGACAGTCAAACGCATATGTCCCTACAGTCCTACGCTATAACCATGGTTTTGTTTACTTGGCTGGTTGTCCTTTGTTTACCTTTTTCTTCGGACATATGAGACTTTGACGCAGGTGAGAAGCTTTTGCTGTGCGCGCGCGCTTTACACCGTCCAGCCACCACCTCATAAGGCCCACTTTTTTATTTGTTTGGCGGGAAATGGGTCCCCTGGGCCTGGAAACTGTGGGAGGAGTTCTGCCGAGCTCTGCGCGCTAGCTTTAACCCATCGAACTGAGCGGCATCATAGAGGACATAGTTACCGGGGAATCGGTATCAAAACATAGTGTAAACAAAGATGGACTCCTAACCAGCCATCGATAGTCGGAGGGTTTATATGATAGAGGTGGCTTTATTGGACGGTTCTAGCTCCGGTTATGGGTCCTCAGGGTAAAGAGACTACAGGCACAACGACAAATGGAGCCATGTCGTTCGCTTCCTGTGTGCAGTATACAGCTAGCTTGTCGTATTATGTACTATTGAGTGCAATTAGATGCCGCCAACAAAGTAGTCCAGCAAGTCCACTTTGGTCACAACGTGCACCGGCTTCAAGTTCTCGTCGGTGACAATGGCACAAGCGTTCTTCTCGAAGAACTTGTTCAGCTCCTTTAGAGTGGTTTTGGTGGTGATCTGCTGGAATTTCTTTTTAGACGACTTGTTGTCGTTGAATAGGTTGACATCGTCAAAGTTGTTAAGCTTTCTGAAATCGAGGATTATTGGCTCGATGTTGTCGTTCAACGACACTGATCCAGATGAGACTGATTTTAAAAGCTTGCTCAGAGTTATGAGACCGATAAGTTTCTCGGTTCCCTTTGCAAGAACTGGTAATTGATCGAATCCGTTGTCCTTAAGGAGCTTGATAACGGTTTGAACCTTCTCATCAGAGTAAACAGCCACGACGGGCTTCAGGTTCAAAGATGCAATGGTTTCGGTTTGTAAATCTTCGGCCTTTGGCTTCGTGTTGATTTCAAACCCGTTGGATTTCATCCATTCATCATCTGCAAACTTGGTCAAATAGGATCTGATAGAATCTGGGAAAACAACAACGATTGTATCCTTCTCCGTGAGCTCTGGGTGATCGTTACAGTACTTTACAACGGCGGCCATTGCAGATCCGGATGAGCCACCAACCAAGATACCCTCCTCTGAAATGATTCTTCTAGCCAAAGTGAAGGACTCCTGGTCCTCAGTCTTGTACCATTGGTCAACTGATTCTCTCTTCAAAACGTCTGGAATAAAGTCGTAACCAATACCTTCGACTTTGTATTGAGTAACATCAGTCTTGTTCAATGTCTCTGGCACGGCCAAAATGGATCCGACTGGGTCAGCACCAACAACTGTGATGCTAGGATCCTGTTCTTTCAAATATCTGGAAATACCAGTGATAGTACCACCAGTACCTGCACCTGCAACAAGGGCGTTCAATTTACCACCTGTTTGCTTCCAGATTTCGTAACCGGTTGTGTAGTAGTGGGCATCCGGGTTGTTAATGTTACCGTATTGGTCCAAGATGACACAGTTCTTGATCTCCTTCTCCAATCTCTTTGCTACACCAATGTGTGATTCTGGGGAGTCAAAAGCAGCCTCGTTTGGGGTTCTGATGATCTCAGCACCCAATGCTTTCAACACAGAGACTTTCTCATTGGACATCTTCTCTGGCAAAGTGATGATCACTCTGTAGCCCTTAACGGCACCAGCCAGGGCCAAACCGATACCAGTGTTACCAGAGGTTGGCTCACAGAGAACATAACCTGGCTTGATTCTACCTTCCCTTTCAGCCTCCTCAACCATTCTGAGGGCAATTCTGTCCTTGATACTTCCACCAGCGTTGAACAACTCAACTTTGGCAAGCACTTGGGGCTTAATCCCCAATGATTGTGGCACCTTGTTCAATCTAACTAGTGGCGTATTACCAATCAGCTCGAGAATGTTCTCGTTGAGCGCTGGAATCTTTGAATCTCTTTCAGACATCGTGGATCTCTATAATCTTCGACTTGTAGTCAATCGATGAGCTTGTGTAGTTCAGAAGGTATGGATTGAATCAGAAAATTCCTCTTCCCATTAAAGGGACCGGACAAGCTATACAACCTGACAGGCCACACCTCCCACTTGACCGCACGGCAAAAACTACTGGAACACTTGGACATAAAGAACTATCGGCTCTACAAAGGCTTCTACCTTTTTTATGTGTGATTATATACGTGTAAAGAGAGCATGATCCATGTATTAGCTGAGCAAGACACTGAAGCGTCGATGATCTACAAGTCACCATCGATGGCCTCCAATGGGTTGAAACAGTAGCGTCTCTGGAGGGAACTCATGTTGAATGATAAATGTCGTGCAGTCTGTGCGTATGACTGCGTATCAAATTCCGTCAAGCCACATGACTCGATCATCATATGGCACGTGACTGGCGAAAAATCCTACGGCACGTGACTGGTGATAAATCCTATGGCACGTGACTGGTGATAACTTGATGTGGCAATATATTCGATCTCGAGACGCATCTGAGTAGCTACGTACTGTGCGTGATAGTTAGTACATTATCGGAGGACATGTCAACGGACCACCATTGGGAAAGCACTTATATTACTGTGTTGGTGAGTTATGTGTTACTGGCCATTACCCTACTTAGCGATGGTATTGTCAGCGGCTGGATTTTTGTTGGGTTACGAACTTTAAGATGAAGCGGTGGCTCAATGGTAGAGCTTTCGACTCCAGTTGGAATAGTGCAATCGAAGGGTTGCAGGTTCAATTCCTGTCCGTTTCAATCTTTTTTTTTTGATTAAAACAGTGTATACTGTCTTTGAGGTGATTAAGCTCGTAAAAGTACTGTTAAACATGTGTTCGATCTTCAGATGACTGTCCTACATCCTGAAGAATCTTTGTTGATCCACTTTACGCGCTATCTGCGATTCTAGCCATGGTGACAAGTTAGGAAGTTCTCTGAGAGGACCATTCCAACTACCTCGAACCCAACTCGGTATCAGTTTCACAAACTTGTTTTCTTCCTTCGTGTGCTTCACCATTGACAAATGATTTAACGAACGAGGTACGTGATAAATCAGAGTGCAAATTCTCCAAAAGGAAACTATATATGATTCGTGGAAGAATTGATTTCTCTTGATGATGTGGGCTTATTAGTTTGCCATATAAGGTTGCTTGGGTCCTAATTTCTTGTTCTATAAAAATCACCGTGACGACCAATTTTTTGTGGCCCTGGCGAAAATCACACAAAGAAGTAAACAAACAAGTAAACAATCGCGTAAATAATCAAATAAACAAGCTCTACAAGTTATAGAAGAGCCCTCATACCGACAGATTCGGAGACTCAATCGCTCACATTCGCTACGTGATGGGGTCTCTTTCTATTGAAAGTGGTTTACGTGATATCTTACTCACTTTGAACAAAGACAAACCATATGTCACATCTGCACAGATACATCAGTTCTTGGATGCTACTGAGTTGAAGTTCAATGTATTTCTAGACAGTGGCTACTGGAACACGGTACGGCTTTTCATATCCAAATATCCTGACTTGGAGGTTGATAAGAATATTTTTCTCGGATTCCTGGACGATCTTCTCCAAGTGGACCTTGTCAAATACTTGAGTGAAAAGATTGATCATAATGAACAGTTACAGAGGACTTCATCTCTCGGCTCACCTTTACGGTTGAGTGAAAATCAGCCAGATGAGATTCAAATAACTGGGAACATTTCTACGAAGCCTAGCATTTGTGACTACATATCTTCATCCCCAATGAGAACTGAGCGTCTCTCGAAAAAGAAACCACGTCGAGTGATAAGGATCAGTATATTCGGTTTATTACGATCATTCTTGAGCAAATTCACAGCAGCTCTACCGTGGATTAACGTTGTGCTGTTTCTCTTTGTGATTGCTCTGCTTTTACTCCAAAATATAAATCCACACCGTCACATTTTCCCTGTGTTGAAACGAATATTCCTTTACTCTTCTACAGATGATCTATATTGGTGGCAAGAAATACCCTGGTTAGAGAAAAGAGTATGGAAATTCCTCGAATGGATGAATATTGAGGAAACTGAACCCTTGCAACGATAGAGAGTGCTTTATATAAAGTACTCAATACTATGGACAATTTAAAAGCATAAATAATAAGGTAGATAACATATGTTAAAGTGTTGACTGATGATAGGTTTACATAGCTTCACATCATAGTATACATGTGCATAGCATTCACAGCAACTCCCACCGATTGTGCGACCAATTACTTCTTTCCTGGAGTCATGGACTTCAATATTGGTTCCACTCTGCGCAAAGGATTAGTATACATAGTCTGAATACATTCACACCATTCTCAAAAGCCATGAATGAAAACCAGGTACTTACATATCTTGTGAGATTGTGATACCGGCCTTCTCCATCTCGATCATTACTATTCAATTTTTCGTTAGTAGGATTCATAGAATGTGTAAATACCTGACTTGTGCATACCATTACGCAGAGCTTCCTCGACCTCTTTATCCTTCATCATCGATATAAATCTTCCAAACCCGGCTTGCTCCTTCAACCCTTTCTTATCCACAAGCTCCTCAAAATGTCTTAGCGCGTCCATGACTGAGGGGGTGGTTTGCATCTTGTAGATGAGATCAACAACCTTCGGATTCATATTATGGTTCTCTGAGGCGTAGCATCTCTTCGAGACAAAGACTGTTGAGCTCAAACTCGACACCCGCTGCTTACATACAGCTCTGAATGACCCAATCTGTAGTGTAGCTTGTCTTCTGAACATTTTCGTCTCGTTCCCCCAATGTTTACTGTTGTCAAATGTATTGTTATGTCGTTCGATTTTTGTACATTTGACATGAGCCAATATGAGAGCCCGCAATTGACGTTACTTTTGCGTCACACACTTCATTTCGGCTATGCACCACAACGGTTCATTTACAACCAAAACAAATAGTAATACACGATACAGTGGTGGAATAGGGTATAGAACAGAGGTATATGTATATATAATAGGTACCAGGGGTATCAAGCAGCAACTCAGGAGAATTTCCATCTGTTGCCACAGTTTTCACACGTACAAAAAGTTGTTAGAGGCTCATCAGCAGATCTGGTCTGCAATTGGTAGTAACTGACCTTCTTCTCTTTACACTTACCACATGTGAATCTATCTGTGACGGCTCTCTCTTGCGTGGCGCCTTGTGCGTTGAACAGGTTCTTCTTCTTGATCTCTTCCAGTTCCTTTTTAAGGGATTCCGGCGCCAATTCCTTCGTCGACATGTTGATAAGTTGGGAGGCAGCCAATTCACCATCGATGACTCTCTGTCTCAGCTCAGGGTTATTCTTCTGTCTCAGGTTTGATGTCAACGTTCTCAGTCTCTGTGCATATTTGGAGTTTGAGCTGGTGTCCATTTTCTCTGCCTTGAAGACTTCACGTTCAATGTCCTTTGCAACGGCTAACACCGCATGAGGAGGATGTTCCGAGTCGAAGCATAGCGCGTTGTACAACACTCTAACACAGTTGTTTCTCATCTTATTCTCGTAAACCTCTGTCTTTACTCCATCATTTTTATCGTTACGAGGTTGATGGGCGACGTACTTTTCCTCTTTCTTAGGTTCATTGCCATTAGAAGGTGTGGTGGAGCTCGTTTCCGGCATTGGCTTCTTTGCAGTGACACTCCCACTCTTCTGCTTCTTTTCCTTGGAGACTTCATCCCTCCAGTACTTGATAATCTTGGTGACCAACTGCGAAATCTCCTTGTTCTCGGATGATTTGTGCTTGTTCACTGCAATACCAACTTTTGTCTCCTGATTACGCTGTCAGTAATGCCCCAGGGGAGATGGGTTCAAGACATGTATGGTTGAAGAAAACTTACTCTTAAAAGCTTCTCGGTGGGTTTGATTTCCCTCTTCAAGGTATTCAGAATCTCTAACACGATCTTGTCATCCTTGGCCTTCTCCAGATGGACAATGTGTGTCTTTATCTCCTTCGCATCCATTGTGTCGTGTGAATGATTACTAACTTCTCCAAATATGGGCGATATTAAAGAGGTGTATATCTCGTTCTCGGATAGCCAGCGCAGTCCAGTTCAATACAATTATCCACAAGTACTATGTCTATCTGCAATCTATACGACACAGCCTGGCAAAATACCTATAAAACAGGGGAAACAAACACCTATTTGGTAACCTCCACAACAACACTTCCGTCCAATGTTGATACGGAAAACACCACCGATTTTTTGATGTTGACGTTTTTCGCCCAGCAGCCCGTGTTTTCTATGTGTGTGTTTTTTTCGCGCTCCTTCGCTTGTTTTGGCGCAGGTTTCACGAATAGGCGTGTAACACCCGGACACCAACAGTAACTACAGAAAAGCGCTTTGCTGAGCTGATGAGACGATGAAGCTACAACATGAAGGTAAGAGGCATAGAAGAAAGTAAAGAAGCATGGCTGAGAGACCTCCGAGTAAAGTGATCTACATAGGTTCCATCCCGTTTGACCAGACTGAAGAGCAGATAATGGGTATGTTCTGTGAGATATTCACAACCTTTTTGCTTGAGTCGAATTGTTTACTAATAGATGGTGTATCAGACATTGCAAAGTCCATCGGGCCGGTAGTGAAGTTGGAGATGATGTTCGATAAGGACACTGGAAGATCAAAGGGATATGCGTTTGTGGAGTACATGGGTGAGTTGGTGTTTGCACTGTTTTGTGTGGTGTTTTATTAGAAGTGAAGTTGACTAACTATAGCGCTGCTGGAAGATGTTGAAACGGCCTCATCCGCTGTGAGAAATTTGAACAACTACGCCATCGGCAATAGACAGTTGAAATGTGACTACAGTCGTGAGAATACCTTGGGTAACTCAGGAGCTAAGAATAAGCTGGAGGATAGCCTGCCTCCTTTGCCTTCAGGAGCGACACTGCAACCGGGCCAGTCATATACCGACGCCATATCAATGGTGATCAACTCCCTGGACAAGTCAAGGGTGGAGCAGATAGTGAAAGATGCAAAGGCAATGTCCATTAGAAACCCAGTGCTGATGGAGAACCTACTATCACAGTGTCCACAGCTGAGCTATGCCATTGTGGAGGCGCTATTCCAAACACAGAAAGTAGACCCTAATACGGTCGCCAGCATCCTGTTGAACAACGCTACTAGTCAACAGGAATCAAGTGCACAACCTCAGCAGGGCGCTCAACAATCAGAAGCTGGTGAAGAGGAGGAGGAGCTGAGCACTGAGCAGAGAGAATTGATCAAGCAAGTACTCGAGATCCCCGATGAGGACCTGAACGCACTTCCTGAAGAGCAGAGAGAGTCCATTCTGCAGATCAAAGAGACTTATAAAAACTACGCTAATTTATAATCAACTGAATATACTCGTGATCCTTGAGAGGGTTCATCCCATTATCGTCTACCGAATGCCACTGGTTGCGTAGTCTGTGTTGGTATACAGTGTGGTTCCTACCAGTGAAGTTTTCAGCCTTTTTTTACCCACGGTGCTCGACGAAACAACAAACACTGGACAAACAACACGGAACAGACAACGGACAACTTGCTCAACACCAGGCGGCTCGTGTAAATAGATAACCCAGTAAAGCTCACTACACCTCGCAATGTCTTCGAATGCTTACTCGTTGAGAAGCCGTGGAGGAGGGTCGGATGACCGCTCTGAGAAGCGCCAGAGAACAGATCGTCACACGGATAACTTTAGAAGTAACAACGACGCTGGTAATGCTGTCGGTTCAAATTCTCGTGTCCTGTATCTAGGGAACATCCCAAAGGACTGGACGGAGTCGACTGTGCGCAGTGTTGTTGCGGGATCTGGAAGGATTGTAGATGTGAGAGTTCGTATCGATTCCACAGGTCGTACCAAGAGCTATGTCTTTATCGAATACGAAACCCCTCAGGAATCTCAAAGGGGCATGTATTTACTATCACAAGTTCTTCTGGGACCTAAGAGAAAGTTCAAGGTGGAGTTCTCCAAGGAGCAGTACAGTGATGGTCAGCCTAAGCAGGTGATGCGCATGGAGAGAAGTAATATACCGTTCTATGTCCAATTGCCTCAGGAGATGATTGATTCTGTGCCTATGCCTGACGGTTACGTGTCACAACAGGATACGGTGAAACCGCAACAGTCTATAAGCCCTGAGCCTCAGCATATACAGCCTAGCAATCCAAAAGCTGCCACTCCGATGCCAGATATATTGACGAAGGCATCCCAATATCTACCGCAGTTTAACCCTGCTGCGTTCACCACTGAGGATAAGATTGCAGAGAATTTACAAGCGTTGAATCCACCGCAGATGATTCAACTGATCTCCACTGTTAAGTCATTGGCGTCTACAAACCCTGCAATGGCACAGCAGATCTTCTCAGTGAATCCGGACATTCCAGTGGCTACGGTGCAGGCCTTGCTCCTAATGGGACTGGTGGATGCCAACGTCCTCACAACAGCTCTACAGGTCACCAATCCCACAACGCATCAAAGCATAAAGCAGGAATCACCGCTGGTGAGTCGTCCAGCAATACAACAACAGCAACAGCAACAGCAACCAGATCCAAGATGGCCTAATCTTCCTCCTAGCGCTGCTGCGAAACTCGCCTCAATGCCACCACAGGAATCCGCCACTATTGCTCAGGTCCTACAACTCGACCCCAACGTGATTAGAACTCTGCCACAGGACCAACAGCAAATGATCTACAACATCAGACAGCAGTACTTGGGGTTTAATTAGTTGATGATGCTACTATGATTCCCTAACTTACGATCTTGTTACCCGGCCTAAAAGGTGTCACCGCGGTCTTCTGTAGAAATGATTACGTAAGTCATCGCCTAAAAAAATTCTCGCCCAGTTACACAAAGCTCACTTTAATGCTTTCACTATAGAAGTGCTATAGCAGCGTTATAAGCATCACTAAAGGTATTTCCGTCATGTCTGAGTTTCGCAAGCTCGGTGTTTCCAAGTGGCTCGAGGAGTCACTCAACGCCATGAAGATTTTCACCCCAACGGCCATCCAAAAGGCGTGTATTCCGAAGATCCTAGCTGGTGAGTATACTGTATATAACATCTTGAAGATATATGTAATAGTCCATGGCTAACTATTGACAGGACACGATTGTATCGGTGGTGCTAAGACCGGTTCTGGTAAGACGATTGCTTTCGCAGCACCAATGCTCACGCAATGGTCAGAAGATCCCATTGGCCCATTTGGCCTGGTGCTTACGCCAACTCGAGAGTTGGCTATGCAAATCGCTGAGCAGTTCGCTGCACTAGGTGCCACCGCTAACATCAAGATCGCACTGGTGGTTGGTGGAGAAGATATGATGACACAGGCCATCCAGCTAAAGAATAGACCGCACTTCATAATCGCAACGCCGGGTAGACTGGCTGATCACATCTTGCACAGTGGTGAAGATACCGTGGGCAGTCTCAGAAGAATCAAGTACTTGGTGCTGGATGAAGCGGATAGACTCCTCAGTGATAGTTTCACTAGCGATCTGGAGAGATGCTTCACCATTCTACCGCCGCCTGAGAAGAGACAGACTCTTTTATTTACAGCTACTGTTACCGACGCTGTCCGTGCCCTCAAGGACAAGAAACCAAGGGAGGGAAAGCCAGATGTATTTATTCACGAAGTGGACACCGTTGATAACGTTGCGATTCCAGATAAGCTGCAGACACACTATTTGTTTCTTCCATCGTACGTGAAAGAGGCGTACCTCTTTAGTGTTTTGAGCCATGAAGACAACAAGAACCTCACAGCCATTGTCTTTGTCAATAGAACCCACACAGCAGAGGTTCTGAGAAGAACCCTGAGAAATCTTGATGTTCGTGTCACTTCGTTGCACTCTGAGATGCCCCAGAACGAGAGAACGAACTCTCTACATAGATTCAAAGCTGGTGCTGCCAGAATCTTGATTGCGACAGACGTTGCGTCCAGAGGTTTAGATATCCCGTCGGTGGAACTTGTTATCAACTACGATATACCAGCAGACCCGGACGACTTTGTACATAGAGTTGGTCGTACTGCCCGTGCTGGTAGAAGTGGTGAGAGTATCAGTTTTGTCTCTGAGAAGGATGTCACCAGAATCTTAGCAATTGAAGATAGAATCGGAAAGAAGATGGACAAGTATGAAAAGATCACGGATAACGGTGTTATCAAGCACTCCTTACAAGAAACAAGTGTTGCAAAGAGAGAGGCACTGATGGCTATGGACAAAGAAGGGTTCGGGGAGAAGAAGAGAAACCATAAGAAGAAACTCATGGAGAGCAACAATAGATCTGCAAAGAGTCATATACACAGCAAAAAGACCAAGGTTAAGTCCAAGAGAGAGGTCTAAGTGACATAGTGCTCTGTCTGGTGGAGTAAATATACAGACATTCATCTTGTTGATGGAACCCATTTGAGCTCTTCACTATGTGCTGAAATGCTATCAATTCGATATACAATTGTAGATTATAGATCAGCCATTGTTCGGACCCGAATTAACGTACGCATTGCTTCAAGATGATTCACTCTTGATCGTGACAACCCTCTGCTTGCGGAAGTATGGTCTCCCATGCTCAAACAACCATTCTTCGGCATCTTTCGCACTCACCTCCACATCACCACTTGATCCACTTGATCCGCCTTTGGCCTCTTCCAGCACCATGCCCGGGACCGAAGAGCCGTTATTGCACGTGAGGAGATGTAGCTTGCATCCTAGCAACGCATAAGCAAGGCAATTGATACAAGGAAAAGAGCACTTTGCATACCATGTGCTATGGGACTCGGCCGTAAAGAGCCGATATATTATCTCGCAGTGCACTGTATATTATATAGCATGAGCCTTGTATAATAACACGAGACGTATACCCCAGTTAGGTGCATCTATATAATAAAGCACTTTTCCCCAGGTCTTGATGAGCTGTTGAAGTGTGGATATAAGGATCATCTCCATAGTGGAAATCAGCATAGCGATGGCTGTTCCGTACAAGCTTCCAACATCAACTTTCTTCACAGTCAACACCTTGGGCCTTGCCTTAGCACTCTGGGGGCTCAAGACCGAGCTCAATAACCCATTGCCTCCTCAACTACAAGAGGCTGGCCACTACCAGTTCTTGACAGATTTGGCATTGATCGTCACGGTTCTGTCAATAGTGTCAAACTATCTGATCATGATTCCAGAAATCGGTGAGGATTTCTTCACTGTTCAGTTGACAGCAATTTTGAATGCTACAGCACTGGTGTTTGAATCTCTCATCAGCTCCATCTACTGGACGCTGAGAGCCATTGACCCAACCCTTCTCTTCCCAGATAACGAGGAAGAACGCATCATCCTGTCCACTGCTTTGGACCTGACTATTCACCTGTTCCCGGTTCTGTTCCTCTCCTCTGAGTTCTTCTTGAACAGATCAACACGGTTCCCACTGAAGTACCAAACTGTCATTGCTGCCATCTCCTTCTTCTTGATTGTCTACTGGGTGATCCTGGAATCTGTCGTCAAAGACCCATACCCTTACCCTTATGAGTTTCTCAACGTTGATCCAATCACTAGGGCCTTTGTCTTCGTGTTCATTGCATCACTTGGGTTCACATACTACTTGGCTTTCGAGTTCTTCCACAGTGTCATTGAGACTGCTCCAGCAGATGGAAAGAAGAAAGATGAGTAGTTGTTGCTCCAACGCTGTACATAAAAAGGGACATAATACTCTCGTGACCATAGTGTACATGTAGAATTAAACCTTTATAAAAGAATATCTAGTAGCCCTTCTTCTTTTGCTTGGTGATGTGAGCCCTGAGGATCTTCTGTTTGTCACGAAGTGACTTCTTGGCTTTGCCTTGGACATCTCTCTTGTGGATCATCATGACGAAGTTCTTCTTTCTGGCCTTCTCACGGTTCGTTGTGGAGTGAGGAGCATCTCTCTTACCCTTACGAGAACCGAACTTTTCTCTATCTTCACGACCTTCTTGTGCGTGTGCAATTCTTTCCTCACGTAGTTGCTTGTACTTCACTGGTCCGACCAATGACGAAGAATCAACTTCCTCCTCATTTCTACTTCTCTTGACACCCATAATCTTATCCAGGCCAGCTTGAGTTCTAAGCTCCTCAATCTTTTGGAAATCAGCAGGTGTCAAAATACGAGAAGATGCGAGCTCCCTGAAAGCAGCTTCTGGGTCCAAGCTTGGCTTTTGGTTAGCTTGCTCCTTCTTAGACTCGCCATCTTCGTCATCAGACAGGTCCAAGTCGGAATCGGAATCATTATCCTGTTGTTCCTTCTTATCCTTCTCGTCCTCTGAATCACTGATGTTGTACTCCTGGTCTGATTCCACTGTCACCCAGTCGCCGTCAATGTCTTCTTCATCTGAGCCAGAATCGACTTCCCAGTTGGCATCGTCCTCCTCATCCTCATTACCTTCGAGACCTTGATCGTTTCTCCACTGAGCCAAGAGCTCGATACCTGGAATTCCAGACACGTTGTTCTCGACACCAAACTGTGGGAGACCACGCTTCTCCCCTGAGCTGATCTCCATGGAGGCAACTTTACCACGGTCTTTACGTTTAAGCATCTCCGGTGCGACTTCTCTGTATAACGAGATCAAAGACTTTGCTGCAATGTTAACAGGTTTCGATTTGGAGCCCTTGTATTCCGTCAAGTCTTGCAAAAGAGTCTCATCAATGGCCAATGGGTTTCTGGAAAGGATTTCACGGATTGTATTGATACCAGCTGCTGCAACTTCTGGTGCAACACCATCAGAGACGAATTCATCAGCAATCTTTCTAATGACAACGTTGATCGACTCTGGTGGAACCAAATCATGGGAAGCTTGGGCAGCTGCTGCCATAATCTGTGTCACATCTCTTTGCTTTGGAGTCAAGTATTTCAAGAAGAACGAGTAAATACCGAGAACAGTCAACTTGTGTGTACCTATAAGTCTCGAGGTAAGGTTCATAAGAGCAATTTTCTGCTCGAGGTTGAATTTGTTGGCATTCTTACCGTTCATATGGGTGTCGAAAAGCTGTTCTGCAAATCCTTGAGGATCACGTAAAAGATGAATGGCTGAAAAGTTCAAGTATGTTGCAGAGTGTTTAGGTTTATCTTTCTTCTTCATCTGCTTCATTGCATTCTCCAATTTCTTCTTGGCTTTACCAGTCTTCTTGTTGATGGTCATTCTGTGCTTCATACCGTCGATATCGAACCCATCTTCATCGGAGTCTTCTTCAAAGTTCTCCTCTCTTTCCTTGTCGGCACCTAGGAAGAACTTTACACCTGAAATGGACACTTTCGTGTCTGGGTGCAATGTGGCCTGTGTCATGATCTCCACGGTACGGGAATCATCCCAGATACCTCTTCTCCATAATTCCCTAGTCAACTTTGTAGCCCACAGACCTTGGGAGTCCTTCTGCTCCAACAAATTGAACAAAAGAGCCTGTGTAGAACGATTAAGCTTTTGATTCTTCGCACCGGTATTAACTGACTTCAACAAAGTGATAAGCGTACTGTAAACCTGATGACGCAGTTGTTTTGAGTGTTGACTGTTCATGTTTGAAGCACCTGAATAAGCTGCCAGCAGTGGAAAAATCGTTTGGATGAGCGACTCCGCAGTAATGACGTTCTTGTTTCTCAACATCACAAGACATTGTATAATCTTCTCTCTTAACTCAGGGCTCAAGGATCTATGGTTCTTGGAGATCATTGTTTTCAGTTCATCAGGGAAGCTCGCCGTCTCCTTTGGGAAACAGCTACACACAGCAGTGACGAATCCAATCAATTCGGCAAGCTCTGCACTGTCTTGAGTACCAGCGTTGGCAACGAACAAATCCCTAAGAGATTCATAATGCGCGTACTGTTGAAGAAACTCCTCACGATACGACTGCGGATCACGCTTGACCAAGTTCTGAAGTAAGATGATATTGTTAGGTAGAATAGCAGCTCCTCTTTTCTTGACCATCGCTAAATAATGCACTTGATTAACAAATATAATGTGAAATCAATGTATTCAGACTGCAAACTTGAAGTGAAAGAAATGAGAGATGCCCTTTGAATTTTTTTTTCGGGCTGCATGATGAGATGTGGCCCGTACCAGCTTCTCAACACCCGAACATCTATATTGATTAATAGCTATTACAGCAGTGGATGCTACACATAACCTACTCGTTCTCATTATATTGCCTTTATTGTTATAAAACAGATGGTTAGTGTCATGTACACGTGGTGTCCGTTTAGGGAGTTGGTTACTCCGTGTCAAATAAGTTGGTCAGTGCGTGGTAATTGATCTTCTTGGACTGCGCCTTTCTCGAAAGCATGCTTCTTGCAGCCATGGAGGCTGAAGAGGCCTCTCCAATGTTCTTCAATGCACCTTGGATGCCATCATTTTCCAAGTCATTTAGGGTATCGGACTCATTCTTGACTTGTTTCCTCTTCTTGCGTGGCTGCTGGTGGCCCGAGATTTCATCAGCTTCAGCTTTCAGCCTCTTTTGTTCTTGATCCAGAAGAAATTCCTCATTCAATCCAGTCCATACACGTTCCTTTAAAAGCGACTCTTCCTCGGTTAGAAGAAATACCTCAATCTCATCATCCTCAATATCGTCAAAGTTTTCAGGGTGCGATGGGATCTTGGCAAGAACATCGGCGGTTGTGGGCAGCTTATGAAGGTTTCTTGGTCTGTCAGAGTCCTCTGCTGTATCCTCCTTCGATTCCAGCTTGATGTTGTTCGCAGATATTAATCTTTCCCGGTCTTGTTCTTGTCTCTTCTTCACTCTTTCAAGCTGCTCCAGGATCTCCTTGGAGTTCAGATCCACATTGGCAATCAGCGATTTCAGTTCACTAGAGTCTTCCAAATCCTTCAACTGTGCTGGATCATTATCACGCTTGGAAGTTCCCAGAGACTCTATAATGCGGATCTTTTGTTCACGATTACGTTGAAAAGAAGGTGGTTCAGACGGTTCAATATACTCCGCTTCTCTAAAGGCCTTCACTGTAAGTTTCGCTGAATGTGTACTTTTGAACTCGTTTAATCTTCTCTGAAGAGTATCTTCACCAACGTGTGCCACCGCAACGATTTCTGCATGCGTTCTTCTGTGGTTGTTCATTCTTGCTGCTAGGAGAAGACAAGCACCAGCTATACCGGCTGGTCTTCTACCTTCGTGTATCCAATCATCCGCCATTCTTTGTGCAAGTCTGACGGCGTCCTTGACGATCTTAACCTTATCATCACCAAATTCCAGCTTTTCGGCAAAATGCTGGATAAATAGAGAAGGGTCAGCTAAAGGTAACGATGTGATGTGTAACAACTTCACCATTTTCAGGAAGGTTGCACCCACTGAAAATACCGATATTTGTAGGCGAGCGGAGAAATCAATGAGCATATGGTGTGTCTTTTCCTTACGGCAAGCTATATAGAGACATGCTGCAATGACATTCTGCGAGCGTCTTCCCTTGACAAAGTTATTGGCCAGCGCCAAACTAAACCATTGGTAGGCTGCATCGCCAACGTAGTCAGGAATCCTGAGAGCATTAGACACTGCTTTGATTTTTCTCTTTGCACTGGCCAATGTCTTTGCCCTTGAGTCCATGGAGTTACCACGAGGACCGGTGGCAAACGTCGCATGTGACTGGTCGGCACCGACAAACGAACCTTGAACAACAGCAGCACCATTTGAAGCTTCACCAAACGTCACTTCAGAGACAATAGGGGCATCTTCATAGACACGACCACACTTGGAACAAGCCAAGTCGGACGACGCGCTATGGATATCACGTGTGAAGTCTGTGCATCCACAACTCTTACACTTTCTCATTTTGAGGGGTTTATCTTGGTGAGTATTTCAGTGCTTATCTTTTTGTTTTGTTTTTGTTTTGAGTGATGAGGACGAGAAGCTTTTTTTCCTCTTTTTGTGGTTGTTTTGATGTTTGTTTTTCCTATTTTCCTAGCCGGTGCGAGATAGGGAAAAATGTGGCATTTTAACTATGGTGGTGGACGGGTCCTGCTTTATGATTCTAAGGGGGATATCCCAGAAGGACAGATGTTGACTACTTGATGACGATTTTTGAGTGTGTTTAAGCATTAAATGCGGGATATTCTCTTCATTTTGCCCAAGTACCCGTCATATACAACCACTCAGTACATATCCACTAGAAGCGCAATGTTCAAGCTCAGCAAGGTCACCACCAGAATGGAGACGAACAGGTTTATAGGCATCTTCTTCACAACGGATCTGTGCTGTGTCAGGTAGAGTCGTATGCTGTGGAAGTAGTTGTACAGTCCCAACGTCAACGAGCATATTGATAGGACAAAGAAGATCGTGCCAATGACCATGGCAAAGACGTCTCTGTTAACAGGCCCCAAGCCATCGTCCCCACCACTACCACCGTCATTGCCATCACCATCGCCGCTATCATCCCCCGTGTTCAGTCTAAAGTCCAGAACCACAGCAAAGCTCAAAAGGCATAGCACAGCGCCAAACTTGCACAGCAGCAGCGCAGAACGCTCTGCCTGCAGACAGTCCCTTGGAAGAGACGTTGTGATTGGCACACCCTCTGAGCTGAACAGCGATAACAACGTCATCTTTGTTGATCTCAAGCACCTGTTTTAACCAGTGGAGCTGTCGTCATAGAAACAAAAGGCAAGTGTTTCTAAACTGTGGGATGAAATACTAGCGTTGTGTCGTAACTGTGGAGATCCAGGTAGTGTTGCCCCTTGCGAATAAAACGGTCCTCATCGCATAAGCTGTGAAGCACCAAAAAAAAATTTCAAAGCGAAAACTTTTTGGGACTAATACACGAGACGTATAGCACACATCTTGGAACCACAGCTCATACTTGAAAGGATGTCTTATATGCCATTAGACCATTCGCATGACCACCAGAACGCTGCCACAGTGCTATGTTGTAACTGTGGTGTGCCGATGGATGGGTCCACCGGCTTAGTGATGTGTTATGACTGTATTAAACTCACCGTGGATATCACAGAAGGTATTCCTCGTGAAGCCAACGTTTCCTTCTGCAGAAACTGTGAAAGATTCTTACAACCTCCAGGTCAGTGGATCAGGGCAGAGCTTGAGTCCCGTGAACTGCTAGCGCTGTGTCTTAGAAGGTTGAAAGGTTTGAACAAAGTGAGGCTCATCGATGCGTCGTTTATCTGGACTGAACCACATTCTCGTCGTATCAAGGTCAAACTTACTGTTCAAGGTGAAGCTATGGCTAACACCATCATCCAGCAGAGTTTTGAGGTTGAATATGTGGTGATTGCCATGCAATGTGCCGACTGTGCCAGATCCTACACCGTCAACACATGGAGAGCTGCTGTTCAGATTAGACAGAAAGTTTCACACAAGAGAACTTTCCTCTATTTGGAACAACTTATTCTTAGACACAATGCTCACGTTGATACTATTTCTATTCAAGAATCAAAGGATGGATTGGATTTCTTTTATGCCAATAGATCGCATGCCATCAAGATGATTGATTTCTTATCGTCAGTGGCACCAATCAAGTCAAAGGATTCTAAGGAACTGGTGTCGCAGGATACGCACACAGGTTCAAGTACTTATAAGTTCACCTTCTCTGTGGAGATTGTCCCAATCTGTAGGGATGATTTGGTGATTCTTCCAAAGAAGATTGCGCAATCGTTGGGAAGTTTAAACCGTGTTGTCATCTGTTCGAAAGTTTCAAACACAGTTCAATTCATGGATGTTACAACTTTGAAATCTGGTGAATTGAACCCAAGTGTCTTTTGGAAGAAGCCGTTCACTTCCCTTTCTGATATTTCTCAGCTTATCGAATTCATCGTGTTGGATGTCGAACCAACGGGACTCGTTAGAGGTAAGTACGTTTTGGCAGACATCACAGTGGCCCGTGCTTCAGACTTGGGTGTCAACGACAAAGAATACTACGTCAGATCCCATCTGGGTGGTATCTTACACCCTGGTGATTCTGCCATGGGTTACTACACTGTGAATTCCAACTATAACTCCGAGCTGTGGGATGACTTGGACCCAAACACTGTTCCAGACGTTGTCCTCATCAAGAAGCACTACGTTAGAAAGAGTAAGAAGAGCAGACACTGGAAGTTGAAGAGAATGGCCAAGGAGCATGCGGACATCGTTGCCAATGAGGAATCCCGTGCTGCAAGACAAGAACAAGAACGTGCAGAGAGAGACTACGAAATCTTCTTACAAGAATTGGAAGAAGATCAGGAGCTCAGAGGAGCAATTCATTTGTACAAGGATACAAATGCCGTCACTTACAAGAACGAGGATGAAATGGATGAGGATGAGGATGAGGATGCACCAGCTGTTGATATCGATGAGCTCCTTGACGAATTGGATGACATGACCTTGGAGTAATCACAATCTATTCATTTTGAACTTACATAGTAATATAAAGTAATGATATTTCTCGTCTATTTTATCTACGTTTACACCTAAATATATCATTGATTTGTATTGCTTCTCTATATTAATCGTTTTATATCGGTAGAGTGTGTTTTTGCCCGCAAGGAGAGCCCCCCCCCCCCCCCCGGCCAAAAAATGAAACACGTATAAATCACCGCATAGAGATGGAATTAAATAGAGCGTAAACAATATTTATACTAAATTGACGGCAAAATTATCACCATGGACCTCACATTCTCTCCTATTCAGTCGTTTGCTGATGCAAGCTTCTTTCAAAAGTTATCCAAATTGAAACTGGATAGCTTTAAACTCGATGAAACTGCAAAGAAGATAACGGGAGTTGTCAATATTGCAAGCACCCCACAAGGTGAGAATCCTGCTGTTACTGTGGAAGACTCGAGCTTCGGGGATGAGAGCTGTGGCTCTTTATAGTGAGTGATTTGGTGTTATCTCAATCTGTTTTAAAGATTGATAACTGACAATAACAGTTCACAAGGCGCTGTGCTTGTGATTCCAGGCCATATAACGAACTTCAACACCATTGAGGATTTCAAAAGACTAGACAAGGCACAATTCCTCAAGAAGGCCGGATCACGCCTGCAAGAGCTCATGGAGAATGGTGATGCCATTGAGGATCCATCTCTGCTAAGCAGCTTCGAAATCATTTGCTTCGCAGATTTGAAGAAGTTCAAGTTCTTTTATTGGTTTGCATTTCCTTCCATATCTTCTCACTGGATAGTTAAGTCCACCAGTGTTATTCAAGAGGTTTCAGAATCCGTCAGAGACTGGGTAAAGAGCTCGGACTATGCCCAAAGAGGGCACTTCATCATCAAGGATGGAACCGCCCAAGCGTTGGAACAGCTGATTTCTCTCCCGGAAAGCACAACAAGCATCCACGTGGGCTTCGTTGACTCGTGTTTGATCCCTAACAAACCATCAAAGCACTTACAGAACTTTTTAAGCTTGTTGTCCCTTCGAGGATTCAAGAGAGTGACGGTTGATATTTACAGAATCTCTGGAAGCTCATTTACGCTGGAATTGGAACACGAGGATAATGGAGGTTCGTCAAAGATAACTGGCTGGGAACGTACCAATCAAGGTAAATTGGGCCCGAAACTGGCTGATCTTTCTGCACTCATTGACCCTGTGAAGCTTGCAGAACAATCTGTTGATCTCAACTTGAAGCTGATGAAATGGAGAGTGGCTCCAGAGATTGACTTGGAAGTTGTCAAGAACGTCAAGGTCTTACTGTTAGGGTCCGGCACCCTGGGAAGCTATGTTGCCAGATCACTATTGGGATGGGGAGTAAGAACGATCACGTTTGTCGATAACGGGAAAGTGTCCTTTTCCAACCCAGTCCGTCAACCTCTATTCAACTTCGAAGACGTTGGAAAATCAAAAGCGGACACTGCTGCTACTGCCCTCCAAAGAATATTTCCTAATGTGAACTCCAAGGGCATCGATCTAGAGATACCAATGGCTGGCCATCCTGTAACTAACGAGCAGAAGCAAAAAGCCGATATGGAGACTTTGGATAAACTCATCGAAGATCACGATGCCATCTTTCTGTTAACGGATTCTCGTGAAACCAGATGGCTGCCTACAGTGATTGCAAATGTGAAGGAGAAAACTGTCATCAACTGTGCCCTTGGCTTCGACTCCTACTTGGTGATGAGACACGGTGTCTGTGGGGGTCTAGGATGCTACTTTTGTAACGATGTTGTCGCCCCCACGGACAGTCTCACTGATAGAACACTGGACCAGATGTGTACTGTCACACGTCCTGGTGTTGCGCCAATGGCTGCAGCCCTTGGAGCTGAGCTCTTGGTGTCCATCTTACAACACCCTGATAAGCACCGTGCCGGTTCCGATGCCACTACGATCCTCGGTGAGTTGCCGCATCAGCTACGCGGGTTCCTCAGCAGCTTCCAGACGATGAAGTTACATGCACCAGCCTACGAATTCTGCTCTGCTTGCTCCAAGCCGGTGCTGGACGCATACAGAGATCTCGGCTGGGACTTTGTCTCTAGTGCTCTCAACGACTCAAACTACATCGAAGAACTAAGCGGACTAGCAGAGGTCCAAAAACAGGCAGAGAAGGCTGTCTTAGAAATGGCCACTGACTTGAGTGATGATGAATGGTTCATATAGTACGTATCAATAACAACAATGGCAGCATTAACATCGACTGTGCTGTGCTCCGTCGCTTTGTAGCTCTGTGTCCCCTACCGAATATTTTTGTTGATCCAAAACGTCAACACAGAAGTAAACACACCAAGTTGATGGATGGGAGAGAAACAACCTTCGACAAGGTATAGCTACATTCCTGTGTACGGCGATGACCGATGATAAGAAGCGAGAGGGGTCTCACGACGATGATGATCAGCCGTTGTCTAAAAGAGCAAAAATGGACTCAAAGGACAACGAGAACGATAGCGATGTAGAAGTGAAGACCGAGGCCAGGAGCGAATCTGGAGGTCACAACAATAAGGACAGCGATACAAGTAAAAAGGACGGTGATGATCAGGACAAGGGTGATGATGAAGGAGAAGAAGAACACGATGAGGACGAGGACGAGGATGAAGAAGAGCGCAGAAGAACTACCACATTCCAGTTTGATGGTCAAGAGTACACTTTCAAAGAGAGACCTTCTGTATTGGAGGAGCGTGACGGAAAGATCGAGTTCAGAGTTGTTAATAACGACAATTCCAAAGAGAACCTTATGGTTCTCACTGGTCTGAAGAACATTTTCCAGAAACAACTACCGAAGATGCCCCGGGAATACATTGCAAGATTGGTGTACGACAGAAGCCATTTGTCCATGGCTGTTGTGCGAAAGCCATTAACGGTGGTTGGTGGTATCACATACAGACCTTTCAATAGCAGAGGATTCGCTGAGATTGTTTTCTGTGCTATTAGTTCTACCGAACAGGTGAGAGGTTATGGTGCACATCTTATGAACCATTTGAAAGATTACGTTCGAGCTACATCTCCAATAAAGTACTTTTTGACCTACGCAGATAACTATGCCATTGGTTATTTCAAGAAGCAAGGTTTCTCCAAGGAGATTACACTTGATAAGCATATATGGATGGGTTATATTAAGGATTACGAAGGAGGAACACTGATGCAATGTTCCATGTTACCGAGAATACGGTACTTGGACAGTGCAAAGATTCTTCTTTTACAAAAGGCTGCTATTCAGAGAAAGATACGGGAAATTTCGAAATCACACGTCATTAGACCTGGTATAAAGCAGTTTAGAGATCTGAAGAACATCAAGCCAGTCGATCCTATGGAAATTCCCGGCTTAAAAGAAGCTGGGTGGACTCCGGAGATGGATGAACTCGCACAGAGACCAAGAAGATCACCACACCATGCTTACATGCAACACCTACTGACAGAGATGGTTAACAACCCGGCTTCGTGGCCGTTTGCTCAGCCTGTTAGTAGGGAAGAGGTTCCTGATTATTATGAGGTGATCAAAGAGCCTATGGACTTGAGTACGATGGAACAAAAACTCGAAGCCGACAAGTACTCGACGATGGATGAATTCGTATACGATGCTAAACTCGTATTCAATAACTGTAGAAGTTATAACGGAGAGAGCACAACGTATTACAAGAATGCAAATAAGCTGGAGAAGTTTTTCAACGCAAAGGTAAGGGAAGTTCCAGAGTATTCCCATTTAGTTGATTAGTGTCTCTAGATAGAGCACAGTTTGTACTATAAGACGATGTAATTATTTCTTTTTAATAGAACGTTCTTCTTATTTGTCATTGATATTGTTGTTCATTATAGCCAATAGCTAAAATCAACTAACCCTGCATTGGTTCATCAGTTTCTTGTTCTTTCAAGACTTTAATAATATCTGCGGTAACTTCGTTTGGATAAATCTTGAAACCATCAGCCTCTGTGACAGAGCTCAGTTGTACGTTATTTTCATCGAGCTTCTCTTCCATCACCTGCTTCAGAATCTTGAGAATTAAAACCTCTGCCTCTTTTAATGTGAGCGAACTGTGATATTCATTTTGCAATTCTGCTTGGGCACCTTCTGAACCTGATCCAATCGCCTTAGCTTCATATCTATAGAATGTCCCGGATGGTTCTGTGTGGTATAACTGAGGTCCCTTCTCCTTATCGACACCTGCAACGAGCAAGGCAACACCAAATGGTCTCGACATTAAACGTTCCTCGCCGGATGCACCCTCACCAAACCTCAAGGCCAAATCGGCGACAGATTGTGTCAGGCTCTCAATTCCGATTGGCTCATCGTAGTATAGACTGTGATTAACGGAACTCACTCTGGCATGGTCAATCATGGATCTGGCATCCGCAGTCAACCCTGACATGGCGCAACCGACGTGGGAGTCAATCTCGATGATCTTCTCAATGGATGACGACTCCAACAGAGAAGACGTCACCCTCTTCTCAACACCAAGAACAACACCTTCAGACGTAGCAATACCAATGGCAGTGGAACCAAGCTAAAACTGTGTTAGTCCAAGAACGCTATCGATACCAGGCTCGACATATAAACATCGGTAAAACACACTCACTTTAATTGCCTCTAGGGAGTATTCCACTTGGAATAAACGTCCCTCTGGTGAAAATGTGGAAACACCACGATCATACTCCGATCTGGTCAAAAACATTGTACCCTTTCTATCCCGTATACTGTTGGTTCTTCAACTCTTCCCACCATTGTTGTTCCTCATCACAAGTGGCGACCTTTCGAGTTTGGATACCCACAACTGGGCTCGTGGTGTTTGGATGTCAACGGGGGCTGTTGTTCGTTCGCGAATTTTCCCTGGCTCTCTGCGATTTGTTTGTTTACTTTTTTGTTTACTTATTTATTGTTTTGTGTATTTTTTTTCCATTGTAAACAAACCAACTAACCCACGGACGGCAAGAAGACTACCAATGGACGTGTTTGACGTGAGTAATGATGTATGTGTTTTGGTAGCAGAGGTAAAACTAACACGTTCGTATGATGTAGGACATTGTGCAGTTTGCAGATGAGCAGACGCTGTCGTGTGGCAGACTCGTGAATTTCCAGCCGCTATGTTGTGAACACTTGAATGTTAAGCCATTCCCAATGGGTGATATCCGTGATGTTCGTATTCAAGAGTCGCTTATAGTGAAGGACTTATTGTATGTGCTTATGGGCCTTGAAGGCTGCTACATTAGATTCTCTGAGAAGTACGATCCAAGCGTGGAGCAGATGAGAATGATGGGGCCTGATTACAGAATCAACAAGCATTTGGACACTAGCTTGAAAGACGTGACAAAGAGAATGGTTTCAATGTCACGCATGTTTTCGTCCTTGGTTTGTTTTACAGAGGTGTATGGGGCTGAATCTTATGGACAGGTTGTACATGCCCTAGTGTCGGAAGTTCGACAATTCTTGAAGAGCTATGTCAACTTTTTAGATCAAATGGAACAGCAGTTCAAGACAAACCGTTCGTTCACACTAAGGCAATTTGAGCAGGATCTCAAAGCAAATATCTCATATAAGATGCAACATCTCTATGACATTGTACAAAGCATATACCAACTGAACGAACTGAGAAGAAGAGAAACCCAAGAGTCAGCTTTCAATAACTTCATTGATAACATACGGCAAGACTTACGACAAACTGGATCTGTTGACTTGTTAGCTGACTCATCGCATCACCACAGTGTCAAAGGCGGTCTTGTTCTCAAGATCATCAGTGAGAAGACTGAAACAATATCTGGAGATCTCAAATCAAGTGAATTCCTCAAACAGTTGTCCAATAGCATCAGTGTCGGTTATATTCAAATTCTCAACGACTGGATCACTAAGGGGGAGTTGAACGATATGCATGATGAATTCTTCATTGTGACCAATCTTGCTCGTGATTTCAAAGTGAGTAGCTTAAACTCTGAACAGTACTGGGATTCCAAATATGTCATAAAGAAAGACGGACTTCCCAAACAATTTGAAGATAGTGAAATACGGACAAAAGTCCTCCTTACAGGAAAATATCTAAATGTCTTAAAGGAATGTGGGGTTACGTTGGACTCATTCTCTGATATAACTTTAAGCTCATTAGATAGCTCTAATTTGCACTATGTGATCGACGAGACGTATTCCATTGCCAACAGATACATACTTGAACTTTTCATGAAAGGCTATAACTTCAGAAGCTTTTTAAAGACGTTACAACATTACTACTTATTAGACAATGCATCCAAGATGGTGGATTTTATCCACACAAACGCACATGAGCTTAAAAGACGGTACGACCATGTATCGATCTCAAGACTCGAAAGGAACTTCACTTCTATATTTGACGATGATAAAAGTTTGGTTGGACAATTAGTGAATGTTACGTTAGAGAAGGAGTCTGTTTATGATTACCTTCTCGAAATTTTAAGAGTTGAAGCTATTGATGCTGAACAGGCTCTTAAAAGTAACAATTTTGAATCTTTGAAGCATCTGATCTCACAAACTTTAGACGTTGAAAAGGACCCTACAAATGACGATAGATCTTCCGAAACTCTCTGTGGTATAAACTATTTCAATCTGGAAGTAATATTGCCATTCCCATTGAATTTGGTCATTACCAGAACATCTGTGATTCAATTCCAGTTAATATTCAGGCATTTGATGGTGCTTCATTATACTGATAGGCAATTGACTGAGACTTGGTCTGAAATTAACAAGAACAAAATTTGGAAGTACAAACGATTCAGTACCCCAGTCTCTACATGGATTAAAAGAGCAAGATCCTTGCACGATCGGATGACGGATTTCATCAGAATATATATGTCATTCCTTGTGAATGACATTATTGATCAAAACGGTAAAGTCCTTGATTGTGAGATTGATAAGATTGAACACTTTGAGGACTTTGTTGCTGTCTTCCAATCGCATCTGAACGGTATTCTAAAGAGCTCCATTTTGACAACCGATAAGTTGATCAAGATGTTTAGCAAATTGATTCAAATTGTCAATGCATATTGTTCGTTTCTTCTATCATTGAGAAAGGTTTTGATTCTTTTGGACTACGATCTATTTGAAAAGTATAACGACAGACTAAAAGGTCAAGATTTTGACTATAACAAGAACTTGGGGAGATTGGAACGTCTAAATTCTTATCTGAACGATTACCTGGAAAGTTTTGGACAACATTTGAGTGGGTTTGTCGAAGGATTAAGATACTTTGGAGAGTTGGAAACCACAGATTTTATCATTCTAGTAACGAGGTTAGAGAATGCCTTCCCAGAAAATAGTGCTACAAATTAATACACTAATACATGGACCTTTACTGATAAACACCCCAAGAGAAAAAAAAGCATGATAATTATAAAACTGTTATCGTAAAAAGTGATTGAAATATCACCAGTCTCATCCTTCCCAACCCATGGTATCGTAACGCCTCGTAGTGCTAAATTCCAGTTTAATCAAACGAATCAAAAGCAGAATCCTCGTTGTAAATTCTTGTCAGCCTCGTATATGGCTCTTATTTCTATACCAAGTATTCCCTAATGATGTCATCAATGAGACTAAGAGGATAAGCAGGTCCATGTCTATGACAAACTTCAAGTCCCTTTACCCTTTCTAGAACGTCTTCGATGTTTATTCTTGGGTCGTCTTTTTCCATGAGATATTCCCAAGTTTCAGGAATTGTCAATCTCTTAGATTCATAAGGTATTTGAGGGTTTTGTAGTTGTTTCTCAGATTTGTAATACTTTCCTAGCAGTGGCTCTTCACTAGGAAATGAGAACGAAGAGGTTGAAGGATCCACCGTTGACAATACAGCACTGCCTCCAGACTTCTGTAATAATTTGTTCTCCGTGGATATTACAATGTTCTGCTTCTGTAACTTCTCCAGTTGCTTTTGTAGTTCTGCATTGTCAGTCTCCGATTTGGTCAACTTATCTTCGAGTTCTTTCAGTTTCATCTCTTTACGTTCTCTGAACGCCCTCTGGGCTGCTCTATTCTGTGCTTTCCTCTTTGCCGCCAGATCTTGCTCAGAACCCGAATATATGTTGTTGTTCCCGTAGCTATCGTCATTACCCAACTTTATCGATGGGCTTGACTTGTCAGACCCCGTACTCATCGCAAAACTGGGTGCCATAACGTCGCCTTCAGTCTTTACAACTTGAATTCCATTCATGAGTAACTCGTGCTGTAGAGAACGCTGTGGATCCAACAAATCACACTCCTCTTTTGTCACGTTCAACAACAAATTATGCGACGTTAGACTTGGTCCCGAAGGTTGTAGATAATCACTGTGGTCCTCCTGAGAGAACGAGCCGGTTGTTTGTGCCCATCCGGGCGTCCCAATATCATGTGTAGCACCTCTGTTGAAGTGTCCGTCGCCGTATGTATAGCTCATGGCCTAGGTATGACTTTTTGCGATTTGCTGCCTCAGGTTTCAAAGCCAGCTATTAACGAGCAGATTAGTGTTCAGCCAGAGATGTGTGTAGTTATCAAGAACGAGATCTTTATCCCTCTTGAGTACGTATTTCAACAGCACGGTTCTCCACGTTATACAGAGAAGTGTCCCCAAGCCTTTGACTTTTATTTAAACAGAAAAGGAATCTCCCTGACGGAAGTTTTCACGATGGATTGACTTCGTTGCGAAATTGAGTGTGACAGCACTGGAACTGTGAAAGAAACCGAGTGGCTGATTTGCGAACGAAACTAAGTCACCACAGCTTTCACAAGAATATTTTTTGTGTGTATTATTTCTTTGATTTCCTGTCCAGTGTGAGTGGTGGCAAAGACCCTGAATACTTGGATGCTGTGCAGTTCGGATTACAGTGTAACTTAAAAAACTGGCCACCTCTAGAGCTGCTGGCGTGTGTGTGTGCCTTTGTGTAGTTTTTACTGTCTGTTGGGAAATGGTGTGCTCCTTTTTTTGGCTTTAGTCACCAGAGCAGGTGTATGCCAGTGATCGTAGAGATTAGCCAGACTGAGCCTGTGACCTGTGTGACCAGTAGACTGGCGCCACCCGTTACCGCCTGTTCCTTTCCGCGTCCAACTTTAGAGCACTCTGCAGTAGGGTAACGCGGGTGGCTGCTCCTCTGCATGTAGTAATTTTCCCACAGAGTTGGCCCCACGATTCTGGATCCAGAATTGGTCCCACTTTCTGTGCAACTGGTGGGGATTACACATATAGCTCCTTTGACTCTGCTTCCCGATAACCTTATTTTCCTTGGGCACTACTCCATATGTGCTGGTTCGGTGGTTAATGGTGAAGCTCCTAGTAACTGTGATACACGATAGCAATGTTGCCTTATTTGGCCCAGGGCTTTTTAGAGTTGTGTTTGCATGCAAAAGGTTGTCAGAAAGATTTCCCAGACTGGAGACCACGCTCTACGTGGGGCGTTCGTAACCGCGGTGAGGTTCTGACTATGGTCATGGACTGGTGATGACCAGCTGGTTGAGATAGAGCCACACGGCGAATGGATCAACGATCACAGCCAGCACTGGCCATGATCCCAGACAATAAGCTGGATCGTGATCACGTTAAAGCCCTTCACTTCGGGGAGGGAAACCCCCGGTGGTGTCAAAGGACCTTGAGCTTATTTGACACATTTTGTATTCATCAGTGCAGATCACTGTTGCTTTATTTTGTTTTGGTGAGCGTGGTAGATGAAATTATCCATCTCATAAACTGGCTTTTGAGTCTATAGTTTCATAAAAACGACTAAGCAATAACCAAGCTCTAATTATGAGTTTAAACCCCCCTCCACTAGTAGAAAAACTGGTTGGTGTCGTCTAGGATACCCACAAATGTACCTCATGACACCATAGGCTACACTCTGATTGGCCTTTCAACACCACACAGCCCTAATAGAAACGTTTTATCATATAGTACAAGGACATGTCGATGGTTCCAATTCACGTCAAGAGAACCCATAGGGAGTACACGAGGCAAGAGATATTGACAATTAAGAGCTGTCAGCTCTCTGTTTCGTGCCTTAGTATAGTTGTGGGTGCTGTTGGGATAACTCTTTGGCTAAGAATGGCATATTTAAGAAGGGTGCTGTTCAGACTAAGGGTTTTCTTCTTGCTGATATTGTGCGATTTCATTAGGTCACTGTTAACAGTGATACTGGCTACAAAGACCCTGCACATATACTCAAATGTTGAAGGAGGCTTTTGCAGAGTGTTTCAATACTTGTTCTCTACAATTTCAATCTTCTCTGATTTGCTGATAACTGTATTGGCTATCCATTTCCTTTTGGTGATTTTTTATCCTTCAACGATCAAGAGGTATGTTGTTAAAGTGCCATCAATCAGGGCCCTTTCCAAGAACGTGTACTTAATATTGACCTTTAGAAGAAGCATCTTCAAAAAGGGTTTACGTTATAATGATCCCCCGGAAAGAGAAATTGTTTATGACGGTGGACTTTACTCATATAGACACTGTATCCTCATTGTTATATTTCTGCTGGGCGCTGGTCTACCAGGCTTGGCTTCTGTCAACGGTCAAGATTCAACAGACCAAGGCTTGTGCAATCTTCCAATTGAGCCTGCGTGGAAGAGGATAGTCATAGTTTACGGGTTTAAATACTTCAACACTGTGCTTATCATATTGGCATACTTGGCCATATCAATCTATATGAGCTTTAGCTTGTACAAAATTAACAAGCAAAGAAATGAGGTGTTTAACAGATGTCCACAACAGACTGGAGAGCAGGTTGACTTTCCAGGAGAATTACAACGGGAACTGATGGACCTCACCGTACCAGATTACGCAAAGCGTCAAAGGAGTATCATTAAAGAGCTGAATACCCTGGCACTGTATCCGTTGGGCTACCTTCTTGTCTGGACAGTTCCGCTCATTGCTCAAATCTGGAACTATGTTGCAAATCGCCATGGTGTTTCTCGACCGTTTGGTTTGGATATCATCGTCGTGATTGCAGCTCCGCTGAGCTGTACTGTAATCACGGTCATCTTCTTGGTTTGTGAAAAGCCATGGCGAATGACGGAAAAGCGTTTGAAAAGTCAAGCCAATGGTTCAGAGCACTGTTTATTCCATGATGTGGTTGGTGTTAACAGTTCACAGGAGGAAACAACTCAAACAGACACTGCAGAAGAACCAAATGAGTTGAAATCTGTCAAGATACGCCACGCTTCTAACGGTGATTCATTAAATCAACCGTTATGGAAAGGAGCAGGTTCATCCTTACCTAAACCACTTTCACTGACAACGCTGAGAGATAATGTATCCGAGCTAGATGGATATAGCGAAAATGGCCATCACGATACTGTAAACTGTGACCACGAGTCCTCCAGTTGTCACCAGAGGGATGATCAATCAACCATGAGCTTCAATGAATTCCTACGAGCAGGGTACCTATGAGTCGCCCCTATATGAATAAAATGATGTGTCGTGGCCCGTGAACGCTTGTGTAGCATCGCGTTTCGGGTTGATGACTCCTTCCTGTCCGTGATGTACACCTATGTACACTGCGATGCCCAATGCGCAGATCACTACATGTAGTGTAAATGTAAATACACGTTTCCTTACGCTTGACCTTGTTGAATATTCCTAAATGTTTATTAGATAGACAAGTTAAAACAAAATAAAACAAACAAGCCAACGCAGAAGATCCAAGCTTCAAAACAAACAAACAAAAAAACTCCTCATCACACCCTAAAAAAGGGAACAAAAGCTGATCATATCCAAGATGTCGTCAATGCATTCTGAGTAATTGAACGTCAACGTTAAACTTTTCGTACTCCATTGCCATGTTCAGTTCACCGTCGGTATCCAGAGGAATGAAATTCTCGTGTTGATGGATCTTGTACCTTAGCACCAATGCATCAACATCACATTCAAGCCTTCTTGCGATACTCCCTTTAACTTCGTCTAGTCGGCACCCAGGTTTAAATCTAAGTGCAAAAATGTCGTTATTGTAAAACACCTTTGCCTTCGCCTCCCTTCCTGTCGGTAGGCTTGAAGAATCTCTTCTCGGTACCAGAAGAGGTTGAATAGGGGAAGTTAACCAGTCATTGAACTCTGTTGCTTCTCCTTCTAGGATGGTGGGCGTAGAGTGGCTAAACGATGGATTGGACTGCAACGGTGGAGATGTCCAGACAGATGGAGAACTTGTAGAGCTTGCAGAGCTAACAGATGATGAGCGGTACATATGCTGATTTAGCATTGGTAGTGGCGGTGTGACTGAGGTCTTCACCGAGAGCACAGGTCTCTGTTTCCCTGTTGTGTTTTGTGTTGTCATTGGACTCAACATCTCCTGTATTTCTTTGTTCGATATCTGTAAGTCGTCACTCAGTTCGAGGTCACCAGTTTGTAATTCGACCCACTCGTTGACTATGTTCCCGTAGTTCAATGAGAGTCTGTTTTGAATCACTCTAAATATGTAGACGTTCAAACACTGGCATCTTTGCAACAGTATACTCTGCAATGTTTGAAGATCTGGTCTTGCAATTGGATCAGGGAGCGTAGGTAGTTTGGTTACAAGCTCGTTAATGTCCTGATCAGGGTTCGAGCGAACCAGTTGATCAACCAATGCACAGTGCAATTTGTAGAAATCTTGGTAATATCTGCACAAGTGTCTCGTCTTCCCGTTACTCATCGAAACATCAACACGGTACCAGTACCTGCCATTGCACGTGTCTGCGTTCTTCACGAGGCCAGAAAGTGGGATTGGTGTTGCCAAGGTGTTAGCAGCCATTGAGTTCTTTGGTGACGTAGTAGCAGAGTTCTTTTGAGACGTGGAAGACACCGACGATATGGATGATTGGTAAGTGAAATCTTCACCAGAGTCAGAGATGGCGGATATTTCAGATGCCATGGAGGTGCTCTTATTCTTACCATCGAGGGTTGTCTTGTGCGCACAGTGTGTCTCAGGCTGTGATAGCCATTCTTCGTCTGTCTGAGGATGATGGGACTTGTCTATCTTCACTATGCGGACGTAACTGGCCGGTATAAGCCCACATTCTCCAAGCCTTCCTATTGGCTTTACAAGAATCCACCCGTTTCCCTTCCGCTGGACGAGTTTGAACGCCTCCCCAATGCCAATGGATATCTCATGCTTATTCTCAGCTTTGAAGTTGAACTTGGCAATCACAATCACGGAGTTGTCTGGAGTTGACCGTGGTACTATCTGTGTAGGAGATGAACGCGAAGATGCTCCAGCGTCCGCGTAGCGGTCCCCGTCGGCTATTATAATTGGCCCAGAAATCTTCAACTTTCTGGATGCTGGCTTGACCATGACTGTTTTTCTATGCGTTCTTGTGTGAGAAGTGTGCTGGATGCCGCCGTCTCCTTATAACCTGGAATGAGGTGCCAATAGCTTGAAAGAGTATCAAAAGTGGTGAAAATATATCCACACTTTATCTTTTCTTTGTGGTAACCTTTGGGTGCACGCACAAACTGTAAAATATATGAAGGGGGAGACACACAGTGGAAGGGGAAAACTCGAGAATATTTGCTTTAAAGTTTAACAGATCGTGCGTCTTCCTTCAGAAAAAAAACCTTCAAGCTTAACCCTATTAACCTATGATTGGTTCAGCGTGATCTAGCAAGCACGAACGAATGAATGATGAGGAATGGAAAGGATGGTGAAACTGTTGATGTTTGTTTATGATTTTTTCGCCTTTGCCAGATTATGGTCAGATGTCTGTTTTGAATTCCGTTTGTTTGTGTGTTTTTCGAGAGTACCAGCTTTTAGGGGAATGTACGAGAATGTACAGGAATGTATGGGAATGTACCGGGGCGGTTGTGGTTGCTAGGGAAACAAACTGCTTTTTTTCAAAACTCCCTCAATTTTCGAGCACGCCGGTCCAAAGTGCGCGTCTGCTTCAAAGGTTCGAGTCCACCGTCTGTGTTGGAAACTCTAATACGACACGAACTTTTGTTTGTTGTATACTTCAACTGTTTTCTTACCCACACGTTCTTGTCTGTTGATAACGTGTTAATGGATATGAATATTGGGTTGATTACCTCGTTAAGGGGAACAGAAAATAAACAACAAAAAAGCAGGCAGGGGGGTTATAGACAGGCGATCTTATATATAGCATGAAATCCTCACCAGGCTTGAGAGGTTATCAACTTTTTGTTGTTGTCCATGTCTGAGCAAAGTAGGCATGATTAGAGAGTTGGACGTTGTAACATGTACACACAGGCTCTCACAGGCATGTTCGTGCACTGGGCGTTTAGCAGTAGTCACATACTTCATACCAATGTAAGCTATTCCCTGCTGGTGCTGTAGTTACACCTTACAAAAGCCTGTAGTCATGCATGATCGCCGCTGAAACCAACGTAGATGCTGCCGATCTCTTTACCGCATTGGGAAACTAAAATCCAGAGAACACACAAACAAACTGCGCGACACGACTTTGAGTTGTGTTTGTTTACAGGCTTGATGATGCACAGGCGTGTCTGAATGTGCCCAAACCCCAGGCAGCCAGCTGCCCAAATGCCACAGTGATGTACATTCCTGTACTATGAGTACAAGGGCCAGTATGGAGATATGAACCATTGTGTCCGTGTACAAGAATCAATTGACTGTTCTAGAAGAAGCAGGACTCTGGAGGGTAGGTGTGTTTGAGTGTTTGCATCTTCCGGTGTCCTACAAGTAATGATTATCAACACACATTGGTTCAATCAAATGCACTTGTAGGAGATGTATATTCGAGCTGAATCAGTACACCAGCTTGGGGTTATTCGAGGTCCCAATCAACGCACATACATATATAATAACTTCCTACTTGAGATTATCGGTCAAGGTTGTTAGGTACGTCCGGTGTACAACTTTTTAGGTGTTCAAGATGAAAACACACCGAAGTTTTTCCATGGAAAACAAGCGTTCTTTGGAAGTCATTCGTAAAAGCAATCAAGTTCTGACCTTCAGTATCACTCGATGTTTCATTGTATACACTTTCAAAGGATAGAAGTTGGCTGTGCAGCTGATCTGGGTGTGTATAAGCCTCAAACAAAGCCTGTACATACATACGAATTGTTTATCGGTGGTACAGTGTCACAATATTGCCCTTTGAACTATAAAGTTTTACTATCTTAGACCCCTGGCTAAATAAAATTTTGGTCTGAACTTCGTATTTGCAAGTTATGACTGTCACTGACTCAGCGACGTCCGACATGAGTGATGTAAGTCTCAACATCTTCATGCTTCCAAGGAACTCCTCGTAATCCAACCTCACGGCTGTGGGTTAACAGAAAAGTCTTGAGTTAAACTTTGCTTGCTTTCTGCTTGACTTTAGTCCCGTAGAATTTATATTAAAATCTGATATTAAACGTGGACACACATTAAAACTTATAGAACATCGACTTTTGGTCTTTGATGCTGTAAGTTTTGCCGTTGCTACAGCAGCTGGTAGGATAAAATGGAAATTTGAATGTAAACAAGGCGTGGAAGATGGAGAGACGGACATATTTATTATTTGTTGTTTTGATGTCGTAACCTCTGAATCCAATTTTGCAATAAGCTACTCTCAACAATGTGGTGAAGACTTACCTATAAGGCCAGCACTAACAATGATCTGGTTAAGAATGATAAGTTGTTAATCTGTGAACAGAAATGAAAGCCCCATCTACATGAACGATTCTTACTTCAGAGTATATGTATGATGTCATCTTCTGGAAGATAGAGTGGAAGTTAAAACACGTATAAGTTGCCAATCACATAAGCTCTCCTGTCACTGTGATATATGGCTTGTTATTGCTTCTGAGAGTTTGATCTCTATGGTATATTCGCTAGCTTTTAATGCTCAACTCTCTCTGTGTTAAGATCGAAACCATGAATCAACAAAGTATGATGGCTTCTCTTCACCTAGATTTCTACATCGAAGGTCTAATATCTATTTTTTTGAACAATTCAGAGATAAAAGAAAAACCGGATCTCTGAATCTTTGACTAATGGAAATTCAGATCAGTTAACACCTTGCTGTAAAATATTATAGATATATGACTTGCTAAGAGTACATGGATTCACTATCAAACTCCCGTATAGCGTCCTCTGCATGATTGGATCATGTTTTCAAACCAACGACAGGAGTAGAATAGAGTCAAGTCAATCACGATAGAATTACCAAGTGCATATAACATTCCATGCGGATTGGGGTAAACTCATTAATTGCTTAAGCATTAAGCAACATACACAAGAGGACCTGATGCCTCGGTTTATAAATTCAAATCTCAAGCACTTTGGGAATGTTGAACATGCACATTGCGTAATATCACAGAAGGTATGAGGTTCGAAGCTTCAAGATGATGATCTAAAGGGGTTAAAATCCTGACCATGTTTTTTAAAAGACGTCATAGTTTGTTTTAACATGTACCTGTATGTTGGATGGCTAAGATTACTCTTCTAACTTCACGTTGCATATATGTGTACCTACAGCTAATACTCCAGCGTGCAAGGAATGAGGTGGTTCAATTATTCCAGGGGATTTCCTACATTCCAATATAGGCATGTGTGTGGCCGTCGTAGCTCAATATTGGTTAGATATGAACTCCACATGGCTTCTAATATTGTGTTGATAGCGCTCCCTATGCATTTTGTTGGTGACATTTATCCCTTGTTGTGGGTTAGCTAGAGTCCGAGAATGTACCACATCTTATATAAATCCAACTACAAGCTTATGCTAAGCCTCTGCAACATATCTGCTTCCATGTATGGGTAACTTGAATTCGAGCAAAATAGGGGAATAATAACCATTGAATATTCTATATATGTAGTTATACGACCAATCTTAACGTATACAGGTGTTGGGATACCCATTTCTCACTTCATGTTGTATAACGTCTTGGAACTCTTTGTACAATAGTCAGAGTACATCTCTAGCAATGCATCACTATTATACACAACTTTGCCGTCGCCGATGTCATCCCATTGTGAGATGATTCTCTGAGTACCCACAACAATGGTCATTCCATGGGGCCATGTATCTAAGTCTAGCTCCACGTACTTTTTCTCTCCCTTAACAATGATGTTGTATAGGGATTCACCTACGTATAGACCTTGTCTGTAAGCACCACCACAAGTCTTGATGATTTTCAAACTAATAACATCACCAATGGCGAAGATATTTTCGTGGCCTTTCATTAAAAAACGAGTATCAACACTCACTTCACCCTTAGGTAGCTCAATTGAGGACTCAAATACAGGCAGCAATGGCTCGATGTTATTCTTGTGGTAATTACACCACAAGTTCAAGTCCGATTCCAGCGTGCGACCATCTGTGGTTACCAAGTCACCATTTTCAAGTTCTGTCTCTATCCTTGTGTTGAAGCATAGTTCAACACCTGAGGCCTCCAGCTCTTCTCTCAGTTTCTGCTTGAAGTTCTTGGATGCAAATATCTCTGGGGGAACAAAAGGATGAGGGTGAACCAACCTGATCCTTTTAGAATCGCCATAGTATTCTTTAAACTCACCTGCAATCTCGATACCCAGTGCCCCACCACCAATAACTGTAATGATATTTGAGTCTTCGATTTCTTTCTTACTCTTCTGCATCTCTTTTACAAAGCCCTCTTCAGTGATTGCCTTTGGGTCAAATGGCCATCTTCTTCTTCGACCTGCAGCGTAGACACAGTAGTCAAACTGCAATCTCTTGGTGTCCTGCTCTTCGCCAACTTGGTAATTGACGTTGTGATCATCAATGAACGAAGTCACTTTGCCTTGGATATAATTAACTGTCAAATTCTGCGGCAATTCTTCGGTCTGTTTGGTACTGGCCCATCTGTCGAGGGTATCCTGGTATGAACTGGTTACCGATGTGAACTTTATGTTCATATTCTCCGTGTTAAAGTAGCTCTCTTTGGCATATACATCATCAATAACCGCACGTGGTATACCCAAGACGTTTAAAAGGCCTGCTCTCGGCTCGATAAGATCAATCTGGATCTTCTTATCCGTCACATCACCTTTCTCGACAAGGTTGATGAACTGCTTCAAAAAGGACAGACCTCCAAATGAGCCCCCGACAACCAGAATTTTCGTAGTTTCCTCCGTCATTGTAAAGTTGCTTATAACGTCAATGTTCTCATGAAGGGTGTGATATATAAATGGGATAACTCTCTTTATATAACATCCATCTCTAACAAAATAAACCAAGACTTTAAGAACAAAGAACACCCAATTTTCACAATTCAAATTCAAAGTTATCCTACTCCAAATAGAACAAGTTCGGACTTGTGTCCGTTCTCTAAGCGATGAGATCGAGTGGTATTCCCGGTTAGCTCCGTCTAACTCCACCAGTTTGGGAAGAATTAGATCTCGGGTTTTGCCATATCAGTTGGCATAACGACAGGGACTTGTCAGATGATTCGATAGGTCCGGATCCTGCTCGGTCAAGTATCTGTTGCGTTTAACAATAATATTAGGGTGATTTTGGTGTCATTGTCTTCAGTATGTTAGTGTTGAACTGTTAGGCGCTCGGTTTGCAGTCATCAGTTAGCCGATACCGAAATTGGTGCTGAGGTGCTCAAAATTGATGGGGGTTTCCACACCCAGACACCTAATGACGTTGGGGATGAATTGGTGTAATAAGCATCATTTCATGGTCTATTGGCTGAGGCTTCATACGACAAGATCCATGTTGGTATTTCAGTGAGCTGGTATAGTGCTGATTGGTGGTAAATTGTCGTTACCGTAGGTATCCAGCCAGAGTGTAATTCGAGTTTTCAATTTCATAGAGTATATCAGATATACTTATTTTAAAAATATAGAATTGATAGTTCAGCTAATAATCATTTCAAAAAACGCTACACAAAGATCATCTATTCTTAACACAGTAATAACACACAATACTATATAACATCAATTGACTATAACCGTAAGTGATATCTTATGGTTATCACATGTTTAACCATATTGTTCACAATAGCACCAACTGGAACTTTGTCAGTGGAAAATTGCTGCCTAGGCTTTTAACCCGAACACCCAAGCTAAACTCATACCTTGTCGTCACCGAAGTTTTGAATATATTACCACAGTTTCCTCTTTTACGAGAATAGTATAGTGAACTCGAGAAGTGACAAGTACCATGCGTTTGTATTAACAATCCTAAACTGTGACAACAAAATGGTGTCCATCGAGTGGTGAATACATGTGATGCAGTTTTCCGTTATTTCTCAACAGTGCTTATATTGAACACCGAAAGCACCTATAGAACACATGGAAATTATACCTTAAACGTCTGAAAACAATCAAAGGCTCAAGAAATCAAAAGTGAAAGCAAAAGCACCAGATGAATGATTCAGGGAATAAGTGAATATCTTGTGAATATGAAACTAATGATAACACCGCTATCACAAATATAGGCCATTAAGATTAGACTAGTGCGCATAACGATTTTTAGAGCCAACTTGGATCAGAATTGGTAATTGTCACTTTTGGTGGATCACATATTTAACTCGCATCACAAATTTAAAGTCTTCCCCTACTTCATCAGACAAAGAGGCCAAAGAGGCTAACAAGGCTGAAGATGAATGGCGAGCAGCTCTTACAACATGGCCATGTGGAAAGTGCCCTAGACTCGCTCAACCAGGAGTTGAAGTTTGCACCACGTAACAAGAAGTTGCACTTGAACAGAGGCGTTGCCTTGAACAAGCTTAAACGATACGATGAGGCAGCGGAGGATGTTCTATTTGCATTAGATTTGGCAATGACTACAAAGGACAATGCTGAAGATAAGGGGTTCATTGCAGAAGCGTTGCTCAAGCTGGTTATCATTTACTACAACCAGAACAAGCTGGAGGATGCTGTGAAGCTTTTGAACTTGGCCAAAGTTGACTATGGGCTCAATTCAACTGAAGCTACCGTTTGGGAACACAACCTGAAACGCAAGGTCAACAAGTTGTCAAATGGTTCAATTGATTTGACTGCCAAGTTTGACTCACTTGGAGACGTTACAAAGCTTTACGTCGCCAGCTTCACTACGACTGAACCACAGTCTTCTCAATCCATTTCAAAAGCACTGGCAAAGGAGAAAGAAGAGCTGGAACAAAAGATGCTAAATAAGGATAACTTATACCCTGTTCCAAAGAACATCAAAATTGATTGGTTCCAATCCAATGAAACGATCACGGTGTCTTTGTTTGTAAAGAACATACCAAAGGATGACGATCGGTTAAAGCTGAACTTCCACAAGGATTACGTCGATGTTGAATTCCCAATCTCGGAATCTTCTGAATTCCAATACCATTTGGGTCCATTCTACAGCTATATCGATGTGCAGGGAAGCTCATATAAAGTGTTTGGAACAAAATTGGAGTTGTATTTGAAAAAGGCCAATCCAAGTGTGAAGTGGAGGAAACTTGAAAGGTTAGAGCATGAGCAGCCTATAACTGACGAGGATAATTTGGAAGCGAATCCTGTTGAATCCTCCTCGTCTACAGCTCCAATGTATCCATCTTCCTCGAAGAAACATATAAACTGGGATTCTTTGAAGATTGACGACGATGAAGAAGAAGAGACAGGCCCTGATCAAATGTTCAAAAGGCTATACAAAGATGCAGATGAGGATACAAAAAGAGCAATGATGAAATCATATGTGGAAAGTGAAGGTACAGTGCTCAGCATGGATTGGAAAGATGTAGGATCAAGATTTGTCAAAGTTGCACCTCCAGGCTCTAAATTGGACGAGGTGGATGAAAAGTGATATACTCTTCCTACACTGAGGATGGGATTGGTGTGTGTGTAAAATGTCCGTTATTTCAGTATAATGTACATACAGAACCTTTGCTTAATATAATACAACAAATCATACATCATTATTATTAATACTCAAAAGGTATCACTCTCTCGAACAAGATGATTGAGTTTTCTCAACTGTTCTTTTCTCCAGGTGGAGTAGGTATCGTCATCAATCATAGTACTCTCTTGATCGCTATTTGTGAGATCCTCTCTATTCTCTTTATCACCATTATCATACTCATCATCATAGTTGATCCCTTTCGATAGCGACTTTAACGGCGATGTCATAACTTTTTGTGAATTTTCATTCCTCGAACCCAGAACTGGTAGTTTGCTATGATTTCCAGCTTTTAGAGGCGAAGGTGGAAGCCTGGTTCGTCTAGGAGGTGATCCGTTACTCGTTTCTGATAGACTCATCAAACGTGGTTGGAATGCACTAGTGCTTCTGGTAATCTTAATCGGGGGTTTCAGCGATGGTAATCTTCTATCCTTCGTTAAATCTGACGTGATGGTTAGAGATCCAGCGACTTTAGATGGACTGCTTCTCAGGTTTGTTTGTCCCAGAGAGGAATTATTTGCAGACATTGGTTTCCTTACCGGTTTTTGAACACCTTTTGTTGGATTTCTCATATTAGATATTGAACTCTTCACAGGAGAGGTGGCCCTTGATGATATTCTTGATGGGGCCTTGGATACAGGTCTTGATGGGGCACGGGAGGGAGCTCTAGATGTTATTCTGGATGCTGATCTTGAAGGATCCCTAGAGATGGGCCTCGACTGCGAAGGTGGTTGAGATCTGGCTGACGTTCCACTGAGCACTCTTCTACCTTTAGATTCCAATTTTTTTTGCTCTTCATCTAAAAGTTCTAGGAAATCAGCACCGAGATATGAAAGGGATTCATCATTGTCATCTTCATATTGCTTTATTTTCACTCGTAACTCACTAATGAGTTTAGGTAGTTGCCTAGCCAACCTTTTTCTAGTCTTCTCCTCCTCCATGAGGATTTTATACGAATTCTTCGCTAACAACCTGGAAGAATCTTGAGATGTGGCTTCTAGTTCAGTCCGATCTTGAATCAAGCTCTTAAACTGTTGAACAAGATCAATGATTGGTTTGTATGATGCTAATATTTTGTTTAATCTCCCGATTTCCTCCTCTAATTGGCTCAAAACTTCATCGGTACAGTCTGTACTATAATATATCTCACATTTTGACCTTTGGGAATCGGAGTAGCACAATTGGTCCCAGAGTTCTTCGATTGATATTTTAGCATCATTGATAAACTTATCCAGAAACTGAGCCTTTAGTGCTTCCATTCTAGCCAACTCCATCTCGTAGTTTTCGATAGTCTTCGATGAGATGTCACTATTGGAAGATTTGAACTCTTCAATCATTCGTGGATCTTGTTCTAGTTTTTCCCAGAGAGGCTCACACTTTGATTTGAAGTTATTTATCAGTTCTAGGCGATCTGATTTAACGCTCTCCAAATCCTTAAGAAGCTTGTTCAATTCTGAGATTATATCCACAGACACATCAAGAGACTCTGATTTCTCATTGCACTGTGAATATTGAAACACCCTATCCGAGATCATAAAAAAGTCAGTCTTATGATCTATATCAAGTTCATGCCAGAGGGATATTATGCTTGAAGAGAGTTTTCTCAAGTTGCAGAGTCTAGAAGATATCTCCTGGTTATACTGTGTAATACTGCGTGACAAGTGATCGAGACACTCATCTGATAGATCGTTCATAGGTGAGGTTTCAAGAAGGAGTGTTTGATCATTTAATAGGATCTGGAAAGTGTCACTTATCGAGGAATGCTGTTCCAGAAATTGTAGGATTTGTCGACGTTGCTCCCCTGGTGGTATTTCAAGGTTAGTGACGCTAAAACCGTCACATCTTGAACGTAGCAGGTCAAGGGTATGGCATAATTCCAAATATTTGAATAGACGATCCCTATAATCCGTTAATATGTAGTCAAGACTCGAAGATAGCGAATTCCTTAGACTGAGCATCGACACATCGTTTTGAATATCTTTCAGAATAAGATTCCGAATGTAAAGATCTGGTATTGTCCTGGTCCCTGTGGGGTCTTGTATTGTCCTAAGCACTTTTCTCAATATTGTAATAGTAGAGTTATTCTCCTTATCGAGACTATTCTTGTAAGTCTCTGCATCCTGAATGAACTTGTCTAGCGTACCATACACCGCATCAAATAGTTCTTCTTCTTTGTTTTGTAATTCGTTTTTGTTGTATCCGATGGTGGTATTAATATCGGCCAACTTGCTCAACGTGTTTGTGAGTTCACTGGCAAGCCTGCTATAGTCACCATCATTTCCTCTGTTCTTTGAGGAAGTCGGTGAGGGTGATGATTCGTATTTGCCAGAATTCAATTTCACTTTCATTGGTGATGACAGTAGATTTATCATTCCGGTTTTTGGGATCTTGTTGTCGGCCTGTGCCTCTCGTCCCGGAGACGAGTAGGTTGCAACGAGATCCATATTGAAGACGATTTTTGTTAGATGATGGACGATACGATGATTCTTGATCAACTCTTCTTGTTGGTTGTTGATGTCTAATGCTTGTTGACAATCCTCTTTGTTTTGTTTTTGGATCAAAATGTTTGTTTTCAATAACCCAATTAGGTAAAAAATAAACAAAGCATTACATTTCCCAGACGCTGTGCGGAAAGAAAACCAAATACTTTTTGTCACAGAAACGGCCGCGTGGTCTAGTGGTATGATACTCGCTTTGGGTGTGAGTGGTCCAGGGTTCAATTCCCTGCTCGGCCCGTTTTTTTTGTTCTTCAGCAAGGATGGGTTACCCGGCTCAAAGTGCAGAGTTATCGCGTACGGGTGTGTGCGTGTGAGTGTTGGTACTGCCGCTCTAACTGCGTAAGCGTACTGATCTCAATAGGGCGTGCAGTAATTTGAATGCACATACTGAATTGCTGTATATACTTCTGCAACTCATTGAATAAGTCTGTCACTCAGTAATCGTCTCCTTGGTCTGTAGAGATCATTTGGTTAAGCCCACAGTGTCCAATCAAGTCCTGTTGATGGTAATGAGCGACCTCTCCCCCCAGTGTACGATTTTATTCCGTATTTTCAGCCATGTTGAGTTGTTATCCAGAAGTTCATAGGAGCAATGATCAACAGAACATTTGATATCATGTGTATTGCTCACAAAGACTGATTATCTAAAGAGTCGTCATTCTCGCTTGTAAACAGTCATGGTTTAATTGATACATATTGCTGTACTTATTGTAGGTGCTTGCGTCTTATGCCATAGAGTCAAATTGAGTTCTGGCGGATGCGCTGAGCCAACAAAAACACGACACACATAACACACTAAAAGAAAAAGAAATCTTGTTGTTCATAAGATAACTTCACGGATAACAACAGGAAACACAGAAGACAGCCTTTTTGAGCACAATGCAATTGGAATCAAGTCCAGCACCAGGTAAAATGGATGAGATTTGTGGTGATCTCGAAGTTCTTCGAGCTCTTGCAGAGATTGAATGTAGTGATTACGATACAACTGTGTGGTCATTAATCGGTATTCCAAGGAATAAGGTCATCACTATTGGAAGAGCCGCCTCAACCGTGTTGAAGATCAACCACATGGCGGTATCTGGAGTTCACTGCAAAATATGGGCAACTCAATTTGACGACGTTTCGGTACCGTTGATCTACCTCAAAGACCTCTCTTTAAACGGAACCTATGTGAATGACAAGAGAATCAAAAGGCATGAAATAGTTTTGCTAGGCCATGGGGATGTTGTTCGAATTCCCTTTGGAATTGAGTTGGGGTTCAGGGCGCTAGGGGGAGACTGCGAGAAAGACGTTGCCAGGAAGTTGAAGGATCTGAACTGCATCAACGGTGAGTTTTCTGAATGGAAGATCGATGACAGATTGTTGGGTAGTGGAACATTTGGCCACGTATGAGCATACCAAAGAGAGTTTGTGATCTAAAGAATCTGGGAAATGCACTAACATATTGAGAAAGGTTTTCGTGTGTAAGAGAAACTGGGATTCCAAGCTATGTGCTGTCAAGGTTATCAAGAATTACAGTGGCGTTGTTCCTTTTGAAGCCAAAATTTTGCAACAACTTGATCACGTAAGTAACAGACAAGGACCATGTTGGAAGAACTAATTACTGATAAGTGTCAATAACAAACAGCCTAATGTCATTCGAGTGTACCAAGCACAGATTTCGAAAAACCATCTTTACATTTTTGAAGATTTGTGAGTGTTTCTTTCCCGGTCCAAAATCAAATGTTCGAAGCACTAACTGAAGTAGGATTTGTGGTGGTGATCTATTTTCGTACCTTTCCAATGGTTCTTCTATTTCGCCGATTCCTGAGTTTGAAGCCTTGATTATTACATATCAGATCATGTGTGCGCTTCAATACCTTCACAGGAACAACATTGTGCACAGAGACTTAAAAGTGAGTTCACATTTTTACGAAAGGCAAATCTCATGTTGAGAGAAAACTGACCAGTTTCAGCTTGATAATATCCTCTTGGAGTCACCTGAACCATTTAGCAAAGTCTTGCTCGCCGATTTTGGCATTGCTAAATCAACAAGAGGTCGAATGTTCACCGTTATAGGTACACCAGAGTACTGTGCACCTGAGGTTGGATTTGAATTCACCAAATTACCAGAACAACAAATGAAGTTTAGCAACTACAAGAGGACAGATGAGCTGACTTTGAAGAAAGGTTATGATAGTAAATGTGATATTTGGTCATTAGGAGTAATAGTTCATATTATGCTCAGCGGTATTTCACCTTTTTACGAAAATGGGGAACAGGAAAATATCATTCGCAGCGCAAAACGAGGAGCTTTAAAGCTTCAGATGAAGGAGTGGCAGAACGTGTCTCAGGAAGCCAAGAGTTTTGTTCAAAGCCTTTTGCACGTTGATACCAAAAAGCGCTTTGATATCCAGCAATGTTTCAAGCATGAGTGGATCAGGAAACACGAGGTTGTCCTAAAGGATATTGTTCAGAAGATAACAGGCTGATGCCCAAGTCAGGGACGATCAGGTTTCAAAATCCATTGCTTTACTGAAGAAAAATTTACAAGTGAATTCAAAGGATCATTCAATATGGCCGAGCTAACATCAGCTTATTACAAATTTGATCGCTGAGTCAGTATTATAGATCAACATGGGTTTGATTCAATCACTTTCGTATGGTGTATATGGAAAATCTGGTGCGACATTGACGCACTTGAATAAACTCTGCATACAACGCGCATCGTCCGAGACTAAGTTCTAAGCATCCAACAACAATAAGTAGAGAAACGTTAAAACCAGGTCTTTCTCTCTCTGTGAAACTAGCGTACCCCTTTTGAGCTGTTTCAGATGTTGAACAGTTCGATTGATGATTGGAATCCGTTTTCCTTCTGTTCTTATTATCCCGCATAGATGTACTTAATTCACGTCACATGTAGTTCAGCATTTTAGGAGCACATCCGTAGTTACCAAGAGATTTATCGATGATTGGCTATATCCAACCTTAAATTCTACACTGTTACCATAGCAACATCTCGCTTAGATGTTGAACCGTAAACCTAAAAATGAGTCAGTTGTTAAGAAATAGCAGAGAGGCAAATACAGGAAACACCCAGCAGAGATCAACAGACCGCTGTAACGGTTCACCAAACAGATCCCCCTTTCACTGAGTTTACATGCGTGCTTTACAACCACTCACATGAGTTCAATGATCAAGAGAACCACGTTTCACTCCCAATATGAGAGGTCGGTGCTCTAGAGGTCTGGAGCTGCATTTTAGAGGTTGGAACCCTTGGAAAGATGGACTGTTCGTCATTCATTGTGCCCCATTATCCGATCAGGGGTGCCATTCTACATCGAGTGCTGGAAAACAATGACAACGGTCAAGGATCGGACCCGTTAAATATACTTTCATCTCTCTATTGTGCTTCACTCCGCATCTCATCTGTTTCCGCAGTGACCCATTGATGCGATCTTAACATCAACGGCCCAACTCTAAGCATTCATCTTTACCAGCAACCAGCTTGATTCCAAAGCTAGTATGGTACCGTTACTACAGCCCTCGAATATTTATTACATCAACCTTTGCCGTGGTTGGATGTCCTTTTTTGACCTGCGTTATATATCCTGTACAGCAACAGTACACCAGCCAGCCAATGAGGCGGGTGAGGCAAAAAAGGACTCAAGCAACAAGGCATGAAAGAAAATGAAACTTTCCCGCGCCGCTTCGGTTTTCTGAAAATTATAAGCACACTCAAGGGTGAAATTGATGTGTGAAATTATTGAACAAAGGCCAAACAATGTATATAAGTAGAGTATAGCAGCCATATAATGCGTAGTTACTATATCTGAACATACTGCCCTATTTCTTCTACAATCACTTGTTGACTTGTCATCCAAGGTGTTATGACGGAGTAGCACACAATTCCGGGTTGATACAAAGTTACACAGACCATACACGACGCAGCTGCGTAAATTTCCCGAAGTTTTTTTTTCTTTCTTTTTTTTTCCTGCCCTCCTTCTGTGTTTGTTCCTTTCAGGTTGTCACAGCACCGAACAGAGGCCTTTTTGACGCATTTCCCACAATTATAAACAATCCTAAGGGGAAAAAAGGAAGGGGAGAAAAACAAAACAAAACAACCGGTTTGTTACTCATCACAATTTCCTCATTTCTTTATAACTCTGAATATAGACAAGCTCGAAGAGTCTGTCTAGATAGCAAGAAAGGTGCTCTCCAAGGACCGTATGAGCGATTCAGAAGGATTGAAGTCGCCACAGATGACAAAGACCAAAGTTTTATCGTATCAGCAACTGCTGAACCCGGCATCGCCATCCACGTCGCCCCCTAAGACAAGCTCACACACACAGACGGATGCTACGCCCAAGGATGAGAGGTTAACACCCTCGACACCACCGCGGAACACAGCATCTTCAACAAATCATAGCCCGGAGGATATCACGCAGAGACGTGGTTCTCATTCATCTAGCTATACGCATGAAGCGCGTATTGTGTTACCGCCAATGACACCATCGACAAATACGCATAAACGTTCAGATAGCATGACAAGACTCGGGAACATCCCGATGACTCCTATGACGAAATTATTACATGATGATGCACATGGAGAGACTCCGTTAAGGTCACCATCTCACGCTCACGATGACGAAGATGGGGGTAGACCACCGATTAGACAAATAACGAACAAACTCCGCACAAGGCTTAACTACGCGATGGTGAAATTCTCCAACGGATGGACCGACCAGTCCTTGGATGAGCTGGAGAAGAACTTTGCAGAAGGAAGCTCAAATGACGATCAAGCACATCTTACTGTCAGTAAATCTGCATTGTTGAAGAGTCCCACGAAGGTTACAAAGCCAACGAGGAGTAACATTTTACTGTCACCACGGAAGGGTTCGAGGGAGCATCGTAAGTCCATGGAACCTCTAGACGCTGGTGGCTCGGCAAGTGCCGCATTTTTGCATGCCATTTCCAAGAGTGGCTCACCAAAGAGAAGAAATTTCCATAACGCGCTGAGGATTGTGCCAATAAGTCCATCGAATGCGTCTTCACCCAACCGTGTACGATCATCACAGGAGAGTCCGGAGGCTGAAGCCATAGAAACACTAATGTCGTTATCATCGCCTAGATCGTCAAAAGTGTTGGAGTTTCCCGTGGTTAAATTACAGCCACAGCCACATATCCAACCACACCCTCATGGTCAAAGCTCGTCCAGCGCTCAATCACAGACAAGCTTCACTAGAGGTTCATTACCGAGACAGAAGCTGGTGTTTGGCGATGAGGATGAGAGCGCCATCTACCAGACCGAGAGCGAAGACACGGAACCTGAAGATGCAATGGTTGATATTGACGCGCGCACCGATAGCGCACCAGGCACCCCCTCATGAGCTCTTCCCCCGAGAACAACACGAAGAAGAGCGATCTTCCCCAGATAATTTTGTATTATAATATCCAGATGTACGTGTATAGGTTTAATAGCTACTAATAATGTATGGTTATGAGTTAAAGTCTTATCATCGACAACTGGTTTATATATACCGAGGATTTGTAACAAAGCTGAAGGTGGCGGCAATTTGCGGAGAAGATAAGTGCCAAACGGGTTCAAAAACCGACAAAAAACAATCGTTTTACAGTCCGCTTGCGCGCGGCCCTCAGAAAACAACAGAGGCCAAACGAAATTTGCGGAGTTTATCGCTTGTATCAACGCCTTTTCGCACAAAGTTGATGACTATTTTTGTCGGGTTGTTTATCGTGTGGAGAAGAGGCACAATCACCCGTGGGGTTTAAAAACACAAAGTGGGTGAGCCTGCAAGACAAAACCAAGAATACGCTCAGTTTAATTGCCGTAATGGTGTGTGTGTGTGTGCAGCCAGTGCTTATGGTGTGCTTGGATTTGATATGCACCGTGTATAAACGACATAGGTGTCACTTGGTGGGTCCCCAATGCGGGTTTGGGGGATTATTTGCTTATAATACCGGGCGATTTTCTCTTGATACTCCTCCTCTGTCTTCAAGCAGTGCGGTTGTAGGATAAAGACAGTACGAGTGAGCCATGTATGAAAAGTATACGAAAGTTGTGGAGGCGGAGTTCCCAAGGATGATGATGCATTCCACCATCCCCATGGGCGCGCCGTTGGCCGTTGTGTTTGAGCACTACAGGCTGAACAAGCACCTTGTTGACGAGTTCCGAATCCCTGTGAACCTGTTCTTTATGGCGGGTACTGGGATGACGAAGGCAGTATGGAAGTACCACATCAACAAACTGTTTGAGTACTCGCAGAGTAATCCTGAGCTGAAGTGGCAGGTCACAAACTGTGTGGCGTTGGATCTGGTCAACCATGGTGATTCTGCGCTGGAGAACGAGGGCATCCTTGGATGGCAGTTCGACTGGAGAGAAGGCTCCCATGACCTGATCCAAGTTGCAAAGAGTCTCAAATTACAAGGTGAATCCATAGTGATTGGCCACTCCATGGGCGGGTTCCAATCATTGTATTCTACTCTCATATCTCCGCTCATGTTTAAATTCGTCATTGCTATTGAACCGGTTACACATGGGGATGAAATGGCAAGCGTTGTATTTGCTAAAAAGATGCTTCCTGCGGTTGCTGGTGCGATATGCACAGAATTTGCCAATGAACAAGAGTATTACAAGTACATGAAGCAGAGGAGCTTCTATAGGAACTTCCACCCACAGGTTTTTAGAGACTTTGTCGATTCTGAGAAGATCGTAAACCCAGATGGTACTGTTCGTACAAAGACAACAAAGCAAATCCAGATGATTTGCTACCATGCAGGACTGCGAATCTTCCCAAGGGGGTTAGAACTGATATCCATGATTGAACGACCAGTGGTGTTCGTTGCGGGCGAACGGGCAACCTGGACCCCCAAATCTTGTGTTGGAGAGGTTAGAAACGCTTTACAACACGGCGAATTCTATGAGGTGCCGAATGGTGAGCATCTGGTGAACTGTGAGGATCCAGATGCCATTATTGAAATCATCCAGAAGAGCCTAACTAAGTATGTGAAGGAGAAATCAGATACGAGAACTTCTGAACTGATTGACCGTAAAAAGTATAACGAGTTGTTCGATGAAAATTACTCTAAATTGGCAGCTGAATTCTTTGAAAGGAAGTCAAAGATCTAAGCTAATGACTTGGTGAACAATACACACACATTACGAAATCTTGTGGAGCCTACTTCAGTGTAAACAGTAGTCAAAAGACATAATTAGTTGATGTTCCTTATCGTGTTGCTCCTTACCGAAAAAGTTTTGGCACCAAAAAGTTTTTTTTTCAATCTTTTGCCATTTTTTTTTTTTTCAGATGGAAGCTCGAAGAGGTCATCGCCGTCGAAAGCTTTTGAAAAGTGTTTATAACATAACACGAGAACCATGCCATTGCCTAAAGAAACCGTCCTTGCCCTTATCGAAGGATACTTGAAGCGTAATGATCTCGACGACATTGCAAAGAAGTTGAAAAAAGTTGTCCAAAAGAAAGGTATCACTATTGAGGATACCGATGACAAGTTGGAGGAGAAGTTGGCATCCGATGCTCAGGAATCCGATGACGAGAGCGATTCATCTGCTGACGACGAAAGTGAGTCTTCGAGTTCTAGTAGCGAATCTGAGTCATCTTCAGAAAGTGAGGGAGAAGAAGAAGACTCAAAGAAGGAAGAGTCTTCGAGCTCCAGTAGCGAGTCTGGGTCATCTTCAGAGAGTGATGATGAAGGGGAAGACTCAAAGAAGGAAGAGTCTGGTAGTTCCTCCTCATCTGAGTCCAGTTCCTCCTCATCTGAGTCCAGTTCTGAGTCCAGTTCTGAGTCCAGTTCTGAGTCCAGTTCTGACTCTAGCTCTGACTCTAGCTCTGACTCTAGCTCTGACTCTAGCTCTGACTCTAGCTCTGATTCTGAATCTGATTCTAGCTCTGACTCTAGCTCTGACTCTAGCTCTGATTCTGAATCTGATTCTAGCTCTGACTCTAGCTCTGAATCTGACTCCGACTCTGATTCTGAATCTTCTTCTTCTTCCTCATCCTCCGATTCTTCAGATGCGGAAACAGCTGCAGAATCTTCCAAGAAGAGAGCCCATTCCTCTTCTTCATCCTCATCTGAGAGTGAAACAGACTCATCAGATGAAGAGGACAAACAAACTGCAAAGAAGCAAAAGACCACCAATCAGGAATCCACCAAGAGCTCCACATCGTCAATCACATCCGACGATACTTCTATTGCAGCAACACCAGAGCCAGAACTCAAACCAGGCCAAAGACACCATTTCTCCAGAATAGATAGATCCAAGATCTCCTTCGAAGGCGACGCACTCACAGACAACACCTACAAAGGTGCAGCTGGTACATGGGGTGAGAAGGCCAACGAGAGATTGTCCCAAGTTAGAGGCAAAGATTTTACAAAGAACAAGAATAAGATGAAGAGAGGTTCATACAGAGGTGGTTCCATCACAATGGCCTCTGGTTCCTACAAATTCAAAGATTGAGAGCCCAATTGCCTCGTCATTCCACTCTTGCTATTGTACTCGCATTAATCATTAACCGAATGTATAACTTTCCAATAGTAGAATATAATTGTGATATTATCCATATATAGAACTGGCCAAATGGTGTTTGTTGGTTGTTGTAGTAACGCTATGAGGTGTGTGGATGTTTTGAAGAAATTTCACTTTTGTAAGCAATGGTGATAAAAGTGGCTCATTAGAACCAGAAAACGTCTTCAGGAACAAGGAGGAGACTGGTCAAGATGTCAGGTAAACGGACGTACGATGAAGATGATGACTTCTCAGAGTCCTCGAACTCCAGTGGATACGATGATGATCTTGATGATCCACTCTTTGGCAGCTCGAAGAAGACAAAGACGTTAACAGTGGCAAAGAGGAAACCTAATGAAAAAGTAGCAGAGGAGGTTTCATCAATGGACCATTTGGCTCATTTGCCAACCGGTTATGTACCAGATGTCGTATCAAAGATGTTTCACAGACACGACTTTTCTTATCTGGAGCTCAAGCCTGACCATGCTTCAAGACCCTTGTGGATATCACCAAGTGATGGTAGAATCATCCTTGAAAGTTTCTCCCCGCTGGCTGAACAGGCACAAGACTTCTTGGTGACTATTGCAGAACCTGTAAGCAGACCTAGTCATATTCATGAGTACAGAATTACTGCTTATTCGCTATACGCTGCAGTTTCTGTTGGGCTGGAAACAGCTGATATCATTGCGGTCTTAAACAGACTCTCCAAAGTACCAGTGGCGGAGTCGATAATCAACTTTATTGAGAGTGCAACAGTATCATACGGTAAAGTGAAACTGGTTTTGAAACATAACAGATACTTTGTTGAAAGTCCGCAAGCCGATATATTGCAAATGCTTTTAAAGGACCCTGTTATTGGTGCCTTGAGAGTAGATTCTGCAAACTTGACGTCGTCTAACGGATTGACGACAGCAAAGGCTCCGACTCAAGGAGGATTGGTCATTCCAGGTACCAAACCGGGCGAGTCCTCTGACAATGTTGAAGATATATACGCAGCAGTTGTGGGAGAAAAGGCAGCACAGGAAGAAGAGGACGATGATGATGCCTTTGATGCAGTGCATTCCTTTGAAATATCGAACGACTCTGTTGAGGTTGTCAAAAAAAGATGCCAGGAAATTGACTATCCAGTTCTTGAAGAGTATGACTTCCGTAACGATCAGAGAAACCCAGATCTGGATATAGATTTGAAACCCTCGACACAGATCAGACCTTACCAGGAGAAGTCCCTGAGTAAGATGTTTGGTAACGGCCGTGCAAGATCAGGTATCATTGTGCTGCCATGTGGGGCTGGAAAAACCTTGGTGGGTATTACTGCTGCTTGTACTATTAGAAAATCCGTCATTGTCCTTTGTACATCTTCGGTGTCTGTCATGCAATGGAGACAACAGTTCTTACAGTGGTGCACAATTCAACCGGAGAATGTTGCAGTTTTCACATCGGACAATAAGGAAATGTTTAGAACTGAAGCTGGTCTGGTTGTATCAACATATTCGATGGTTGCAAACACTAGAAACAGATCCCATGATTCTCAGAAAGTCATGGACTTTTTAACGTCTAGAGAATGGGGGTTCATCATTTTGGATGAAGTGCACGTTGTCCCAGCCGCAATGTTTAGAAGAGTTGTTACCACAATTGCTGCTCATGCTAAACTTGGATTAACAGCCACATTGGTTAGAGAAGATGATAAGATTAGTGACTTGAATTTTTTGATTGGACCAAAATTGTACGAAGCCAATTGGATGGATTTGGCTCAGAAGGGTCACATTGCAAATGTCCAATGTGCCGAAGTATGGTGTCCAATGACATCAGAATTCTATCAAGAGTACCTGCGTGAAAGTGCAAGAAAGAGAATGCTTCTATATATTATGAACCCTACCAAATTTCAGGCTTGTCAATTCTTGATTCATTATCACGAGAAGCGTGGTGATAAAATCATTGTTTTTGCTGATAACGTCTATGCCCTTCAAGAGTACGCACTAAAGCTTGGAAAGCCATTTATCTACGGTGGCACTCCTCAACAGGAGCGTATGAACATTCTACAAAATTTCCAGTATAACGACCAGGTGAACACAATCTTCCTTTCAAAGGTTGGTGACACTTCAATTGATTTACCAGAGGCGACATGTCTGATTCAAATTTCTTCGCACTATGGTTCTCGTCGTCAAGAAGCTCAGCGTCTGGGTAGAATTTTAAGAGCTAAAAGAAGAAATGATGAAGGTTTCAACGCATTCTTTTATTCTCTGGTTTCCAAGGATACGCAAGAGATGTATTATTCCACTAAGAGACAGGCTTTCTTAGTCGACCAAGGCTATGCGTTCAAAGTCATTACTCATCTTCACGGAATGGAGACCTTGCCGAACCTTGCTTATGCTTCAGCTAGAGAAAGAAGGGAGCTGTTACAGGAAGTGTTGTTGAAGAATGAAGATGCAGCAGGGTTGGAAGTTGGTGACGATGCTGATAACTCTTCAATAGCAAGAAAAGATGGTCTCAAACGTGCTCAACAGAGTTCTGCTGGCCAGAAGAAGGCTAAAGCACAGAGAACTGCTGGATCACTGGCCTCTTTAGCTGGTGGTGAGGATATGGCATACGTGGAATACACTGGAAATAAGAACAAGGAGCTGAAAGAGCATCATCCATTGATCCAAAAGATGTACTATAAAAAGGGGAAGAAATGAAGCGAACTACTATATAGTATAGTCTGATATATATAACGACATAACACACTTTTATTAATTAATTATCAACGTTATTTGAGATAGTACAATAATGTATGATTCGTAATAACAAGGAAGACAAAGCATAAAACGTCTCTTAACTTTGAACCCTTCAAACTACCTGTTCAGCTCTTTGCTTTTCCAACTCATCTACAACTAGATTCTCCAAATCACCCAAGGAACCTTGGATGTTAACCTTCAAAGTAATGACCGCATCAATCAAGTTCTGAACCTTTGAATGTAGTAGTTCTCTTTCTTGTTGAACATCGCTCATCAGTTTCTTGTACTGCATGTCCACTGTCTTTGTATGTTGGTCCAAGAGGAGTTTGTTTTGTTTAGAGTTGGAATGCATTTGCTTTAGATCGCTCTCGAGTCTTTCAACTTCTGCATGATAAGATGTTGCCTCTTTAGTCATGTTTTCGTAGAGTTCTTCATAATCCAACTTAAGGGTAGATAGTTTTGCATTCAAGGATTCAACATTCTCAGATTTTTCAGCAGTTGTTTCATTCAAGGAGTCAATCTTTTCCTGAAGACTGATAGCTTCATCCTGTGACTCATGAATACGAGCACTGATGTCATTCTTGAGCTTTTGAAGATTGAGGCGAATGCTTGTTTTGAGATCTTGACCATCTAAGAGAGCCTCTGGACGAAGTCCTAGACGCTCCTCACTCAGAAGGTTGTCCAGCTTGACAATATACTTCGATGCATCAATTTCTGGCGAAGTGGATGCAATTGTATAAATACTAAAATTGTACTGTTTCAAAGTATTTGACAACTGTTCATAGACATGTTGTGACTCCATTTCCTTTGTGTGCACAATCTTTGATATGTCATTCAATCTAAGGTTTACAGAGTCGATGGCCTTAGATATCCGATCTCTTTCGTTGTTCATTCTATCAATATCCTTTGGAGTCAGACCTTGGTCTGAGATTTGCTTCTGAATCTGTTTCTTCTCCTCTTCTGTACGAGCAAGTTCAGTTTCCGAGTTATCCATTTCTTTCTTTATCTGTTCAAGAACAGAACCCCATCTCAGCTTTCTCGTCTCCATAGAGTTAATATAAGCCTTAAACTTGAACAAATCACTCTCTAGAGCCTCGAATTTTTTCTCAACAGCATTCAGGGATTCTGATTCAACAATGAGATTTTGGTAAGTCTTTTTCAATCGATCGTTGTCCCCCTGAAGTTCTTCTGTTTTGGAAACCATATCCTTGGTATATGACTCGTATTGAGCTTTCATTTCATCATAAAATACGGAATATTCGTCTATATTGTTCAAAAATGCGTTGTAGGACTTGATGATATAATTCACAAAGATTCGTTCCAACTCGATTTCATTACGATCAACGCCTTCATAGTCATCGGTAGACTCGAAAAGAGAGGTGATTTTGCTGGCCTTAGAGATTAAACCAGTTAACCAATGAAGTATACCCAAGAACACAGGCCAGTTCTGACCACCAACAGCAGAGATCTGTGACTTGTTGATCGATTCCAAGTATGGATACTTGATATTTTTCAAAACGTAGTAAACTTCATGTTCAATACTCTTTGTAAATCTGTAACCAGGATCAACTTTCTTGTACAGAAACTGGAAAATTAGTACAAAATCTTTCTGTGTGGGGTTTCTAAGGGTTTTTGTAGTTAAGGAGTGCTTCATCTCAGTTTCAAAGTTGTTGTTCAACAAGAAGTCAAAGACGTTTTGTTGAATAGATTGTTGATAGTTCCGATCACGTAAGGGCCTTGGATCTTTGGACTGGGAGAGACTCAAGGTACCCAATCCAAACGACGATTGTCTATTTGTTGGACGTGAGACTGATGTGACACCAGCCAAGCTCTTTCTCTTCCCAGACCTCAACACGCTCTGTTGCATCATCTCTGTCAATCCAGGACCCGACGTTCTCTTCTGGATGGCACTTGAATTATTGGTTCTTGGAGCCCCAATCATAGATTGTCTTGCAGATAGACGATTTGAGTTTCTCTTGATACTGGACGACAGCTGTGGAATATGAGAGACGTTTTGAACTTGGTTGAGATCAATCTGGGATAATGGTCCACCGTCCATTTTCGCTCTCTTAGACGAATAGTTATCCTGTGACATTTAAGCAGAGTGTTCAGAAGATCAGCTGTACACTAAAATGGCAAAGAAATGGTGTAGAATGTCCTCTAAAAAGCTGTTTCGTCTTTGTTTTGAAGTTTCTAAAGGGAATAGGAAGTATGGGTTTGTTTACATTTGTTTACATTTGTTTTTTCTTTTGTTGTTGATGTTTCGTTTTGTGCGCACTGCAGCCCCCCCTCAACCCGCCGAGGTTTGTTTTGATTTTCGGGAGTTTGTCGTCACCAGGACAACACAATTGGTTTTTTGTTCCTTTTGTGTTCTCCTCCGTAAAAGGAAAGTTTCGCGCAATACAAAGAGGGAGGAGCTGAAACAAAAAAAAAGCATTCTTGACTGGGGCCACAACTCTATGCACTGTTGGAAAATTTTGTGTGCGATGAGCTTCCCTTGATGCCTATATGAGTAGAAGCTGTGGACATCGATAGCGAAACCATGAGCGAACCTAGAGTCCTGGCTTTAGTACTTGATGCCACTCCACTGATTACTCAGCATATTTCAACACTTAAAACATTTGCCAAGGAGTTCTACACCACTCCGACGGTGTACAATGAGATTAAAGATGAGAATGCAAAGAAGAACCTTGCACTATGGGGAGAATACTTACAGGTTAGACATCCTAAAGCTGAATTTATAAAGAAAGTAACGGACTTTTCCAAGTTGACAGGTGATTACGCTGTCTTGAGCGCAAACGATATCCATATTATTGCGCTGACGTATGAACTTGAATGTGAGTTTAACCATGGGGACTGGAGATTGAGATCGTTCCCCGGTGAGAAGAGGGAGTTCAAAAGAAAAGTTGATGCCTTGAAAGAGAAAACTACTGTTGAAGCTGTGGCTGATGCTCCTGTTGAAGCCGAGGTGGATGCTGTTTCACCAGAACAATCTATAGGATCTTCAGAACCTACTGAGAAGAAGAAGAAACCAAGACGCAGAGGCGGTAAGAAGAACAGAGAAAGAAGATTGGCAAGAGAAGCTGCCGAGGCCCAAGAACAAGCTGCCTCTCAACACGAAGGAGAGCAAGATCAGAAGGCAAAGGAGGAAACTGAGACCAGCAAGGTGAATGCAGAGGAAGAAGTATCACAAGGTGCTATAAATGATGCACTGGACAAACTCGACGAGAAAAACCAAGCACAACAGGTTCAAGATCTCGAAGAAACTTATGAAGATGATGACGATGATGGTGAATGGATCACCTCGGAAAATATGCTAGACGTTTTAATCAGGGATAGTGGAGAGCAGATTGAAAAGGAGAAAGTGAGCACCAAGATCAAAGTTGCTCTTGCAACCGGTGATTTTGCCGTTCAGAACGTCTCCATGCAAATAGGTCTTAACCTGATGAGTACAGTCTCTGGATTACAAATCAAGAGGGTGAGGAACTATATGATGAGATGCCATGCGTGCTTCACCATGGTTCCGATCCCAAAGAATGGTCAACCAAAGCACTTCTGTCCAAGATGTGGTGGTCAGACTTTGCTTAGATGTGCCGTGTCAGTCGACTCCAAGACCGGTGAGGTGACTCCGCACCTCAAGGCCAACTTCGAGTGGCATAAGAGAGGTGATAGATACTCACTTGCATCTCCATTGTCTAAGAACACTCAAAAGAGAATGGGTAAGAAGGGATTCGTCCACAACAAATCTAACAAGCAGAAGGAGTACGAAGAGCCAATCCTCAGGGAAGATCAGAAGGAGTATCAGAAGGCTCTTAAGGATGACGACTGGTTAAGAAGAAAGAACGAGAAGATCCTGGACGACTACATCGGTGGGGGTTCGGCGGACAACTTTATCTCGCCATTCGTCGCCCAAGGCTTTAGAGCCCACGGTGTGAAGGTTGGAAAGGGAAGATACGTCAACTCTGGCAGAAGAAGAAAGTGAGCGCTTCTTTGGAAACCAGAACAGCGAAAGATTTAGGAGACAAAGAAAAGCAAATACATATCATTTGGTATATAAAGACAGTTGTATTTTCTCTCTTAACCTACAAATTGTACGGTGTAGAAAGACACTCGGTGTTGTTTTACCACAGCTGAGGAACAATTCTGCTCAATGAAGAAAGCGGAAGCGTCAAAAAAAATGGGGGGCAAAGCCGCTCAAACCCAAAAAACACAACTATGACGTTACAGTTTTCCAAATTGCCTATTTGGTTCGAAATGGCTGCTCAGAAAAAACACACACAAACACAAACACAACAAAAACCACCGTCGGTGTGGAAACAGGTGAGAGAAAAAAAGAGCATCCTAGGGCAAACAAAGAGAACAAAATTTATTTACAAGGAGGTTTTCAGATATAAAGGGAGCATAAAAAACTCACAAAAAAGCACAAGCAAGCAGAATCCAGCGAATTTTTAATTGAAGCTTATTGAAAACTTTCCATTGCAGAACAGAACCACCCGACTCGTACTTGAGAAAGAGAGAAATAGCAAGATTTCGCTAAGGTTAGCAATGACAGAGAATTCCGATAAAACTGCTTGGGCAGAGGAGAGTGCTGAGCGCACTCTGTCATCCAAGGATATGGCTCTCTCTAGTTTACAATGCCCATCACCACCACCGATCCTGAACACTGCGGTCCTTACTGGTAACAACATCTCACAAGTGTCCATAGGCAAGATTATAACGAGCGAGCTGGCTGGCGATGCCACCGATGAGGCAACAGCAGGGGCTTCTAACCTCAACCCACCTCATGTCCAAGTACGAGCCCCTCAGTTTGAAAACAAGCCGGTAACAGGAGCAACAGCAATGTCATCAACAACAACCCCGACAACTACGGCATCTCCGTCACCACAATCCCCGCCACCAACAACAACGAAATCAACAACAACCACAATTCCAGGACAATATTCAAATCTTCAACACCCGACTCCTATAACACCAGGGCCACAGCTGAAAAAGATAGAGTCCCATACGAGCTTTACAGGCCTTGCATCTTCTTCTAACGGTGCCATGAGAGGTCGAGCAGCCGCTACTGCAGTTGTTGCTGCAGTTGCCGCTGCAACAGCAAGAGGTAGACTACGGTCTGTTTCTCCAGTGACTACAACGAGTCCTCCTTTGTCGTTGGGACAAACACTGAGTGCGTCAACGTCTGCAGTCGACCGGAAAAGTCCAGATAAAATTGCACATCCTCACTTCTTTGTCGAAGATACTATACGTCACAGTGGGTCTCGCTCAAGAAGTAACAGTTCCACAACTGCCAACAGTGAGATTCGTAACATCCCGGAGGTTTTGAGCGAATTTGACGAGTTATCCGAACCTGTGGCACCAGTAAAGAAAGAAACTACACAGAACGTTGATCCAAGATTACCGCAGGATGATGGTAAGATACATATCTTGTTTGGTGCATGTGGTAGTGTTGCCAGTGCCAAGATCAGACTGATTGTGAAAAGACTTGAAGATATTTATGGTAAAGACAAGCTGTCGATACAGCTGGTGCTAACCAGTGCAGCCGAGCATTTCGTTTCACGTACAGATTTTGGCCCAAACGTGTTTATCTGGCGTGACAAAGATGAATGGTCCACGTGGAAGACCCGTACAGATCCAGTATTACACATCGAACTGCGTCGTTGGGCTGATATCTTGATCATTGCTCCGTTGACAGCCAACACACTCTCCAAAGTTGCTCTTGGTATCTGTGATAACTTGTTGACAAATGTTATTAGGGCTTGGAACACACAGTATCCAATTGTTATGGCTCCTTCCATGGTGAGTTATGCGTACAACTCTGTACAGACAAAGAGACATCTGAAGACGATAAAGGAAGAGATGCCATGGATCGAAGTTTTGAAACCAGCTGAAAAGATCATTGGAAGTTATGGGGATATTGGTATGGGCGGAATGATGGATTATAACGAGATTGTGGATAAGATTGTTCATCAGCTTGGTGGATATCCAGAGGATGATGACGATGATGACGAAGATGATGATAATGATGACAATAGCAGGGGTACGAAGAAAGATTCCAACAGTGGTAAGGCAAACGGTTGCGATGATGATAATGATGATGATGATGATGATGATGACGATGATGATGACGATGACGACGATGACGACGATGATAACGATGACGACGATAATAATGACGACGATTCAGAACTAGCCATTGAGAGTACCGATGGCGACAAAGTTGTCAAAACCACTCCAAGTAAGCTGACAAAGGGACTTCGAAAGCTAACAGTTGCTGAAGAAGATGGCGAACTTTCAAATCCCAAACTGTCGCTTTAATGACGAGGAACGGTTTGGCGTTGAGGCCAAAGATATTGAAAACCAAAACCACGTATAATTTTATCGCATCAGCTTCGTGGAACCACATCGTCTCATCATTAACTCACATCTCGCATCTCTTATTTACTTGTCTCATTCTCTGCTGTCATTTCATGATTCTTGCTTAAATCATTATTTTTAGTTACTAAAGTTTTTGATATACATACAATACGGAGTATAATTTTATGTACCACCGAGGCGCCTGTGCTTATTTCTCAACGTACTGTTTTACACACAACGTAAGAAACGCGTACTTTGGTACAGTTGGATGATTATGTCTATGCTGACTACGGTAGCGGTTTCCTGCCTCTTTAGAACTCATTGTTGGGAAGATTGGCCGAACACCAAATAGGCGCAAATCACCATTTGTTCAGAGCCCTCATGGATTGCTATGGACTCCCGGGCCCAGAGGACCCACCAGATTAACGCAGTGAGGACATGGCATATCAGCCATGTCGTCCAGTGTGAATAGTTTGGTCTCTGTATGTATCTATGCGCAGGTTGTACATGCTATTTGCTGTTGTTAAACTGACCAGTTAAAACAGCGGTATCGCGAGTTACCAACGCCAAATAAAATGTAGCCACTCAAAGCCAGCGAATCTGTCAGCACATGTTGTGCAAACAGGCGGGATATCACCCGCCTCATCCCATAATAACCTTTCTACACAGTTTGATCATGGACCCCAGACGTCAGCAGATATTGCCCAATTACTAATGACGAATGTCATTTCCCACAAGAGGAATTGGTGAGTAGTATTACCAATCACCGTCTACACATTTTGACGCTCGAGACATCTTTCTAAATCCCTTCAAACTTAGACAAGTCACACAGTTCAGCAGTGCTGAGAAGTTTCAAAGGCCGTATTTTTTTCTTTTTTTTTCTCTTTTTCTCCTTGCTTTTTATCTTTTCGATCGAAGGGGGAGCCTGTGTCGCAAGTTTTTTCCTGTGTGACGTTAGTTTTCGATCCAGCAAAAAGCATAAACGAAGCATTATTTAACGCCTTTTATTACAAATTCTACAACTGGTAGTGAGTCCCCAGATTCGATAACGGTTTATTGGCCTCATAAATCACGTAGGGATCTTTGTTCAGCACCTGTAATCTTATCAATTGAACGACATTTATCGTAAGCATAGGCTGTGGTGATTGACTTATCGCTAATCGGTAGTGCTTAACGTGTGAAGGAAACCAAAAAATCCATCGGGATTTATATTTTCCGCTTCGATTTGGACGTGCGGCTCAGCCTAACTGCTTTCTCCAAAGTGGGACGTTCCGTCTAAGAGATTGTTTTTTCCTTCTGGGTTTTTTTGGCTTTCTGCTTAAGCTTCTCTGCGAAAACGAAACTGGTGCGGTACCGGCCGGTGAGATTTGTCACCCTCACGCTGAGTAAAATTTGTCATAAAGATTGCAAATCCGTGAAAACCTGACTGGTTTTTTTTCCTGCTCTCTTTTCTTTCCTTCAACACGGCTTTATTATATAAAAGGTCAATATCCCACTATCCTTCGTTCAGTCTCTTCTTTCCAGTTGCCAATAAAAGTCTGTGCTATACAAGAAGTGACCACTATGTCAAACGTACTGCTTCTGCTCAACCACACATTTGTTGCTTCACCTGATGCTGAAGCGATTGTGGCTCAGAGTAAGCAGACCCTCATTCAACAGCATCCAACCTCAACAATAGATCAGTACTTGTTATCCAATATTGTACTTGAGAAGGTTGTTTTACCTCAGAACCATTATGACTACATCTACTACTTGGATTCAACCGGATTCAACTCAACGATCCCTAACCACCCAGCTATAAAACAGTCGCTCCGGGTCACGACGACGGTGTCATTGAACGGAAGCAATAAGCCCTCAGGCTTGAAAACGGGCTCAAAGCTATCAAAGCTTAAGAAGTTCAAGAAGTTGAACAAAGCTGAAAATACAAATGCATCATCAGAATTACTATCTGCCCCATCACCTACACCGTCACTACCCGAGCTTGTGAAGACGCCTTCACCTCTAGAAGCAGAAAAGAAGTTGAGATACCTCAGCGAAGACTCTGACGATGAACTCATCGACGAGGACTCGCTCGTTTCAAGCACACTGAACTCTGGCTCGATTATTTGTCTACGGGAACCTAGTTCTGGAGGACAGAAGAGAAGAAAAGCTTGTAAAGATTGTACCTGTGGATTGGCTGAAAAAGAGGCATTTGGCTTTGATAACGATGTTAAGGAAGCACCAAAGAAGGTGCAGTTCTCCAGGGAGGAACTTTCAGAAATCGACTTCACCGTAGAGGGCAAAACAGGAGGCTGTGGATCATGTTCATTAGGTGATGCATTTAGATGTTCTGGTTGTCCATTCTTAGGGCTACCTGCGTTCAAGCCTGGCCAAACGATTACCCTGGATGGCGTCGACGATGACCTCTAACTGCATACAACAAACTAGGGACATCACGTTATTTATATTTAATCTGACTTCACATTAAATCAACTACATCTTTGTCGTTCGATGTATATTGCGCGGAGCTCAACCTCCTCCTCCTCTACAGTAGACACTTGCAGTCTCCGCAAACATACATACATGCGACCCGTCTACAATGGTGATCCTTCCATATCCAATACAATGTTATTTTCTATTATACATCTCTGATTTCTAAATGGTATGTCTCGTAGTTGAGAATTATTTTGATGTTGATTTGATGCTCTCAATGGGTTTTCACTTCCCAGAGAGGACCTCCCTCCCCCATATGGAAAAGATAACACAACCGGTGCAGCAAAGAAGTAAAAAAGGGAATAGGATATCAGTAAAATCAGGTCAGAGAGAAAGAACAAACCACCCACACCAACATTTGGAGGAGTGAAAGCATCAAATCAGTGCAGTCCAGGGCCTGTAGTGCTAACAATAAGCACAGCTGGATATATAACCCTCCTGCCTTGAGTTATTTGGTATTGGCTTCCGATACCACCACCATCTCAGGGGCGGTGGCAAATGCGAAGGAGGATGCCATTATCACCGGCAAACCCCCACCCCCCCCTTCCACAGATTTACCAAGTGGGTATTAAAAAGGTATATCTGGGGCTCCTGGTGTGATAGAAATGCATGTGCAAACATCCATTTGCCCTCAAACCTTGGAGACAACGGTCTGTTGAGATTGGAGCTGCTTAGCGTTTCTCATGTGGTAATCCTTCTGCACTTCTCTGTAGTGCTCACAGTCATGTGACTCCAAGAGTCTGTGACGTGTGCAAAACTTTTTGAAACAGAAGGAACAGTCTCCAATGATAGAATGTGGTGAAGTACAGTTGTTGTACTGGTGCTCCTTTTTTGCTTTCTTCTTTGGTTTGGAGATTTTGTTAACAGTGTCGAGCTGCTGTTGCTCCTGTGGCTGGTGGTCTTTCTGCTCAACGTGCTCCTGCTGTTGCTGTTCAGTGTCTGACATGGTTTATCTCTGCTTTATTGTTTGAATCAAAGATGTTCTATCCTTATCAGAAGGGAAAAGCGTCCGAAACTTGGAGTCTGGTGTGCGACTTTGCCACTTTTATATACGCAGCATAACGAGAGAATTTAATATCCCTGGCTCAGCGCACCACTGTGGTAAGCGGCGCAGTGTGTGCTGTCCTGTGACACATTCCCTACGCCTCGCTGTGACGTGATAAGCACTCACGAATGAGAGAAAAAAACCGCTGCGTGAGAAGGGAGAGGAAAATCGTGGGAAGAGCCGGAAGCCCGTGCCAGCCCGACTGGGAGGCCGCCACCACTGGCGGGAGGGGGGCTCGCAACACTCCCTTTCCTGCCCACAGTGCGAGCCCATTTCTTTCTCTTCGCCGCTATTGTCATCGCCATTTCTTTCTTTTTTTAACAATTCTAGCTACACAACAGTGAAAAGAAACGTTGCATTGTTGTCCTAACAATTGTAACCTTCTTGGTATTCAGTAGAGGCCCATCTTCTCGAGTGCTCCTTTGACAACGTCGTAGACGTTGTTTCCGGTGATGGTTGGCGGACATGGTAACTTATCACCATCTCTGTACACCCCTGTTCTCACGAGGGCCGTGTGCCACCCGTAGTTGTACCCTCCAATGATATCACTTGCTGGGTTATCACCCACCATGAACACTTCCTTCATGTGGCTATTTTCAACTTCCTTGCCAAACTCCAGGTGGGTCTTGTTACAGGTGTCGAGTCCGCTGAGTGCCAGCGACCTGTTGATGAGAACATGGTGCGCAAAATCGTAGGCGAATTTGGTTGGCTTGCCCAGGATGGTCTTGTTCAAAGGTTTACCAATCTCCTCCTGGTAGAGTCTTTCAAATAAGAAACGAACAAGGCCTTGTCCATAACGTGGATCCGGGTATTCGTTGGCCCAGAGCCAATCGTTGTTGGAGAAGATGACATGCGTTTCCGGGTTCTTTCTCAGCAAGTCGCTTACAACTTGTATATCGGTCCAGAGGTCTCTCGGATCGTTGAAAACCAGAATCTTGTCAACGTGCAAGTCCTTGATGTTAGGGACTAATTGACCAAATTCTAAAGTCTCCTTGTTCTTGAACGGTGACACGGAAGGGTCCGTTTTGACGTAGTCTGCACTGAGCAGAACCTTACCAAACCCGTACCCTTCAGCAACGGAACGGACCTGGTCCCTAATTCCACCAAGAACAAGAACTGTGAGATCCTCCTTATTTGGAATCGACGTTATCGGCGTGTGGGACTGAACAATTTGCTCGACATCAACATTGATACCAAGCTTAGAGGTTAACACCTTTGCACGATCAGCTTCTGAGATTCCTCCTCCATTGGTCATTAAGATCCACGGAATTGAACGTTCCTGTAGTAGCTCCAGCGCCTTTGGAGCCTCTGCTATCACTTTAGACCCCTTTAACAATACACCATCCATACTGAGAACGAATTGAGTTAGTACTCTGGTCCAACCTCCGTGTGGCTTAACAAAACTGTCAAACATACTCAAACACAAACCCGGCCTCATGGGGTTGTAGAGTTGCCAATCGTTTAGACGAATGGAAAGCTCTAAAGCATTGTCTATCAATTAGTGAGCCTCTTCTAAACGCAAGCATATCCAAGGAATGAAACTTCTCTTTTGGCACCTGCCAACAATGTCCCATACACAGGCTAAAGCTTATCTTCCGAAATAGTCGATCTTCTCCGCGTGGCCAGCGCGGTTGCAAGTGATAACATCGGGACATTTTGCCTTAATCACCTACACCAGGCCAATCAGAGCCTTTGAATCGGTAACATGATACAACGAGTGTTAACATGACGTGTATAAATATTATATCAACTCTATGTAGATATAGATGCAATGACACTGTTTGAGAACACGGTGTCTATGGGGTGCTATGCTGTAACGGTTTTCAAGAGATCAGAGACTTGGAAGTCTTCAGTCTCATAGCCTTCCTGTACTCTCCATCTCTCTTCGATTGGCCCTGTTAGAACTTCACATGCCCTGCCGATAACCAGCAAACCTGGCGGTCTGGAGCCTATTGCTTCGACTGCGTCGACCAGATCCTCAAGTCTCGTTCTGGTGACTCTCTGATCAGGGCATGACGATCTTTCAACAATGGCAGCCGGGACCTTTGGGTCCCAGCCCTTGGCGATGAGAGCAGGAACAAGGTCTTGAATTCTGTGCAATGACATGAGGAATACAGTGGTGCGAGTCTCAACAAACTCTGGGATGTTTGGCAGTACACCACGACGACCAGTTCCAGTGCAGATTAGCACCTGGTCCGCAACGTCTCTCTGTGTAGCTGGGATCTGTGAGCTCACCGTGGAACTCAATGCGGATGTAATACCAGGTAACACAGTAGGTACGAAACCGTGCTTGGCAAAGAAGATATACTCTTCACCACCACGGCCAAAGATATATGGGTCTCCTTGTTTCAATCTGACAACTTTCTTCCCGAGTTTGAGCGCTTGCAGCCCTAGAGATAAGAGCTCTTCTTGGGCTGCTTCAGCGTTACCTGGGAATTTGCGGGCAATGAACTTTTCTGTCTTTATCGGGATCAAATCAAGGACCTGTTGAGGCACAAGTTTATCTGCTAGAACCAAATCTGCGCTAGATATTTCCTGGAGAGCGCCAATGGTGAGCAATGATACAGAACCAGGACCCGAACCGACCAGAGAGATCGATCCTTTGATTTGCTTTGAAGACAAAGGTGTTTCATAGCCAGTATGAGCATCGCCAGAGGATATCGAATACGCGCTTGATATATCATCAATTGAAATATCAGCCAGTTTAGACAATGGGTAATATTCGACAACCTGTGAGAGCCATCTAGATCTTTGCAACTTTTTCTGTGTTTCAGTCATGTTGAATTCACTAACAAAGTTGTTGAACTTTGATGATTGAACTGCGTCGTCCTCATGCTCACCAAGTTCTTCTCTCAAGAATCTCTCGTACTCTTCCTTGAACTTGGACAGTTTTTGTCTATCCTCTTCTTGGATCTTCAGACGGAGTGCACCAACACTTTGACAAATCTCATTGATGTTCTTAGGTAGCTGTGACACGATTTCTCTTTTAATTCTGCTAGCAAGCTTACAGCCCTTTCCTGATGTTGTAACACCTAATTGGAAGTCACCATCGGTATGTGTTGATAACATCGTAAAAGTCGAATATTCAACAGATTCTGTGGTATTAATTGGAATTCTGTTACTTTGACACTCCTTGAAGATAGCCCTTTTCAACTCTTCCTCCGTTGTTGGAAGATTAACGTAGACTTTATCCACAACTCCACGAACCTCATCTCTTCCCAAAGTGAATAGATCTTTCCCAATGTCAACCTGTCGTCTCAGGATTTGGACTGAACCTTCCTGTTCCAAGACCAACAAATTATGAGGAATCTTATCATCGGAATCGATCAACTGGGTTATCACTATTGGTGTTGCGCCATTTGTCAAGATGGATTGAACTCTTGTGTATGTAAGCGCAGATACTCCGATGAGCAGATGCACTTCTCCAGAACAGTTCCACGATACAAGCATCGTATTACGAGGATGCAAATCAGCTGGTGCACCTACAGACATGTTGTTTTCCAGAATGAGGGGGCTTTATATCTAGAACAGTATCACTGATAGGATGCACCGATATCAACGAATAGATAACCGTTAAATCTCGATAAAAAGAAGAAAACGGTAAAATTTTATCCTATCTCGATGAGTAACAAATCAGCGGAGACTTTTATTCTCCACCGCACAACGAAAAGTGGCTAATAGTGGCTAATATGACGCAATAAGGTTCGGCCTTTGTGGCTGATGAGAAGGACAAAACAGAAAGCGAAAGTGTGGCGTGTGGTTTGCACACGCTAATATTATTCACGTGACAGATTACGTAAGAGAACAAACATCCCACGATTAGTGTGGTAGGGACCACGGCAGATGCTCAAATTCGCGTGAGAGCGTTGTACGAGATTTGATGCGATGAGGTGATGTTTCCACCTCTTTCACAACTCGCAATAGGGAGAGTTCAATAACAACGTAAGGAATGGCCAAGAGAACATTAGGACTAGGTAAAGCTGCCAAGCAGAAAAAACAGAAGATCTCTTCTGAAACCCCTGAGAAGTCAGCGAGTCCTGACATTCAGTCTAAGGGAAATGAGATCCATGTCGAGCTTGACGAAGAAGTGGATCCAGATGATGAATTGAACCAGCTAAAGGGGTTATGGTTGACATATGTTAAGGGAGATAGAGACAACGAAATGGTGCTAAACGGAATCATCCATGAATGTGACCGGTTGTTGAGAAACCAATCAGAGGAGGCCAAGTTACCAGCCGAGTTCCATTCAACTTATGCCCTTGCTCTGTCAGACTTGGCCAATTTCCACACAGAAGACAGTGCTGACTCCAATATCAAACAGTACTTTGATGCGGCATTAGAGAGAATATCTCTGGGACAAGACGTTTACCCTGATTCTATAGAGTTAGGATTTGCCCTGGCAAATGTCATCTTTGCAAGAATCCCCATGGAGTTCATCTCGAAATGGAATGTTGACTCGAAGAAATCCTCAGACAGTGTTGACTTGAAGGCATTGATCACAGAGGCTCTTGAAAGCTATGAAAAGAGTGAGGAATCCGTTAAACTGCTGAAGAACTATTCGCTTTTGGACAACAATGTTTTTGAAACTCTGAAAGCGTTTGACGATTTGTTGGAGATTGTGAACAATTTTGGCCAAGAGGACTCCTTAGCTGAAGGTCTGGACAGTGATGATGAGGAAGAACAAGAAGTCAAAGAGATTAAGCTCTCCAAGAAGCATCCGCTGTATGAGGTTTATCACAGATCATCTGATAAGTACTTCCAATGGCTTGTAAAGCATGGATCTGAATTTGGAACTCTTGTTAACGATGATTTGAAGCATTTGTTAAAGAAGACTGACGAGCTAAGCACCAAGGAAACCCGCCAGCTGGAATTCCTCAAACAAGTCTCGGCCTGGTGTGGTCAGCTGTTATTACAAGCAGCGGAGAAGCCATCCCAAATCTTCACGGCCATCACGTACGATGATGGTGAGCCTGAGATTGAGGGATACACCGCAGCTAAAGCACAAGAGGAAGCACAGAGCTATATAAAACAGGCAGTGAAGTTTTTTGAGAATGCGGAAGAAGAGGAGGATCCAAAGACCTGGGTTGACGTTGCTGAGGCCTTAATCGACCTCGGAAACGTGTACGATTATGAGTCAAAAGACCAGATCGCTACGTATGCCTTAGCAGAGAAGAGACTCAGAAGGGCAAACAACGCCACGAACGGAAAGTACCAGGAAATCCTCGATAATCTGTTGAGCAACGATGATTAGAACCATATGTAATCCATATATATTGTACTTGTATACATGCATCGAAGATACAACGGGTTGTTTTGTAACGTGTGCGAGATGCATGCGCGCTCGTTGTTGTGTTGAAATCCTGAGAAGCGATAATTCCCCCAAAACCAGACTGTTTACTTCATTTGGGCACAGGAAGGAAACCGGTTGGGAGGAATGAACAAGGGAATCAAAGCTTCTAGTGACGATATATGGAAGAACAGGGTGGATAAAGTCGTACGTGCCTCTCTTACAGAGCCAGTGGCTTCTGTTGGTGTTCCAGTATGGGAGATCTACTAACACTTGTTCACAGAACGCTGAGCTGTTTACCCTCACCTATGGATCCGTTGTAGCACAACTCGTCCGTGATTTCAAGAACGATTACCAAAAGGTGAACCAGCAACTGGAGAAGATGGGATATAACATTGGTATAAGGTTGGTTGAGGATTTCCTAGCAAAGACTGGCACTGGACGTTGCCAGTCGTTCAAAGACACGGCAGAAGTCGTTTCCAAAGTCGGGTTCAAAGTGTTTCTGAACGTCACCCCACAAGTCACCAACTGGACCAGTGATGGCAAGACGTTCAGCCTGATACTGGACGAGAACCCGCTGGCAGAGTTTGTCGAGCTGCCGGACGACGAGAGGGCCAAGAAGGAGCTGTGGTACTCAAACGTCCTTACCGGCGTGTTGAAAGGTGCACTAGAGATGGTCCAACTCGAGGTTGACGTGAACTTTGTAAGCGATGTTCTCAGAGGCGACGATCGCACGGAGCTTAGACTACAGCTCATACGGTTCTTAAAGGATGAGATGCCTGCTGGTGAAGATTGAAAGCCCACCCACACACACCGTATGGGTTGTTTAAGTACACTGTTTTCCATTAATAGATGAACATAACCGTTAGCACTTCCGCATTAGGAACTCAACCCAGAACTGTATAAATCCTCACAAAAAAGAAACTCGCCGCCTTTTCGTTAGAGCTTTTCGCAACGCTATTACGTAATAATTTTTCGCTCTCTGTTTTTTACACATTTTTCGCAAAAGGGGGAAGGCGCTGTTTTCTACTGTTGAAACACCACATCTAACAGGAAAAGAGCTGGCTCCATAAAACTCCAACTGTCACCGCTCATTTACTCAGTTTCTTTTGCTGCACACGCCCTTCCACTCTGTCTGCTCTGGTTTATCATCAAGAAAGACGGTGTATTTTCCATTTCTGTGCCGGTGTGTGTGTCTGTTTGCCTCGGTTTCATACCATTTCGACCTAAAACGCGTGCGCGTACGCGTTCAATCCGGCCCATAATACACAAGCTATACTATCCCATTTTACACGTCCAAACGTCCATTCCTTCTCTCCTGAGCAGTATATACACGAGGATTGGACACGATGAGCACGCCGGAATACTCAGCAAGCGCTAAGTCGCGTTTCGACATCACCAACTTGACCACTGATCCGTTCGTGGTTGCGACGTGGTCTGTTGCGATGATCTCGTGGGTGATCGCATTCATCGGCTCCATAGTGGCCAACATTGAGGGGTCGTTTCCAAGGTTCACCTGGTGGGGGCTGGTATTCCAGCTGTTGATGCTGGTGTTCCTGCCCGCTGTGTACTGCTTCGATGTTGTGGAATGGTACAGGCTGTTCCTCACCTGTGGGTATTCAATAGCGTTCATCTACACGACGAACTCCGCAACGAACTTAGTATGGTCTGGTGGCTCAGCTACAGGCGCAGCCTCTGCAGGCGTGATTTTACTGTCGATGGTTAACCTGATCTGGGTGTTCTACTACGGGTCTGATAACGCCTCGCCAATCAACCAATGGATCGATTCCTTCTCGCTGAGAGGACCAAAACGGTCCTCTGTAAGCCCATTCCACAGTTCAAGACCAATCTCTCCTGATAAGTACTCGAGCTCTGAGAATGACGAGTTCAAACACTCGAGCTGGAACAATCAGAGATACATGTCTTCTACAGCGCTGAACGGACTGGAAAACGTGAGTCAAGGTGATACCCTTGAAACCACACCCTTTAACTCGCCAGATCACGACGGGTTGGGTACGAACATCACTGCAGGAGGTACGAACATCACAATTGATGAATTCCCATACACTGCTAGGGCTTTGTACAACTACCAAAAGAGTCCAGACGATGAAAATGAAATCTCTTTTGAAAAGGACGAAATACTCAAAGTCAACGATATCCATAGCAGATGGTGGCAGGCAAAGAGAGCAAACGGTGAAATTGGTATCTGTCCAAGCAATTACGTTGAACTTATCGAATAGCTTTGCTTGGAATGTCTGTGCTTTCTTTTTCTGTGCCAGTGATGCCTTATTGTAATAACCACCTTCCTTTTCCCCCATCTTCAACACTTTCCTTTGACGTTTTATTCCATACAAGTTCAAATTCTATGACAAGTTACAATCTTTAGTTTTTGAGTAATACAGATCTCAATAAAATGGGGTCCATCCCATATAGATAACTGCAAGATTCTCAATATCAGTCGCTTGTGCAATCAACTCCTGAACAGATGCTTCAACACTCAGCCCACCAGCGTTTAACTTATCCTGAACTGTTCTCAGGGTTCTAACTGCAACATCAGAATCATCGTTTCCGCTAATTTCCTCAAAACTATTACAGGTTTGGACCCTTTGCTTCCTAATAGGAGATATCACCCATGAGTACAAAGGATCGTATCGTAAAACGTTCAAAATGCCCATCAACTTGTCGTGGTTACTTCTCAGAACACGAAAGACGTGTTCAGACTTCTTACGGAAACTTCCTTCAACACCAGTACATCCTAAACCATCGACGATATCTCTTGTGAGTCTGAAGGGGACACGTTCAGGAACAGGCAGTAGTTTACCCTGATCAAATGCGACACCAAAATCGATATGAATCGGTTCACCAGTTTTCTTATCAATTAGAATATTGTTCAAATGACGGTCCCCAATGCCCATTATATGGCCAACCATCGAAGTTGACACAACCCCTCGCGTATACACCTCACGAGACCTGAACCAATCATCAATGTCGAGGAAAGTATCAATGAAGAATTGCCTAAAGACAGGAGGTATCTTCTTGCAAATCTCCAAGTAAACCGAAACCCTCTTCCTAATGCTTTGATCTTGTACGTCTCTCATCATCGAGCGAGCATCGTTGAAGCCTAGGCTGTCCTTCTCGTGATATTTCTTCAAGATATCTGCCAATGGGATGGAATTTGCAACAAATTCAAGAACACCAGCTTGAGGACCAAGAGGAACAATCTTGTAGGTTCTTATCCTCAAAAATCTCTTTCGTGTCTCCTTCTCATTCTCAAATATAGTGTTAACTTTGCTGAAAACCTGTTGCATAATGGCATCTTGTCTCAAATCGTCTGAACTGCCCTTTAACAACATCTTATGAGTCGAACCGTCAGTGAGCCTAATTTTCATGATCTTTGGTAAACTGACACCTGAAGCTGAGATGGTAACGTGAGGATCAACATACTGAATGGATGGCAGAGATGAGTAATCCAATGACTTGGAGACTGGAATATCATTCATTGTGGGTAAAGGGATATTGAAGGATGGTAACATCTTGAGCCAAAATTCACCATGCTTTATATTGGAGAGGTATACTGTTTTGGCTGCCTTGTACTTTGCAGTAGCAAGAGTCACGGACTCATCACAAAATTGTTCCAATGGTTCCAATATTCTGTCATTGAACTCCGTATTGGATGCCAAAGTGTTCAAAAGATGGCTCGCAGCTTTCACTTTTGAACTGAGAATTAGATCAGTTCTGAGATGGTCATATTTCATATGGATCTTTAAACTCTTCAGATAGGTCAATGAGTGCCACGGATGAGCTGTGCAGATCAGCACAACCAGCCGATGTAGCACTCTTTGAAAAGATGTCTTCTCGCTCAATAAACGAGACACTAGTTGGTTGATCCAGGGTATGATCTTGTATAGAGGAACGTCATAAATCGACTGCTCAACAAGTTCGTTAAGAATGTCAGACGACGACATCTGGAACCACAACGCACAGAATTTGTCAAGATCCTCATGGTCATAATCATCACTCAATGTTAGGACATCAAGGTAACTGCGAAGAGAAATTTCAAGACACAACAACCGCTTTTTGGCTAGTTGATCGTATACTTCCTTATCAGAATTATACTCCAACACTAGTCGACGATAAGCTTTCCCAGCATTGTTTCGAATACTTTGATCAGAACTGCTTTTGTAGAATTTCTTCAATTCATCCATCTCAAGCTTCTTCGTCTGAAGAAGGTCACGAATTCTTATCAACTCTTCATCTGGAGTTTCTTGGATTTCCTTGAAACAGAAATTGGCAACTCTATTCAAGATTTCAGCCTTGTGCTTAGGATTCGTTACTGTATGTATAAACTTCAGAACCGGCGTGACATAAGTGTTCATGATCGTTTCATAACGTTCCTGTCGAGCCTGATAATTCCATTCAACAAGAAATGACTCCACGTATGCGTCAGAAAGGTGGATAGTATTCAAAGGGAAATCACTTGCAAAATGCTCAACATTAATCCTAACACACTCTTGCAGCTGTCTGATTGGGATTGCAGTTTCTCCCTGTGACCAAAGCGTCGACGCTGTATCAATTAAAGATAGCCTTGAAACGATGTTGGCTATTTTCTTGTCCTTCACTTTGTTGGCGATGTTGGACAGGAACACCGTAGAGTTCACAGCTTTTTGATGTTCATTATGGAGGCGAGCATATCTTCCATATCTCATGTTCTCAAAAGCAACACCTAGTATGGAGTTTTGCTCACCAATTCTAGAGGACATGTTTTGGAATGCGAACTTTCTTGCCAGCAAAATATCTTCAAAGTTATCAAATGATACAACTTTGAACCATGACTCCGGTCCAGCGATGGAGTTGTTGATGTTTTCTTTCAAACCAGAAATCGATATCAGGTTTATCGACTCTATGGCAGTTAGAACTCCTAACGTTTTAAGCAGATTTGAGCCATCATTGCGTTTGCTTCTCAGGATCCATAATATAGCATCTTGGCATAACGCTGCAGTCTTGGATCCGTCAGAATCTTCCCTCATCGACTTCAAAATGCCATAAATGGCTTCATTAGAAGTGTTGATAACCTCTGGAAATGGCAACTCCCATTGGTTCAGTTTCCATGACCAATCGTATCCCTTGGCTGCATTGTTGGTTGAATTAAGGCTAGAGTCCAACGAGTCTGCAAGACCAGTCAGACCATTCTCAGACAAACTCGACACAAGATTCTTGATAATGATATCTGATCGCTCTTGGTTTGCCAACGCATCAAACTGTGCGTTTTTGAACATGAGATCTTTAGTAGAGCCACTGTTATAGCTGAAGAGCTTCATGGCGGACTGTAGAGATGTATCAGTTGGTATTCCAAAGAATAGGTCCGGATCCGGTAACGACTGGTATATGGCAGTGGCCATTGATGATAGTTCAGTTAATCGTAGATATGTCTCTTTAGAATCAGCCGTCATTGTTAACTTCTCAAGAATCAATAGGGCGAACTTTGGACATCCAACATGGAGAGCACACGCACACAGCTTGATAATATCTGCAGATGTCACAAGTCTCTTGAACAAGGTACCGAATGCTTTGTTGGAATTCGACGTCACAACCACCATGTAAACGAGATCAATCACGAGCTTGCATTTCTCTGAATTGTCCTCAAAAGAATCAATACCAGAAATAGTCTGATCAATGAATTTAAACAATAGAGAAGAACCAGAGGTGTCAGTTCGATATACGTAGAATAGCCATAAATAGACCAAAAAGTTCTCACAAGATGAAGGATAATCCTTTAAATATTTTCGAAGTGGTAACAGGAATGGATATTGATCAAGTAATGAATCAATCAATGCAAGAGAATATGCTTGAACCCACTGAGTATATGGCAACGTCCCAGGGTTTGACAAGAGATCTTTAATGTCAATCCTCTCATAATCAGACATGTGTGAAAATTCAAATAGGAACGTAGTGAGTGGTACTATAAATTTTGAGTAGTGTTGAAAGAATGATGATGTAACAAGACCTTCAATGGACTGAAGACTCTGGTGACCCTGGTGGATAATAAAGGAGAAAAAGCATTCCAATAGGATTTTTTCCTCCATATTGTTTGTTTTTGCAATAATACGTTCGCAAGCTTCAGTTATAGCAAGTAAAGATGAGCATGTTGCTTCAGCATCATACTCAATTCCCTTCTGGAAATCCTGCTTAACTCCAACCAACGAGTCACCAGTATTTAGATAGAAAGACCCCAGGTAGCGTCCAATGAACGCAGAGAAACATGGACTGTGGTGGGTTTCATCAGACTTCAATAGGAGCTCCGCTATTTCTCTTTTGCAAGTAATGTCATCCACATAATTCAGGTGTGATGCTTTCGAGAATATGAGATTCATTGCTCTAGAAAGGCATTTATCTGTAAACATCATAGGGGCATCCGCAAGCTTCCCTAATAAACTGTGAAAGTCTTGTTGAGTCAACGTCATTTCGTTATCTTTGAGTATGTCGACATAAACAATGAGAATCTCCTTCCATGCTCCATTATGAGCGGAATATTCGACAAAGAATTTGAGTAAAAAGTTCTTCAGTGCCTGATTAATATGACCATGCGTATCGTAGAAGTAGGCAGAATTCTCAAATAATGAGAGAATGATGTTGGCAAAGCCAGGGTCGTGAGTCCATTCGAATCTAAATAATACCAGTGATTCCACTATCAGTTTTGCAAAATAGTCATGGATGCATTCTTCAGAAAGGAACTGAATTAACACAGATAAATAGGATTGTAACGGAGTCTTAGTCCATGCTTTCAATTCAGTGAAAAGTCCCAGTAGGACAACCTTTCTTGCAATCAAAACTCGCTCAGGGTCACAAGGAATACACTTCTGGAGCTGCGAAGTCAAGTTCTTGAGCAAAAAGTACACATTCTTAGGTTCCCAGAAGTCTCTGGGTACTCGGGAAATCAGAGTTAGGGCACTCGATAATGGAACACCATATATCATCGAGTCCAGTACTGGTGATGACTCTTGAAGAAATACTCGTGCAGCATCATCCATTTTTCCCTGAAAGGTATGGTTAATTGCTTTTAGTATAGAGCCCTCCGAAGAACAATCACACATATAAAAGAGCAAATCCAGTACTATAAGATTTTGAAACTCAACCAGATCTTCAAACTTGTGCTTTAACTCGTCAATGATTTGAGATCCCGTGCCGTTCTTAGCAAAAGCAAGGCAGCTGATCCATGGAATCGAGTGCAGCATCAAATCGTCCTCATCTTCGAATTTGCTAATCTCAATAATCAAAGAAATTGTTCTTTTACATTGGTGTTTTCTGGTTTTGACAATTGAATAAATCACACACTTTTTTGCCAACACGAACTGTTCAAAACTGGTATACCCGTAGAGGAAGTAAGGAAAGTCAACTAGGGTTTGCCTTTCATCATACCAAAGACATAACAGATCAATTTCTAGGTTTGTTGGTAAAGAATAGCAGTTTCCCAATAGTTGTTGTACACTGCTCCTCAGGTACTTCGTGAAATGGAACGAGCTGTGATATGAATTGAGTATATTGACAACGCGTACGAGGGGACCATAGCCCACCTTACCAAGTATGATAGAACATTGTGTAAAGATTGCAGCAGTCTCACTGGCACTTTCTGGAGCGTGTATGCATTGGAGAAACTGTTGAACTTGTGCTGATCGATTGCTCGAGGGCAGCGTCTTTACAAAGCGACAGTACTCTGTACACGACTCTAAGTACGTCATTCTGGAGCGCTGGTTCAAAACCATCAAGCCAAATTCTCGAAGATTGGAGGGATCGATAACGTCTGCGCAGTTTCCAAAGCACAGGATGTTATACACGAAACTTCCAAGACGAGAAAGTTCCAACTCACCATACAATGAGCCTTTTTTGCCAATACTAACAAACCAGTTTAAGATGTCAGAGAAGTCTAGCATCAAATCACGATCTTCACTTGTAAAAATCTTTTCTGAGAATAAGGAGCATATATCAAGCAGCAGAACGTATGCTATATGTGAACGTTCAAACTCATAGAGCCCAAGTAACTTTGCTCCACATTGTCTCAAAATTCTGATAATGTGAATGTTTTTGATATACTTAATATCCCCCTCATGAAGCATCGAAACAGTTGTGAAAAGTGCTGAGATAAACTGGAACCCCGATAACGTGTCTATGTACTTAATCAGCTGTCCCATTATTGAGTCATCCAATGTTGAGTTAATCTTAAAAATGAGTTCAACCATTGACTGTTCTAAATAATGGCATACCCAAAAGTCGGTATAAACAAAATTGGCAATACGTGGAAGCTTTTGCTCACGACGTATTACTGCAAAGTCAGAGAATTCGTCATGTATATCCTCCGGTGTTAATGATAACGAGTAGTCCTTGTCATTGGTCAGTAATTCGTTAACGTTGATATGCTCAGCGACAAATGTGGTAGCTGGACTCTCAGAAAGTTCCAGGTAACGTAGTGCATTAATGATAGGAAGATCGGTAGGCAGTGAAAGCCCATCCAATTGTCTCGATAACTCATACTTGAGTTGTTCGGCTGTGGCACTGAATTGTGGAATGTCAAATACATGTTGGTAGACAAAGATTGCGTGGGATAGAAGTTGGGGAAAATGTAGCTTCTTGTCCATTTCATCACATTCGCTTACAGCCTGCAAAAGTCGTTGTAGGACCTCGTCACACCTGGTTATCGTGACCAATGGCGGGGGAGAGATCCACTGGAAATCATGGGAAACTGATTGAGAAGAAACTTTGGATCCCATGATCTGGTCAGCGAGTTTACTAAACTGCTGTGTTCGGCTTTGGAAATGACCAAAGACATTGTCAAAATAAGGCCAACGAGTAGTAATAGTGACTTTCCGCCCACATAGCCAAGTGATGAAGCTTCCTAGGAGATGAATATCACTTTTTGAGAATATTGTTGACCATTTAGCATCAAGCCACTTCAAGATTAAATCTCCTATGACTTTGCTATCAGAATTGAGAAACCTTGCATGGTGTGCAATAGTCATCCAAAAGAGAATAGCGTCATTGCTGATCTTTGAAGGACCATAGACTTCAGAAACGTCAAACGTGACTTCAACCAGCTGGTTCGTGAGCTTCTCTGTGATCACTGTACCTGGACGCTTTAATATCTCTGTGATTGCAAAACATGCAGTAGACACCGTTGTGTCCTCTTTAAGCAGTTGGAGATTAATACGAAGCAAATGGTGCATATCTGCAGTTTCAACTTCCCAACCACATTTAACCATTAGACCAATTACTAACGAAGTCCATGATGCCAAGTATGGAGTCTCATAAAACATCACACTTTTAAGAGGTATTAGAGAATGATCAACCTGGAAGGAACTGAGCTGGAAAGCCAACAACTGAAGGCCAATCTTTTGCAGCGAGATAGATCCATGGTTCAACAAGCTTTGCAAGAAGCCAACTGTAGAGTCACAGTACTTTAAAAGAGGAGCATAGGAGTCAAATGCAGATCTTTGCTTTTTCCATTGTGGTTCCACGTCATTTCTTTGAGGTGTATCGATGCTATAAAATGCAGAGAGGAGATGAATCAACACAAGAGATTTCATCCATGGCTTTGGATCAGCACTATCCTGTAGACATATTCCAGATAAGCTGAACCATGACTTCTTATCAACAGTAGATCGTATGGAGGAGATATCGAAATCGTCAATGGTCAATGCATCGGGGCTCGATATGGCGTCCAGTACAAGTGCATCGAGCCATAGTATCAAGTTTTCACGGGACTCTTCATCCATAACAGGTACTGGGTTATTCTTATCATCTATAAGAAGCACCATGTCGCTGGTGATGTAACGGGACGCAAGCATTCCAAATATGAGGAGCTGACAATGAAGGGCCTCAAAGTTCGTAGAGTTTAACCTCCAGGCTACTTGCAATACAGCCTTAACCAAGTCGAATCCTCTGTTGACATTGGAAACGCTCAGTAGAATCAGCGTCTGATTTAGAACCTCAAGTGCAATTGAAGTGGGACTTGTTTCCTTCTTGAGCTGTGAAAAGTAACCCTTTAAGAGTCCAACGAGATCCAAACTGATGTCGTCAAACATAACCACCGGTACCATAATAAGGCACTTCAAACAGTTCCAGAGCTCTGAGAGCAACTTATCACTCCCAGTGAGATTCCTTACACTCTCGGTAGCTGTGATAACAGAGCACGTAGTTTGGATCCACTCCTCTCTTGAGAGATGTTCACGATGCTCATCGACCAGGAGGAGCTCATGGAGTACTCGCACGAGATCTAGCGCTATTGGTAAGCAAAGCTCCTTGTTGAGTCCAAATAAGTTACTCCTTATGAACTGAATTGACGCCTTCACTACTCTGTATCTCAACTGCTTAGCATCCTTCGTCAGGCATTTCCTCAACAGTGACGCGCCACGCTCTAATCTGGCACGAGTCGTATCTGTGCTGTTCTTGTCGTAGCTGGCTTTGTCGTTCAAAACCACGCCAAACAATGACTCTGCTATAGCCTGTACCTCCTTATTAGACAGTCTGTCCCGTAGATCTATGAACGATGACAGAGACTCGAACGCTTCATTACGATCACGGACCTTCGATGAGTCCAAATTGGCTATGATAAATCGTTGTTAATATCGCAATCGTCAACAGGGGAGCACAGCGGCACGTACACATTATAGTGAAGAGATCCATGTTTATATGGAATACACTGAACGGTATAGAACACCCGCTATACAGCTGCGATGGAACAGTATGTCGTTACTCTCTGTGGGGGTCCGCAAGGCAAGAAAAAACATCTACACACAAGTTTGGCCCACAATGAGGGAAAGTTCGTGAAGCGCTTCAGCATCCTCTACAACAACTTGATTAAGGTGGTTTTAAAAAAGATCCCATATTTTACAATTGTTTCATTCCTAAGGTTCTGTGGTTTTCGATGACATTAAATTTTGTATAGAAAGCAATTCCGCCGATTTAAACAACAACACCAGAGTTAGAAGCAATACGTGGCCACAAGTCAGCACACTCCTTACCAACTGGACCGGTGATAGCAGAACCCTTCATTTCACCCTTTGGGTTGACAATAACACCAGCATTGTCTTCGAAGTAGAGGAAAGTACCATCCTTTCTTCTCCAAGCCTTGGATTGACGGACAACGATGGCTGGCATAACCTTCTTTCTCAACTCTGGCTTACCCTTCTTGACGGTGGCCATGACCATGTCACCAAGGGAGGCAGCTGGAAGTCTGTTCAATCTAGCACCGAAACCCTTAACAGCCAAGATGTAAAGGTTTCTGGCACCGGTGTTATCAGCACAGTTCATGATAGCACCATTTGGAAGACCCAACTAAAAACGTGATGTTAGTATATGCTATTGATAAAGAATTGCTGATGTGATTTCCTTGGTGTTTTAAAACAATATTAGGTGTTTAAATGTGGTTTTCTTCGGTGTGACTCGCTTTCTAAAGTGGTGATACAGAAAGCGGTCTGCCTTCCATGTCTCAGTGTTTGAGTATGAATAAGAACAACCTAGTTCTTTATGACTATCTCTCTCCATGATTCACTCTTACGATCTCTCTTGTCAGTTAGGGGTGGGCAGACCATGTCCCATCTCCAAGTTTAAGTGTAAAGTTTGTCTACTAGTTCCCAATCGTCTCCTCCTCGGTACAGCTCGAACCACCATAATATTCGTCTTCAAACATCCCAGGATCACATATTCCCTCATTCGTTCATTAACATACAGAAATTCTAAACTTGTTACCGGAAGCACCACTGGACATTTTGGATGTGTTCTGTGTGTATTAGATTAATGAGGTTTTGGTGATGGAAACTGACCCAAGCGTTGAAAGTTTTGTATATTTTTCACCGCGAGCGTCTCCGGGACTGCGCTTCCCTCACAGTTTCGATGAATCGCCCGCGAATTTAGCGGATCGATGTGTCAAATGTATTGGTTCGGGGCACAAACAGATAGAATTTATGTGTCCCCAACCGTGGCGTTGGTGTTTGGATGTACAAGCCCTATATTCCCTCTTATCACATCACGTGCATTGAAAAGCACACTGTAGCCCTAAATGGCCATGTATAAATATATAGGCAAATTAATGCGTGAGTGTTATTGTTTACGGGAACATTGATATTTATGCCTTCTCCCCTTTGGGACCTATCATACCAAATCGAAGACGTAGTTGGGGAGTCTGTGTAGCAAACTCGTGACCCAGGCTTGACGACCAAGTATTTTCTGCCTTTGACTTGGTTTACACTATAGAAAGAGTATCATCAATATGTCTGGGACATCTACAAAGAGACCGATAGAAGATAGTCCGGAGAGTGCTAAGAAGAGGATCTGTGCTGATGAGGATAAGTCGAGCAGCGGTATCGACAACACGAATAGTTCACAACGTTGTGTACAGAGCTCTACGGACTGTGATCAACAGGATGTACCAAAGGAAGCTGATGGAAGGGATGAAACGCAACCACAGGTGATCGCTGTGGCTTCACCAGAGAATGCAGTGCTGGACCTCACTGACCAAGAAGAGAACCACTCGATATACGACTTTGATGACCTCGATGACGAAGACATACCCTATACCCATTCCAGATCACAGTCACCTGAAGTTGTAATATCAGACGCAGAGCCAGTACGGTCCAAAGCCAACAAGAATAAGACAAACACACCAGTGCCTTCCGATGCGGAGGTGATCGCCATCAACGATGATGATATCACCCGTGAGTACTTTGTGATATCGGATGACGACGACGATGGCGATGATAAGAACGCTGATGATGACAAGGATGGTGATGCGGATACACAGAAATCTGTTTCCGTTCAACTGGCTGATAATACCAGAATCAACAACTCAAACCTCAACACTGCCCACTGTGCTGTTTGTTTCGATAGTCCTGAAGAGACCATCGTCTTACCCTGTGGCCACATTTACTGTCTGGATTGTGTGTTTAAGGCATTAAGCTCCATGAAGACGAGCACCAAACATGGAGGACCGTGTTCTCTGTGTAGAGCTACAACATCTTACAAGAGGTTAATAGTTGGCATCTTCAAGAAGAAGAAGAAATCACTACAGGGACGGTAAACAGGGCTGAATTTTGCATGGATGACGGCATGGAGGGTCGGACAGTCATCGTCTATGCCATTGGCTTCGTTTTATCAATACAGGCTAATATATATCGGATCCACGTTTGTGGTGATGTAACGACATGGTGTGTATTAGCTTCATTTTGTACTGTGATTTTACACACAAAAAGGAATAGCTCAAAGGGTCCTTTACAGTGCCTTTCTTGATATCAAACTAAGGACAATTCTCTAGAAAGGCCCAGTCTTGCTAATTTGTTAACTCGCTAGAGAAGTACGAGGTAACTGCCACCTGCTTAGCACTGTGGATACACTTGAACGCTGTTTCGTTTCCTGCTGTGTGTGGTTTCAATCTTGAAAGAGGTGTTTGACACAGCAGCAGTATGAATTCGTACATGAATTACTTCATAACCATTCGAGATCGCTTGCACTCGCGTGGTAAGTATAATCATGAGTATGACAGTGATAGGCATAACCTAGTAAATGCACAACGCTCGCCACTAATGGAGAGCTCATCCCATTGCAACAACGATTGGAAACCAAAGCTAGTGGCAAATAGTACAATACCTCAACTTGCTTCTAATAATGCAAGGTCACAAGGGCTTGGTATAGATCAGAGAAGCTCGTTTCGTAAGCCAGCATCGGTTCTTTCCAAATTCGTTGTTATACCCAAGTTTTACCCTGATGGAAGTTCTTCGCTTATTAAAAGAGGCAAATTCAAAGGTTTATATGACCAACGTCCGTCGAGCTGTCCGTTCATTCAAGAACATACTGCATCAAAATGTCCATTCAGGAAGTGCTACTGCATGCGGAGACCTATTATCCCATCTCCATTGAGGCAGTGTAGTTCAACACTTGACGACTTTGAATCCCATCACACGTTTGATGGTGATATACAGGTCAGTTGGAACTTGAAGGAAAACCGGTTGTTAACTCGAATGAGACTGAAGCTAGCTGAATCAAGAATCATCGGTAAAGAAGGACACAGGATACGTCGACGCCTGTTGGACCACGACAGTCAAGGCAATCCGAAGAAGCCCAGTGATTCATTACTTAGCATAGCAGAGGTGAAAGAACCACCAATCTATAACCAGGAGGATATCAGAACTTCATCGACACTTGTCAAATTCATTCCACAGTGTGGTTCCTACCCTATTGCAGCTTAGCGCACGATATGGTGTACCTGCCAACTCTTATGCGATGGCGTTTGTACGCTCTCATACTCCGTTGTAGGGCTATACAGAGTGTTATGACGAGCTTGGTGATGAGAATGTGACTTCAGCGATGCGAGTTGCACGTCGATGAAGTTCTCACCTTCTTCGTTCTTGGCCCAGCCATCACCTCCGACTATTATATCATCGACACACTCTTCAGCACTAAATTCACCTGGGCGTCTGTCCCAGGATATTTCAAATGTCTTTTGATATAACCTTGTAATCACTGGATCCGATGTAATCTTTGCACTTCTGTGCAATTTCGACTCGCTAAACGGTGACACTGCGCTAGCAGCACCATGTTTAGAGCCTGAAGAGCTTGATTCATACACAGAATCTTCGAACATGTTCAACAACCCCTTTGATCTTATTGGCGGAACTACATAGTCCGCCAGGTTCCCCTTAATCAGGGTCATACCAACTTCAACGTTTAAAACAGCATTAACCTTAGAGTCCTTCAACAGATACCGCATTGGCTGTGTGCCTTCAATGCCTGCAAACTCACTCAAGTTCACAGTGACTTTCCCCAAGTACGACGTCTGTCTCACAGAAGGCAGTTCATCCAACAGGGGTATATCCGGATGATAGTTGTTTTGATGGTGGTGATGACTATGGTGTCTGGTGATGTGATACACCTCCAGCTCAACAATCTTCGGCTGTAGTGCCTTGTCCTTCGTCCCGACTTTCACGATGCCCTCCTCTGTATGTTTCCATACAGCCTTGAAGTCCTTGACGTGGGCTGCCGGAGTACGGCCCTTGATTGACGGGAGGGTATTAAGGATACGCCATTTCACAAAGCACGAGCCTGAATGCTTGGGCACGTTCTGTATATCGGTTATAACAAGTGCGAATATGAACTTCGGCTTTGATGAGAGCATCGTCGTTTGTATCTGCTGGTCTTGGTGGCTGCGAAGGCGATTGCTACTACCCTGATGTTGATGTTGATTTGTGGAGGATGGAAGGAATCCCTGGCGGCTCTTCCCGAGAAACACGCATACTAGCGCAAAATGCATACGTAGTGCACAACAAGGGCAGGGTGTTTACTACTGCTATCGCCATATAATAGACGATACAGAGGTGGAGGAGACCCAGGGAGCAGCCCAGAATATAGCAATGTCACTGAATATGATCAGTCGATTAGCCAATGGTGCGGATGGATCAGAATCGTCACTTAGTTCGTTGCCTACGTATGGCGTCATAAGGATATCAAATGGTTCAGACGGCACCAAGAGCGAGTACTCATTCGGGAATGATTCTGCTATCGCTGCTGGTGGAAACAGGTATAGCATTGATACGAGTGACATTGTAAGTTTCAGCAATGAGGGTTATAGGAAGCCTGTCTTGACTACGATGGTCCCTGGCGGTGACGGTGGTGACGGTGATGTTGATGATGCCAATAGATGGGTAATACCGGCGCCTCCCCACGACAGAGCTCTGGTGGTGCTATCGAGAGTTGTGGACGCATACAAGTCACCACATCATGGATCATTCCTTTCAGATGATGTTTTCCTCAATAAGAGAGCGCTAGAGAGTGGCTCAATTACCAATGCAAGCGTCAAGCTTGGTACGCTGAGGGAGGTGACATCTCTGTTCAGCAAGCTTTCAAAGGGTGAAGCTATTGACGTCAGCTCCATCGATTCCGTACTTTTGTACTATGAGAAGCTGCTGGATGCATTTGATCATCTCGCAGACGACATAGCTCAAGATGAAGTGGTGCGTGTACATTCGTCAAGCTCGAACATTCAAAGAGTTGAATCTATCACCTCAACAACGGCATCAGTGATGACAGCGAACACCATGAATAGCAGCTTATCTCGAAAACATGGAGACAAGAGAAAGGGCTCGATCTTCAATGTCTTTTCGTCGAGAAGGACCAAGGGAAACCCACCCCCTTCGTCTACAAACGTATCGTCTTCACCAAACGTGTCCACCAGCAAATTACATTCTAAGAAAACTAGCATATCATCAACTACGTCGTGGAAACCGCATCAAGATCACTGTTCTATGGACCAGTACATCGCACTGATTGAGCCTTTGATACAACAACTGTATAAGTTCAAAGGTACTGACTCAACAAGTGATTCATTCGAGAGGTTGGTTCAATTCACTGATGAATACTTGTTGCAATTCATCATCAGGGATGTTTCTCAGCTCTCTTTGAAATTCATGAAAGAAGAGTATCAAGCATACTACTGACATGGTTTGATCTCATTTCGTATATATTACCCGTCTAAATATAAATAATACAGCAAAGATCATCTTCATTCTGAAGCTCCGAGGAATATTGTAGCACTCAAACAAACAGTCATCACAAGGACTCCCCAAATACTCAATACAAGGGATAACGATTTCAAGAGTCGAAGCTTTTTAGGCATATCGGCCCATGATCCTGTAGAGTGATCGATGAATTCAGATCCAATCAGCTGGTAACCGAATATTCCTGGGAGGATAAAAGAAATCGATGTAGAGCCAGTAGAACCAACAAAGGCTAGGACATGTGCCAAAGACTTCACACTGATTGCAATGAGGTAACTTAAGCAAAGGATTACTGAGGTAATTATAACAAATCTCTTCCCTTTGAGTGGAGAAACTGCAGGAATACCTTCCTCCAAGAGTTCATCCTCAAAGTCAGAGTCGACAGTTGTACCAAATGCTCCATTTGGTCTTGAAGATGATGTTGTACTCTGTTGAGAAAACGACCCACGAGGGGATGCTATGATATCGCCTCCTAATGCCCTTGAAGGTTTTCTCTGTCTGTCGTTACTCAACAATGACGCCCTTGAGGGTTTTCTTGAAACCTCTTTGACGTATTTGAAGTAATGCATGATGTGATTTATAGAAGCCCTTGCTGGATGGCATTGCAAAGGATAAGAAAGCATCACAAGGATAACAATGGCAATTCGACCCACTGTTGATGATATAGAGTGTGGATAACCCACAATTACGTTTGGCTGGACGTTATCACCAAATGAAAGGTAACCAGTGACACCAACGACAACGTACAACACCATTGCAGTACCAATGGAAGCACCAATAACTTTGTTGATGGTCTTACCACCTTTATCCTCTAGTTCATTCACCAGGGAAAACATGTTTTGATGGCACGTATAAGCAAAGACAAAGATTGGGAAGCTCGCAAAGATCGCAGACGTTGAATAAGGCTTGAACACTTCAACTGGGCCTTTATCCACGATGTCATCCTTGAGAAAATGTACAAAGACTAGCACCACCAAGTACACGACTGATGAAAGTGCCACCATCGATGCATATTTCAGGGAATCCAACTTCTTCAGGAACGATAGAGGTGAAACGATGGTAGCCATGAATACCGTGATCCATAAGTTTCTCTCTAAAAGCACGGGATGCTTATCTAAGAACGAATCATTCAACAATGATTCTGTGATCTTTGGCATCAAATCACCTATAACAACAAGGTATGAGACCCCCACACCAAAACATTTGATTGCAATGGCTAAATCGAACACCACACTTAGTTGCGGATAAGTCAGTTGAGCTAGCGCAAAGAACGAAGCATCACCAGGCTCAACGTACTTAGAACACTTTCCCTGTAGGTATAGACCAAACGATGAGGTTGCTGCTGATAGCACAATAACAAAGATTCCCAATAACACACCGTCAGAACGAATTGCATATGGCATAGCCAGCATACCAGCACCTTTTTCTCTGTATGTTAGTGATCCAGCAGCTCGTACAAACGATCCCTGTATTAAGCAATGAACTCACCTATGATGGTGTTTAATAGGTTAACCGACGCTGAACGCCAGCTTGCCTTCCCTACTGCTGAAGACATATCTAAAGATCACTTTCTCACAGGTCCTATTGCTGATGTTGATGCTTTTCCAGACAAGACGGGGGTACCTTAACTAAGTGTCACCGTCTGTAATTTCCAAGATCGATGACAGTGCGAGGGCACCAGGGTATGATGGATTGTATAACGCTGTTCTTGTAACAAGTGCTCTGTTATGCTTACTAAAGCAACGAAGTTGGCAGCCCTCGGGGATGTTTTTGAAGATAGGCGCGATTATATTATATTACTGCATTATAATCATTATATTAAAAGAGGAATTGTTTAATTATGGTGCAAGCAAGGAAGCATCTACATATGTGCGCCAGTTTAATACGGAGCAATTCATTCCTTGGTGTATTGAGCTATGTACATGATCTGATAGAGAAGGAGGATTGCTTGTTCTATGCCTAATATCCCCTTCTCTTTGCGTCCTTCACAATGTCAACCAATCTTCTAATACCTTGGTCAAACAATTTCTTCTTTCTTCTCATTCTCTTCTCCTCTAGCACCTTACTTGGTTTCTTGTAGAATCTCTGTGCATTCTTATCCAATCTGATATTGTTCGAGTTCACAAGGTACTTCAAGCTTCTGAACGCTGAATCGATGTTACCTTGAGGCACAGACACAATTCTTCCGGCAATTGGGCCCTTGATGGCAACCGTACGTGCATAAGCCTTTGGGCTGCCTCTGGCATCACTGGCACTGAGATCGTTCTTGGTCTTACGTGCCACTTGTGAGATTGAAGGTGGTGTTCTCAACGACGGTTGGGATTTGTTACCGGTGCCATTGGTAGAGTTCTTGAATCTATCGAGAACAGCGCTGGTTTGATTGCAGCGTGTTTGAACGAGAGAAATGCCGCAGGCTCTCTGAGTACCAACCTTACAAATGCTTCTGAGACCAAACATCTTTGGTATAAAACTCCCGCTCTGCTACCTGGTGATACTCTTCCTTCCTAAAGTGTCCTCCCGTTGAATCGGAAATTGGATGAACGAAAAAAAAAGCGGTGGAGGGTTCGCAAATCCGAGGGTGATTGTCGCCGGAATTGAAAAGATCAATTCCGACTCATGTCGGCCCACCTCGGTTCTCATCTCATCGCTTCGACCGATACCAGCCGGAGTATGAAGCTCTACAGCATATTTTTTCTTCCTTTCCATCATTCGAAATATCTAAAAAGCCATAGTTTCAACAGGATAGTCCCATAACAAAGATGTCCGAGAGTGTTGAAGAGCGTGTTGAGAGTGGCACCGCTGTGGAAGAAGTTGGATCCACGACGGAAAAGCTGGACCAACTTGAAAGTGAGTGAAATATAGGCATTGAACTCCGGCTTGAGAAGGAGGTGGTGGAGGGAGCACTTTGAATCACAATTGTTCTTTTGTTTGACTAACTCGTCTCTTAAAGTTGGTGAAGATGAACACGAGGGAGCATCTAGTGCGACAAAGAAGAAGAAGAAGAAGAGCAGCAAGAAGAAGAAGAAGAAATTGGCCCCAATTTCTGAGTCTTTCCCAGATGGTATCTACCCAGAAGGTGAATGGCAGGAGTACAAGGATGAGAACAAGTACCGAACCACTGACGAGGAGAAGAGATACCTGGACAGACAACAGAGCGATAGATGGAATGCGGTTAGAAAAGCAGCAGAGGTTCATCGTCGTGTTAGAGAGCATTTGGCACCAAGATTGAACCCAGGTATGACCACCACGGAAGCTGCAGAGACCATTGAAAATGCCGTTAGAAGCTTCATGAATGAGCCTGACAACAAGATCGCTGGTATCGCCTTCCCAACGGGTGTTTCTAGAAACGACTGTGCTGCACATTACACACCAAATGCCGGTGATAAGACCGTTCTGTTGTACGATGACGTTGTTAAGATTGATTTTGGAGTGCATGTTAACGGTTACATTGTGGATTGTGCCTTTACAAAGACATGGAACTCCAAGTATGATAAGTTGTTGGAAGCCGTTAAGGATGCAACAAACACAGGTATCAAGGAAGCTGGTATTGACGTTCGTCTGACCGATATCGGTGAGGCAATTCAAGAAGTTATGGAGTCATACGAGGTGGAAATTGACGGTGAAGTTTACCCTGTAAGACCAATCAGAAACTTGAACGGACATAACATTGGAGTCAACGAGATCCATGCTGGTAAGTCTGTTCCAATCGTCAAGAACTTTGACGAAACCAAGATGGAGGAAGGTGAAGAGTTTGCCATTGAAACCTTTGGCTCCACGGGCCGTGGTTACGTTGTTGCCGAGGGTGAGTGTTCTCACTACGCTCTCAAGGTTGATGCTCCAAAGGTTCCTCTGAGACTGAACAAGGCAAAAGCATTGCTGGCCACCATTGAACAGAACTTTGGTACATTACCCTTCTGTCGTCGTTACCTGGATAGGGTTGGTGAGGAAAAGTACCTCCTGGCCTTGAACAACCTGGTCAAGGAAGGTATAGTGCAGGACTATCCACCGCTGATGGACTCTCCAGGGTCCTTCACAGCACAGTACGAGCACACAATCCTCCTACACCCACACAAGAAGGAAGTTGTAAGTAGAGGGCCAGATTACTAACCTTTCCACCACCATTAAATAGCTTTATTCCCCTGTCAACCTTACGTGTCGTAGAACTACAGTAGGCTCGTGCACTCCTCCACCTCGTCCAATTGAGGCCAACAAAGAGGCACAGAGCACAGCACAACGACCTCACCATCGACAAGAACCAGTATACACATCCACTAACTGAGCCGCCAGTTTACTCCGTCAACACTATAAAATGCACCAAGCAAGAGACTGCTTCCCCATAGATTGCCCTTCCCACCCAAATCCTCCCACCGCACCGTCCGCCGAGAGCCCAAGCGCAGCCAGAAGGGGAATTTTGTCCCTACGTGTTAAAACAAGCAGATCAAACACCACCGCCCACAGTGAGCGCGCTACGCAGAGACTGTGGTTTTTTGGGCGGTGTGAAATTTTCAACTGGGTTTTTGGGCAATTCCAGCACAACCGGAGATCAACAACAACAACAACGCCAAAGACGACAAAGGCAATGAGTATTTCAATTACCCCCTCTGTTCTGGAGTTCAAGTGTGAGTGAATCTGGCTCAATTGTGCCGGGCAGGGTGTTCTCTGTGTTTGTTTTGATGGGTTGCTGCTCCGTCGATGGTGATCGTGGTGCGTGTTCCAGGTTTCAAGGAGAGATCGCCCCTACGAGCACTCTACAACGCGCACGGTGAACAAACACCTGTGGCACCGGTCCTTTCCCAGGTAGAAGAACTGTGGATGTACTAACGAGTGCGGTATAGCTCCTCTCACCAAGCCAAGCACTTCTATCATCACAATCACCAATACCTCTGATGACACTTCTGCTTTTAAAGTGAAGACCACTGCACCAAAACTGTAAGTCCCCATTGTATCGCTGCGAAGCGTGGCTGTGACATGCTGAATAGAACATTAAGTACTAACCAATTGCCGTGTTAAAGCTACTGTGTCAGACCCAACTCGGGATTGATCCATCCAGGAGAGTCCGTTGAGGTGTCTGTTATTCTCTTGGGATTGCAGGAAGAGCCTGAAGCAGAAGCCAAGTGTAACGATAAGTTTTTGATTATTGCATTGCCGGCGCCATACGACTTGGGGGAGAGTACCGTTGCTGAGGTATGGCCAAAACTGGAGTCCGAGTTCAAACCTCAATCAGTCTCTACAAAGATCAAAGTTAAATTCGTCGTTGAAGACGTTGACAAGCCTGTGTTGGACTCGGCCATCTCCACCGGTGTCAATGGCAAATCGACTAGTGAACAACAAGAACAACAACAGACCACCAAAGATTTATCTTCTTCCTCCACAAAGGAGTTGGCAGAGAAAGTATCAGAAGATGTGTCTCAAGAGGATAAGTCAAAGATTGATGCCCTAAACGAGAAGTTGGATTCAAACGTTGCCAAATCAACATCTGAAGCTGCCGCCACAACAGCGGCAACTTCAAAGGTATCCACTGCCAACAAGCAAGAGAGCCCTGCGCCACTAACAACAATCGTCTTGCTCGCACTGATTGCAATCATCCTCGCTTGGTTATTCATGTAATGCCACAGTCTATGGCATGCACCCGTTTTATATCTTTAGTTGTGTTCTCTTCTTTGTTCTGTTTTGCTCATTGAATAAATAAAAGAATGTGTTTATTTTGATTACACTGGTGCTACATCCAACCAGCACACTTCTACAGCCCTCACATAAACCCAGAAACATAAGCATTAGAGACTAGTAAGTTAACATTGTGTACAAAATTCCCGTTCTTGATCCCGCTTAAGCCTCAAGAGCAAGACGACCCTTTGGGTTGGTAACCTTCAAACCCAAAGCCTTAGCACGGGCAACGATCTCAACTCTGTTCTTAGAGGAAACGGAGTGGGAGATCTCAGCAGCGTATGTCTTAGTGTGCAACAACAACAAGTCCAAGTCCTTAACGTTGTTAACCAAGAAGGCCTTGTGACCAGATGGCATCATGTGTCTAGTCTTCTTGTTGGTACGGTAACCAATCTTTGGTTGTGGGATGGTACCTCTGAAACGACGTCTGACACAGGAGTCAATACCCTTTTGCTTTCTCCAGTTCTCAGCAACACGGGCGTAACGGTCAGAGTGGTGACGTTTGAACTTCTTGGTGAACTTCTTGACAATCTTTGGGTGAGAAATAGAAGCAGCCATCTAAATAAACCGTTAGTATAAAGCCTAAAGTTAGACCCTTGGGTCGGTGAGAAGACGATGTAAAAGCATTATTATCTTGAGATGGTTGAGAGTCATTGGTATTGGAGAACAGTTTTTTGTTCACTCTGTCCGTATGTTCGTTCAATTCGTCTGTTTTAAGAGACACGCCACGTCTTCAAGGCCTTTCCATATCTTATATGCTCATTCATGACATGTTACTCTCCCTATTGATGAACTGTATATATCATTTCAACACTTTTCTCCTTGTCGATACATTAACTGTCTCTTCCTTGAATCTGTCTTCAACTGCCACGGCATCTCCTTACACATAAACGTAGATAGGCGACAACGACAATGACCAAATGCTCAATGACTACTCTGTGATAACATTACATCGCTCCCTCTTCACATAAAACGTACCTTGTCTCTAGTTTGTGTTGTACTCTAAACGTCTTCTAAAGGCTCTTTCGATGGAAGGTAAGGTAAAAATTTCAATTTGTGTGAGTGATTGTGCGAGGCCAGCGACGGGTTACTAGTGAAGCGTGCTCAAACCAGGCAAAAGCGAATGATTATGTAATCTAAATTTCAGCTTTTTTGCTTGGGTTCACGCTAAGTTAGTGAATTTTTCAAAGTCACAAAAGTGTCCTCCGCGGGACATCTTAACACCACGTATAGGTTGCCCCAACCCTATGCGATATCACCTGATTTCATTCCAGGGCTTCACTAATGTGGGACATTATAACATAGGGGAAATTTCAACAGGGAAATAAGGGAAAGAACAAGTGCTTGTTTTGTTCCATATTGACTCAGAGACTACTGCTAGTATCGTACACAATGGCTGATCAATCAACCCCTTCAGGTGAAGATAGCTATTACTATATTGATAGCACATGCAAATATACACGTTCACAACCTCATCCAACACAGAACCTGATATCACTATACAACTTGGATACCATCGCAGACTCTGTGGCTCGTTTGAATAAAGATGGTACTAAAGGTGTTAAGCTGAGGAAATCCTACAAGGCACACATATCTGACCTCACATCAAGGCATGTACCTATTGCCACTGAACGTGATTTATCACCGATTGTGTATGCACCTGATAGAGAAGGTGCTCCAATTCAAGTGACCAAGTTTGATCCAACGGCTCTCAAGTACAACGTCAGCTTCTCCAAAACACTGGAGAGTGGTGTGCCCGGATTTGACTCATCCATATTAGGAATTGGTGATCCTCAGGGAACAAAGAGAAAGGCAAAGGTAAAGACTGATGAGGCCATGAAGAAACGCCGTGTGGAGTAATTCTAATGAATAATTAATGATAATCTGAGAACGTTGTACTCTGTAGAGTAACAGATCAAAATTACATATTAATAGTAGCCTTGAATAAAGTACATAGAGTACATAGAGTGTTTGTTGTTTTACCCTGTTCAATCTCTGAAGCTGTTGATTCTGTCAGAAGCATAGGGGCTGATGTTCTTCACGTGCTGTTTACTATCATGACTGGTCAATTTGTTACCCAAGATACTTCCAGTATGGCTCAAAAGAGCCTTCACGCACATCTTTTTGATATACAGCGCAAGATCAAGCAGTGTCAGTGTCTTATTGCTGAATGCGACTTCAGGTAATGTGAAAACAAAGTTGGAAACGTTGATCAGCTTCTTAGAACCTTTCCCCCTAAAAGTGACACATAGAACAGCTGTTCTCAGTCTAAAGGAGTTGAAGCTGAGGAACTTTGAAGCTCTCTCTAACATATCATCCATTTCCTCGTCTGTCTCGGATTCATTGGTGGATGTCACAGTGACTAATTGATCAATGCCGTTTCGACCGTTTGCAATACTAGACCTTGGACTGTCAATTTCAGAGTCATTTCTATGGAATGACAATTGGCTTGGTTTGGGTTTTGCTAGCTTTCTTGGGCTCGTATTCACACTTGATTGGCCCGTCTTAATACTGTTGGCATCATCAGATTTCCTTTCGGCTTCCTCGATGTCTTGATCTGGGAATACGTAGTGCAAGATCCGTGTACCGGTAATCTCCTCAATACTTAGCTGGACAGGTTTGATCGCAATATCGAATTTCCGCATGAGTCTGATGCCACCCACAGGATAGTCCATATGCCATGTGATGACAATAAGTGGGTCAATATCACCCTCGTGCACAACCCGTTTCTTCTTCTTCTTGGCCTTGCCGTGATCTTTATCAAAGGATGAGAAGAGTACTGGTAGATTAGAATCCTTGTCCAGATTTATAACTTCAAGATTATCAATGATAATAGAGTTCCGGTCAGAATGGTCAGAGCTTTCAATACGCTTGAAGTGTGAGTTGGATAAAAGCACATCCAGGAACGGACGTCTATTTTCATCCAACATGTGAAGCTTAATGTCATCGGCTTTGATATTCCATTCCAAGAAGTCTGTCGCTTGATCCACTGATTTTCTTGTACCAACTGCAGAGACCTTCATCATCAAGAACAGTTCTTGGAGAATTTCGAAGCGGCTTCCCTTTAGTAGGTTCAAATCATTCAAATCCAGGTCATCAAGCACACTCCTCTTCGAAGAAAAATTGTCAATGATCTCCTGAAGCTGTACAGAGTATCTTTGTAAAGCCACAATGCGATTCTTGATGGTAGCAAGATCATCAAAGTCCAAACTCAACAACATTTTAGATTCAAGTTGCTTGATCCTCAAGTTCTTTGGGTCATTGTAGATGAGCAGGTTCATGATTATGGAATACAACGAGTTGTACTGTTTACTATCACACTTCAACGTCACCTGAGATAAGTTTGTAGATAACCTGGTAATATCTTCTTCTTCTGGTCCAATGAAGAACGATGTTGGCTTATCAAATTGTATCATTACTGTTGTCTTCTCCATCAAGACATGACTATTGATCAAAGATCCATCATAGCAAAGCTCAACACCCAACCATGGTGGCCAGTTCGTCAACGAACCATAGGAAGAGGAGTTGAAGAACAGCTTTCCTGTAGACATGTATTCGCCCTCGTGGAACAAAAACATACTAGCATCCGTTAATGAAACACCGAATCTTTTTTCGATAATATGCTCATCGTTATTGTCTTCGTCTTGATTGGAATCAAAGGCTAAACCATCCATTTCAATCTTTGGAGCAACAACAAGGACAACAGCATCTTTATCCTCCTGGCTCTGTAATTGGATCTGGGGAGAAATCAACTTGACAAGATAATTGTTGTGTATTTTATAAGGAACATCGATGAGCAGTTCACGTAAATCTTCCTTAAAGTGTCTCATGTGTTCAGAGGCTCTGGAAGTATTGATGCTTAAATCTGGCTCATTTGCTTGTTTGCTGCTCATCAAACTTGCATAAGTAGTTACCTTGGAAAGTGAATGACGTGCCTCCTGCCCCTCATAATTAGCAACGCGTTGAGTTTCAATGGCTTCATCAATATGTCCCAAAGACTTGTGCTGAGAAAAATGGGAAATCGTGTCTCTCATATCAGATATAAACATGTATCGATACATGATATCTCTGTTCTGGTCATTCCATTTAAGCATCATGTTGTGAACAATAAAGCAGTTGATAAATGTCTCCTCACTTGTTGTGTCCTCAGGTAGCAACAAACCATCTCCTTTGGCACGCTCATGATTCAAGCCCTTGATGAAGTTAATTCCCTCGCGTAGTTGCTCATTATCAAACTTCAGATTTCTCAATATTTTCTGATCGTTTGCATTCACACTGAGGGAGAGCTTTTCAATCTTTTCATTGTTATCTTTGAACTTGGCTTCTAACTCTTCTATCCTGATGGTGAAAAGTTCGTCTTGAGTATGAGAAGATGGGTGAGAATCAATGACACATGTGTGGAACTTTTCGTTGCCAAAGGGAACAACCAGCTTTCCTGTCTCACTGTCAATTTGATACTTGTCACCGTAGTCATTCCGTTTGAAGTACAAGAATCTTGGTGTGTACATTATGGGAGAAATAACGACATTTGTGTTCATCATTGTGTGTGTCGGTTCACCAATTTCATCGAAGTCCTTGAGATCAAACCAGGTCTCATCTCCGTCAAAAGTAGAAAATATGTGACGGGGTTTCTTGGTACTATCAGCATCAGCACATCCGACATCTTCAAATAGTGCCTCCATGACCCTGACGTCGAATTGATCTAAGTCAACTTTACCAGTATTAAATTTCATTTTCATTGCCTTCTTGGTGATTCCCAGTTTCTCGTTGTATTCAAAAGTCAGCTCCTTACGTTGGTGAAGATCAAGCACAAACTTCGAAGCCCTCCCCTTTATACCAACACAATCAGACTCGTGGTTCTGTCCCTTATGTTCAAGATTATGGTAACCATGAGATACAAAGAGTGGCTCAATTATTGCTTGGTACTTTATAGTGAATAGATGGCGTGAAAACTTCTTGGTCTGTTTCTCTGGCCCAAAGAGCTTACCATGACGAATTGGCAAAGTATTAGAAAACATCTTCCACCATTTGAAGAAGTATTCAAACGTGACAGGTGTCAATTGAATTGTATTGTAAGCGTCAGATTCCACTGAAATAAGCGATAAAGCCATGTGAATATATTGACTTCTGAATCCTCTATAGGCATCATAATTGTTTCTGTCTTTGACATACTTTGGATTTATCAGAGTAACATCAAAGTGGGGAATGAAATCTGATGTTCTTTCGAGTGAGCCATGGATCTTTCTTTCAAAGAAGAAGCCCAGCTTAAAACTCACCCCACCAGTGAGCTTGATAACATGCTTCTCGATGTATGAATCCTTCATGGCATTAACCTGAGATGTATCTGGGGGCCCATCAACGCCAAGGTAATAACCAAAGGACGAACTCTGGTAATTTGTTGACGTATCAGATAGTAGAACTGCATTCTTGGTGGACCTTGACCACACCTTTAGCGGTTGAGCAAAGTGATTTGGAGTACAGAACCAAACTTGATTGGCTTTAGCATAGATAAAGTCTGTCGGATCATCGTTACCGTTTAACGTCAAGGATACATCATCCTTAAACCCAAGAAGGAAACCAGAAGAATCTCCACCAATGGCATATGGATTCTTCGAGCCCTTGAAAACAACATCGAGACGACCTGATTCGTTGAATTTAAAGAACACACGAGCGTGTAGATTTGCTCTGATCTTGTCCCAGAAACCAACTTTCTCTGAAAGATCAATTGGAGGTTTGGTGAAGTTATCCAAGTTGAGGATCAACTGCTCGATACAAGGTTGATATGAGCTTGACCAAGACACTTGAGTAGCATACTCTGAGTGCAACTCCCAATCAAGACGTGTATAGAATTTGATCGACGTGAGGGTCTTCGGGACCTCAATAGAATAACAATTATCTTCATCAAACTCTCCACACCCAGGAACAAGTGGGACATATACTTCTCTAACCTCATCACGGGACTTGATCATGAACTCTCCAACCACAAGGTCACCATGGATCCTGATAGCAGTTGAATCAGATTTCTGCTTCGCAGATAATCTCGGCATATATATGAATGGTAGAGGGTAATCTCTCAAGTGACATTTGAGTTCATCTAGCTTCAGGTCGATGTGGAGTGGAATCAAAGTAGAGTATTTCGAATCTTTTGGTACTCCCTTACCAACGTCATACAGGAAATCAGGTAGATTTTGAATTCCACACTCCGGTTCACCGATATCAAGGTCTAAGCCTTCAAGGATCAAACTAAACAATGGGGGGTCTTTAATGAAATCCAACACTCTATTGTTGAAGCCTGGTGGAAATGAGTTTGAGTCAATAATACCCCAGATATAATGAAAATTGTCGGTAAAATTATCTTCAAGCTTCTTGCGGTAAGCCTTAACTCTAGTAATCCAGGATTTAGAGAACCCTTCATAGATTTTGTTCAAGTATTGCTTGGTGTTTTCTGGTGTCCAATGTTGAGGAGACATAAAGCTGTTATCGTCTTCAACTGGGAATGCTGAGACAGAATTTGTATTACCAGCAACAATCTGGCTGATTTTCTTTGGCACCGAACGTATGGAATGAACAGCATCCTCCACTCCGATCTTTTTGGAAACCTTTGAAGTTGGAGATAATGGGGTTGCCGGTTTGACCTTTGTCTGCAATGCCTCTTTCAAACGTGTTTCAAACACATGCAACTTCTCAAGACGCATTTTCTGTTCGAGAAGGCCAATCTGGAAGATCATATTGAGCTCCGATTCAAATGGGTCATCTTCCATACTGAATTCAAGCTTATTAGATCTGAGGTTAATTTTCGGTAATTTCTTAGGCTTCATCAGACTTGGGTTGATAACGATTTCATCGGAATTCCATTTCAACGAATAATGAAGCTGTTTGAGAGTCTTAAACATGACCGATATGTTGTCAAATATACGATAAATGATAAGTTGATGAGGTGTTGCAATGTGGCATGATTCATTCCCAGTTTCAACCCATGGACCATCGCCTTTAGCCAGTATTGTTGGTAAGTTCACCATCGTAGTACCATTGACAGCAGTGATCAGTCTTGACCAATATCCTGGAGATGTTGGCGACTCTGTGCAAAGTCGAGTATAAGATGCACCAACGCTGATCGGAGATGCTATGCTGCCTTCAACGTCAAAGTCTGTAAGCTCTAATCTCATCTTCATTCGATCTGGCATAACCACAATAAGATCAATCATACCGACATCCATGCTCAGTTGCACCTGTTGTAAGATCTTCTTGCCAATACCACTTGACTTTGGCTTTGAACTCTTGTCAGTCCAGGTCCCTCCAATTGGGTTCTTGTGCATGAATTCAAATATGGTGTTTCTTACTAGATGAAACCCAGATATTATGATGAAATGAGTGATAACAGAGTAGAAAGCCTCAATCCTGGACACTTTCCAAGAAAGGTACAGTTCGTCCTCGCCATTTGGACAAGGCTTGAACGAGATAGCTGTATCTGGAACTCTAAGAAACACCTTATTATGTAGTTCATGCTTGTCACTGCTCTTCTCAGATACGATTTTTCCAAGAGTTTTCGAGCAACAGAAGTTCACTTTCCATTTATCTGAACCACCACTGTCCTCTGAAAACGTGTCAAGAAGTCCCATGTCATCATCTTCTAGCGAAACCATGGTACTTGATGCTGCTTCGTCCAAGTCATCATCACTGGTGTCAAAAGTAAGACTCCACTTCTCAACAGAAAATTGTACCTTTCTCAGCTCATCATTAATCAGATCATTCTTCGCTTGAGGATGGATAGATTTTATAAGGTCTTTATTGAGCAGCACGGAACGAGATCCCACAATGATATTTGTATCGGTACAGCAATGCTCAACCTTCTTCAACCATTCTGGAATCATACCATGAACGATATCAATAGCTCTTCTAGAATCAGTTTTCTTTGGCTCTTCATCCTGAGAGTCGTCTGAAGAAGTATCGCTAAATTGTTCTCTTTCCAGCTTAGCACTCCTCAGAAAGTGTCTAAACTGAGGTACAATCATCGAATCAAGTTCGCCTATTATGTAATTCACACCATTTAGCACCAGTATTTGAGATAAATCCAAGTTCACATCTTCAGTATAGAAAGATGAGTATAATTTGGTGGTGGGCAAGATCTCGCATAGTTGAGTCGTGTTGATGTCACCAACATTGAGAATACTTTCGCTCAGATCGAGTTTGGTATCACGGAAAGCAATCTTCATGTCGTTGACAGCCAATTTGGAAGAAGCGATGTATCTGAGACGATCTCCAGTAAAGTCTCTCTTGGTTGCCAATTCTAAAGAGATCAAAGAGGATCTCAAGAGCAAAATCCTCAAGAAGTCATCCTCAAATGCACTTTTCGTCATGAAAATTGGGTTCTCGATACCAACCTTCACCTTAAGAGTCGGCCAAACGCTTGAGACTCGTTCACAGAGTAACCAAGACTTCTCGTTTGAAGACCTTGAAGGCTTCTTCTGGTGCCCGTCTGGAAACATATGCCTCATATAAGTCAAAAAGTTCAAGACACTTTGCACAACTAGGGAAATCTCGCTGGTTGACATATCCAGTAGAGGTTCAGAGAAATGGCCAGATAGAATTGCCTTACCTTTAGATGTCTCTCCAGTGATAGTAGCCTCCAGTGTACGGAAGGCAATGTTCGAAGAACCAGTGATTGCAATGTTTGGAACAGAAAGAATCTCCTTTGGAGGTGTAGCACCAATGTGCTCCATTTGCATTGAAACACCTGTCAAATTCACCACAATCCTATATGGCTTATCACCATGATTATAGGTCAGTCCGAACCCAGGGGAATCTGCAAACATCCTCTGCATGGAAAACACTATTGATTTGACGTTTAGATGTACAGCAGCCATGGGCTTATACTCTGGACAACGAACTATACCAAAACTAGCGAGTGGATAATCACGTATGCACAGACTTTGGAACGAAATGTCACAAGATTCTATGAGACGTACCCATAAACAGAAAAACATCATCTTCTGGTGAATGTGTGTAAGCAGTTTATCAGCTTCATCCACATCTGGTTCGTTTGCCGATTTAGACTTGAGATGTTCCGATAGCTTTGAATGTTGTATTCTCTTGATCAGGGATGTGACCCTCAAAGTGATGGCCCTGGTATCCATCTTCAACTTGAGTCCGCCCAATTCACCACTCTCAGTGTCCAACGAGCCTGTGGCCTCGAATGCCAGCGAATCTAGCGCTTCCAGTGTGTTCATGTTGGCTTGCACGATGCGAGCCTTCACCTGGACGTTATCCTTCTTGTTGCTATTCATATCAATCCTTGTCTGGAAGGAATCAATGTGGATGTTCCAAAACCCATCTTCTGTCTTTATGGCAATGTCAAACAACTTAACGCCGATGAACCTGAAGTAGAAGAGATAAAACTTGACGAACATCCTCAACTTCTTATGCTGTGAATAGATACAAATTGGACTATCTGGATCCAGCTGACCGAGGTCATCCAGCGTAGGCACAGGCACACGCTCGCTAGGCGCTTCCTTGCTCCCCTTCTTACGCAGCGTCAGCTCAAGACCATCCACCACCAACAGCACGTTCGAGAGGTCAAAAAGCGATAGTTTCAGCTGCACGGATCTTATCCTGATGGTCATATCCTTGGAGATCATTCCAACATGGTAGACGCTGAGCAAGAACGGGTTGATGTATCCGACAGAGAGTCCCAGCCCAACACACAACAGGCAGTGCACAATGAGAGCCAGCACGAACACCACCAGCACGATGTTGAAAAGCGACCACAATCGGGGCGATGATAAAATCTCTGCTATCATGGTATACATTGACAAGCAGAACCCTTGGTGTGGAATATATGGAGAGGCCGGATGCGCGCGAGATCGAATGAAGTTCTCCCAGTGCGTACCCGTCAGTGCTCAATTGCAGTTGCAGAGTCTTTAGATGTGTTCACAGGATGTACAAGCTGCTGTATTCACAGGGTATTAGAGACAAAAGTGAATAAGAAGCAGAAACAAAACAAGCAACAAAGCTCAAGAGGTTGGGGTTTACTTTATCTGTACAATTTTCTGCTCAGCTGTGCGGCATGTTGTGGTTGGCGTTGTACACAAACCCTGCCTGGGCTGGGAGCACCCGTCCCCGTCTGCGGGCCCCTTGGGCTGGAAGGGATTCTGTCAACAGGCGGTGGTGAGTGTCCAGGCAGGCGGGACGGGCCAGGCGGACGGGCAGCGGCAGAGGGGCAGCGGCAGAGGGGCAGCGCCAGGCGGACGGGGCCAGACGGGCACGCACTCCAAGCTTCCTTTGCTGGCGAGAGAACAATGCCCCGTCCGGGAACTTTCTTCCGAAGCCGTCCTCCACCTTCCGACACTTTTCTTTTTCCCCCCAGGCTTACATCTTTCCGGAACAGCGTATCCTGTTTTCGGAACATTCCAAAAATGGCTAGAAAATTTTTTGAGTTTTCTGTGCTCTGCGCTCAGCGCTCAGCGCTCAGCTGTGGAAATTTTTCACTCGTGAGCGCTGGAGAATTATCGCAGCAGAGGGAAAAGGAAAAAACTTCTGAGCAGAGAGCTGCTTCGACATTGGAGAAGGCTTTTGAAACGTTTTCATTCTCTGTTTATATTCGAGAGTAGAGGTTATCTTTGGGACATCAAACACGCTTTGTTCTTCCAGAATCTATATTATCTTTCATCACAGACTACAGTTCCCCCAGGAGTAAATACTGCGCAGTGGTCACAGAGGAAACTTGCTATACAACCAAGACGAGTGATATATCAATCTTTACACGATGGGTGAGTTCCGTTGTGCCTTTATTCAGTTCACGTTTGGCGAGAGTGGATGTACTAACGGAAGCAAAACAATTCAGGTCCAAAGCAGAAACAGATTAGAATGGACTTGTCCGACTTTTTGAAGGACGAATCCTTTGGCGGTGGTTCTTGGGCTGACGATGACCTCGACTTCAGCACAATTGCCGTCCCAAGCACCAAGAACTTTGGTCAAACCGGCATTCCAACTGGCGGAGCCAACCCACGAGACCCGGCATTTGGTGGCTCTGGTTCCTCTGGCCCAAGAGGGGACTACGTTGAGTACCCTATCCCAGATGCTCCTCCATACAGAGTTAGAATGAACAACTTGCCATGGGATGCATCTGAGGATTCCATTGCTGACTGGATCCATGAATCTCTTCAGGCCACTGATGCTGTGCAACACATTTCAGCTCCAAGAGACTTCAACGATCCTTCAAGATTGAGAGGCTTTGCGTTTGTTACATTGGCCTCGAGAGATGACATCGAGAACATCCTAAAGTTCTCCGGTAATGAAATGTTTGGTCGTCGTGTCTACGTTGCCGTTGCTGCTCCAGAGAAGGAAGGTTTCGGATCCAGAAGACGTGAGGATGCTGATTTGGATTGGGGTTCTGCTAGATCTGGTGCTGGTGCCTTCCCACAGAGAGAAGGTGGCAGAGAATTCCAGGAGCGTAGACCAAGACGTGAAGAGCCTGATTTGGATTGGGGCTCTGCTAGATCTGGTGCTGGTGCCTTCCCACAGAGAGAAGGTGGCAGAGAATTCCAGGAGCGTAGACCAAGACGTGAAGAACCTGATTTGGACTGGGGTTCTGCCAGAGCTGGTGCTGCTTCTCTTCCTCAAAGAGAAGGTGGTAGAGAATTCCACGAACGTAAGCCAAGACGTGAAGAACCTGAGTTGGATTGGGGCTCTGCCAGAGCTGGTGCTGCCTCACTCCCGCAAAGAGAAGGTGGTAGGGAGTTTAGAGAAAGAAGACCTAAGAAGGAAGGTCCAGAACTTGATTGGGGCTCTGCCAGAGGTTCCGGATCTCTTCCTCAGAGAGAGAGAAAGCCAAAGAAAGCAGAACCAGAATTTGATTGGGGTTCTGCTAGAGGTTCTGGAACCCTTCCTCCAAGACAAAAGAAGGGAACTGCTTCAGCTGATGCTACAAAGAAGGAGGATGCACCAAAGCCAATTGCTTCAAAGTCTGCTTTCTCCGTTTTAGCTGCCGAGGATGATGAAGAGGAAGAAGAGGAGGAACCAAAACACGAGAACGCTGAGGAGACCCCTGCTGAAGAATCCAATGTCAAGGTTCTCATCGAGAACACCGGAAAATTGGCTGTTGGTGATTCCGATGCCTGGGAAGTTGTCGGTAAGAAATGATTATCCTTACTTGTTTGATGTTCTGTTTGAGTAATTTTCTGTTCTTTCTTCTTTTGGTGGATATCGAAGCCATACTCCACTCCTTATATAGTAATGACTAGGTTTGAATATAAAATCATATGAGTTTTCTCTGTTCGTGTAGGCGAACATCATTATATTCTCTACTAGCAGGATCCATTCATTGCTACGGTCTGACCATATCGATGATCATGCTCTTGCTTTGTGAGTGGATGATTTAGATTATTCCATGAATCATATCATGCAGCGATGAGGTACATGAATTACACGGGGTCAACTGTCTATGTCGAAAAAGTATCAGATAATCTACTGTTTGCCGGCTACAAGGCTCTATCTTCACTGACTACACCTGAAACGGCCTATATAATCAAATATAACGAAATAGTTGTTACTTTTGCTGTAGTAGAACTAGCAAGTACAGCTATTTCATTATGGATTTCTTCATCATGGGAGTCTCTGCATTACCCTCATCATCCCATATAGCTAGTTATAGCACGTATATATTTAAAGTATCTACAATAGATGGTTATAGTACTTTTGAAAGGACATCCACATCTGGTGAAAAATTAGTAGTATAGTATTAACTGTCTATTATAACACTCATGATTGAATAATAACAGTATTAATAATATTTTAGTATTACAACAATAGTTTTTCAAATTAAGCACGCAATATCAAAACTTTTAATGAAAAATTACCTGGTTAATATTGGAAAGACCACTTTAATGTACCGACTAAATAATCAAAGTTTGCTCAATTCACTTATAACTCCCCCTACATTAACACTAGAGACCACTTTGCTAACCAAGAGGTGATGATTACCTCCAACAAAACCCACTATTTAAACCATGATAAATTACCATTCTGAAAGTTGTGTCATATTTAACCCAGACACCAAACAAACAACACAGTACAGGTTAATAGTCACATTTGAGCATCACCTTTTCGACCTTTGAACCCAACAACAAGTCATTGTAAGGCTTTGAACTCTGATCTACGATCCTGGTATCCATTACCAAGCACAAGGCTAGAATTGTAGAAAACTCCGTCGCGTCGTAGTTGGTGATGGCCATGTCTGAGCGAAATCATCATATGTATGGTCTCATACGTGCTTTGAAGATGGATTTCAAGAGGATGGAACTCGCCATACGCACCCACATCGGAATGAGTACCCTCATCAATTCATATATTTGATGAGTACATAACACTACATGATAAGTACTAGTCAATTACGATTCGATGATAATATCCAAAAGTTAAGAAAAAAACTCGCCAATCTTCAACCAGCGATCGAGAAAGGAAGGAGACATGGTGAGAAAAAACACGTACGAACAGGCTGGGAAGAGAGGAGCACCAGAGCGAGAGCATGAGTATACGACAAGCCTTAGTAGTAAAACCCAATGATGACCTTCATACACATAGGACTTTAGTTATTGTCCAAGTTACTGAAGCAAAGTCAAACCATTTGTTCAGCCCTGTTTCTGTCTTGAGCCATACCACCAGCGGGTGAGATACCACGAGTACTTTGCACATTGGGATCATTATCATTATTAGTATTAATAGCGTTCTCCATGTCTGCTCCGCCATCTCTGTGTTCTTCTGGTGACTGGTCTTCTTGTTGCTGAAGCCCATTGATGCGTCTCTCTGCCTCGTTTACTATAGCACAGTTGATCAAGTCTTGTCTCGAAACACCCATTATGAACCAAAAAAACTTCCATCTAGTACGTAAAAAATGTTTGATCTTCTCCTTTGCAGCAATACCAATAACTGGATTATTCCGTTCAATCTCATCTGCTCTTTGCTGTAGTGTCAGGTACTGGAACTCAGTAAAATCTTCACCAGCAGCCACCGGCTCGTCATCCCTTACATCACCGTTATCTGTATTATCGGAGTCCTCGTTCTTCTTTAAGTAATAATCACGTTTGCACATAGGACAGCATGCTTTTCTCTTCGTGAGCCATGGATCCAGGCACGCTTGATGGAAAACGTGTCCGCAAATCAGCCCACGAACCTCATCGTCTGGCTCAAAGGTGTCGATACAGATGGCACAAGTACCCGAGTCAAAGTGTATTTCATAGGTGGGGGTTCCAAGGTCAATCTCTGGAATACGAGCAGATGGATTTGTAATCTCAGCCTGGTTATAATCAGAGTGTACCGCTACAACGTTTGCACTCTTCTGGCTTGTGCCCAGTGCGCTGTCATTGGTGGTTGACGCAGCGGTGTCATCAGCCGCAGATGGAGTGTCCTCACGAGAAACGTCCGTTACATGCTGCTGTTGATCCAGCAAAAGGTCATCGTCTTCCTCCTTGAGTTCAGCGGCGATACCTCTTGCATGTTCGTCCATTTCAGCACCGCCATCTAGCCATTCTTGGTAAGTACGTAGAGGGAACAGATGGTCCACTTCTTCCTGCGTGAGTCTCCGCTTCTTCAAGAACCTGCGGCGCTGCTGCCTGTTCATCGAGTACATCCCCAGCCGTTGCAGGCCCCCATTTGTCAACACCAAGGCACCGTTGCGTGAGGTTAGTCGGGCATTGCCATATATCCCCAGTCTTGTTCTGACATAGTATCTTAGTGAGAAAAACACAAACACTATTGCGATAATGATACCTATTGCCACCGCAACGAAGAAGACGATAGATGATGGTTCCGGAGGTCTGTCCATAGAGATCGTGGGGTGGGGGATAGCGTATTACTCAGTGGAAGCAGAAAGATGAAAAACAACAAAATCAAACAGGTATACTATGAGAGAGTGGCCTTTCCATGGAGATACCCTGGGTGATATATATGTCCCTCTAAAATTGAATTCCCGGTGCCTGTACTGTAGATTACTCTGAAGCCAAGAGACAGTAACTCCCCTAGTGATTCTGTGAAAAGTCCGAAACTCCTGATCAGTGCTAGAGCCGATTTGAGGTGCTTGATATTGTAGAGTCCCGATTACACTTGAACCCTCACTGGACTACTTTTAAGCTTCTCAATACGTCTGTAGAGGTTGATCTGTTTTGGGAGAGGGTGTGTAAAAGAGCTACAGATTGAAATTCAACCACTTTTTCGTCTTTTTTATAAAGCTGAAGCTGAAGAAAATAAAAGGAAAATGCCGGGGTAGTTTAATTTGAGCAGCATAAGTATGACGAGGATTAAAAGCATTCGTTTCCCCTTTGCAACTTGCAGTTACCAGTTGGTGGCAGTTGGCAGTTGGCAGTTGGTAATTGCACATTTCAGTGTTAGCCAGTTGTCTCGTGCGGCACTGCGCACTGCACAGTGCTCACAGCGTCTTGATCAGTGCTAACAGCGTTTTGATCAGTGGTAATGTTTCTCCAAGGTGCCATCATTCAGAAATACCACTAGTTCGAGAACATCATCACAAGTTTCGTTATCTTGGGGTTGCAAGTTCTGTACTTTGTAGTTCGGCCGGAGCGTCACAAATTTGGTTTTGACCCGTGTGCAACAGAGTGGAATCCCACTTGCAGCTGCCAGAATGGGCTGTGTATCTATAACTGTCATCCTACCAGCATGAAGCGTTCAATTAAGGTGCGTGAGCCCGCACACACAATCAAAATTCTAACTTAGGAATAGTCTACAGTTGATGGTTGGTGAAGTTACATCCCGATCATGTGTTGAAACTGGAAAAAGGGAGACGAAGAATGACAGCCAAAATGGTGTATTCCCCAAACTCAATAGGATACACACTCTAAGGACTGTGTTTGCATAAGAACGGGGAACGCGGATATATCAGCGGTTCATTCTACCTGGGCATCATGAAGGTAAATTTACAGAGAGTTCAATAGCATCCAGTCAACCTTCCTTTGAGACAAGATGGTATTCTCTATATGCCACAGCAAGCTTTTTTTCTTTTTGGCACAGCCCTGTGTCACATAGCGTTTTGAGTTTTTAGCAAGCAAAAGTCTGGGCTGAATGCTTTGATCTCACAACTACAGCAAAGTCAAACGTTATTCAGTTACACTCGCGTCTAAAATATAAAACTGGGATCCAAAATCTGTTACCTTTCTAACAACAGCAGGCTGTTTTTAGTCTGTTACATTTTGAAGTCAGAATCGGGTACGTTGTCTTTAATTCCGACCCATCAAATTGGTAGAGGCACCACAACAAAAAGAAACGTATGTTTATGGCGGTGTTGCCACTGGTTGTGTCCCGTAACAATTAAATTTTCTCGGAAAATCCCACTGCGTCTGCAAGATGAAGAGGCGGTAGGGACACCTTATGCTCTATGACATTGAAAGCCGATCCAATAACCACGATGGGGCGAAAGCTCTTGAACGCTTGTTATAGGTGTAGGTAACTAGTACTCAATGCGCAATGAACAAATATGCATGAGGAGTGAGACAGTTAGTGTTAGACTTCGGAGGTTGGCAGAGGTGTATATATAACGACAAACATGGAACGTAGTCAGTTACAATTCCTTGAGCGCAAGCCATCTCCTCAAGCTAGTTCTTCCGGTCAGGACCAACCAGGTATTGTGAATCGCACGTCTAATCCACTTATACCAGCGTTCACACGTCAACATCTTCGCTAGGCATTCGAGCTTGGGGATATAGACAAAGACATCTCATAAATTACATCGAAGTTACCAGTATTCATACAATCAGTGTCTCGTAAGTGAGGTACATGCAGGTTTTCGTCTATTGTCACTATACCAGAGAGAACAACAGTGTCTCTTTACTACTAGTGATTCTCACAATCACAAGTCCACGGTCCAGTGATGACGGCGACGGCTCATTCCAGGCCTCAATTCAAGACGTCAGAAGGGTGGTATTAGAACAGGAGGAGCTTGAACGTTTGAGCAGGGTATCTACATCTACAGCATTCACTAGGGAGCTGACTTCGTCCAGCGAGGTGGATGTCGATTTGGATTCGGACAGCTCTGGTAACGCACAGACCGCGCGCGCCAACTATAACAACTCGAGCTCTTCATCTGTGAATTCCAACAGGAATCCTCGAAACAGGGTCAATTGGGCAGAAGACATGATGTCAGATTACTCAGATAGGGGCTCTTCAGACACGAGCTCATCCACCAGCCGATGATGGGGAAAGGTACCCACCAACAGGTGGATCTATGGTGACACTTCTCTCTTCCTCGGAAATCTGGCATACTACACAACCGCCGTGCATTGAAGTATGATTACAGGCACAAGAAAGGCAACAGTTATGGGGCATACAAAGCATCGAATAATTTAAACACGATGCTCGTTGTTTATTTTCGCATCTTATACACTCTTTTCTTTCGTTAACTTATAACCATCTCAACATAATAAACATTCATCTGATTTATATTACATGAGCTTTCCGCCACGACCGAGCTTCCCTTACTGAATTTTATAACACCGACGCTGTCTTCCCTTTGCATGAACCTCCCCTGCTTCGGTGCTGTTTAGAGTTCCCGAGCGGCTTTAAAAAACACAGTTATTTGAAGCGAGGGCTGGGGGACGGGCGCCTGGGGCCCAATATTTTTGCCACATTTGTTTATGAGCCATTTCACCATTCCTTTTGAATCCTTCAAACTCATCTTAGATCTGTAGATTGATAAACAACCGTACAGAGGCGATGGATGAAACAAACGAAGAACAGGGAACCAAAGTACAAGTGTATGTCTACGACATATCTCATGGGCTCGCAAGGGTATACTCGAGGGCCATCGTTGGAATTGATATGGATGCCATATATCACACATCTGTTGTAATGGGCGGCAAAGAGTACTATTTTGATAGGGAAGGTGCTACTATATCACAGGCAGGCAAGACGCGGTTTGGAGTCCCCATGGAGGTATTAGAACTGGGTGAGACTTTCATCCCAGGTGAGATATTGGGCGAATACTTGGATGATTTGAAACAGAATCGCTTCAAGTTCGGTAGTTATAACTTGTTTCACAACAATTGTAACCATTTCACGCATGAACTACTGCAATTTTTGAATGGTACAGAGTTGGAAAAGAGAATATTGCATCTACCTGAACAAGTGCTCTCATCTCCAAATGGTGCATTGATACAGCAAATGTTTAACGGTGGAATCATGATGTGATGTTGGACAAAAGATCGATGTTCGCTATAGACGGAAAAGGAACCAAATGAACACTTGGTCTTCATTTTCATTTTCTTTCAATTATAAGTACATAGTGCAACAGAAATTGAGGTAGAATACAGTACAAATGCGGGTTGTCCTCCAGGGAAACATTATGTAGCTAGTTGCTGGAGACTTGTTTTACCAGAGCAAGAAATATGGGGTCACCAAAAGCCATGATGAAATTAAAAGATCTCTCAAGGGTAGTATATGTCATTCTTCTTCTTTTCTCTATCCACCGGGTTAAGATTGACCGTTCTCGATTATATTTCCAGGGGCACGTTCATCCTTCACTTCAGAAGGTTCTTGAGATCTAGCCTCACTACTCTCTTCCCCTTCCTGTTTAACACCAGCAGAATCCAGTACGGAAGTGTTTGGTGTAACAGGAGTATCCTTTTTCTCATTCTTAATACTCAGTATCATGTTTTCCCATTCAATAAGGAGATTCTCAGCACGTTCGTGGAACTTGTACGTACTCTCTTTTAATGATGGGATTTTCAAAATGGCCCTCAGAACTTTGTGTAGTTTGGAATATTTCAAGAGTTCTAGCGTGATATGTGGTGAAAATGTCTCGAGTTCTTTCAATACATCTGAACAAGCTTTCAACTCATCATCAGTTGGTGTATCATCTCTTTGAATAAGGCCCTTTTGTAGCCTATATCTGAAATCGTGAACTTTATGCTTCAACTTATCAGTCGACATATCCTCAACAGGTGCACTTTTCTTCTTCTTTGTTTTAGTGATATGTGTATCATCATTGTTGTCATCGTCATCGTCGCCTTCAGCGGATCTCTTTTTAGAAACAGCTTGGTCGAGATCTTCAGGTAGCGTGAGGATATTTGGTAGCTCAATAAACTCCTCTGGCGATGAGATACTTCCTTCATCGATTAGGATGCTTATGAAGTCTTCAGGATATCTGTATGCTGCAGCTTCCTCGAGAGCATCGATCAGTTCCGGATTGGCGGGGTTTCTCTCAGAGAGCTTCTCTTCCGTCAATCTATGAACGTTCTGGAAGGCAACCCCTGCAAACGAGTTATCACCAAAGAACCTCACAGGAACATGTTTGAACAACCGTCCTCTTTTCATCTTGAGCTGTCTCGACAAAGTCTTCTTCTTTAGCTTCAATGGCACCTGAGATGGCGACAACACAATCGCAGGCCATGGCGGGAAGTTTGAAAACTTGGCCAACACCAACGTTCCAGGTTTCTGTTCTGTCACGTCAAAGTCCGAGTCCTGTACCATGACTTCTGTAAGGCTCGAGCTGTGGATTGATTAGGCTGTTTGGCTCTTCTCCGGAGAAGGGGGTAGGCGTAGGTGTAAGGGGGACGATGCCAACAACAAAGGGAAACAAGTCACAAAGAGTACACTCTTAGGGATAGAGAGACACACAGTATCAAAACACAAGGGAAACAGCGCAACACACAACCAAGACGAACTGACAGTGATGCAATGGACAGTGATTTGATAGAAACTGTCACTTCTTTCAAACAGTAATTGCAGTTCTGTTGCTGACGGTTATTCAAAGTCTTGCTCAACCTTGTTTGTTGTTCTGTGATTGAATAAGATGCGTTTTTTTCCTTACTTTCGTTCTTCCTGTGCTTCTCGGAGCAAGATCCACTGGCGCAGTTCTCAAGTTTGCTGGTGGGAGCGTACGAAATTAACAGGTGTGCGTAAGTGGATGGGTAGTGCAAAATTCACCCCTTTAACAATTTGAGTCTGGAGACAACTTCTGTTGAAACTATACAGAATACCTTTTTTCCATGTGTGTCTTCACCTGAAATGGCTCCCCCTTTTCATCAAATTCAGCAACAACTACTGAAAATTAGGGGCCCTAGTTCATAGTCAGGGCCTCTATTACGTAATCACACATCCGGACACCACTGAGGCAGATCGCCGCCAACGTTGTTCGCCACTTTGCGAGGACACAGACAACAAACACACGAACAGAGAGGCCCAACCGAACAACAACACACATTTCGTCCACGTAGCGCTTGCTTGGATTGAACGATTGAAGCGCCATAACAACAGAAGGAGAACAAGTAACCAAAGCACAGCTATGCAAAGACTTCAAAGACTGCTAGGACAGAGCGGTGGGCTAGGCGGTGCTCCCCCAACGGACGGCCCTGTAATTGACAACAAGGAGACTGTTTACATCTCGTCTTTGGCACTCTTAAAGATGTTGAAACACGGACGTGCTGGTGTTCCGATGGAGGTTATGGGTCTTATGCTTGGAGAGTTCGTAGATGATTACACAGTGCACGTGATTGATGTGTTTGCCATGCCCCAGAGTGGTACCGGTGTGTCTGTTGAGGCTGTTGATGATGTTTTCCAGACAAGAATGATGGATATGTTGAGACAGACGGGCAGAGACCAGATGGTTGTTGGTTGGTACCATTCGCACCCTGGGTTTGGATGCTGGCTATCCAGTGTTGATATCAATACCCAACAATCCTTTGAACAGTTGAATCCAAGAGCTGTTGCAGTGGTTATTGATCCAATACAGTCTGTGAAGGGTAAAGTTGTGATCGATGCCTTTAGACTGATTAACTCTAGCACACTGATGATGGGAATGGAACCTAGACAAACAACATCCAATGTGGGTCACTTGAACAAGCCTTCAATTCAAGCATTGATTCACGGACTGAACCGTCATTACTACTCTCTAAACATTGATTACAGAAAGACACCATTGGAAACAAACATGCTTCTCAACTTACATAAGAAAGAGTGGCAATCTGGATTGGCATTAAAAGATTATACACACAAGGAGAAACATAACGCAGATTCTGCTGCTCAAATGGTGAAGATTGCAGAACAATATGTTAAAAGAGTGGAGGAAGAGAAGGAGCTCTCCGAGGAACAACTCAAGACTAGATTCGTTGGTAAACAAGATCCAAAGAAACACTTGTTACAAACCGCAGAGGATTTGATAGAGGATAACGTCGTAAGTGTTCTCACCGGTGCAGTTGATACCATTGCTATCAAGTAATCGTTATTTCGAAATGACTCTTGTGGTACATTTTTTAAGTTTGTAGATCCACCGTTTTATTGCTTGAGCTCCCAAACTTGAATGTATGATTCACCTAGGAATAATAGTTCTTTCTCCTTGGGAGTAACCTCCAAATCTTTCACCTCAAACCATTCATCATCAGAATTCCTCATTTGTACTTTCCAATCGCTGCGTTCTTCATTAGCTTCATCCATACTGTTCTTAGTCGTAACAACGTCGTGCACAACGTTACACAGCAGTTTGTATTTGGCTTTACCCTCGTTTAAGGTCATCTCTAAGGGAAATTCCACTAAAGTTTGGTATCTGTCTTTCAATTTCAAATCAATTCCCAATTCAGAATCGTGAAATCTGTTAATGTGCAGTAAAAGGTACGGAGGGTACTTGATTATCTCATAAGTCTTTGTACCAGATGATGTAACTGTTTGGGTTTTCCCAGTGTATTTGTCAAGTAGTTTTTCCAATCGTATTTGAGGAATCTCTTGAACTCCAATCCCGTCTTGGAGTATGGATACCGGGGGTAAATCCAAGGTCAGAATCCAAAACTTTGTGTTTGTAACAGAGCTGGAATTCCCATCATCAGTCGTGACCCGTAGTTTCCCTTGGAATGAGTGAGATATAACAGTGCTTTTCCTTTTCTCACCGGCAACAATGGCAAGGCTCTTGTGAAGGTTATTTAACAGCCAAACTATAAAATCTCTGGGGTTTTTGGGTTCGTTTATCGTAAACTGTTTGTCTGATATGACAGAAATATGCTGCAACAGCTCATGTGGTGATATGTGGTGTTTGAACAGTTTTGGTGACCATAATTTTTTGATGAAGGTTGTGAATCTCTTCACCAGCTCATTGTAGTTATTAACATCATCGAGCAACAAGAACCAGTTCCGCACAATGCTGCAGTGACACACGGCCTGTAGCACAACGTTAGAGTACTCGTTATGCTTGATGTTATTGAGACCAATGATTCCAGGGAGGTACTCGTTACCGCTGATATCTCTTACGGGCTGCGTGCCTAACTGAACCAATTCTGGCTTGGTGTAACTTGGGTTGACAGCGTACTTGATATCATCCAAGAGATGCGATTGAACTTGTTGTCCCTCAGGCAGGACGTAAACATTGAGGTTGTTGAAGTTTATGAACAGGTGGTGGTCATCGTTTAGAGAATGGTAGTATGCGGGCGATGACTTCCCTCTCCCTTGGAAGTACTCGCCACACACAAGACATCCGTATACGTTGACATTGGACAGTGTAACACTGCACAGTTTCTCAAAGTCAAAGTCAAGCTTCCTTCTGTTCACAGTATCGAGATACAAGCCATCCTCAGTCTCAGCTTTCCTTTTACCGGCCATTTTTCTAAACAGCGGACGTGGTTATGTAGCTAGAGAAGCCAGCAAAGGCCACTTCGGACGGTATTTGGAGAGTTTGTGCCCTCTAATGCGCTGGCGGCGGAGGAGGGGGGGGGTTGAGTCCGAAACGGCCAAACAGCGGAACAACGAGCCGAGTGGAGGACGCTGGTTAGAGGACGACGGTTAAAGGGCGCGGGCGCTGACGGCAGAGAGCGCTGGGCGGACTTAAGAGGTTGGCGTTAAATGCGCAGGGTAGGGCAGTAGGTTATGGACATTGTCTGTATACGATCCAGCTAATGAGTTGTGCTGTTGCGTTCACTTTCAGCTTAGATATCAATGGAGCCCGTTCAGCTGGTTATAGGCGGTGTAGTGAAAGAGAGGCCTTAAAGTATAAGTTCTTATAACGCTGTAACTGTTGCTATTGTAGCAGAATTAGTTCGGCTTTAAGTTGTGAAGGACATCACAGCACTTGCCGAACGCTGAAGTGGCCGAAAGCCTGTTATCTCCTAACGGTCTTCGATAGACAATTTTAGAACAACGATTGGTTCCGTCTGGGAGAAAGTAACATTGAAAACACGCCAGCGGTAGTGGTTGTGTTGCTGTGCGGTCCCCGTATAACAAAATGGGTCCAGTGGTTCTAGAAAGTGATGTCTTCTGCAGCTGGTAAGATGTTGTCAGTGTCGCCAAGACAACGTAGATCAATCTCAGATGATAATAACTAGCTTAGATCGCTCTCAGCGAGTTAATTCCAGACCTAGCCCTCATGGTTGTTTCGTCAGAGGTGCCTATCCAAAGAGACAGTGTAAGCAATAGATTACAAAGTATGAACTGTGGGAGGCAATTCGTGAACGAGATGAGTCGGCCGTTATTGCAATGTACTCGCTGTGACCCAGAAGTCAGGTATAAGCGACGATCATGACATGATGAATTAATGAACATTTCATCTTGGTAATTGATGCCAACTCTGACCCTCGAATCAAACACTGTCGTAACACTTCACCAGTGGAGCTCATGATCAGAACTAGCGTTAAATATCTGGGAAAGACATGGAGTGTTGGCTATGCCTTAACTCAGTGCAGATTTGCCTATTACTTTATTGACTGGGATCGAAAATCAAGATCAGTAGGACACATAGGAAGACATACAGAAATGTCTGTCCCACCTAATCGGCTAGTTATCAAAAGCAAGTGGAGAAAGTGGGTAGAGAGAGAGGACCACACGAAGTCTTTAACCTTTATGCCTTGGATTGAAACGTCATCCGTCAAACAGTTATATAGTGCACTGTGGCCATCCCTCGTGTATATAATCTACAAACACTGTGAATAGTATCCCGAGCTCCAAGATGCTGATCAAAAATGCACCATGAATCAAGATCTCGAGATTGCTACAGTTTGGAGCTAGGACTCTCCCAGCCAAGACATGTATCAGTGAGCAAAACATATCACATACAACATAGCCTATCGTGCTTTTTATTAATCAGATTAGATAATTATATACACATGTTCCAAGTCATTAGCGGGGCGAGGGGGCTCTTAAATCCAAGCCACTCATTCAGTAGGTTGTTCATGATGACAATGTAACGTAGGTACCGAGAGGGTCCATGGTGTCTTTTCAGATCTAGATCCAAAATTTAAAGTTCCAGTACTGCTCGTGCCATGGGCAGATGACTTAGATTTAGCCTTTTGTATTTGGCTGTTTAAAATAATACGCCAAGTTCAGCACTTCCAACTTGCTCATTGCTTTCAGCTTGGGGCTAGACATTGTTGACCAACTGTTAACGCATAATAATCAGGTGGAGCATTTGATAACTAAGACAACCCTGGAATCATGCAGAAGTAACAAGTAAACCAAAATTCAACGCTCCAACCAACACAGAAACATTCAATAGTAAACGATATCAGTAACTGCCAGCCAAGAAAGAACACCGACGCTCCTCTTCAACAGTATCTGACCACATCCGATCGGAAAACTGGACTGAAGCTGAACCAGCTTGAAAACGCTCCTGCGTAACATCTAATCACATTTCAACCATCGTATCATGGTCTCAAATTGATTTTAAAAACTTGGCTTTTTACACCATGAAAGACCAAAGTTGCAGATTAGAAGTACACATAAGTGTATTGAGGACCAAAGAGACCATAGTTTGTGACATATTCCATTACTTCTTTGTCCAGCTGATATTGCTGCAAACTCTGTCTCAGCGTGGCTGACAAACTTACGGCTGAATAGTTTTGTAGCCTGAGCAGCTGGTTCCGATGATCAGCCATCCCATGAAGAGTAGAGCGCTCCAATTGGTAATTTGTCCCAGCGTTGCAGTAAATTGTGTGTCTATAAAACTTGTGGGAGTAAGGGCCGTCCTCTTCGGTAAAATAGCGCAAGGTGGGTAAAATTCGAAATTATAAGTTTTACGAGGAAATTATGCAGACCTCTTTGCTGGTTTGGACGTACGATGTGCATGTAGGATGCCAACTTGTCCATGCCAATCTTTCAAAGCCCCAGAGATCTCCTTAAAAGTTACAACCTTTATGAGTTATTTTAGACAATAGAATTGGTTTCTGAATTATGTTGCTAAGGTGTAGGCTGCATCCCATTGACCGATTTTCTGCGATGTATGCCAGCCCTACTGGTCTCATGAGCAGATATGCCATGTAGTTGGACCTTGAGAAGATCGACATACTTCTTAGTTGCTGCTTCAAGGTACGATTTCTGGAAATTGAATGGCCTACGTGGTGACTGTACGGTTAATGGACACCCATGGTATTGGATACAGAGCCGTTAAAGAGCTGATTGGTACACAGTCAGCTCTAACTATGGGAATTGCTGCGTTCAACATTATGAAGTCCCCGTCTTCGGGCCCTTCAACTGCATCAAATAGTAAGGAGACGTATACAGTGACCATCGCCTTCCGATGACAAATGTCAAGAAAGCAATCAAAGAGCTAGTCAATTTGTCAGAAATGTTACGATAAAGTGAACCTTTGACGCTCCTTTTGGCCCTCGTTTGAAGTAGTGCGAGTTTAGTTGCCAATTAATAATCGTTTACCTTGAATTGATCATCAAAAGCAGCCCTTTGTGTGCCGGGGGGGGGGGTGGAAATTCTGCATCATGTGCTACATCTAATCCTAACGGTGCTTGTTTATCTTTTCATGCTAGATACTCATGGTGATATAGCGATTATAGCATCTTATAGAGGACACCAACCGAGTGAATCTTGATATTATTAAGCAACATTTGTAACTGTAGACGGCTTCCAGTTGCTTGTACAGAGTCAAATCGTCGCTGTAGTGATCTGCTGTAGTAAATACACGCCTTTGTTAATGTGGTTGTATCTTACTTCATACATAGGGAACTCCCACATCTAGACATTTGTCAAGGCCAAGTGAATGGGAACCTGGACAGCGTTCAATGTAAGATGTATACAGATGGCATGATACCAGTGGGCACCTTACATGTATAATCTCGTGGCACCAATCTTGAACTGTACATATCCACATATGCACCAACTTCAGAAGCATTACTAAACCAATACGGTGATCAATGATTTGCCATCGTGTGTTGACAAGCGAGAACTTGTTAACTGGACAATATAATCACAAAGTATATCAACTATGGTGAACCGTACAACCAATTCGTTAATACAAGTGTTGCTACCAATATGGGAACCGACGTTGCTGGAGGTCCCCACACCCCCTCGGCTTTGATGTATTACATTATGTGGAAAAGTATGTCAAATGTACGATAATCGTGAGACAAATTCATGGCAAATATTCAAATGGCGGCTGATGAAGCTCAAACCCCAAACACCAAACATTTCCATAGTATTTAAAACTTTCGACCGCTTCTACTGAATGAACGGTCATTGAATCTGGAATCTCAATCTATATTGCTAAGTGATAGCCCATGAATTTACGCCTACATGTACCTACACAAAGCCTTTGCATTTGAACGAGGAACGATTGTTAATGACACAACTTTTTTTTATGACATACATACCGTGCGCTATTATAGTTGAGCTTATGGTTCATCAAGCTTCACACATAATAACCCAAATTGTGCCCTTCCTTTTCGTACTGGCTCTTTCCTGCTACACTCAACAAAAGACCGGAGAAACGTTGCAAAGATACACCCAGGATTCCATGTTCCACACAACTCTTCCCTCATCTCGGAAGGTTGCAAAATCAGTCTTCTGTAAAACGCTCGCCATTTTACGTTGAAAAAACCGCTTCAGTTCTACGACAAACACTCCCGTGTCCCGTCGCTCCCACGGGCACCTCACGCCGACTCTAAAACCCGCTTAGAGTTTTTAAACCTTTTTAATTGTGCGCGGCACACGCTCCAGCGCTTGGCCGATTTTTCGTTTTAGTCAGAAAACAGAAGAAGAGCTGCGGTGTGTTTAAGCTTTCTTTGGTTAGCGCCGCAAGTTGCGCTTTTCTCATGAAGTACCTCGACGGAACGGTTTTGTTACTTCCAGGGCTGATCGTTAGGTTTGACGCAAGTGTACGTTTTGGGAAATACATCATGATGAATCCATGAGGTATATATATAGCCATTAGATGCCATCTCACCTGGTTTTTCTGGCCCGTAATATGTGGATAGTGTTTGTGTCAATTCTTTTTTGTTACGGGGGTTTTATGCAAAGACACCCCACCGCTTAGGATATACACACGTACTACAAACAGATGAAACTCAGAACTATGCCTGAAACCGCGGATAAGCAGCAATCACAGCAGCACCAGCACGGGAAGAAGCGTGTGTCAAAAGCATGCGACTGCTGTAGAAAGTCCAAGACTAAATGTGACGGTCAGAGACCATGCTCTCGTTGTTTACAGGACGGGAAGATCTGCACTTACATGACGAAGAAGAAAGCCGACCAGATGTACCCTGCTTCATACGTGGATTTACTTGAGACCAGAGTGTCTATACTGGTTCAGTCGCTGAACGAATTGCTGCAGATTTCCAAACGATCATCTGCTGAGCTCCACAACTTTTGTTCACATCCAGATTTGCTGAATGAAGATGGTGAATTTGATATCAACAAAGTCATCTGTAATTTGCTGCCAAAGGAGAAGCTTGATAACCTTGCCGAGTCGTCTCAGGATTACTCCATCGACCAGATTACTCATGTCTCTGGCACCACAAGCTCACGGGATTTATCAGGCTCCTCTTCCCCCAAATCTCTAGGAGCACATTCTTCACTGGCTAAAGCCCGCCGTAACTCTGATAACCATGTTCACAAGATACCGGTAAAGTCTAACAAACATCATGATAACTTGTCGTCGGCTTCGTTACAATCTCGTCTGAGTATCACTACAAATGCAAGTAATACTGGGAACTCAACGGCAACAACCACGCCGCCCACTTCATCAGACTCCCCCTTAAGCTCAACGTCATCGTCTCTGGACATATTCAAACAGCCAAAGAAGGTGTCAGCTGCTTGGGATTCACTGCTATACCCACATCACGATCCATTACAAGAATTGGACCTTGACAGCATAAATTTTAGTGATTCCAATACCACTTTAATGAGCCCCGTCTATTCTTTTGACGATAACATGGATTTGGGCTCTGCTACTTTGGATTCAACATTGAGCGATGTCTTCTCAAAGCAGAATGTTGGTACTCAGGGGCAGAACTCCTGTAATGTCAATGCAAATGTGTTTTTACCAAAGGGCTCAGCAGTGACCACAATTACCTCAGATTTGCCAATTAGACCGGTTGGTGACTGGCAATTGACCGAGGACATGTTCTGAGATCCTTACGGTCTCCTTTAGGCGCTAGCCTCTATTCTACATATTCATCATGCTTTTCTCTTTTCTTGTTCTTTGATCGTTCTATCGATGTTCTTTATTTTCGAACAACCCCCTTCACTACAGATTAATGGTTTGCCGTATGTTCCCAAATGTGAATATGCGTCTCAGGTGCTATCGTTCTAGTGGACGATGGTGGCTTTTGTTGAAGGGTTTCCACTGCTTTTATGACGATGACCTACTGACGCTCCTTTCTATTATTGTTTCTTTTGAGTTGTGCCTGCTAAATAATATGGATGCTACTGGCGGGTTTCCATGTTCAATAGGAACAACCACACAAACTAATACGTATGTACTTTGAATTATGATATTGACGTTCTGATTTAGTTTTTGTCATTGGTGGTCTCAAGTTTTACCTGCTAATTATTGTAGCTCTAGCTTTGTCAGACGAACATACAAGTTGATCAATGACAGATATGGTGATGATGCTTATGTGGCTATATCGTGGGACGAAGTAGTTAGGGGCGAACTTCTGCACCTGCAACTTGCACATTGTTGATGTCATTGAACAGTGCATGCATTGATCAAGTGTTTGATATGGCTTTGAGAGGACTCTATAGGAGACGTATTCACTTCGTTTATAGCCTTCATTGTACCTAATTGCAATCCAGCATCCGTTGCAAAATGAGAGTCAAGCAGACAATAGGGTTTGCTTAGAGACAGCGTGTTCGAAGCAGCAGCGCAACTGAATTTTGATACATCAGACATGGTACAACACTGGATATTCCATGACTCATAGCCGGTCGATTGGACGCAAGTTAAGATACGCATGTATGAAAAGATTGAGACCTGTGCAAAGCGTTGCTCTTAGCTGTGGGACCAAAGTCATTTTCAGAAGAAGATCCGCTTACATACCATTGCACTCGTACTCATCTTTTCACTTGCACGACCATCTGATGCTTAGTGTATACTGTCCACTAGTCATTTCCAGGGTCCCAAGGCTCAAGGCACGTACCACACACCGTAACGTCATCTCTCATGGCCCACAATACCACTAGTTATGGTCTGGTTGCATAGATTTAAGCCATAGTGAGGCACCAGATTTCACAGAACCGTGGCTTTCACTGTTTCAAAAGTACAGAGGCACTCTAGAGCTTCTCCTGTAGCTGATCTTATAATGAAGCCCTGTTGAACCAATAGGAAAAACACTCACAAGAATAGCCTTGAAGTATTTTAACCCACGTGCAAGTCTATCGAGAATTCACCAATGGAAAGATACACCTTGTGAACATCTATTGGCCACAGTCCAAAGATGAATTGTCTGATTCTGTATGTAGATGCAAGCCTCAACTTTGAGCCATGGGCATATGGCGCTAGCAAAGGTGGGAGGTGTAGAGAATCCTGGACACCGCGTTCAGTGCAGATGACCATGAATTGGAGTAGTTACCACACCAACCGCACATAGACCACTCTGGATATTATTAAACAGGAAGTTACACTTAGTTCAACTAGCATAAGGCTAGCCGTGCAGCTCTCGAGCTTCACGTCTAGACCAAAGTGTGAGGCTCTAGTTCAATCAAAGTAAGTGAGCTCTCATATCCCGCTTCTCGCGAGGAAGAACCACAGACTTTTGTTGTGGCTGTTTATTCGCAGCCATCATTCTGTGTACTTAAGGTGGTGCTGTTTGTTTACTTCATGTTGGACTTGGAAGGAATAGGAGAAATCTTTACAGTCTCTGGACGTCCTCTTCTACCCACTCTTGGCTTCGGCACATGACGACGTGGCAATAACTCTTGATGCTTTTGGGTACAGCCTTGTTTGTTATTGTTGTTGTTGTTGTTGTTGTTGTTGCTGCTGCTGTTGGATAACCCCCCACTTTCCTCTGATTGTGCGTTCTCACAGTCACATGCCGCAGATGCCTTATGAAGCTTCAGAAGTTCAGAAGCAAACACACTTGGATCCGGATCCTGGGTCCCCCAAGAAATCTTGGATGTTTGAGTAGAATCAGGACAATCTGTATAACCGGGTTCTCCTAAATCGTACTCTATTTCAGCCCATCGATCAGATGTAGGCGCAATCCTCAAATTATCACGGCTTCTATTGGCAATCATTGCCGTACCGGTAGCGTGCGGAATGCCCTTCAGACTTCTCATCGCCATCTCTTCGTTCTTGCGAGTCACCTGTTTCGAGACTGCCTCAGCTGTTGGAGTGGCTTGATGGTGCTGGTTCAACAGTGTTGCAGGTGACGGAACCATATCACCAACACTCAATACAGAACTGTGACTAGAGTTGGTGGACTTGGCCTGATCTTGAAGTCTTGGAGCGGTTGTACCAGAAGATGGTTTGGATTTACCACTTCCTATTATTGAGTGGGTATCACTTCCCCTAGGGGAGATTTGACTGAGAGACGTGATCTGTGTTGGTTTGATACCGGTACGTCTCTTCGATGGAGTATGGAGCCTACTCAGGCCAACTCTTCTTCGCACTCTTGATGCAGCTAGTGTCGGTGTCAGTGTTTGTGAATCACTAGCCATATCGGACATGCTCACAGGAGAATTATGTGATTGTGACTTGCCTCGTGCAACGTTGAGCGCTTCAGCCTTTGTGATCTTCAACACACCAACGCTGTTCCCATTTTGATCAATATTCTTTGAAGGCACGACGTTCCTCTTGAATTCACACAAAATGGAATCTATCTGAACCAGGACACCCCCAACTTTGATGAAATCATCCCATTTGCTTTGATCTGAGAAGTCTGCCTTCAACATGAACTGTTCTGTAACGACGATGCCATCCTCTGACAACACTTGTACTTTATCGTTGAGCTTATAATGCCTCAGCTTTCCATCGATCCATTTCTTGAGTTTCTTCCTTACATCGTGTGTGAACAAAACATTATACTCGAGGATCCGTGATTCGATCGCCTGGGACATGCTCCGCTCAGTCGGCCATGTGTGTTACTCGCAATGCCCTTGTAGGGGTTTCAGTCTATGCGCAAGGTGATGTCCGGTTGTGGTTTTGGACTTTTTTGCTTGGTGTTAGGGTTTTGGCTGGGAGCTCTGAGATTGTTAGTCGCACGCCGCGATGAGCTGGGGGGTAGCAACGGGCCTGGGAGCTCAGTTAAACGGAACTGAGCGTGGCTGCACTGACCTGAAGAGGTGCCAGTTAGTCTCCACCCGCCTATCTGTTTCATCCAGCTTGACAAGACACGGACAGGCTCGAATTCTACGTAGCGAAGCAGTGAAATTTCGCCTCTAAACCTCAACTGCAGCCTAATAACCTCAACGGAAAAACTAGCTTGAGGCAGGGAGCACGGTACGAACCCGAACACCCAGCGAATGCTTCCGGGGGGAGATGAGCAGACCATGCGCATGTGGGCAAATACCTCCCCCACTACCCAGTGCAGTGCGTACAACGGTGATAAATCTTGTTCCTACTCAGCAAAGCTCTCAACCTCTAGTTCCATCCTGACCGAAGTCCCTCTGGGGTACGGGAATAAGAGCAGAAACGTTTTGCAGCTCCTTTCCTCAAGCGGCCTTTCAACAGCGTGTGCACCTGGCCACGTCGTCATAGACAAAGCACACGAAACCAAATTCGCGGACCGCAACAGCGACATTTCTACGGAAAACGGTGGACCTTTTTCCGCTTTTGCAAAACACAGGGAGAAGAGGCACAGTTTACACGGAGGAGGTTGACTTCCAAAAGAAATCAGAGAGAGAGTATAAAACCATCGGTTGCCACCATCTTTTCATAAAACCCCGAAAAACACGCCAATACGTTATATCCTTTTAATTTTTAGTTGATTTGAAATTCAAAGGAACATCCCCTCATACTCTATAACTATGTCTGCTAACTCTCTTGAACAATTGAAAGCTGCTGGTACAGTCGTTGTCACTGATACCGGTGAGTTCGAGTCTATTGCTAAGTACACCCCACAAGATGCCACCACAAACCCATCTTTGATCCTTGCTGCTGCTAAGAAGGCCGAGTACGCACAATTGATTGACAAGGCTGTCGAATACGCTAAGGGTAAGGTGTCTACCCCAGCCGAGCAAGTTGACCTTGCCTTGGACCGTTTGCTCGTGGAGTTTGGTACCGAGATTCTTAAGATTGTTCCAGGCAGAGTCTCCACAGAGGTTGATGCCAGATTGTCATTTGACAAGGATGCCACGATTAAGAAGGCTTTGCAAATCATTGACCTGTACAAGGAGGCTGGTGTTGACAAGGAGAGAATCCTTATCAAGATTGCCTCTACTTACGAGGGTATCCAAGCCGCCAGAGAGTTGGAGTCCAAGTACGGAATCCACTGTAACTTGACCTTGTTGTTCTCCTTTGCTCAGGCTGTTGCATGTGCCGAGGCCGAGGTTACCCTTATCTCTCCATTCGTCGGTAGAATCATGGACTGGTACAAGGCCAAGACCGGTGAGACCTACACTGGTGAAACCGACCCAGGTGTGTTGTCCGTTAAGAGAATCTTCAACTACTACAAGAAGTATGGTTACAAGACTATTGTTATGGGTGCATCTTTCAGAAACGTTGATGAGATCAAGGCCCTTGCCGGTGTTGACTTCTTGACCATCTCCCCAGGTTTGCTCGAAAAGTTGATGACCTCCACAGAGCCAGTTCCAAAGGTGTTGGATGCTGCTGAGGCTGCCAACGTTGACGAGGAGAAGGTCTCTTTTGTCGACGATGAACCAGCTTTCAGATTCTCCTTGAACGAGGATGCCATGGCTACCGAAAAGTTGTCTGAAGGTATCAGAAAGTTTGCTGCTGACGCTGTTACCTTGACCAAGGTGTTGGAGGAGAAAGTTGGTGCTTAAATTGAACTAAAACAATGGGAATAGGTTTATAATTTTTTTTTCGTTAATTATATCTTCTGCGGGTTTCAAGACAGATCCAGAAACAACAATGATTTCAATAACGTGGTCCACTTTGTAGTTGCCATATTCTATAGCAGATACAAATGATTGAAGAGTAAGCTGGCGAGATGTTTAGCCTACCATGGGTGCGCGTACCGTCAATGTCCCGCCCTCTCTTGCTCTGTTGCGATCTGAAGCGATGCACGGAAGAGAACTCTCACGTTTTTAACCATGAACGTATCCTTAAGTACGCTATAGACCATTGAACACTGTGACCATGTCTTGGTTCCGGAAGAAAGCAGAGAAGCGCATGATCACTGTAATGGCGTCGCACTCCTATGATTCGGAGCCCCAAATAGTTCCAGTAAACAGTGAAGACCCCATCACCATCTCATCCACCATTGCCGATGTTCAACTTTGCGTTAGGATTAGAGGGTTCAACGGTTCACCTAAACACGACCCGCCCTTGAAGGATTCGCCTTACTTCCAGTATTGCGAAGATCTCAATATCTCAATTCAATTTAGCTTTACCCCCAAGGAGGACATAAACGGGGAGGACTTGCTCTTTGGGAACGATTTTGACACTTCGATTGGCGATTTCTTACCTTATGGTGCCGGGACCGCTCTCAAGTTGTTCAAGAGGTTTGTTGACCCGAGCGTAGAAGGAGATTTGTATTGCCCTAAGCCTTACCTCTATGGCAAGGCTTTGAGCTCTTTAAACGTGATTAACGATAATGCTGGAGAAATAGACAAGGATGTCTGTTCCAAACCCATCGAGGAAGTTATAGATTTGTCCAACATCGTCACAGATGGCTCAGTGCTTCAGCCCAGCGATAGACAGGTGTTTTTCCAAAAGAAGGAGAACTTGGAAAAGTTCACGTTTGAGAAAGGTCGAACTTATCAGTGCGATTTCTTCTCTGGGTTCTTGAGCTTGGAGGATTCGAATATCAAGATTGCGTTCCCAGGGTTCCAGCTGGACCTGACACCTTATTTGAACGATAAGTTCAACCGGATTAGATACGTTTTAAAAGTCGCTGGTAGCAGTTGTGAGGGTGTTGATTGCGGCACCCCACTATTGGTGTTAACATCGATTCTTGAAGTTGATGATAGAGAGACGGATACGGATGGCGATGATAGATGAGGCCAGTACCAGGAAGGCGCTATGTTAGCCTAGAGCCCAGGCGGAGACCACTTGACGGAGAATACATATCCTGTATAGATCAGGAATTGATCTCGTATAGCTGCATAGCATTCTCTTAATTCTGATCTACATATTGACAGCTGTCCAACGCCAGCTTGTGCAAGTGCCAGTAGTATAGAAGTCATGCACTCCGCATTCGTCACCTTCTAAGGCCCAAACTGTAGACAGTGACTGGCCATAAAGCTGATGGAGCTACAGGTCGATGTCCGATTCGTACGTGCCACACATGAAGTATTGAAAGGTGTTTTTTTTGTTTTTTTGTGTCAAACGCATCGCACTTGTTCCGTTGGAAGTTCTTCCGAAGGATTCTCGAAATCCTATTGGCTGACAGCGGGCGGAGACAGTAGATCGTGATTCCTGCCAGCACTAAAACAATGTCACCCAGAACAGCAAACGGAACGCAAGGAACACTAAACTTTCCTCCTCTTTTTAAGTATATATAGCAACGAGTCATCGGCCATCTCCTGAGTCATCAGGGCAGGGACCCTCAATGGACCTTCTATCCTAAAACCGTGCAAGTGTGGAACCATATGTCCAAATAGTTTGCAATGTTCTTCTTGCTAATTTTAACCCTGTGCGGTGATTTTTTCCTACTTGAAAGCCAAGCGAGCAAGACCGCAACCGGAGTTTTTGATCCGTGGGGAACTTTGGATGAGCTTCTGTGATGCAAAACGTATGTGGCGTCCCCCATGAAAACACGGCAGCGTTCACGTTAAACCTGGTCAAGCCTCAACTGGTTCTAATGGGACAAAATTTTTGTTGAGAGCTTAGGATCTACACGCCGTCAACCATCGTCTATTGCAGTGAGAAGTTGTTGATCAAAGACCTAGTCATCAGAGTGTTCGCCTCAGCTGATTTGCTCAAAGGTGACACCCTCATTATCAGGAAGACGTTTATAGTGAAGCACTGTTCCTGTCGTTATGGCTGATGATACTCTTTATATTACACCGCACGAGGCGGCGCTTGCTGTTGTGGCTACTTCGATGAAAAAGGCCAGATTGAGACTGGATACACTTATAGTGAATGCCATCGCTGCTGGCATCTTGTTCTCTGCCGGTGGTATGTTAGCGCTGCTGTCAGAAGCTGAGAACCCGGTGCTCATGAATACAAATCCAGGTATTGTCCACATGTTGCAAGGTGCAATGTTTCCCATCGGTCTGTTCTATGTTGTGATTATGGGTACAGAGCTGTTCAACTCGAACATTCTATACTTCACAGTTGGCGTATGCCGTGGTGCTGTGACTATAGTTGATTTACTCATCTCGTGGACCGTGACTTGGTTCATCAACTTGGGAGCAACGCTCTTCGTCGTGTACGTCATTTGCCACTGGTCAGGAGTCACTCAATCAACGCTTTTTGTCGAGGGCTCTATAAGATTAGCAAATACAAAGATGAGTGGGAGCTTCGCTCAGCAGTTCATAAGGGGTTGTGCCGGTAACTTTTGTGTTTGTCTTGCGGTTTATTTACAGCTGCTGGCTAAGCCAGTTCATGTTAAGTTCTTCTTGATGTTCTTACCGATCTTTACCTTCGTCACAATGGGGTTCTTTCATTGCGTTGCAGACATGTTTACAATCCCAGCGGGGATGTTTAACGGTGCAGATATCACGGTTGGCCAATATATACTGAAAGGCTTATTTGCAGAAACTTTGGGAAACATAGTTGGAGGAGCAGCATTCTCTATACTTATACCGTTTTACCTACACTTGGTTGTTGTTGAAAGAGATAGAGACCAACTGAACTTGCCAAAGTATGAAGTTAAAGATGAACAACCTGAATTGCAATTCGATTCCAGAGTGGTTAGAGTACCAACTCCTTCGGACTCATCCACTGATTCTTCAGAGGAGAATGAAAAGGATGAGGATGTTAACCCAACAGCTTATAGACCTGACGATGAAGAAGAAGCTGTCCAACATCAACTTCTAGACAGACGTCTGAGCAAGACGAGGACGATGGATTCTCGTAGAAGCTCAAGATCAAGAACTTCGTCAAAACTAAGATCACCACCAGGTGTTTTCCCTGTCATGGGAATGGGTAAGCCGTTGTACAAGGAATCAGAAATTGCAGGAGAAGCACCTAGAAGTTTGGATGCGGAAGTTGAAGGTGATTATCCACAGTCGTTGGAAAGTGAATCGATAGCATCTGGCGCCAGTCTTAGAGAGATACAAGAGGACGAAGAAAGGGAGTATAACGGCTATAATGCTCGTGCAAACAGTATGGGTGGAACTCTATTAAGAGTTATGACCCATCGTCCAGCTCCATCAACAAACCATAGTGATTTGGAAAGAGGGTTGAGACCAGTACAATCAGCTTCGCAACCTCGTAAAGCAAGTTCTGGAGCCTCACTTTTCAGAACACTATCCAGAAGCATAACATCTATATCTGGTAAACATGACTCTGCAAGGGATATTGCAAACAATTTACAAAAATATGGGGTCACTCCTCATGCTGCTAGAGCATCAGACAATATTGCAGGCATGGACAATTACAACATGAGAGACATGAGAAGGGCACACGCTGAACCATCTGAGAGAAAAGAAGACGCACACAGTTCGAGAAGAAACTCCAGTAACCCGGATCGTCTAAGTCCAAACACTTCAAGAATTGATACGGAATTGGCACCAAGAGAGTCCGATGAAGATAGAGAGGATGAACCTTCAATAAGGTCCTCAGAAGACAGCGAAACTGATGATCCTTCGGGAAAGACACTGGCCTAAGCTTTGGTCCATGACCTAATGAACTTACACAAAATACAGAACAACTACTTGCATCAGTATAGACTACGATTTTCTTTTATATTCAGGAATCATAAATCTATACAACTTTGATTTCAACACCGTAAGGACGTAGAAGTGTATCTTGCCTATAACTTCATATAGGCACTATTGGCTACTCACGACGCGAAAACGGTGCGACGCGAAAGTGTATGACGCGTCCGGAGCAAAGAGGCAAAAAACACATGAAAACAACATCAGAATTCCTTGAGTTGTCTTGCGATACTGTTTGAGAAACGACATACACGAAGGATCCAATGACAACGAGCAGCAGTGCGAAGTTGAAATTCAACAAGAGTATCATTAGCTCTCCAAAGGACACCATTTCCTTGAAGGAGTTGTTAGAGAGATTAGATGTATGTAGAAGGATTCATGTGGTGCTTGTTATCTTTCATTTTGACTAACACAGATATAAGACTCTTTCTACTGAACTTTCCAAGGTCGACCAGGATAGGTTCAATGTCAAGTCTTTGGATAAGATCAAAGATGATCTAGTGAATAAGAAGTTGCTTCATCACAAGGACAACGGAGTTCAGTCGCTCGTTGCTTGCTGCATCTCTGATATCCTAAGGATCTATGCACCAGTTGCCCCTTACACGGATACTGAGCTCAAAGACATCTTTAAGTTATTCATCAAGATGTTCAAGAAGTTGGCCAATCCTGAAAACGGTTACTATACTCAGCAAGTGTACTTGATTACCAGAGTAGCGGAGGTGAGAAGCATTATCCTCACCACTGATCTCGAGGATGGCCCTTCTCTCATTGAATCAATATTCGAGCTGTTTTATGACCAGTCGAACACTTTTAACAAAAAATTGGAACCTATAATTTCTGACATTATGATTGATATATTCTCTGAGTGGGATCAGATCACGACCCCCGTGTTGAAGCTCATCTTGAACAAGTTTTTAACAGCTTCTAAGAACGCAGGTGCTGTCACTTCAAGCTTGACGTCTTCCGCTGCCCAAACTTTCAACTTTACACTCAACATTTGTAATGCAAACCCAGACAGACTGACCAGACAACTGACAAAGTTCTTCTCTGAGACCATATATGAAAGTGTGGATGAAGGGCCTGAGATTGATTACAAAAAGCTGACAAAGTTGCACAACCTGGTTGTTCAGATTTGGAAGAATGTTCCTGAGATCTTGGGTTCTTTGATGGGTCTGATGGATGATGAGCTCAATGCGGATAATGAGAAGTATCGCGCACTTGCAACTGAAGCCATTGGCAAGATATTGGCTTCTCAAGCTCGTATCAACTTTGTACAGGTTCACAAAGAGACATGGAACAACTGGATGAAGAAGACACTGGATATATCTCCCTTGGTTCGTATCACATGGGCTGAGGAGGCTTCTGCCATATTGAGTGAAAGGGCAGATATTCTAACAGAGGTCTCTAATGGGTTGTCTAAGACCTTAATCGATACTGACGAACGTGTAAGACTTGCAACCATTAAAGGCCTTTCAAAAGTACCTGCTGATGTTTTAGTCAGAAAGGTCAACAGTAAGACAATATTGAACAGCTTGATTAAGCTAGCGAGAGAGAAACATGGCGAAATTAGCGAGGAATCAATCAAGATACTTGGCTCATTGTATCAAAACTCATACGCAGACCTTTTCAACAGCAGTGATGAGCTTAATGAAACACAAACCATTGTGAAGCAGATTCCTTCTCAGATCTTGAACCTGTTCTACATCAATAATAAGAACATCAATTATCTTGTTGATACAACTCTTCTAGGAAGTATCTTACCACAAGAGCTCGACGACAGTACAAGAATCGAAAGAGTGTTAAATGTTGTTGGTGATCTTGATGACCGAGCAAGAAGTGCATTTATTGCATTTAATAAGAGGCAGCAACAACTATCAAACGTGCTTGCAAAGTTCATTGAGTTTGCAGAAGCTAACAATGGAGAATCACCAATAAGGGATAAGGCTCTAGAGTCGAAAATTGATAAAACAATTGATTGGCTTGCAGTGGGTCTCAGTGATAAGTTCAATCCCCGTGAATCACTGGAGAGATTCATTGTAATCAACAACAGAAGACTTTACTATCTCACTAAAATCTGTATCTCTCATGACTCAGATTATGCTTCCATCATGAACTCTAGTAAGGAGCTTTTTCAGAGATTAGGTGATTCAAAGATCATCAACAGTATCAAGACAGAGAGCAAATTTCCTACTCAAGATATTCTCAATACGTTCAAGACTTTGATATTGAGATCAAGTTTGGTCTTTTTCAACAAGTCCAACATTGCACCATTATTGAAGTTCAGTGCTTATGAGAAGTTTGCCACAGTTGCACAGCAATTGATCAATGATATATCTGTAATCACACCAGATGCCTTCCAAAATCAGGTAGAGAAATTGGTGTTGGAGGTGAAAAATTCCAAACCTGGAACTGAACCACTTCAAGTGAATACTCTGAGGGCCTTGTATCACATTTATTTCAAACTTCAAGATGCCTTAGACAATGACGACAAAGCTTTCTTCCGCAAGCTCATGGAATTCGCCCAGAAGGGATCTCCATTGGAAGCACGGTACTCAGTGAAAATTATTTCCCTATCAACTAAGAAGGACGTATTTGATTATACGTTGTTTGAGAATGTATACCCTCTTGATGCAAAAGACAAGCAGTTGGCATCAAAGTTGGCATCCATTGCTGAGTTGTTCTTGACAGATCCCGATATTCCAGAGGAGAAAGCCAATGATATGACGTCCTTATTAATAAAGGATATTCTTTTGAAGAATAAGTCTAAGGGCAGACCAAGTGACCCATCTTGGGTTGAGGACTCGGACTTGGAAGCGGGCAAACATGTCAACCTATACTTGAAGCTTTTGGCACTGGAAATTTTCACAAATAGACTCATATCTTTAGACAAGTCGAAAACTGAAACCGAAGAGAACATCAAATCTATCGCAGGAAACGTTCTGAAACTTCTTGTGTCATTGATTGGTAATGGTGGTGAGATTGTCAATTCAAAATCATCTACTTATCCGACTCCAAAGTTCTACCAGACAAGATTAAGGCTTGCTGCAGGATTGAATCTACTTCAATTAGCAAGGATTCCAAGGTACAACAGGTTGATGGATTCAATGATGATTGAACGGGTTATCCTTTTGATCCAGGATGAAAATGAAAGAATTCGTTCGAAATATATCCGCACCATCACAGATTCCCTTAAGAAGGAGGAGATTTCACTCAAGTTCTTACCAACCGTCTTTTTCAGTGCATTCGAGCCCAATAAGAGCTTGAAGGAAGAAACTAAGACTTGGATTAGATCAACATATAGTAGAAGACATCACACTTCATTCAACGACATTGTTTTTGAAAAAAGTATTACAGGTCTGATCTATTCAATTGCACATCATGCAGAATTCATAGAATATATGGACACAACGCCAGATGAGGATGAGGATGAGGATGATCATATTGTAAAGGCGTACACATTTGCCTTGGAGTACATTACTTTCTTCCTCGACACTGTTGCCAATGAGAAGAATGTGTCTTTGATATACTACCTAGCTGCCAGGGTCAAGCAATACAGAGATATCTCCTTTACAGATGAGCAACTCGAGAATAATGTTGATGCTGCTTCTCATATCTATAAAGTTGCTGACTTGACCTTGATGGCAATCAAAGAACTGCAAGATTGTAAAGGCTGGACTCTTCAAACGTATCCTGGCAAAATCTTACTTTCATCAGAGTTGTTCAAGCCAATGAAGGACGTCGAAGAAGGTCAGGATATTGTTTCAACCAGTTTTATCTCTCACAATGTTGCTCAAAGAATGAAGGCTATTGTCAGACAACGTGTTGCGTCCATATCTAACCAAAAGAGAATCAGAAGCACGGCATCTTCAGAGTCAGGCCATGGAACAAAGAAGGTAAGAACTGTAAAGTCAAAGCAAAAAACATACAAACGCAAGAAGTCATATAACGATTATGATGATGCTGATGAGAACGATGATCTTTCAGAAACCGATGGAAAGACTGTAAAGGAACCATTGAGAAAGAGTTTACGTGTTGGACGTATAAGCTATGTGAACCAGGTGAAACCGTATGAAGAAGGCGAGGGAGAAGATGATGACGAGGAAGAAGATACCGATGACTAACAAATTATTACTACAATTGCTTTAATGATGATGTAAAATGCATATTGGTTATTTATCGTTCACCCTCGTGTTTTTTTTCTTGTAGTAATAAATATATCAACTCTTTAAAAACTCCAATAACTTCCCTTTACCCTTTAATGCTATAAGCCTCTTGATCTCTAAAAGTTCTTCAACTTCAAATTCAGATAGGCTATTAGAGGCCAATTCCTTGGTAGCAATTTTCGCAAGGTCTTGCAATTCTCCCTCTTTTAGTTGCACAAGTGATTTTATAGTGGCCTTTTCTTTCTTTTCGTACTTATCTGATGTAACCAACTTCTTCAATAGATCATTATTTTCCTTATTGATCTTCAGGTTATGAGTTATCATCTGCTGTATTTCAAGCGTTTTATTGGCTTGTACTTTGCCCAAAAAATCTAAAACGACACCACGTTCAGGAACCCTATGTACAGCAAATTCATCCCTCCAAAGCTTCAACTGTGTCTTATTAGGAGTGGCTGATATTCCATGGGGGACGTCTTCGTTTTCAAAGAAAGGTGGAGTTGGTATATGATGAAAGATTCCATCCTCGTCATCACTTTTCTCGAGTAGAATTTCGATGTTACCATCATTCTTAAATCCATGGACTTGGTCAACGTCGATGATATTTGGTTTCTTCAAGCGGCGATTCTTGTTAGACTCTGGCATTAGATGATCAGCATGATTGGGGCATTTCCATTTCGTTCCAAGTTGCTTTACGGTGGATAGAGGTGGATCTAAGCAATCCAGATGCCATGTCGAAGGGCAATATTCACAATTGATGATAGGTTTATCAACGTCACCCATGGTTTTGTCTGGAGAAATACCCGTGAGTCCACATTTCACACAGACCAAGACGTTACCGTCCTTATCGTAATGTAATTCAGGATTCGTCTGCTCAAAAGATCCAATCTTTGCAGGTCTATAAGGTTTGTAATCTGTTGTTTCGTACTCACCGTAGTGACCCGTCACAACCCCTTCGAATCTTTCCCTGATTCTTCTTGGTAATCTAAATTGTGTTGGATTTCTTCTTTCCAGTTGGTCCAACAATTTCGCAAACAGCCCCTGTTTATGAGGTTTTGGAGGGTTCTTCTTCGTATTGCATTCGGTGCATAACCATTCACCTTCTGGAAGATTCGATTCGTCAAACGGAGGATAACAACATGCAAAATGGAAAGATTTAGGACAGCCCTCACAACAGAGAAATATCCCAGGTTCACCACAAGAGGAGCAAAAGTCCTCGTTGTCCTTTGTAGGGTCTAAAACGTCGAATGCGTTCTCTCTCTTAGAACCAGCAAGTTGCATAGGGTTATTATAACCAAACGGATTTTCACGGCTCTTCTTTGGAGATGAGTTCTTGATCTTTCTCTTCTGTTGGGTATTCTTGCCCGTGATTGGAGAATGTGCGTGCCTTTTTCTTTGAGGAGTTTTCTCGATGGTGTCATTTGAAGACTCTTTCGATCTTAAGCTCCTAAACTTGCGGCCGTATATATCGGCACCATTCTTATCCACAGGCTTAGAAGAAGAGCGAATATGACTGGGTTTCTGTAGCCTTTCGTTAATCTTTGTCTTCAACTGATTTTGCAAGGCTCCCAAGTAGTCATCCTGTGATAGCGGAGTCACTGAGGATGATTCAGAGTCTTCCTCCCCAGTGATCGGCGTCGATGCCTTCGATTTCTTAGCCTTCTTCCTTGGCCAGAGGGCCTCTTTTTTAATCTTGGAGTTTGGCGGAGCAGCCAAAGGCAGTCCTGTAACGCTCATCAAAGGTTCGTCATTTTCAGGCTCGATGAAGGTCAGCTTACCTCTTTTGTCAATTGTGACCAGTTTGGAAGGCTTCTTGGAGACACCTGCTGGGAACGTGGAGAGCATGTCAACGTCCGCGGTGTCGAGATCTACAGGAGGGAGGTTCTTATTCTTCTTCAAAACAAGTTCCTTGTCTTTCTGCAGTTTCCTCTTCTTCTGCTGTTGTTTCCGTTCCTCCTCCTCTAGCTTAGCCTCCTGTTTTCTCCGTTCAGCATCCACCAGCCTGGACGAGTGCCTTTTCCTTGATTCCCTTGGTTCCTTCGGCTCCTTCATGAGCACAACAGAAGGAGATGTTGGTCTCGAACTTCTTCTCGACGTCGTATTCGAGGAACAAGGTGTAACAGACGAGTCGTCTGAAACGCTCTGAGCAATATGAGATGACACCATCGTGACAGAGGGCACAACTGGTGACCGAGATGACAAGTCTCTTCAAAATCAACAACTAACGACAAGTGGTATCAAAGCAGCCAAACCAACAACGAAAAACACACACCCAAAGAGAGAGAAAGCACACAACACACAGACACAGCCAAAGGGCAATTCACTAACACAGTCTCTTCACACAAGCACGGCCTTCAGAGCAGTTCAGCGAGCTCAATTGCGCAAGAGTTCAACAACTTCAAACAGCCGAAAACCAACGTCCTCTCTTGCAAAGGAATAACAATGTTGTTCTCAACGCGGTTTTGTGGTTTTCAGCCTATTTTTTTCGGGTTTTCAGCTTTTTTGTGTGATTGTTGTAGTAGGAGGACAAATTTTTACTGAGTGCCAGGGGAGGCTTCTGGGCTGAAGAGCTTTCCTTCACCAAGGTGAGATGCTCAACTAAAAGCACCGAATGATTGGCGTGAAAGGAAGAAGCTCTGTTATATAAGCAGTTAGGGACTACGGCGAGGAGTTCAAGTAGAAGAGGGCAAACAAACGAATAAAGCCCTAGCACATGTAGATTAGTTCTCCTTCTTAGCCTTCTTGACCTTCAAAGACGATGAGATGAGTTGCTTCAACTCATCGGACAGCTCAACGTCAGACTTGACCACCTCCTGGTCGAAGTCAGCGGAGGTGAACTTGACGAGACCGTTCTTGGTGATGGCGACGGTGACGTAGACTTGGGCGATGTTTTCACCATCCTTGTCCTGGTACATGTCGTATGCAATCATGGTGCCGTGGGTGCAGTTCTCTTTCAAACCTGTCTTACCCTTTGTTGGGTCGTCCAAGTTCTTGATGGAGAATGGGAATTGGGATGCCTTTCTCTTGATCTCGTTCAACACCAGGTGCGAAGATCTGAGCTTCAACTGGTACGAGTTACCGGTCAACTTGTAGATGGTGGTTCTGATCTGAGATGGCTTGACCTTACCTTCACCAGCAGTCATCAAGATGTCGAGACCGAACACTTGGCCAACTTCGAACTCGAATGGGGAAACCTGCGACTTCTGGTCATCTGAAGGATTTATAATGATCTCGTTTGGTCCGGTGAGCACGTTACGCTCTTGGTTATGGGAGAGCATACCTTCCAATGGCTTGACTCCGTATGCAGCAGCAACCTTGTCGACGATCTTGGTAACGTCGGTGTTCTTGTTACCTGGCTTGATCACTCTCAAAGCAGCCTCAGAGGCCTTGTAGGCAGCAGTCAACAAGTCAGCATTCTTACCAGTCACTGGAGCAGACTTAGACGAGCCAACAACAATTGTGTCTGACACGATGGAAGCAAAGCCATCAATTTGGGCACCGAGACGGATCTTGACGACATCGCCGTTCTTCAAGGTCAAGTTGGCGGCTTCGTCATCAGCAGAGATTGGGGAAAGATGGTCGGCAATGGCGTTTGGAGAGACAGAGGTTGGGAACGCAATACCTTTACTCTCAACCTTGTTCTTCTTGGAGTTGTAGATCTTGGAGACCTCCTCCTCCAAGAACTCATCACCGGCTTGACACAGGTCGAACACCTTTGCGCCCTCCACAGCAAGGGACTTGACGTGGGACAGAGCCTTGTTGGAAATCGAACCGGCGGTTCTGTACTTCTCAACAACGTCAGAGTTGTTGATTGAGTAGTCTGGCTTAGCAACTTCTTTGGTGGACATCGTACTTTAAACTGATGGGCTGGACAGTGCTGTTCGTGTGAGGGAAAAGAGAGGCTCTGAAGATTTTTTCCCTCGTCGTCGAAGCAAACCAAGGCCAACAAAATTCGCTGCTAGCAAAAATCAAAGGGCCCATGGGCACTCGAACAATTGCCAATGGCGTGGTTTATATACATAGAATTATTACTACATCGACTTCTTCTTGAGGCTATGTCTTTGTATATTAAATCTTAGCCAATTGGCCCTAGTTTCGATCAGTGGGATGCGCTTCAGTTGAAAATTTAGCAGTGGCTGTATCTTTCTGGGGCAGCCTAGTTTTCATGACTCAGTGCAGCGCTGGGCTGGAGTTTCCCCTTGGGACGGAGGTGGTGGTGGGAGCCCAGAAAAGAAAAAGTCCACCAGGCAGAAGGAGCTTCCCTTTAGCGCTCTTCACTGGACACAGCAGGCTCAATTGACAGAAAGATGACTGGTAGAAGATTCCTGTCCACAACAGCTTCTGCTTGTAACAAGTACGCAGCCTATGTTCCTAAGCAAGGCTCGTATCCAAAGGGGTATAAAGTCGGCGCCGTCTCCTCTGGCGTGAAGAAGAACTCGCAATTGGACTTGTCGCTCATTATCTCTGAGAAGCCTGCGTCTGCTGCTGCTGTGTTTACAACGAACAAGTTCAAGGCTGCTCCTGTCCAGCTGTCTAAGCTCGTATTGGAGCAGACCGACAAGGTTCAGGCGATTGTCATAAACTCTGGCTGTGCCAATGCAGTCACAGGCACTAAAGGACTGGCCAATGCTAAGGAGATTGTCCAAGCGGTTGACCAGCTCGTCACAGGCTCTTCTGCCTCTGATAAGATGTCGACGCTTTGCATGTCCACTGGTGTCATTGGACAACAGCTGTCAATGGACAAGATTCTCGGTGCGATTCCAAAGTTGTTCAAGGAGTCGTTGGGCTCCGACCATGAACACTGGTTGACGTGTGCCAAGGGTATCATGACCACTGACACATTCCCAAAGCTTGTTTCCAAGGAGATCTCCTTAAACAACCATACGTATAGAATCGCAGGCCTCTCCAAAGGTGCAGGTATGATCTGTCCAAACATGGCCACACTGTTGGGATTTTTCGTTACCGACGCTCCAATTGAACCAAAGGCTTTACAGTCAATCTTGTCGTATGCGGTGAACCGTTCATTTAACTCGATCTCTGTGGATGGTGATATGTCTACCAATGATACCATTGCAGCATTGGCCAACGGCGCAGCTGGTGGCCCGGCAATCACCGAGTCCTCTGGTGAATCATATGAGTTGATCCGTGACGAGATTACTCAGTTTGCTCAGACTTTGGCACAGCTGGTTGTTCGTGACGGTGAAGGTGCTACGAAGTTCGTCACAATCAAAATTAAAGACGCCCTTTCCTATGAAGATGCTCATCAGGTTGGTAAGACCATTGCAAACTCGCCACTGGTGAAGACTGCGCTGTACGGCAAGGATGCCAACTGGGGTAGAATCCTCTGTGCCATTGGCTATTCCGATGTCGAGGTGAACACCTCAAAGACCAACGTCTCTTTCGTGCCAGCAGACGGCTCCGCAGAGCTCAAACTCTTGGTCAACGGGGAGCCTGAGGTGGTTGATGAAGAGAGAGCTTCGCAGATCTTACAGTTCGAAGATCTCGAGATCTCTGTTGACTTGGGAACCGGTGGTGGTGCAGAGACAACGTTCTGGACCTGTGATTTATCCCACGAGTACATCACAATCAACGGTGACTACCGTAGTTGAGTGACTACCGTAGCTGAGTGTACACAGTACGCACATCACACATCACACACGACACATTCTTAGAATGCGATTGTATTCAATAAAGATCTCAACATTGGCTGAACTGTAGATGGAGTCCCAGGTAATGCCAGGCTGCGCACCAGCGTCCACGCAGGAGGACACCCACCGCCCGCCTGCCCACGGGCCAGCAGAAAAAATTCAATCACCTGCCTGCGAGTCCGCCAAACCTCGAAAAGGAACCTCAGCCCGTGGAGGGAGGAAATCAACATCTCACTGGAGCTGGGCAGGAAACACCATACCAATTGTACGTGACAGGGTTGAATAACCGACGCTATCATCGTCAGAAAGGGGAGTAGTAAACAGGACGACCAGAGAGAAAGAGCCACAGCGTAAAACAGGGGGTGCTTTAGTTCTCATGCCTGGGTTTGATAGTGATTACAGCATACATCCCGCAAGGGATAAGAATTCCACAGGGTCAGAAGGAGACGTTTCGCCTCTAACGTCACGGAAGGTGTCGCTGGCGGAGAATAAGAGACGGTCTAGTGGCGATTCCCGGTCCCAGTCGCTGGGGTCCAGCGATGGAAGCAGGCTGGAAAGCGTGACAAGCCCTAGTGGCATATCCAAGTCGTACAAGGGGTTCCATCAAATGGGCCAGCAGTTCCCTCAACCTCCGTTCAAGCACCCGGTGAAGCCCAAGCACAAGAAGAGCATCTTTGGCAAGTTCATCACCTCCATCAGGGAAGAGAAGAAAAGAATCAGCGAGGATATCAGTGAGAAATCGTCAATAAGGTCGGCGTCTCAACCGCTGCAGTCGATTCCAAGGGACCCTTTGTCCAAGTCCAAGTCTCAGGATCACACGGAGCTGTACAGCATGGATAACAGCACCATCTTCGAGGAGCCTATACGTTCGAATGGTCTAACCACTTCGAAGTCTCTGGGAGCGCAACCGCCGCACCGGGTTAGCGTCGTAGGCTCGTCAGTGTCAAGCAAGCTCAGCGGCGGTGTTTCGCTAAACAAGGATAGTGTTGCAGAATCAGTAGTTACAATGAACATCCATGATCTTGATGTGACTGATATTGTTGGACACATCGACCCTTCTGATATACCTGAGAGGAAATCGCCGGCAAAAGATGGGTGGGCAGCTCCAGAGAGTTGGGACGTCAAACCAGATAAACCAACTCAAGTTAGTCATGGAGATGAGGACGAGTACGTTGTTGCCAAAACTAGCCATAAGGCTCCCTTAAAGGGAATGGGGAAAGCTCACCACAATAAGCTGTATCATATCAGAGTGCACGCCGAGGATGACGACTTTGCATCCACTTTGAAGAGACCGTACGACGAAACAGCGGAGGAGATTATACGATTCTTAAAGGGAAGATACCAGCTCGTTGGTGACTACAAGTTGAGTTTGAGGGTTGGTAAGGTCACGAAGAAGCTGGAGTCGTATCAGAGACCCGTGAAGATCCAGACGAACTTGTTATTGCTTTCGGGTTATACAGAGGCGGACAAGATGGAGGAGATTGGAAGGTTTGATTTGACCTATCTATTCAAATTCATCCTTCATCATGACGTTTTGAAACAACTGACACCAACAGAGGAAGAAGCCATAGGCAGAGACCTGGTGCACGTTAATTTGAAGAGCAAAGACTTGCAAAAGATCCCAGCCTTGTGCTATTCGTCGAAAGTCCAAAGCTTGGACGTTTCAAATAACGGTGATATTACTTTACCATTGGACTTTTTCCAAATGTCAAATTCCCAGCTGAGCTCGTTGAGAATGGTCAACATTAGAGCGAAATATTTCCCTCAGAATGTGGTGTATGCTAGAGAATTGGTGTCCCTGGACTTGGAGAGAAACTTCATCACAAGCATACCGGAGAACATCTCATTTCTCAAGAACCTGTCTATATTGAATATGAGCTGTAACAAGCTTAGCTACCTACCAGATCTACCGGAGAGTTTAAAGATCTTGGATTTGAGTTCCAACGAGTTTGAGGAGTACCCAGAGTCTGTGAATAAGCTGACCAACCTTTTGCAATTGGATCTATCTTATAACAAACTACGTACTCTTCCAGAGTCAATTAACAACTTGAAATCAATAAAGAAGATCAACATCTCGTCGAACTATTTGACCAAAGTCGAGATCAGACTCACAAATCTAAGAGCTTTGAACCTGAGACACAATGATATCTTTTCTATTCGTTTACCAGGGTCAAATGTTGAGAATCTTTATTTGTCAAACAACAACATTTCGAATATATCCGATCCCTTACGAAGTTTGAGAGCCTTGGACCTACAGGCCAACCCAATTACTCAATTGAGTATCGAGTCGCCGAATTTGATCTCATTGAACTTATCAAAGGCTAAGCTAACTGCATTTCCAACTACTATTCTCAACCACACGAAGCTGGAAAAGCTGGAGCTCAGTCATAACGCTCTCCGTCAGCTCCCTGATATATCGAACCTCACGAGCCTGAGGGAACTATCGCTGTACAGCAACAATCTTGAACAACTACCAGATATGTCATCCTTGACTAAACTAAAGGTCTTGGACCTCCACGACAACAACTTGAAGCTTATACCTGATTTTTCATTCGTGGAGAGTATCAACCTTTCTTCGAACCTGATTTCAGAGCTGCCTGAGGCTGCACACAACAAGGCCCTCCACATTTGGGCAGCTGATAACCAACTCGATGAATCATGCTTTGACGTTTTAAAGCAGTTGACCGACCTTAAAACTTTGGATTTGTCTTACAACAAGTTGATAGATATTCCACAAGGCGTGTTCAGCACACTCCATCTGATTCAGGAGCTTTATCTTGCGGGAAATTCGTTATCGACACTTCCTGATGACTTTGACGAGTTGAGACTTTTGAGAGTACTACACTTGAATTCCAATAGATTCCGTACTTTACCTGCTGGGCTATCGAAGCTTGCGGATCTGGAAGTGGTGGATATCGGCTCCAATGACTTGAAGTACAATACATCAAACTCGAAATACGAATGGAATTGGAAGAATAATACCAACTTGCGATACTTGAACTTGTCTGGAAACAAGAAAATGGAGATTACAGAGGATTTGGAAATGCCAAAGCTCAAGTTACTTGGTTTAATGGATCTGACCATCACTATGCAGGTGATTCCCGATGATAGTATGGATTTCAGAGTACGTGTAACTCCAACAACCTTGGATCACATGTCTTATGGTATTTCAGATAAGATCAATAAGCATATCACCACGAGAGACTCTGTATTCCAAAATATCAACGGTGGTACACTGATTTGCTTGTTCGATGGGTTGTACTCTGGTAAAATTTCTTATCTGATTAAGGATAGTTTCCACAAGTTGTTCGAAAATGAGCTTAAGAAGCTTGACGTCCCTACAGCTATGAGAAGTGCGTTCCTTCAACTAAACGGTGTCATTAATAATGCGAACCTTAACTCTGAGGATGGATTGACAGGCTCTACTGCAACAGTTGTGTATCTCAAAGAAGGAAAGGCTTACTGTGCAAATATTGGTGATACTATGGTGATGATTGCCAAACCGGATGGATCGTACAGCTGGTTGAGTGTTCTTCACCAACCTTCAATACCTGCAGAGTTTGACAGAATTAGAACTTCTGGTGGGTTTGTCTCCAGCAATGATAGGGTAGATGGTATCTCACAGGTCTCCAGAGCAGCCGGGTTTATCGATCTTTTACCACACGTTCATACAGGGCCTGATTCTTCCGAGTGCACAATCAACGACGACGTTCTTGTGATTGCATCTAAAGAGTTGTATGACTATTTACCAGTTAAAACAATTGGTGATATTGTGAGGGAATCTGACAATCCAATGGTCACTGCAGAGAGACTCAGGGATTACGCCATATCATATGGTTGCTCTACGAAAGTTTCTGCTATAGTTGTTTCCACGAAGAAGGCCAAGAAGAAGAGTGGTCCAGTTTCAAGACAACTGGTCCAAGACTCCAATTTGAGAAGATTAAGACCTGAGATTGAACCACCATCAGGCGAGTTAGCTATGGTTTTCACGGATATTAAGAACTCTACCCTACTGTGGGAGAACTATCCGTTAGCCATGAGATCTGCTATCAGATCACATAACGATATCATGCGTCGTCAATTGCATATCGTTGGTGGTTATGAGGTTAAAACGGAAGGTGATGCGTTCATGGTCTCCTTCCCTACAGTGACGTCTGCGATGATCTGGTGTTTCAACGTTCAAAATCAACTCTTACAAGAGGACTGGCCAGCAGAAATATTACAGAGTGAAGAAGGTTGTGAGATCAAGGATGACGATGGTAATACTATTTACAGGGGGCTGTCTGTCCGTATGGGTATTCACTGGGGTACACCAGTGTGTGAGCCTGATATCATTACTAGAAGAATGGACTATTTCGGTCCTATGGTGAACAGAACTGCAAGAGTCTCTGCGGTGGCAGACGGTGGTGAGATCACTCTAACGTCCGATTGTGTGGAGCACTTTAAGAAGATTGAGGCCGCTTACAACAAGGTACAAGAAGGTGTCAATATCGAAGTCGCATTTGCAGATCTTGAGGACCCAGAGATCTTGGAGAGTCAATTCCGTATCTTGAAGACAATTGGATGGAGACTAGAACTCTATGGAAAAGTTCAACTGAAGGGTCTTGAAACAGAGGAGACCATATCGTTGATCTTTCCGAAGGGGCTGGCATCCAGATATCAATTCCAACGTCAACCAGATCTGACATCTCAAGATATCCACAAGTTGAAAGACATTGTATCTAGGTTAGATAGAACAATGTCCCAACTCTCTGGGTTGACGTTGGAAGTTGCCAATCTGAAGAGATCAGAACATACTGAGAAGCAACTCTTCGAAGTTATGATCTCCAGACTCGAACACACCATTGCAATGCTGGCATTGCGTGATCAAACTGTTGGTCTGTTTAGTGCTGAGCGTGATATCTTTGCAATCGTGGAAGATGTTAGTCGTTGTTACCAGAAGTATGGCAAAATCAAGGCCATAACGAAACACCAAGCTGGAGCAGAATGAGCCCTGCTAAAAAAAATGGAAACGTATATACGCTTCAAGAATATTAATACATATTTATCCGAACAATCACAACTACACTTTTCACCTTGTAGAATTACATCATTGGCTGGAAAGTTCTATAACAACTGTGTAAAATGAACCGTTGATGTGTGGGGGTACGCTGGTGTACGGGTGTTTCAACAACGCCTTATATACAAACAGGAAAAGGCGGTAACAATATCACCACTTAAACGCCAACAACTGCACATCGATCAGTTTCACCAGCATAACGATGCCTCCAAAGGTAAACAGAGACCCTTCAGTATCGGAGAGTGAATCCAAGCCCTCTAATTCCAGGGCTTCTACAAAGGCAAGAAACGCAGCTGCACAGGCTGCACAGGCAGAGCTCCTAGCGAGACATATTCACTCCAATGGACCCAACGATAGACCACCTTTGGACCCAATGGACTTCGAAACTCTGCCCATCAAGACGCTGAGAGAGTATAAGGACCTTTACCACCTACCCCTTGAAGATGCGCTCACGATGAACGGGTACATGCTTGAGTCAGAGACGGGGAAGAATACGTGGAGTTATAAACATAAAAACAGAGTCACCAAGCCAACGCTCGCTGCTGCCGTCAAGAAGCACTTCGTGTCACAGCCCGTGAAGGAGAGCGAGATCATCACCAACTTCCTCTACAAGGCAAATAACCAGGATAAGGCATTCAAGTTGAATTTCAAGAGTCCCTGAGGGATTCATCTATAGCACTCACATTTTGAAGACGACAACACTTTCTCACGCCCAGTCATCTCGCTGACTCGTTGTAGTTAACAATCTCAACAGCTACACTCACCTACAGTGTATTCCTACACAGCGAATGCTCATTTTGTAGCACTCATAAGCCTGTTATCGCCCGTTGTAACCTCCCATAGGAACTGGCTTCCCGCGCGTGCGCACAGCGTACGAAAAACCCACAGCGAACAACCGCGCGCCAGCGAAAACGGGCAAATCGACTAAGATGGCTCCAAAATTCCCAACAGAACAGTTCTACCAACGGGAAAACAAACCACACGGGCACAGCCAGCGGGAGAGAAAGAGATCTTACACCATGGCTGATAACACCACGATAACATTTGTGGTGACACTTGTTGTTGCGTTCGTCTTTCTAAGATGGTTCGTTAACTCTGAAGAGTCGGAGGTGATTTCACCTCTTGATCAGCTTGACGTTGCCTCTGGCGATACAGATGCCACTGGAAGAGCCAACCACGATGCACATCCGATACGTCGTGCCGTCACCACTGATATGGTTGAGGTGGTACAGAGCATCGCACCTCATCTGTCTGTGGAGCAGATCCAGTATGACCTGCAACGAACTGGGTCTGTGCAGGAGACCGTGGAGCGTGTGCTGAGTGAGGGAACATTGCCCTATCCACCAGGGTATACACAGCGTTCTGCGTCTAGTGGCGCCACTAGAAACGATACACACGAGGCAAATGGTGACAGAAGAAACAAGGTGGACAATATCAAGTCAGAAAACTTGTTGAAGAAGTACAATGTTGACGAGATGAGCTCTTCTGACTCAAGCAGCGTTGAGAAGAAGACCGTCAAGGCCCAATGGTCAGACTCACCAGATGTGAGGGCTAAGACACTACAGGAGAAGAAGGCTGAGATGATCTTGAAGGCTAGAAAGCGATTACAGGCACAGCTGTCCAATGAACAGGATTTAAGCGTGTTGACTGAATGATACATTCCTTCTTTGTCCATTATATATATGTTTTTTGGTGTAGTTCTTATTTAGAAGTGTTGGAGGGTGTTATTAACGTTGGGGCTACCCTCTTCTTCTGTTTCACAGGTGGAGTATGTATCACTTGCTCGTTTTTATCGGCTTTCTGTTCCTCCTTCGTGGTCTTCTTCAACATGCCAATGATAAACGGTGGTGCACTAGTATCCAAGAGATTCGATTCAGCTTGTTTTACAGGCTTTGTAGGGGTATCTTCAATCCTGCTTCTCTTACAAGATTCCGTGTTCTTTGGTGACGTTCTCTTCTTTGTTGAATTTGCACAGTGTGTATAATCTCCAGAGATTAACGATTGGAATGGGACTGTCAACACTTCACCGAATATTCCCGTGTTGAACTTGAGCTTTGTACAAAATCCATCTGTAGAGCTAACGATCAGCGATTGGCCGTCTGCGTTCCACGTAAGATCAGTCAGCGTACTGTAATGAATACTGGAAACCGATCCTAGCATCTCTAAATGTTGGGTGTCAAAGATATAGATCGAGTCAACGGTGGCAACAGCAAACACCATCTTATAAGGTAAGTGTAATGAACAGTTCTCTTTCTCAGATTCATCCAATTTGTAGAAGATCGGTGAAAACGATACAATCAACGCAGGTTTCTTCATGCCTGGCAAGTGTGCTATTGGAGGCTTGTTGAGCCCTTTCCTCGTGTAGAAGTACACAGTGTTCAGGTATTCTTCATCAGAGTCAAACGTCTTGGAGATACCAGCGGGTGTCAATAGTAAACTTCCATCTGGAGAAAATGTCAATCTTCTAAAGAATGAGCGGAGACCCTCAGGATGATACAATAACGTAGTTCTTTGAGGTGGGGCTTGAGAAGCAGGACTGGAGATACCAGTGGATGACTTTAAAGGAGAAGATCCCAGCTGTGTCGATGTTTCCCGTGCTCTGGTGCCGATTTCGGCTCTCGAGCTCTTTTGAACTAGACATGGGGTCAAAGACCTTGAATCTTTCGAGTCCTTCAGCTCGTAGACACTGACCGAACGGTCAGCACTCTGGAGCGCAATGTACTTGTTCAGGGGATCCCAGGCAACTCCTTGGACATAATGGCTGTGGTCTGACAATTGCGTTACTTGTTGTCCTGTCTTTGCATCGAATATCCTCGAGACATTATCCGTTGAGCCTGTCAGGATGTACTTAGAGTCCGGAGACCATGCTATGTCGTATATCTCAGAGTTATTAGAGCGGCACACCAACGTTGTAGTCCATGATTCCTGTCTATCGTCATCCTCTTGTCCAAACTCCTTGATCAGCGTGTCGCTTCTTTGCCATACCATTACACTGCCATCGTCTCCTGCAGTGGCCAGCAGCTCTCCATTGGGGTTGAATCTCACAGCATTAACGGCTTGAGTGTGTTTAGCCAGAGTCGAGAGATACTCGACACTCGTCTCAACCTCACCGTTGTCTTTAACAACCTCCACTAACCGCCAGATCCTAACATTATTGTCACCACCTCCAGTCGCCAGCCTCTTGGACGTCTCGGTAGTGCCCGACGTGGAGGGCTGAAAGTCAACGCTGTACACGGGCTGCTTTCCTTCATGCCAATGGACAGACAGAATAGACACATCCATTGTTTACAGCTCAGTTTAACTGATGAACCAACAGTGATGAACAAATACTCGTAAACACAAACACGAAAAGCTTTGTTTGCATCGACGCGTCAGTTGAAGTTTCGCGTTCTGTGCTCTCTTCGTCAGTGTGACGGTAGGGTAATGCAGCCTCATCACCGGTATAAAGGAAAATTCTTCCAATTCCTACTTCTCCTTTCTTTTGTAAACCATTTCCTGCTTCTTCACAGTGAATGGTTGGTTCCCTCGGCGTTGAAGCGGACTGTTGCGTCCTCAAGAACTTTCAAAGGTAACAGAGGTTGTCTTGAACACTTGTTCTTACCAAGGGCGTAAGCAGTAGCTTTTAAGCCTGACAGAACCACTGTGTGTATATAGAAAGCTATATAGTCTTGCACATTTAGTCAAATCCCACTCGTGACGGATTGAATACTACGTCCCTGTGGTGCCGATCTTGTGCAGATATTGATGTTTTGTCTCAATTGGATCTATATGACAACTGGGGCTGGATATTCTTAGTGCCTTATGTGTATTTTTGATCTCAACCCAAAAGCACTGGCCGGTGTATCCCAACATGTGTTACAACTACATACAAGTTTCTTTGTCGTTGTCGATGACTTTCATCCCTTTGGATTATCATGCTTTATCTGTAGTCTAGTTATTTCAAATCTTTTTCCCATCTGAAGTGATGTTGAACTTGACAAGCTGCGTCAGAGTTGTGTTGACTTTAAGACCTTTAGCTTGAATATCTATCCAGTCTGATATCGCAGAGTAGTCTTCGGGGACTGTGTTGCTCGTTGACGACGTGCAAGCCGGTAATAGAGCAGGCGTTAAAAGTGTTTTGATCACGTCGTCGGTACAAGGTGCGACTTTGAAGCTGATGATCCCATCTCCAAGTCCAACATGTGTCAGATTCCATTGCAACTCTTTGTGAGACTTTGAAAGAGACATATAAGTCTTTCGGGCCATCATCCCTCTTGTCAGTGGTATGTGTTCTAGTTCGAATCTATAAGTGTCCATGACCTCTTTAGTGAACACATCGGGTAGCTCCTGCTGTATGTCTCTTAACACTACAGCCCTTTCCAATTCGCTCAGGTAGTACGAGACGAACACGAAACTCTTCCTCAAGGCCAGGCTCGCATACTTCTTGCTGTGTGCCTTTGATCTCATGTTGGAGACTTTGTTATTATACTTGGTAATCTCATTGGTGACAACTTCAATCTCATCCTGAGGAGATAAGAAACATTTCAAGGCATAAACTGGAATGATAGAATAAACCATTTCTGGATTCACTGCATCGATGTATTCATTCAAGAACTTCTGGAATCCTTTCATTTGGTTCTCACGATCTTCAAAGATCTTAACAAGCTTGACGTTGGTGTAGCGTTCCAGCATGTCGACTAATACCTGGGTCTTGTAGCTGATCGTGTTGACGAATTTACCCTCTTTCAGCACAACAGCATCTGCAGTGATCCCCTTTGACTGCAACATTTCACTCATGATGTCCCGGAACAGGTGCTTCTTTCTCCCAGTCATAATTATGGTCAGCACCTGTTCGTTCTTGTGCGAAAGCTCCAGCAGCGGGAGAATATCGTCGTTCCAGTAGCTATTCCAATGCCTGCTCCCATCTGCTGATGTCTCAGCAATCTTGTCAAAAGGTACTGGGTCTTGCCACCAGCCAAGGTCCAACATGGTTGTGCCATCGGATAGCGCACCAATGGCCTTGTAGGTGAAGAGTGCCGGATTCGGTAAAGGTGATCTAAACAGGGTATTGTCAAAGTCGTAGACATGTATCTCGGTTATTTTATCCACAGATGGTGAGATCTCTCTTCTGAACAGATCCCAGAACGTTATTGGGTTTTCACCGTTCGCCCCCTGTGTGTTTTGACTCTTCCTTTGCTTCTTCTTCAACGGCCCATTATGGTCTTGAACACTGTGACCGTCAGAAAAGCCCATCGTATGTTTGAGATTATGACAGTTTGTTAGTAGCAATGAAGGAACACGACACTAGCGTGTAAGAATAACACAAATGATAGCTGATAACTGCTTAGCAATTCGTTGTACCTGCAATTCAAACAGACTGATATTGGTATCTTTGACTCTATGAGCTCACCACCTTAATATTTCTTCCACATGCTCGCGCTCATAACCACAGCCTAAGGCACAAAAAAATAAGAGTGCTTCCACTCAGAGTCGAACTGAGGATCGCTACATTACTAGTGTAGCGCCTTACCAACTTGGCCATAGAAGCTTCTCTTGTTTTTTGAGTTTTCAGTGAACATCACGTTTGTCCAGAAGAAAATAATTATAATTGTCATAATTAGTTCGCTTACATTATGGGGACTTCTTCTTAGAGATGACTTTTCATTGTTTACACTCATCATAAATAGAGATCAAGGCAACTGCAATCCTTCTCCTGTCCTATACATCTGCGGGAATGGCATATCAACTAAGTCCCTTCTATGGGATTGGAGTACGTGTGGTCCCACATTGCAACCATCCATATCCAAATGTGTACTAACTCGCTTCATAGATCCCCGTTGCGATCATTGCAACTCTGGGTTATGCGAGCCATTACTTCTTCTTCATAGAAGATCTCTCCATAGAGAAACAGGTTGTATTTCAGTTGTCGCTAACAATGCTCTGGGCCTCGTACATCATCGCCATCTATAAGAAGCCTGGCTCTCCACCATCTGATTTTGAACCAAGACGTGGACAATGGAGAAAGTGGTGCAAGAAGTGCAACTGTTATAAGCCAGAGCGAGCTCACCACTGTAAGACATGTGGAGTTTGTGTGCTCAAGATGGATCATCATTGTGAGTATCTGCTCAGACTCTTCAGAAAACAAGCAAGTCGTTACTGACATCGGAACATAGGCCCATGGACTGCAAACTGTGTTGGTCATTACAACATGCCACATTTCCTAAGGTTCCTGTTATGGGTTGTGTGGACAAATGGCTTCTGTCTCTACTACTTACTGAAACGTGATAAAAGTTATTGGGATGATCGCCATTTACCCAGCTATTTGATTTCAAAGACTTCATTGACAATGGCTATAGTCTTAACGCCCTTGGCCATTCTGGTGGAAGTCTCAGTTGGAGTGTTAGCAATTAGATGCTTCTACCATATTCTCTCATCCGGAATGACCCAGATAGAATGTTGGGAATATGAGAGACTAGAAGAGCAATGCGAAAATGGTAAGCTCTACCCCATTCTCCGTGATAATTACAGGAAGCTATTTGGAAAGGATCTGAAATCGTACACTTCTTGGTCTATGACTCCTCAAGTCTTGAGAGATTCTATGGACGAGTCTGACTATGCCCAATTTGGAATAGATGATATAATCTTCCCATATGACTTGGGGCCTTGGAGCAACTTGATTCATGCCTTTGGTCATCCGTACAAATGGATCCTCCCATTCGCAGGGCCAATTGGCGATGGCTTAACCTTCCCAGTAAACGAATATGTTGAACCAGAGGATGACCTGAGCTCTATGCCTTGGCCTCCTGATGGATGGCACCAAGATAAAGACTCGGATGCAACAATTGATCAGCAATCAGATCAATTCTTCGATGAGAACGAAAGAGTCATAAGGAGAAGAAAGACTGGAGCTGTCAGAAGTCAATGGGAAAATAGGTACGGTGAGTCACTGGCTGATTTCGGTGTCGATATGGACTCTGAGCTATGAAGTTTAGCTATAATTCAAAAGTATCAATAGAATAACATCAATCAAATATAATACTAGTATACGATATACAGGATTTATTCAACCTTATGATCGCCGCCGTCTTTGTCTGTCTCGGTACTAGGGAGAGTATCAGTAGTTGCCTTGGCGTGTTCAGTGATGGCTGTAGCGTTATTTGATTCATCAGCAATGGCAGCTTCATCAGCAGTGGAGTCATTGGCTCTCATGGAATCATCCTGTGGAATGGTTGAGTCAGCATCGACAGTCACATCTTGATCCAATACCGAAGAAATAGCAGGATTGGTCTTCTTCGTTACAGTGACTTCAGGGATAGTCTCATCAGCCTTTTCGATGGTCTGGTCCTCATCAATTTGCTTCTCTGAATCTCTGGCTTTCTGTTCCATAGCCTCCAAGAATTTCTTTGGATCTTCTTTCAAGATCTTCAATGAAGCACCCATATTTTGAATCGCATCATCATCCTGGTAAACTTCCTTGGCTTTTCTTTGCAGAACTTTGCCAAACTTGTTGTCTTTTTTAGTGTTTTTCGTAGTGAGAGTATTATAAGTTGAATATCTCGTAAACTCATCATGAGACTTGGGTTCAAAGAAGAGCTTATACGTATCACGGGCGACTTTAATCTTCAGTTGAGAATCAGTATAACCCTCAAGATCCCCTTCCTCACCATCTTCAAGGGCATGAGACTTGATAAAGGGAAGTCTAATTTCACTAACATTGACACCTTCTGTTGGTTGTGCGATACAATAGGACGTCAGATAATAGTTCCATTTCTGCTCATCAGTGTTTTGATCTTTCAAAGTCAAGTCATCCAAGGCAACGTACTCAATGGAAACCTTGTGATTCTGTACGTCAAACTGGATTCTGAACATGTTATCATCAGGATTCATTTGAGATCTGACAGCGTTACGATAGATTATCTGATCCTTGGCATTGGTGGTAGGAGCCTTGCGATCTTTTTCAAACAACATCAAGATTTCTGATGAACGGTGATCAGTCATAATAGTGTGAAGGTGTTTGACCAGGGCCTGTACCACCTTGTCCACACTGTTAAGTTTGTAAGCTCTGTTTCTGTACGCTTGGCGTATAGACTCTTCGAACCATTGATGTTCAACTTCGCCATCGATCAGTCTCTCCGAGAGGCTCAGCAACTGAGTGTAAGCGTCCGACTTCGTGAACTGGAGACCCATTTCTTCAAGTTGGTTAGAGATCAAGTTCAAATCTTTTGCAAATCCAACATCAGAACGTGACACAAGGTCAGCAGTCACTTCATTATTCAAACCTTTCACCTCATTCAATCTATCATATAGAACTCTCAAGTGACGGAAAAAGACATAAATGTTGGTGTTGCTGAACATGTTGAAGACGGTTCTCTTGTCATTCTCGGTACTTGAAGTGTCAGCATCTGTGCTTTGAACCCATGAGTCACCGGTATTGATATCTTCAGCAACTGTCTCGTCTTCTGTATCCTCCGGGATGGCAGGTTCCTGACTAGGAGATGTGGAGCTTTCCGGTGTGTCATCCTTGTGAGACTTTTTGGACTTCCGAAGCACATCTTTCAACAAATCTGTTTCCAAGTGACGTTTTCTGCCATTCACTGGTGGAGACGCATCACTGCTTGATGATGAGTTTGATACAGCATCCCCCGACGTCGATGAAGCCACAACTGGTTTTTCAGCTTGTGCTGACAATCTCTTGTTAATAGACTGTTCAACCTCTTCTGGGTCTAAACTGAAACAAAGGATTAAAAATGACTTGAAGAACTCGAATAATCTCTCCTTGTCATTAGATGAGTATGAGCTCGTGGCCAAGAACACATTCACAAACTTTCCAATATCGTAAAGGATATCGTTATCCAAGAACTCATAATTCAGCTGAGCTTGAGGTTTTGGTGTGAGCGGATGAAGTCTCTTCGTTGTTTGCTCGACCTTAATGGTGGAGATCTCAGAGACAAGTTGCTTGGTTGTCAGTAACTTCTTGTCGGCCTGCTTGAAGGTTAGACCTAAATGATCAAGGGACTTGAAAAAGACCTTCTGTTCCAGTTCTCTCCACACCTTGTTCCACTCACGATGGGCTCTTCTCCATTCTTCATCCTTTTGTTTGAGTCTTTTCAATACAATAGGAACTGCTGCTATTGGGTGGTCGTGTAGAGCATCGATGACTTCGAAGCCCTTTTCCTTTCCGTAAATCTTACGGATGACCTTTCTGTAGATTGTCTGAGAGGTATGACCCAGACCACTAGGTAACTTGAAAGTCTCCTTTTCTTCGGCAGTCATGTTGGCAATTCTGTTGGCAATGGTTTCAAGGGTTTGGATTGTTCTCAAGTTGGATTCCATGTAGAAATCATACTCGTGTCTCTCTTCCTCAATCTTGTGGAGGATTTCCTCGTACTGATTCTTTCTATGGGCAATGAATCCTGAATCTTCTGAGGCCCAAGTAGGATGACCCACCCACTCGTCATTTAAAACTTCCCAGCACATTTCATCACGGCCGGAGCATGGCATATAGGTCTCCACCTTTGGAAGCTTTCTGTAAGAAGGACCATATGGTTTGCACAAAGTGAGATCAAGTTGGTGTTTCTTGAAGGTAATGTTTTCAATATGGAGTGGTTCATTATCAAAGCCAACAAATGTTTTGAACCAATCAAACAGGTCATGGTGAGAACCAATGAAGCCTTCAATTCTTTCAACCAACACCTTCTTGTCAATCAAATCTTGGTTGAACAAGTTCAGAATCTTCAAAAACTCGTTATAGCTCTGCTTGCTGCCAATAGCTTTCTTAACTTTATCAAAGAAGCCGATCTCTTCGATAAGATTGGAAGTCTTGTTTGGTGGTTGAATAGGTTCAGGAACGCCAGGAACCAACGTTGGAGAGACATCCTCGTGGACTTTACGCTTGGAACCACTAACTGCACCTCTAACATGAGATGTTGGAATCTCTCTATTCTTAGAAGCATCATAATGGTTCACTTGTTCGTGTGTCACCTCCAGTTTCTTCATCTTTGGGCCTCCAACTGGTGGTGAAAAGTTACCAACTGGTGGTAGTTGCGTAGGGGGTTGAGTTTGGTAATATTCTGCTGGCTGGTGTTGACCAGTCAGGACATCACCAGGAGCACCACCACTCGTATCAGGCAGGAATTGCTTGAAATCTTCCAATAAGTCAGGTGCATTTTGGAAAAGAACGGTAACCTGTTGATAAACTTCGGCAATTGGCTTCTGTTCTCTCTGATATGTTTGCAGGATCTCCAGGAAGTGCTTGTAGATATCAGGTTGGTGAGAAAATCTGGTTTTAATCTTGTTCACATAGTTGATGGCATGGTTGAACTCCACTGGGCCACCAGACTTACGCTCCGCTCCAACATTTCCTCTGTTGGCTGCTGCTTGCAGATGAGACATTGAAGACTGTTGATCTGGTGCTCCATATGGCATGTAGCCTTGATCAACTTGTGCACCAGGTGGTGCAGGTTGTTGTTGTTGTTGTTGCTGCTGTCCCTGTGGTGGCTGACCTTGTCCGTTCCATTGGTCATAAGAACCGTTGCCGTTAGACTCCAGGCGAGTGGTCGTACCCATAGGTGTTGTCACCCTAATCGTTGGATCAGAAGGGTCAAGCGAACATTCAACCCTGTAGCCAGGTGGCAAGAAAGTGTTGAAGCCTTGAATCAGAGAAGGATGGCCTCTGAACAAAGTTGCCACTCTGTCGATAACACCCGGTGTATCGATGCTTTGGCTCTTAAAGTCCTTCATTATATCAAGGAAATGGTTGTAGACATCCGGTCTGTGCTGGAATTGAACCTTCACCTGATCAAGGTAAGACAACGCGTCCTTGACATTCAACGGTCTGTAAGCAGTCATTGGCGTTGGGGTACTGCTGTGAGGCTTTGGAGCCTGACCTGGAAGTTGAGCCTGAGGTTGTGGAGGTTGCTGCTGCTGTTGCTGAGTTTGTTGCACCTGTTGAGCTTGTTGAGCTTGCTGAGCCTGTTGAGCCTGTTGAGCTTGAGCCTGTGGCTGCTGTTGCTGAGCCTGCTGAGGTTGATTCGACACTTGTGACGGACCGCCCTGCTGGGCATCCTGAGTTGGAGATGCCATGGTGTTATTCTCGGTCTTGAAGCCAAAACTCAGCGGCGGCTTCTATACATTTGGGTTAGTACAACAGTCAACTAGTTGAAGGTCCTCGCGTAGGCCTCAGATACACAGCCTAACTTATTGCTGAGCGAAATACTTACATTTGCTGGGTTAAGCATAAAGTTATGCGATGAGTTGTTGATACCGGCAACGTTGATGGATGGCAGTGTGAAATAGCTTCCTGTGAAGATGATAGTTAGTAAACAATAACTTTCGTGGCTTGTGGAGATCCCTCATTAAGAGAGCCCGTGTAGAAGGGCGTAATCGACTCAACGGAGCACAGGAGAAGCAATACCCGTTGAGCCGCTTTCTATAGGAGGAGACCATCTGGGTGAACGTGAAACTTACCTGACTCCATGGATGAAGGAGGTGGTAACGATGACGGTGGTGGTAGAACAGGGGCACCTTGATGTCTTCAACAAGACAGTTAGTATACAGCTTCAGAACGACAGTCTTCTGGAAGAGATGTGTCCCCCCTCGGCGATCATATTATCAACGCCATGGAACAACAGCACCATGGTGCTGTTCCATGTGTTCGATCAGTCCCTCACGGTTGAATGCTACACCAAAAAGGCGTATCAACACGCTGGAACCCCCATGTGGAAGGAACACACATCAAGCCAGAACACACACAAACGGGAAAAACGACACAACTTACTGTTGAATTGGCAACATGCCGGGTCTATTGGCATCACTGGACTCGTTGCCAGTCTTCCATGGTTCGGGATTGGACATTTTACCGGATTATCCCTCCTTTACGAAATCACTCTGTGGGCTATCTTCAGCACGGGTAAGCACGCTAACAAGCTAATCTGGCAGAAGGGAAACACACTGGACGTTAAGCTGATAGATCCCCTTACTGGCCAATCACGTGAGATGGATCTGAATCACAGGCTTGCAGAGTACTAATGCGAAAAGAGAAATATCAAGCAAATCACCTCTTGTCTCAATCTGAGTGACCAAGTTGATTTAGGTGAAAGAGTGTGTGTTCAATGGAGTGAAAGTTGCAATTGGCGTGAGCTTTTCGGGCAGGCCCACCGGCGCTGGGTAAAAACAACGGAAAAAGGGCGAAGGTCGTGCGCACAACAATCTGGGTTTCTGTGGGAGCGGATGGCGCTTGAGGGAGGGTAACCCCGGCATGTGCGTGCGGAAAAATGACAAGATGTCTCACGTGGTCTTGTGATAGGATAACACGTGACTCACAGTAGGGTAATTGAGCTCTGGCTGTAAGTTGTTTTCATCGCCTAAAAGCGCTCTTCAAGGTAACATCAACAAGAGAATCTGCTTCAGGGCAGAGCTTTGTGGCGAAAGGTAGAACATGAACGCCCCAGATCGTTTCGAACTTTTCATCTTACCAGATGGTGTGCCTAAGTATGTGTTTCTTATTTGCTTCATGTGCGATGTTTTTGCTGTCTGAGCTGCTTTCTTCTGAGGAATGGACTTTCTAACACCTCGTCTAGACTCAAGATCGACCCTGATCCAAAGGTTCCAAACGCTGCGATCATAACATTCGAGAAGGAAGACCATACGCTTGGCAACCTGCTGAGAGCACAGCTGATCAAAGATCCACGGGTTGTATTCGCTGCTTACAAAGTTGAACATCCTCTTTTCGCTAGATTTATCATGAGAATTCAAACAGAAGAGGGCTATTCTCCAAAGGACGCTCTGAAGAACGCATGCAACTCGTTGATTACACAGCTGTCAACGATCAAGAACAAGTTTACCGTTGAATGGGGCTTACAGACGTTGGGACACGAGGGAGCCTTCTAAAGGGAATGAAGAAGGTTTCTGCGTATTTTAGATCTAAACCCTCCTCAGTGTACTATAGAAAGGGAAAAACTAGTGATGACAATATCCAAGAGGAGGAAAACTGTGGTACAACCAATGCACGAGATTTGAAACAAGACAAATGTAATTATGAGATTTGCGAGTATCATCTGCATGATTTGAGCCATGCCTGCGATTTCTGAATCATGATCATAACTCCACTGAATTGAGGAGTCAGAATTGTTTACATGATTACAGTTGAACAATATCGAGCATATCGTCTTCACAATCCGTAGGATCACTTGATGTATGGCTTTTAATTATGAGTCACGTAGATGTTGGATAGTTAGTAGTACAATTTCGTTAAGAAAGCAGATTGATCTCTACATCATGTACTTCTCATTTCCGTCTCTCTTCCTCCCCTTGAGGATTCTCCAGCCATCAGTGCCTCTAAATAGTGCATGAATGACATAGAGAAGTTCAAGTATAATGAAATTTAGAGAAACAGGATAGCTTACACGAAAGTAAATCGGTATAATGCCATAGGAGTGCTGTCTCTTGCTGTCATTACGCCATATTTCCTACATGACTCTTCCATCGAGTCGTAATAACTGTTAGAAACACTAACTACACTAGAGATGTCCACCAAAGTTGTTTTGAATACTAGAATCAAGAGCAGGTGCATCAAAGCGAATAGTAATATGCCTTCTACCATTGTAGTGGAAGATCACTCTTCCACTTCTATGTCCAGAATCAGGAAACTCATGGACATCAGAACAAAACAACTCTGAACGTTGCTTAGAAACAGTACGCTGAATGTTGTCAATATACACACAGAAACACATATCTCTTATGTTTCTAAGTAGAGCAACATTTTGTTAAGATAATGTGGATCTAACCAGCCAATAGTTGAGTCATTCACCTGACCCATTGTTAGAGTGGCGTTCTTCGGTAGTAAACCCGTACTAGAGAGTATCATGACAGAATTGAACATAGAAGGACAAATAACAAGGTCTACAACAAGTACCAATACTCACTGGCAAGTGGTTCTTTAAATACATATCTTTGAGTTACAAGCCAGGAGTCATATAATCTCGAAGAACCAACAGTTTGGTGCTTTCAGATATGCTGATGTTTGAATTATCCAGCTCAACTGTATACATATATATGTAATAGAAGGCTTTCCAGTCTTTGAAGTAAAGAGCTAGGTTTAAAGCAAAAGGTATGCAAAGATTGTCTGTGTATAACAGTCCCTTGTATAGCTCTATTCAACCGGCTGGTCTGTAAGAGATCAGCTTGAACGAGCACTCTGACTACGTCCTCAAGTTATTCAATACTTGAACTGTTAGTAATCACAGAGCTGTAAGCACTCCCTGCCCAATAATCATCACCATAACTATGATCTTTTCCAGCAATATTTCTAGCTTGTTACGCTTGAACATAGGCAAGTGCGGATTGCATGTTGATTATCGCATTCAATTGCACCTGACGCACCGACGAGTTCATAATCATCACAATTGAGAAACGCACAGTTCTAAATTATGATGATCTACACGAGATTACACGACTGGCATGAATAGCTGGTGAGTATATGGGTATATATTAATATTATAGTACGGATTGGATTAAGGTAAATTGTGTGGTCATAAAGTGAACCTGTTTTGTTTTCACGTGAATCATAAACATTGCCTTTCTCTCAGTCAAGGGATGCATGGATCTTCTCTTTCAAGGCACATTTGATCATATCTAATTTCTCTTCTAGGCCAATATCTTCAACAATCTCACGGAATCCACCTTCTCTGAAGACCTGAGAAAGAGCCAGTGTTTTACAAACACGATCTGGTGAGATATAGGTGATCGTACAACCAGTCTGTGAAATGCAAATCTTATGATGATCTTTGAAGTTGAACTGAACTGAACCATTGCTCATTTCAAACATCACATACTTTTCATCCCTGGTGTATCTTCTTAAGAATATTTCATCTTGATCCATTATGGAGTCATCATCATTGGACACTTTACACAAGTTGGTCTTCATGTACTTTGCAAAGAACTCAGTTATCTCAATATGTCTGTGTAAATGAGCTGGAGCATCCGTCGTGCTGTACTCTTGCGCTAACCAACCTTCGTTTGGATTATTCACAATGTACCAAAACGAACTGGAATGGTTGATACGTAACAGTGTATTTCCATCGTTGAAAAGAACACCGATATCGTCAGTAGAAAGTTGATATGAGAATCCGTGCTTGTTAGAATAATCGACCCATTTACTGATTAATATAGGGGTTTTTGGCTCAATCTCTGGCAGTCTAGACGACGCTCTGATTCTTGCTTGACGTTCTGAAATCACCATACCATTCAATATATTAGTGCATTCCTGTCTCAAGATTGCATTTGAAACACTTTTATTTCTATGACCACGAGACTGTTTATATGGCATTCCATGGTCTTCCAAACGTCTCGCCCTTCCAAGCTTTGAGTTTGCAGGATCTTCGGAAGTTCTTTGTTTCAGAACAGGTTCAGTAACCTCCTTGTACTTACTCTTGGTGTTTCCAGGAGACAATGATTGTGGTAGAAGGGTTTTTGGTTTCTCTGACTCCAAGTCTGTCTTGAGGATCTCCACAGGTGTCATGTGAGAAGATTGAATCAAGCCTGAATCACGCTTGGCTTGCAGGAAGTTCATATGAGATTGTGACTCTGTCAAATATGAGAAATCGGGTTCAGCAACTAAAGTCTCCACAGTGAGTTTGTTAGGAAACTTCCCTGTGGTGAAGAATTCGTACAACAGCATGTCATCCAAGCTTGGTCTTAGACCTGGAACTGTTTTCAAGATATGTTCGATAAGTGTTCTGGCAGAGTCAGAAATATACTTATCAGGTGGGAAATGGTAGTCATTGATTTTAATTCTTTCGTAGATATGAGCAACGTCTTTGGACTGGAAAGGTGGTTTACCGATCAACAAAGCGTACAACATGATACCAATAGACCAGATATCAACTTCAAAGCTATGGCCTGTTTTCTTCCCTGTTAAAACCTCTGGTGCAATGTAATTTGGGGTGCCGCAGATAGTGTACCTACGTTCGTTGGTACCTTTAAGGACAGAAGCCAAACCAAAGTCACCAATTTTGATGTTCATGTCAGCATCAAAGAAGATATTTCCAAGTTTCAAGTCTCTGTGGATTACCCTTCTGTTATGCATGTATTTAATACCACCGATGATCTGAACCATCATGAATCTCACTTCTGGTTCTGTGAGCAGCTTTCTTTTCTTCAATAGATCCATCAAGGATTGGTTTGGACAAATTTCTAGAAGAATGTAAACGTTGATGTCGTCTTCGAAACAATCTATAAATTGGACAATGCTTGGGTGGTGCATAGACTTGTGGATCTTGATTTCAGCAAGCAACTTGGTCTTTGTCTTGTCATTTTTGATAGATGCCTTTGCAACGGTCTTAGCGGCGTACAACTGACCGCTATCGTCCTTGATCTGGAAGCATCTTGCAAATCCACCTTCGCCCAAGAATAGACCTCTTCTGTAGTCCTTTCCTGTTCTTGTCTTGATCAATGAAGGTGGTGTTTTACATAGGGCGGAAAGCTTCTCTTTCTTCTTCTTTGGCTTCTCCTTTGGAACACTCTCCTTTGGTGCCTTGACCTCATAAACGTCAGCCTCCAATTTCCTGGTCGACTTCAATGGCGTTATCTGTGCTCTCGAGTTGAGCTCTCGCTCGCCGAGTGCCTGTAACGGCTGTCCTCTAGCTGATGCCATGGTCCGTTCTATAAGTAATGGTTTAAATTAAGTAGGGTTTGATGGAATGCAATGGAGATATGTCCAATTGTCAAACGTTGAGCAGCAGCAGCAGCAACAACAACAACAACAAACAGTGCAAAGGGCTGGACGATGCAGAGATGGAAAGGGGATGTATAGGTGAGGGCTCTGTATTGATATCACAAAATCAGATAACAGACCTTGACCACAAAAACCCTTTAACTAAGTGAATGGGAGTTGGACTAAAAGAAGGAAAAAGCAACAGCAAAAAAATTCGTTCAACCAGTTAGCTTGAACTTGACGATATGATGCTTGAAGCTTGTAGCAGATGGATGTGCCAGGTGATGGAATGTTTAATCCAAGTGATTGGATATGGTGCAAAGAGTATCGGAAGGATGAGGGAAGGAATCTCCTTGGAAGCAAAAGAAGAGAAATTGTTTCGACAAGTGGTATATAAGTGATGTTTCCATTTCCACATCTGTCGCCCAAAAGGGTAATTTGTAAATAAAAACAATGCGGCCGGTGCCAATGTCCGGAACCTCTGTGTGTACGCTTTCGAGAATGGAAAGCCCCAAAAGAGACAAGTGAAAACAGAGAACCAGGACGAGGATGTTTGTGATGTTTACAATTTATCCAGAGTCTTTCAATTGTTTCGTAGTTGGTTGTCTTCCAATTTTAGTTCCATGTCAGTGCGTTGGAATGTACTTCAGGGCCCCATTGACTGGTCACGCCCGGTAATGGTGAACTATAACTATCGGACGGATAACACTTCCATCTCGTGAATCATACCAATAGCTTAGACAAGGGTATCTGGCTACCTCTATCCCAATATACAATCTCCTACAATAGATGACATGCCCATTCATGTCAGAACCACACAGTGCTCTAGTTTGCGGTACAGGTGTTGCAGCCCTAAGTCACGTGTGGAGGACAGTCGGTTCACGTGAGAAATCCTGTTCGAGTGAAATTTTTAGAGTTCGATCGTGTAATTTTCCCTGCTTCCCATTTTTTTTCTACCCAACTTGACTAAGGGAAAGTACGTCTTGTTGTAATCAGCAAACACGCAAACAAAGTCACTTTCACTCACTCAATTACCAAACGTTGCTTTAAGCCATTCTTGGAACCTCGCTTAAGAATACCCGAGTGTACTTGGCTTTCCCGTTTTGTTTCTTTGTCTTTCCCTGTGTTTTTTGCGTACTTGTTTCCGTGCTTTTCGAAGCCATCTGCATTTACAAACGCGGTATACGAGTTTACCGTGACGATCACCACTTTGGGCACCGTGAATCACGAGACCCGACAATTAGAGCACATTCATTTGATTGAAGATGTCTGACTCTGATGACGATATTGCTCTTTCAAAGAGAGCCAGAGGTGAGTATAAGGATCCGGCGATAGCCTTTTTTCCCCTATGTTCCAGAGACTAACCCAGTATTATTTGAAGTCAAAGATGAGGACTTTTCCGTAGACGTCTCATCGCAGAACTCACGTGGCGTAACTGCCGCTGATAGTGATGATGAAGCGTTGGTTACTGTGTCACGGAAGACAAAGAAAAGCAAAGCTCCTAAGCGCGCTGCTACGAATGGTGACTCCAAACAGCCGCCAAAGAAGAAACTGAAGAGCTCATCCACAACCTCAAAGAAAACAGCACCTTCGAAGAGTCAGGTCAAGAAAGAGGTGAAGAAGGAGGGAACGCCCACTCCTGCTAGGGAGGGCACACCAAAGGAAGAGGATGGTGATGGTGATGATGGTATCTATAAATGGTGGGAAAATCAACAAGATGACGATTCCATCAAATGGGAAACTCTTGAACATAATGGTGTCATTTTCCCTCCTGAATATGAGCCTTTGCCAACCCACGTGAAGATGTTCTACGATGGTAAGCCTGTGAATTTGCCTCCAGCTGCGGAGGAAGTTGCTGGCTTCTACGCTGCGATGCTAGAGACTGATCACGCAAAGAATCCAACTTTCCAGAAGAACTTCTTCAAGGACTTCCTCAAGGTCTTGGAAGAAAGCGGTGGATGCAATGCTAGCATCACTGACTTTGACAAGTGTGATTTTACAAAGATGTTTAACTACTTTGAAGCTAAAAAGGAAGAAAAGAAGAACATGACAGCTGCTGAAAAGAAGAAGATCAAAGCTGAAAAGGAAAAATTCGAAGAGCCTTATAAGACGTGTCTGTTGAACGGGAGAAAAGAGCAAGTTGGTAACTTTAGAGTTGAACCACCGGGTCTTTTCAGAGGTCGTGGTGCACATCCCAAAACTGGTAAGCTCAAGAGAAGAGTTTACCCTGAAGATATCATCCTCAACCTTGGCAAAGATGCCAAAATTCCAGATCCGCCTCCAGGACATTCATGGGGTGAAGTGAGACATGACAATACTGTGTCATGGCTAGCTATGTGGAGAGAAAACATCTCCAACAGTGTGAAGTACGTCAGATTTGCTGCTAATTCTTCTCTTAAAGGTATGAGTGATTACAAGAAGTTCGAGAAGGCAAGAGAGCTGAAGAACCACATCGAAAGAATCAGAAAGGACTACCGTGTCATGTTGAAGGATCAACTTATGCTAAATAGACAGATCGCCACTGCAACGTATTTAATCGATGTGTTTGCTCTTAGAGCTGGTGGTGAAAAATCGGATGATGAAGCAGATACTGTGGGTTGTTGTTCTCTTAGATTTGAACACATAACACTGAGTCCTCCAAACACTGTGATCTTTGATTTCTTGGGTAAAGATTCCATCAGATTCTATCAAGAAGTTGAAGTAGATTTACAAGTTTTCAAGAACTTGAAGATCTTTAAGCGCCCTCCAAAAGTTCCAGGTGATGATCTTTTCGATAGAATTGATCCAAGTGTTTTGAATAAGCATTTCCAAAAGTACATGCCAGGGTTAACGGCCAAAGTGTTCCGTACTTATAACGCTTCCAAGACCATGCAAGACCAGTTGGATCTGATTCCAAACGAAGGTACACCAAATGAAAAGGTTGTCAAGTTCAACGCTGCTAACAGAACCGTGGCAATCTTGTGTAATCACCAGCGTACCGTGTCTAAAGGCCATGAAACTGCTATGCAAAAAATCAACGATAAGCTCAAGGAGATGATGTGGCAAAAGATCAGGCTTAAGAAGATGATGCTACAGCTTGACTCAAAGCTGAAGAAGAAGAAACCAAAGTATTTCGAGGAGTTGGAAGATTTAACTCGTGAAGATGAGGCCACCATTCATAAGAACTTGATTGCCAGAGAGCATGAGAAGTACGAAAAGAAGTTCAAGCGAGAAAACGATAAAAGAGCTGAGAACAAGGAGGAGCTTTTGCCAAAGTCTCAGCTAAAAGAGTGGAACAATAAGGTCAAGGAGCTGGAAAAGCAGTACGCAAAGGAATTGAAGAGTGGTAAACCCGTTGTTCCTGACAATGCCACGCTGGAGAAACTAGAGGCGCAGGTTGAAAAGCTCGAACAGAGAATCGCAAATACCATGCTGCAAATGAAAGACAAAGAGGATAACTCTCAGGTCGCCTTGAGTACTTCCAAGATCAACTACATCGACCCAAGATTATCGGTAATGTTCTGTAAAAAGTACGATGTTCCTATCGAGAAGGTCTTCACGAAGACCCTGAGAGAGAAGTTCAAATGGGCCATCGAGTCTGTTGACGAGAATTGGAGGTTTTAACACGCGTTTGCTTGGTGTCCCATCTTATTACATAAGCCAGAACTCATTTCCACGGTGTGCTATACATGAACCGGTGTGTAGTTCTCTAACATTTCTCCCTCCTTCGATACGCGTCATCTGACATTGGCGAATGATTTTTTCGCCTTCTTTTCATTCTTTATGCGGTCAGATCCACGCGTTTTGCTGTTTCGTGATACATCGAAAAACGCGTTTCTCTTGCAGGTTCGTGTACCTTTGAATGCACATTTCATAGACATCTCACCAGAATCATAGTCCCTACGCCTTCTCGGTCTGCTAACCTTGTAAGCTTGACTGCCTTAGCAGGCTTACGATGAAATTGGATTATATTCTCCTTTTTTGCTTGACGTTCTTTCCCTCTTTCTGCCACCTATAGTGTTGTAGCCAAGCAGTCTAAGCAGCAGTTTGAACAGTTCCACGATGGTTATCAGAACGGTGTTAGTTACAGACCATGTGGTCAAGGCTGCGAGCTCGGCCAACACAACCATAAGCACAGTGGAGTCTACAAGCTCGATGCCAATAATTACAGCAACTTCTTCCAGTACGAGTGTCTCCTCCTTGTCATCATCATCAACAACGTCTTTCGTGGTGCAGGTACCTGAAGGTAAGAACCCGTTTATTCAATCATACACGCTGCCCTCTCAGCTGGTCTTCATCGTTGTTGGTGCTGTTCTGGGGGCGTTCTTCATCAGTATTATACTTGCCAGGATGATTATCTGGCACAGATCGAGCAATAAGGCAAAGAAGGCTCATCCTTTCATCGTCAACTCCCTCCCGGACCCGGATCCATCCTTGTTCCACGACAAGAAGAGCATCGCGCCGTCCATATACTCGCTCAACTCCTCCAGCACAATCAACGTGCTTGGCTCGGTCTCTACTGAAGACCTCCTGGTCAACAGTGGTGCCCAGGGAAGATCTTACAGGACGGCTCTGGCAAGAGCTTCAAGAAGCTCTCTGTTTATATCTCCTACTGAGATGATTGCACTGGCAGACTATGACAAGCCAGATGATTCATACCTTAGCTGGGATAACTCGCCTATAGAGTCACCGCACACAGCCAACTTCACCTTACAATCAACGCCATCAACGCTGGATCCTGAGAAGGATGCCGGTAACATCGCAGGGCACATGTGGAAGACTACAGGGACGCCAAAGAGACCACCAAGCGTACACATGGAGATGATGTTTGATGATGATCTCAAAGACATCATCAACTCATCAAACAGTTCGGATAACAGTTCGATTGAGGACCTAAACGAAAAGGTATAACATATCAGTCGATGATCACGTTAGATAATGGAGAATCCATGTGTGTTATATGTTGCATAAATAAGATATGAAGTGGAAGGGAATAAATATAAATAAATATATGGGTGACTGATGTCAATAAATAGTGATAATACGGTGATTGGTTGAAATCTCTTTAACGATCAACCTCACCAAACACAAGATCCATGGTACCAATAATTGCAACAGCATCGGCAAGGAAGTGACCTCTGGCAATGTGGTCAAACGCACCCAAGTGAGCGAAACCTGGTGCTCTGATTTTACACTTGTATGGTCTCTCAGAACCATCGCTGACAAGATATACACCCATCTCACCCTTTGGAGCCTCAATTGGGACATATGTCTCACCTTGTGGTACAGCATAACCCTTACTGAAGAGCAAGAAGTGATGGATAAGGGCCTCCATATCTTCTTTCATCAATGCTCTTGGTGGAGGGGAGATCTTGTAGTCCTCCACTTTGACAGGACCTGGTGGCATATCATTGCAACACTGCTCAATGATTCTCAAGGACTGTCTGAACTCAGCCATACGGACTAGGTAACGGTCATAACAGTCACCGTTGAGACCAACTGGAATATCAAAGTCAACCAAGTCATATGCATCGTATGGCTGAGCCTTACGGACGTCGTATGGGATACCTGAACCTCTGAGCATGACACCTGAACAACCGTAGTTCATGGCCTCCTCTGCAGTCAGAATACCAATACCAATGGTTCTCTGCTTCCAGATTCTGTTGTCGGTCAATAGTTCTTCGGTTTCATCAATACGGTCACCGAACTGTGTAGCCCACATGTAAATGTCATCCAACAAACCTTGTGGGATATCCTGGGAAACACCACCTGGTCTAAAGTAGGCAGCGTGCAATCTAGCACCAGAAACACGCTCATAGTACTCCATAAGCTTTTCACGCTCCTCGAACCCCCACAAGAAAGGCGTCAAGGCACCAACATCCATCGCGTGGGACAAGATGGACATCAAGTGGTTCAAGATTCTGGTGATTTCACCGAAAAGGGTTCTAATGTACTTGGCTCTGATTGGAACCTCGATGTTCAGCAGCTTTTCAGTGGCCAAAGCAAAGGACAACTCGTTGGTCATCATGGACACATAATCAAGACGGTCAAAGTATGGCAAAGCCTGCAAATAAGTCTTGGACTCGATGAGCTTCTCGGTACCTCTGTGAAGCAGACCGATATGAGGATCAGCCCTGATGATCTCCTCACCGTGCAACTCGAGAATCAATCTCAACACACCGTGAGCAGCAGGGTGCTGAGGACCAAAATTCACGGTAAAGTGTCTAATCTTAGACTTGTCCTCCTTACCACTCTCCATGTAGTCTCTTGTGTCCTCATCGTACAAATCCAGGTCCTCCAAAAGCTGGGTAGGCTGGTAGGTTCCCAGCGGGTTGTTGATACTCTCCTTGTCGATCTCATGAGGAGTTGGCTGGTGGCGTGGGGGATGGTAGGCATCAAACTCACTCAACTGCGACACTCTTGAAGTGGAAAACTGCTGACAAGAACGCACGCAAGGCGACTTCCAGGCAGTTCCAGCGAGTCTTCTGATGTTCTCACGGGTCAGGTTGACTCTCAGAGAATGGCGAAACATCTTTTGGGGGAATCTATACGAAGCAGTTGTTTCCGTTGTTGTTTGTTTATTGTGCTTCGTTAAGGGATTTTCCCCTTAAAATTTCGGACGTTTTCTTTGGCTGGAAAACTTTACGGTTTGCGCACTACATCACCACATCCGTACACCTCGGCCTTTTATTGCCTCAAGCTGGTTTTGGATAGCATAGAATCCATCTACGTGTACTGGTCAATGACACTGGCAGGCTTGGAATACTGGCCCGTGGGCGTGTAGTGAACTTCGTCGAGTCCGAAAGCACTCGGCCCACCGATCTGTAGCGCCCTCTCGGTGTCTGTCCATAGGTTACTTGGTGATAGGGCCAGGACCACTACCAAGATGCCATATCTGTAGTCTGGCGTCCCGACGGCCTCGCCGGTTTCTGAGTCAATGACAGAGATCAGGTCTGGAACCGAGGCCACAACCTCTCCGTCGATTGTAGCGTAGATGTTTTCATTCTGGAACTGTACCTTCATGGTGTGGGCTTCATTCTCAATGATAACCTCACCAAACACATAGCCTTTCCGAACTTTCTTCTCAACGCCCACGATCTTTCCTTGGAACAGTTGCACGGCAGCGTTCTGTCCTAGACATTCGACTATGCGAGTCGAAACGTTCCCCAAGTCTGCATTTTGTTTGGCAATGCATACTGCCCGCCCAATCCTCCATGCCAATGATACACTGTTCCTGACGAGCACTCGATTGACATTCTTCACCTCCGTTACCAATCCCACAAAGAGACCAAGCTCACTCAAGATCGCTCGTATGACATCTTCAGCAGACTTGTTTGACTTTGTATTTTTAATCAGAATGTCGTTGCCATTGCCATCACTTATAGCACATGGAGAGAAGCATGGGTACTCGCTACACACATTGGGGGTGATTTGCCAGATCATTGGATATGCTCTCCCCATAAGATCACCATCAATGATCTTGATTCCAAGCTCTGCGCCGAGTAGTAAGGCTTGGAACCCGTTCCCTCCTCCGATTTCCAACCCTAGAACGCTATCAACGTTGTTACTGAAGCTCAACATCTTGTAAGCCGTCATGATCTCAGATCCCTGAATACGTTCATTCGCAACGGTTGGCGAGCCAACAAATCCCACGCTGATAGAATTGTAATCCTTCTCCATATCTGCATCAACAACTGTCATCCGATAGCCACGTTGTAATAGGATTTTGGCTGATAAGTATTGGGCATACGGGTCTCCGCCACCACCACATCCTAAGATATACGTGCCAATTCTCAAGAACTCCAAGTCCGTGGTGCTCAGATTCCACTCTTTATTAATCACAGACGGTTTATATCTCCTATAATCAACAGTTGGCTCTTTCATTCTCAACTCAGGAACATGTTTGTTGGTCACTGGAACGGACTCTGGTACATAAACATCATCGTCCAAGTTGACTGTGATCTGCTTCAATCTCTTATAATCAACATCAGCTATAGCTTTGACTTCAAACCTGTGCATATTTGTGTATGGGATCTCCTCTTCGGCAATGTCAATGATTCTGATGGTGTCCTCCATGGCTCCCTTAGTGATGGCTCTTGCAACAGCTTCTTTTTTAAGCTTCTCAATCATTGCATCCTTGTTATCAATGCTACCAAACGACTGGGCAATCGAGCTGATCTTGCCAATAGCAGCACCTATTGCATTGGCCACGGCAAAGAATTCTGGTCTCCGAACTTCAGAAGCACCTCTAATGTTAGAAGGTAGGATGAACGACCCACCACCGACAAGAAGCACTGGAATGTCTTCCGGGGACGTTTTCATACGATCAACAACTTTCTCAACAGTTTCAACAACTTTACACCGGTAATGGTGAACGATGTGCTTTGCAACTTTCCCTCTAACTCTCTCAGGATCACCAAACGCATAGATATTGGAAGAGTGATCTTCCTCCTCAAGTTGCGCACATATGGCAACGTCAGAAGCAGTGAGAGTATCTCCTCCTCCAACAACAGACCTTGTCAAATCGCTTCCTATTGAGTCAGGACCAATGCTCACGTCGTTGTTTTCTGTAATCCGAACTATTGATCCTCCACCGAGCCCAACGCTCTCTACTTGAGGCATCGCCAACCTTGTCTTGACACCCCCGATAAATGAGAAAGATGATGTCTTACGTGGATAGCCAGACTCCAAGAGGAGCCCCACGTCTGTCGTAGTACCGCCAACATCAACCACGATGACCTTCTGGCCTTCAAGGCTCCCCAGGAGGAAAGAGGCTCCTCTCATCGAATTCGTCGTACCAGAGGAGAACGTTCGGATGGGAACCTTCAGGGCCTCCGGCACTGTAAGCACAGTCCCATCGTTCTGTGTGAGCAAGATCGGTGCCTCGATCTGTGTCTCTCTCACCGCTTTCGCAAACGCTCTAATCATCCTCGTGGAATACCGCTTGACCGAAGCATTCAGAATGCTCAGGTTCTCACGCTCCAGGTACCCAACCCCGCTGAGCTCATGTGAGACGACAACGCTGACATCTCCAAGCTCCTCTGTCAGCAAGGAAGCAACGGCTTGCTCTTGTTGTGAGAACACCGGAGAGAACACACCAGTGACGACAATGGCCTTGAGCCCCAGGTCTCTGATCCTACGGGCGTGCTCAACAACCTCGGACTCGTCCAGCCGTTCGATCTGCTCCCCACCAACGTGATAGCCACCCTTCAGATATCCGACGTAGCCCTTTATCACATCCGCCAGGTCTCTGGGGAAGTCTGTGAACGGCGGTACGCTGTGTGAGTAAGGCCCACAAAGCCTCAATACAGCAACTCTAGCCAACTTGGAGCAATCTCGCTCCACCACGGCATTTATGAAATGTGTGGTCCCGATGGTGACGCTGAGCACGTCCGTTTTCACCACGCTGGTCTGTGATTGGAACAGCGCTTCGACTGATTGCTCAATCGCTTCCGCAGCGCTGGCCGATGTCACCTGCTTGCTCCAGCTGATAACAGACTCACCAACCGTGGCTCTGGTTGGATCTAACAGCACCGAGTCGGTGTTTGTGCCACCGACATCCACGCCAATCACATACGACATCGTTATGTAACTCTTCTCTTACAACGGCACTCGGGTCGGTGGACTTCACCGACACCAGCCTCCACACCCTCACCGCCCCTTTAAAAGCATCTCCTCACAGTGGAGCAAGCTGTTGATCCTGGTGAGGATTATAGTTAAGCTTCGTTGCTGGCCCATAAACCCGGGCCGCAGATACGCACACCTATGCAAAGTGGCGCCGGCCGGTCCTAAAACCCTCCACCGCCATCTTCCCACCAAAAGAGGAAAACGCCGATACCACACTGGCCTGTTCGTCCTCTCTGCCTGTTGCATGGGCCCAACCGTGTTGCTCCTTGCAGCGAGCTTGCTGTGCTTTCGAGTTGGGAGATGGGGTCATTGTGCTAAGGACGATTCGTGATAGATCTCGGGACAGCAATCATGCACTTCCAGGGCTTCAGGTGTTGAAGCACCGTCAGCTGGGAGATGTCGTTTTGCACGGATGTGAAAAGGCATAAAGCTTAGTGTAGGGGCGTTTGAAGGTTTGGGCTGTTCATGCACAAGGCTGCAAAGCAGAGAAGTGGGCCATAGCGAGATAACTAAGACAACTGGAAGCACTGGGGTCACTGGAAAGGTTTGAAAGGTTGACACAACTGCCACTTCAGCTGGGAATCGCCGCCAGCACCCGGTTGGGCTTAGAGAGTGTCGTCACGGCTTTGGTCAAGCGCAAAAGATTTATGGCGAAGCGTGCAACACACGCCCAATCTACAAGGATCAGCATGTGACGAAATAATAGTGCACAGGGCCCGTATGTCTGAATGCACAGATATGATGTGTCTTTGCTATACGTGAGTTGCTTCACAACACTTTGTATCCTGAGAACTCATTGTAGTATAAGTTGTTCAATTCGTCGATACCTTCCTCGCCAATTTCATTCCAAAACCCTTCCAGAAGGTTCAGAGGTGTGGTCTCTCGCCTGGTTGTAGCGTCTGCCTCAGGCGGATTATATGTTGTATAATTCCCATTGATTACCTGCTTTTCATGGTCTTGCTGCCTTCTGTCAGAACTGTTGGAAACACCAGCATTCTCAACAGTGGATGGCTTGTGAGTGTCCTCAAACTCCGAGATGATAATAGGGGTATTCCCTGTTGGCGGTGGAAGTATCACTTTCTTTCTTCTATGCGTTGACGGAGGTTTGATTCCTCCTGATTTCTCGGACTCTAGTGTTTTAAACCTTGGTAATGACTTTTCAAGCACTGTTTCATCAATCAAGACACCAATCTGGTTACGAGAGTTGTAACTTTCACGAGTTTCTTGTTCCTCATCTGTCTCTGATTGGGCGTTGTTCTTGTCATTTTGGTCAACAATAAAGGAAACGGTACATTTCTTCAAATAAGACTCTGTAATGACTTTCCCTCCAAACACATTGGAAACAATGTCTTTCTGATCATTCTCTAACTCAACTAGATTTTCATTTATGCTTTTCTTCAACGCCTCTAGGACCTTGAAGCTTTCCTTTAGTATCTCAGGCTTCAAGATAAACACATCATCACTCAATATCTTGAGATCACTCAACATTAAATCAATATCTGAATAAAGAGAAGCTTGCTCGACTCTGGATAGTTCTCTGCAAACCAGCAGCATCATAGATTGGATCACAGATCCTGTAAAACTCTGATGAATCTGAGGTAAAAATAGTGGGTTTCGTAAATCGTACACCATCCGAAGCTTTCTGTAAACTGTAAACAATGAACATGCTGTCGTTCTTGCAACTTCAGATGCAGCGTATATGCCATCCTGGAGGTAATTTTGATAAATTCTGAATCGATGGATGCAAATACAGGTATGCAGCATGTGATGTTGAAAATGGATTCTCGAGCCAAGAGTGTATGGCAATGTGCCATCTTTATCGAGTTCAAAAAACCACGATTTGTTGGTCTGACATAGCTCGATATCAACTTCCAGCAATCCCCTGAATATTTCATCGTTGATCAATTCCAAATTGTGCATATCTTTAGAACTGACCTGATGTTTCCTCTCAAAGATACCATTCATTATTTTCATCATCAATGCACGATAAATGTTGAAAGAGTTATCAGTCGGATGTTTCATTGATAATATTCTTATGGAATCTTCGTCAATATCTTCATCATTGGCATTTGAAGGAAATGGTACTGTTGATTTATATGACTTAATCAAGGGTTTTTTGCCTAGAGATAGTGCTCTATAAGTATCACAGCCACATATGTCCCACCATAGTCGACGTTTCATTTCAACTTGAAGAATGTTTGGATTATCCTTGTCATCCTTGTCCAATCCCATATCCAGCGCATGTTTGATTGCAGCATTCAAGAAATCATTCAACTGTTCTGATCTTTTTGTAGCGTAGAAGTATAATTGACACAACGAAAACCACTCTAGCATATACAAGTTGAACTCGGAAGGTGAACTGCGCAGTGCATCAGCATATTGAATGCATTCCCGTGATGCATCAAACCAAGTTTGATGAGAGCTTGCAATCTCTTCTGATGATATGTTGATTAAGCCCTTGGGGAGGTGAATGGCTGCAAGTCCCAAAACCATTAGTAGAGTTGCTAGCCATCCAATGTCAACATCATCTTTCCTACTCCAAAAGCTTTCCAATGATTTCTTAAAGCTTGGATGGTGGATTGGATGATAGATGTAGTCAATGTTTTGGAGGTAGAACTCCACGAGGAAATTGGTCTGGGTCTTTGAAGGTAGGAGTTTAACATACTTCTTCTTGAAGTCATTACTGGCCGAGTTTCTTCTTCGCTCATTATTAGGTGGCGTCGGTATCTGGGCATTAGTTGTTGGTTCGAGTTTCAATCTTGATGTTAGTAATGCAATCTCTTTCCTCTGTTGTGCATTCTTAACCTCCAAAGCTTTCAACCTTTTATTTTGCCAATCAATATGAGCCTGGGGTTGGTTGTTAGCCGAATCTGGTGCCGCTGTTGAAGATGGTATAGATGTGGATGCTGTACTGGATGGTGAGAGATGGTCTGTGTTCAGAGAACCCGGTACGTTCACCTGCTTGTTTGAAGAAGCATTATAGCCTTGCCGCGGAGATGTGTTGATATTCGTCTGAGAAATAGGTATTGGAACCGTCTGTGGAGCGTTCGAAGCGTCGAAGCTATGTCTCATATGGGGGAATGGTTGCGATACCTGTCTCTGTAAGGGTGGCTGGAACTGTTGCCGCTGATGGAGTTGATGATGATAGTTCTGTTGATGAGTACGGACATGCTCGTTATGGTTCACTGGGCTCCACGGTTGGCCGTGCGAGTTGTGCATATAACCAGCGTATTGGCCGGTGTATGGCATTAAAGGCTCGTTTATACCCTGGTGGTGTATCTCACTGGTACTCTGGGCCCTCTCAAAGGGTGGGAAAGGCCGCTCGTCCAACTTCGGTAGCTTCTGTGGTGGTGGTGCTTGTGGGATGGCATTGCTTGGGACAGAGTCCTGTGGAGGGACATGGAGCCTTCCAAAACTTGTGTTTGGAGCGGTACGTTCCTGAGCATTGTTGAGAGGTGTTGCTGGGTTAGCCAAACACTCGCCAATTCGTGTGTTACGTCCTGTCTTACACGTCGAGCAGGGGATTTGTAAATCACACTTCCTCTTCAATCTTCGACAAGGACCACAAGCATGCGACTTCTTGCCAGAGGGTCTCAACTGTCCAGCGATGTTCGATGCCATCGCTCTTGTCTGGAGAAGTTTGGGGCAATCCTCTGCTAAGTCAGAATCTCCTCAACGTGAACCAAAGCCGTGTACTTCTATGAACTGAGGGAGAGACAAAGAGAGAGAGAGAAAGATGCACACAGGAAGGAAACAGAACCCTAGACACTCTAAAGATTTCAAGGCTCAATGGAAGCCTAGTCCGCTAGCAGCAGGTGGAATAAAACTCGACAACCCTTAGAGGCGCAAATCGTCTGCCTGCCTGCCCAGGGTGGAGGCTCGAACTTTGTTTGCGGTGTACCGTAGGGCCGTTCAAACTCTGTCGACTCGACGTAATTTCAACTGGGAAAGGTCCTCCAGTATGGGTTTTAAGCAGTGAAGCGTACATGAGTTAGAACACGCAGGCTCAATCGTGCAAATTTGTGTTTTTCCTTTTTCCTCCTTCTGACCTAACAAACAGACTACGCCATGACAATTGGTCCTACAGAACATGGGTATAGTTATCTTATCAGACTTGAATTGTGCCTTATGGTTTACGGATATACGTGTGGATCTTGGAAATACCTGTGTTAACTGTGGCCTCGCTCAGGTCACATCACCGGCGCGCGCTGCTAAAACCGACTCGGTATAAGGTGCCTCTTTCTATGAACATTGGCACTGTTCATATCTCGGGAGCCGTGTGGAAAAAGCCGGTGGAAAATGTTGGGAACTGTCCCTATGGAACGCATGGAGGATGCATTGTGGGCTTAGGAGGCCTCTGTTTTAAGAACCGGCAATGGAATATTATCCGTGCAACCAGAGCATATCCCAGTTGTGCGTGTGTGTGTGTGTCTCCATTGGCACATCCGTCCACGTCTTTTCAGGTGAGGAGACTTGCGTAATAATATTCTTACGCAAGGTTATCTGATTAGGACCTACTGTCAAACTTGTCAGCGTGGCTATCTTCCAAGACTTGTTGGTAAGAGTAACATATGCTGTTAAGTGTGATTTCTTTTGGGAGGAAGAAGCTTGATCGCTCGGAGAGTCGGACGTTGCCCAGTGGCTTCACCCTCAAACCCTCCACGACGACCATACCGTGCATCTGAAGCCACTAATTAACTGGCAAGGCGTTGAGCTGTGCGATGAACAGCTCCGATGTATAAACCCATCATCGGAGAAACATCAGGTCATGGGCAAGAAGAGCGATGAAGACACATGTGGAGCGACGCTTGTCTGTCGATGAAGCATACGATCTGACACGTCAGTCCCACCAGCGTTATTACACGGTATGCGTTCCATTAGTTGTTCTGGTTGCGGTATCCTCTCCCGTGGTGGGGTGTGGTGCGCCGCTTGAATTATCCGTCTATCGTTAAGGGAATAAAATGAGTTCGTAGTGCTGTACTGTCGATCTGCCAAAAGAGAGTGTTAGGCAGCTCAGAACATGTACAGATGCTTAAAAGGCTCATCGGTCATGTGCGTATGTGCCTATTATGTATAAGGCGACTGGGATCAACAACAGCTCGCCTATCATTGGCTAGAACGCCAATAAGCACGGAAGTTTACAGCATATATTGATCTCCACGATATGGCTCGGAATGTGCATCAAACTTTCTTAAGTCTTCAAATGGCTGTTTTCAACAATATTAAACAGAGCTATTGGCTAGAAGTTCCGGAAGTGTGTAACTTTCATTATATTTTGCAAGGCTGTCATCGATCTGCATAATACTTACAACAACTGACAACAAGTGTGCATATGGTTAAATGATTGCAACACTTGTCACCCAGTATTTGAAGAGCCGTCCTAAAGTAACGCTGGAAGCCACTCCCTGTGACTACAGCTATGCCTGTGTACTTGAACCTTAGGGGAGATGAGTGTGTGCAAGCTTGGCTGGCAACTCGCTCGACATCCCGATACATTCATGGGCCTCTCCATAGTGGATCGGTAGACCCTTCAAAAGGAGCCTCGTTTTCAAAACAGGCCAGCAAGCTGTGATTCGAGCTCCGCAGTTGGATACTCCTGTGGTGGGTTTGGGATCTTAGCCCTCCACACTTCCTCGCCATTGACATATATCACAAACGTTGGCCACCACACAACATCGATGCTCTTTTGAACTTCCAACCCAGGCTCTGTTAACCCATTGATCTGGTAAAAGCGTGCTCCTGTGAAACGACTCGCTACTGATCTATATAAGGGGGCAACAACATCACATGGTCCGCAACGAGTTGAGTAGAAATCAAGCACCACAACCCGACTAGACCGCAGTGCATGTTGAAACTCCTCAAGATTCGATATCTCAGTCACAAAGCCGGCCTCTGTTCCAAAAGTCATTGTCAATCCTATTGATCTAATCCAGCTCCAGCTTTGGTTATAGTTCTTAGGTATACCTGGTGTGTTTCTGAGACAGATACAGGTCAACCTAGGAACAAATCTTTGGATCTCTTGTAAGCGTTGAAGCGAGGTTCTTCAATGCGAGTCGGAAAGTGAGAGACTGCTTCACACAGCACAGGAACAACAGCACAAAAGAAAGGTACACGCAGAGCTCATGTTCCTCACACCAAATACGTGGGTTACCCCTGAGTTTTTATACAGGAAAAGCCCTCTGTCATCGTTGTAAACACTCTGTTGCCCTTTTGGAAGTGGTGAGAGCCTCCGCTCAAAGTGCGGACATCGGAGCCAAGCGGAGGTTACCACTTTGGTAATGAGCCCGCAGCAAAACACTGTTGAAGGAGACGTCGCTGGATGTGTAAGCCAAGGTGTTTAGGCTTGTGTGAGTGACAATCCACCATTGTTGATCTGCTAATGTGTGCTTCTCCCGCCATAGTCCAACTGCAGTGTTACGCTGATGGTTGTGCGTACCCGTGTAATATACATCTATGTATATCTGTGTGCCACGGCTTCGTGATGAAATTATCCTATCACTTACAAAACAATTCAATACATCCTATGTTACAAGGGTTCAATCCAACCGTAGCAATTGTATGCAATGAAAGAGTTACTTTTCAAAGGATGTATTGATACGCCACGAATACATGATCTACACACTCACACCTTCCTCTGTTGAATCAACATCTTCAGTAGAAATGCTGTCGTCCTGAGCGTCAACCTCGGAAGCAATTGCAGTCTCTAGGACTTCCCCACCTTCATCAATGCTCTCTTCATCTGCTCTGTTACTTTCCGCACTTCCATCAAGTTCGTGAACTTCAACTGCTGAAGTTGTTGACGCCTTCAAAACATCATCGCCATTATTGTCGTTATCTTGGGCCAATTTCTCAACTTCATCTTTAAGCTCTTCCTTCTTTTTGAGGTATTCCTGCTGCTTCTTTGTTCTCAGCTTCAACATGGTGTTCTGTCCAGTCCCCAGGACAAAATAACAAAGCTGGTTGAATCCAACCCAGAGCTCAGGCTCCAGGAATTTTTGACAAATGGCAATGACAACTGGGCCGGTGATCCATGATGACTTCAAAACGCTAAGCAAAGATTTCTTCCAAGCGCTCTTTACGGTGGTCCACGCCCTTTCAAGTTCGTCGCCTTTACCAAGGGCCAACAGTTGCAACTTCGGCGTCATGTTAACAAGAGAGACAAAGGCAACAAACAGCGTGCTCATCAACGGCGTCAACGTCGCCATTGACAAAACAATCTGGGTGATCTTCTGTTTCAAAGTCAAGGGACCTTTGAACAAAGCATTGAGCCATTGGTAGCCATAATGTGTGATTGGCGCTCCAACACCGGCAGAAAACAGCGCAAAGATTGGCAACTTCCAAGAAAGCGTATGTTTAACCTTAACGTTCAAGACAGTTGACACTTTGAACTCCCTGGCAACACCGCTGGCAATCACTTCGTTCAACACCGCAAGAACTGCAGCAGTCACACATTTGGTCAAGAGAGGATTCTTGTGCAGCGAGTCGAGGTATCTCTTATTCAGCGATTGTGCCATATTAACAGCAGAGCAAAGTGAGCTTGATGGCAGGCAACGGGATAGCGCAATCGACACTGTGTCGCAATTGGAGGGAATGAAGGATCAACGGGTGCGTAAAGAGATCATTTTATATACTGGAAACCCACTCAACAAACTCCAACTTGCCATCTGTGCGATAACCCTCCCACGATAAAACACGCCAGTTACGCCGTTGGCAGCTGCGCATTTTACCGATTCCCGAAAGAGGAGAACTCTGTGGCCACTCGCTTTGCTCCACCTGCCAAAACAGGAAGCAGTGATCTCCGAGGGCACCCGTCTCACGTGACTGACCTCGGATTATGCAGACCAGGCCATCGAAGCTCATCTCACCGGGTAACCCCACCCACCCTCGGATTTCTGCGGTGAGCTTGTGGTACGGGCCACACACCGTGCAACAGAGCACATACAAAGCGATTTCCGACCATCTCTGAAGAGGGAAAAAAAATTTTCTGAAGGCATCTTTTAATGAAAAATTTCTGTGAAAAGTACCAAATCCAAGCCATATTCAAACTTCATTGAAGAGTCTGGTAATTTTTCCCATTAGCTCTAACTTTTAAGACTTTTACACATACACAATCAATAATGGCTTTCACTCCAGGTGGTAGAGGTGGCAGAGGCGGTGCCAGAGGTGGCTTCGGTGGCCGTGGTGGCCGTGGTGGTGCCAGAGGTGGTTTCGGTGGTGCTCGTGGTGGCCGTGGTGGTGCCAGAGGTGGTGCCCGTGGTGGTGCTAGAGGAGGAAGAGGTGGTGCCCGTGGTGGCCGTGGTGGTGCTCGTGGTGGTGCTAAAGGTGGTGCCAAGGTTGTCATTGAGCCACACAGACACGCCGGTGTCTTCATCGCCAGAGGTAAGGAGGATTTGCTTGTGACGAAGAACATTGCACCAGGCGAGTCCGTCTACGGTGAGAAGAGAATCACCGTTGAGGAGCCATCAAAGGAAGAGGGTGTCCCACCAACCAAGGTTGAATACCGTGTTTGGAACCCTTTCAGATCTAAGTTGGCTGCCGGTATCATGGGTGGTTTGGATGAACTCTTCATAGCCCCAGGTAAGAAAGTGTTGTATTTGGGTGCTGCTTCTGGTACTTCCGTCTCCCACGTTTCTGATTTAGTTGGACCAGAAGGTTTGGTGTACGCTGTCGAGTTCTCTCACAGACCAGGTAGAGAGTTGATTGGTATGGCAAAGAAGAGACCAAACGTCATCCCAATCATTGAGGATGCTAGACACCCACAGAAATACAGAATGCTTGTTGGCATGGTTGATGCTGTCTTTGCTGATGTTGCCCAACCAGATCAAGCCCGTATCATTGCCCTCAACTCCCACTTGTTCCTCAAAGACCAAGGTGGTGTCATCATCTCCATCAAGGCCAACTGTATCGACTCCACCGTGGATGCTGAGACTGTCTTTGCCCGTGAGGTGCAAAAGCTTCGTGAGGAGAAGATCAAGCCATTGGAGCAATTGACATTGGAGCCATATGAGAGAGACCACTGTATCGTCATTGGTAGATACATGAGAAGTGGGTTATAAGCGTGATGCCTAAGTGTAAAGCGTTATGATTAGATCGGAGTTCGATGAGGAGAAGACGAAGACGGAAAAAGTGAGAAAGGCATATCAATTCTTAGAGTCTATTGATTCGAGTAATTTCTGCATGTACATTATATCGGTTTTTTTATAGTTAATTAGCCAATCAATTTTGGCAATGAAGTTATGTGTAGAAACAATGTCTCTGTCTGGTAATAATTGGAACAGCTGATCTTCACTGATCGGCCGTTCATGATGTACACACAATTTCCCCCGACGCCTACTCAATTGGCATGGGTTTACCCTCGTGAGTAGACCCACGTGTAGGGAATGGTTGGTTAGTAGAGCAAGGTGCTACTCGATGTGGTGGTATTCGGTAAACCGTTCCCACGGGTATCTGAATAAAACCCTTGAATATGACATACCACGTAATGTGTATATAAAGAGTGTGGAGCACTCCCGTAGCTGCCTTGTGTTTCGGCCTAGGCTCAACATCAACAACCAATTTTTAACATGAAGCTCTCCACAGCCATTGCACTCGCTTTCTCCTCAGTTGTCTCTGCTAAGAACATCCTCCTGACCAACGATGACGGTTGGTTGGCAACAGGCATCAGGGCTGCGTATAGAGAGCTCAGCGCTGCAGGCCACAACGTCTATCTCGTTGCACCAGCTGAGCAGAGATCCGGTTACGGTGGTACGTTCAGGTATAACAAGGGCAAGACACTGGAAGCAAACGATGAGTTCAACTATAAGAAGCAAGGTGATCCAGCGTGGGGACACGAGGACTCTGACGATCACATTTGGTATTTCGATGCCACCCCTGCCGCTTGCGTTGCCTTTGCCTTTGACTACCTTCTGCCAACACACTTTGCCGGTGTTGAGATCGACCTTGTCGTTTCAGGCCCTAACCAAGGTACAAACCCAGAGACTTTCTTCACCTTGTCAAGTACCATTGGTGCAACTTATAACGCTGTGTATAGAGGTTATCCGGCCGTCGCTTTCTCCGGCTCTGATCCCATCAACACTTTCTACAAGCACACTCTGAACACCCTTGCCAACGATCCTCAAAACATCTACGCAAAGAAGATTGTCGAGCTCGTTGACACGCTCTTCGCTAACCAGAAGGAGGACGAGAGACTGTTGCCGTTGGGCACGGGTCTCAACGTCAACTTCCCACTCGTCGGCTTCGAATCCGTTGTGGGCTGTGACGATCCAAAGTACACCTTCACCAGGCTTACGGGCCCAACAGCCATAGCCCTGGCACTCAAGTACAGCGACCTCACACACACCTTCTTGCCCTCCATCACCACGGCACCGGGAGCAAACGTCTACTACAACGGTGACTCCTCTTTGCCTTCCGAAGGCGAGGTCTTGGCCATCCATCTGTGCAACGCACCGGTCTCTGTGTTCTCTGTCGACTACACTGCCGCAACAGCACCACAGGAGGAAGTCAAGGGCAAGCTCTCGAGTATTCTGCACGGCCTAGATGAGTAACTCGCCAGCAATGTGTATACCTGTAGTATAATACATCGTTCATGAAAATGTGCCATTCTTGAGCGCTCTTAGTAAGTCCATGAGACAGCAAAAGGGTAGTGGTTTCTTTAGAGGAGCATGAATGCACTCCTTATGGGTGTCTATTGAGATGTGGTGAGACACTTGATGAGGATGTTGTGTGCGCTGTTGACGTGGCGGCTGTGCTCTTCGGGGCTCAGCTCAATGTTTCCAGCTATATCCACGTCACAGTATATCTTTCACTAACAGTAGGATGTATATTGTTCCTCTCGCACGGTGTGGCTGGTAGAATAGCTGATATGATGATGACAGTAAGAATAGTCTTAATAACAGGATAATTCAGAAATGCAAGAGATGAAGCTTCAGTTCCAGGACCTCTATGAAGAAAAAGTATAATGGTTCAAGAGGTGCCTTTAAACCATTGTAGAGAAACACTCGAATCTTGAGGATTCATGTTTGATGTTGTTATCCTAACTCAAAAGTATGTGATCACTGTAAAGTGTTACTGTAAGTCACAGCTGACACAATTCAGTGATGAATCCGGAAATCGAGTCCGAAGGTCGAATATCACATCAAGGTGGAAACGACACACGCCTTCCAGCTGCGTGCACGACGCGTGGTGAGCGGATGGTCTATCACCGGCTCATCATGAGGCGAACGTCTCGTCCCTTCCGGACTGAATGGTGGACAATACGAGCGAGCTAAGGAGCTTGTGAAATGTCCGTTCTATGCTTCGTAAAAAATTTCCCGTGGGAAGGGCTCGAATTTATAGGCTTGAACTGCCAATATCGGACAGCTTTCCTGCCACAAGCCGGTTTTGCTGTCATTTTGCTGTGCCTTTTCGTGCCCCTCCCGGTTTCTCCCAGGCCGCGAACTCGTTTGATGGTCTGCATACCAGTGCTGTGTTTATATAGTGAAGAAGAACAACATGGGAAGAAGAGGCACATCCTCAAGGTGCTCAATATCCAGCGCCCAAAGACACAGCGAGGAGCATAGAGAGAGCGTACAAGCATGCCAGATGTCATAGACCTTTCGGAAATCGGCTCGGATGGCGACGAGTCGCTGAATCAAGACGACGTTGTTATCACAGATGTTCGAGAGGTGCCACCAGAGAGAAGGGCTGCCGGTGGTGGGTTGCGGTCCGCTGGTGTAACGATCTACCTTCCGGATGGCCCTCACGTTGTCCCCAGTGTTGTGAGACCACCGGAGCGTGTGTCGTTTGAAGGAGGTGTTGGTGCTCCGAGCCCTGCGAACAACATCAACCGTACCCCTACGCCTGGTGCGCCTGGTGGTCGACATGGCCCCGTGATGGGGAGAGCTGAAGAGCCGAGATGGAGAATCTACTTACGAACAGGGAGACGTGCGTCCACGAGGGCCAACCGCAGCATGAACCGTAGAGGCAGAGGCAGTGGCGACCCTGAGTCGTCGAGCGCACCGGACAGGTGGTATCATATTGTGCCTGATTCAGTGGACAGACACGGTAGGGATGGCGAATACAACATCCCGTTTGACATCGTCGGCTCACATCGTCACGAGAGGCGTTTTTGGCAAGACACTATGGGCTATGCTTTTGACGAGGACGGCGAGCAGGGTGACGTGGATGGTGAATATCACATTCGGCCTCGTCGAGGCTATAATACGCCCGGCATATGGAATCTACCCTTTGGTCCTAATAGAAACGACGACGTGCCACAGGAGCTGATGGACATGATCCATCAACGAGAAGAAGCTCACTTTGACAGGGTGAGACAGGCAAACCTGAACAGCACTCAGAGCTACCAGCAGGCGATAGAGGACCGTATAAAAAGCATACGAGAGCCCTACACTACGAGGATCGAACCTGAGGAGGAATACGTGTGCTGTCTCTGCGCAGTGACCTTGGGAGAAGGCCTGCCCTCGGAGTTCATCGGTAACAAGGAGAAGAGACCGTTGGTTGCACTACAAGAGGTGGACGACGTTAGAGCGCCCTTCAAGGCGATGAACCTCGTCACAGACGCAGACAGAGACCTCTCAAAGAGGATCTTCATCGCCAAGTGTGGACACACGTACTGTGGCCGTTGTGTCAATAGCATATCTCGAGTGCGTGCCACCTTGAAGACGATGAAACGGAAGTTCAAGAGGACCGATAATGACATTGACAACCCCTTCATCTGCGCCCCTGGGAAATGCGTTGCGCCAGACTGCTCCAAGGCAATCACCGGCAAGACAGCATTCATCGAGATGTTCCTATAGCGTCCGTCCAATTAATACATTTAGACCATTTTAGCGTGTCGTAGTTGTAGATGACGTTGATGGTGTTGGAGGTGATGAGGCTCGCTCGCAGAGGTAATCTCCGAGAACGGGGACTTTCTATGCTCTCTCCCCTTATCAACACACCGAAAGAAGACCATAACAATCAACGAAAAGAGCACTTATTACGCAGAAATGAAGTCGCTGATCGTCCTCCTTGCTGCCTCCCTCATCGTCACAGGATGTATGAACTCGATCTTCACCAAATACCAGGACAATCAGTACGTTGCGCCTGACCGTAAGTTCGAGCAGCCGGTGTTACAGACGCTCCAGATGTTTATCGGAGAGGCATGTGCATTTCTATTCGTGCTGGGTAAGTCGTTCAGGGGAAGACCAGGTGAATACGAGCCAATCATCGGTGGCAAGCCACCGTTGCCAGCTTCCAAGGTGTTCGTGCTGGCCATTCCTGCCCTGTGCGATCTCTGCGGTACAACGCTCATGAACCTAGGGCTGATGTACACCCCGGTTTCCATCTACCAGATGACAAGAGGCGCTTTGATCTTGTTCGTGGCCTTGTTCAGTGTTGTGTTCCTTCGCAGAAGCATCAACAGGGTCGAATGGCTTTCACTCGTGGTTGTGGTTGCCGGTATTGTCATTGTAGGACTCAGCGGGAAGCAGAACGCCGGCTCGGAGTCTGTTGACAGCGCTGTGAGTAAAGAGGCAAGCTCTAAGCTCGTGGTTGGAATCACACTGGTGTTGTTGGCCCAGGTGCTGGTGGCAACACAGTTTGTCGTTGAAGAGCACATTGTCGGTAGATGGACCGTGGAACCGCTTACCCTTGTCGGGTACGAGGGCTCATTTGGTGGTTCGTTAACGCTCCTGGCCATGGTTGCCGGTTATGCAACCGTGGGCAAGGGCACCAAGGGCCCATTCGATGTTGTGAACTCATTCCATGAGTTCTGGAGCAATGCAAACATCCTGTACTCCTCCATTGCGATCATGATCTCCATCGGAATGTTCAACTTCATCGGCATCACGCTCACCAGCAAGATGAGCGCCACGGCAAGATCCACCATCGACACGTGCAGAACTGCGCTGGTGTGGGTCGTCTCCCTGGTGCTTGGATGGGAATCATTCGTGTTCGCCCAATTGCTGGGATTCGTTCTACTCGGCTTCGGCACATTGGTGTTCAACGGAGCAATAGCCATCGACCCTTACCTACCACGCTGGTTCCTACAGGATAAAGTGGGCAATCTACGTATCATTGACGTTGTCGACGAGCAGATCGAGAGACAATGATCCATATAAAAGCTATGTAATTTGAGAATTGATACACATGGGCTAATTAACTCAGTGGCTGGAAATAGCACACGCGCGCACGCGTGAAAAGTACAACACACGCGACACGTTGATGAGGATCATTGGGAGATTCCGAGACGAAAACGCCGACTTTCCAACTAATCAACAAACAAACAACGGCCAATTGACCACCATTCAGCACCAGGTGGATCGTAGTATGAATCTCGTGGCTGCCATCTGTAGTGGGCTAGTTCTTCTGGTTACACTTGTGAGTATGCTTGTGCTGTCTGTCACTGGAAGGGGCTTCCTTTCTGTCGCCAGGGAAATGGTACTAACCAACTGAACATCAAAGCTGTACGGTGTTGTGCTCTTCTTTTCACATTCTCCAAGGGAGCCGGTACAGTCCGAGCTGACCTACATTACAACGTCATCTGATTATGAGGTAGACCCGGAGCCTAAGGACCTTCCACCGAAGTCACAGGTCGAGCCTCTTGATAACATCATACTGAGCGTTGTCATACCGTGCTACAACGAGACCGAGCGGTTGGAGAAGATGATGGCGGAGGCCGTGGGGCATTTACGGGAGAACTACTCCGACCAATGGGAGATTGTCATTGTTGATGACGGGTCTAGAGACGGCACTGCGTCGTTTGCGCTGGAATTGGCCCATTCCAAGTTCGAGTTACAGCCTGGTGAGTTAAGAGTGGTTCAGCTGGTTGCCAACAGAGGTAAAGGTGGCGCAGTGACCCATGGAGTGCAACACACCAGGGGCCAGTACACCATCTTCGCAGATGCTGATGGTGCCTCGAAGTTCAGCGATGTCGATAAGCTCATTGAATCCATCAAGAAGCACGAGCATAGCGGAGAATCTCCCGCGATGGCTATAGGCTCCAGGGCCCATATGGTTGATACAGATGCCGTTGTTAAGAGATCGTTCATTAGAAACTTCCTCATGTACTCACTGCACACTTTGGTGTTTGTCTTTGGTATTAGACATATCAAGGATACTCAGTGTGGATTCAAGCTCTTCAACAGAAGTGCTATAAGACAGATCTTTCCCTATATGCACACCGAAAGATGGATCTTTGACGTTGAAATCCTGATCATTGCAATCAGAAAGAACATCCCAATTGAAGAGATTCATATATCATGGCACGAAGTTGATGGATCTAAAGTGGACTTGGCTAGGGACTCCATAAACATGGCTATTGACCTGGTTGTTACCAGATTGGCATACATTTTGGGCATATACAAGGATAAGGATATCTAGATAGATTAAAACAAACAAAAGAAGACGGGGGAGAATAGTCCATTTCGTCATTTAGGAACCGGTTTTATAAGTTCTCTGTTGATAACACGAGCATTGTCCATAAAAGTTTCTCCTAATTGTTCAAACGTAAATGCGTCTTGATCCAGTTTGTCAAATGCCTTCAGCAACTTTGGCATATCCACTTCCAACTCCATCTCAAGGAACTCTGCATACTCATCGGATTTACCCTTGACCCTCTGTGAAACTTCAGTAAGGTCAATTCTCGTTGCCGTCGTTGCATGGATTATAGATGTTCTCTTCTTGTGTCTCTCGGTTTCTGGAGTATGGTTCTCGAACCGTTCAGGGTTTTCCGATGAGGGCAACTCTAAGCTCATCGTGAGTCTAAAGTCGAATATCATATCTGGACAATGGATGTGTAGATTTGCAAGCTTCTTCTTCTCAATATTTGCAGTTAGACGACTCGTGGCTTTATCTGTGGTTAATCTGTAAAATCTCGGTATCTTGCCTCTGTATGCTTCTCTGTATACACGATCGATTTGATCGGTCTTGAATGTCCTGAACTTTTCCTTATGAAGCTTCGACAGCCCTGTCACAAACTTCTTAGCACGGTCAAAGTGTTCTCGATCCAACCCCGAACGATATTGACAATCTAGGATGAAATTATCTTCAACTATGCACTCGTTGGTCACGGGGATATGAACACGTCTATCGGTTTGCTTATGCCATAGTCTTCCAAATTTGACCTCCAACTCTAAGAAATGACGTTGTTCCTTTGGAACTGCCAGTATTTGAGCATATACCCAATTTGTAATTCTTCTCGTTGTATCATTATAGGGTTTGACACCAGTAATTGACGTTAAGGTATCAGCGGAATCACTTGACGCGGATACGTTACTTCTCGAATTCGTTGACTTCTTCTTGAAAGTTGACACCCATTTGGTCGCCCATATTGGAGGCTCGGCATAACGACGAGGTTTTAGCTTGCCGTCTTTGGTCAGTGCTGTGGTTTCTTTCTTTTCCAACTTGTTTAGAGCATCCAACTCATCACTTAACGACTTGGCCTCCTTCTTCAGTTCATCGTCCTTCTTGGTCTTCTTCAATTCTACTACATATCCTTCATCACTGGGTTTCCGCTTCTTTGAAACCTCATCCACCATCTCTCTGTTTCTCTTCTTCTCGTGCTCCTCTTCCTCCTCGTCCATGGAGTTTATCACGTTCTGCAAACTTGGGGGTCTGGATATCGTCCTCTTTGGAATAACCGGCGAGTTGGTTTCCGAGGTGGTAACGTCATAGCTTAGGCGCCTAGCGATGCTCGGTGTCTCAGTCCCATCAACGTCAACATCGGTATCGTTTGTAAGGCTTGAAATGCTGTTACGGGCTCTAATAACACTCGAGCCAGGTGTTTGTTCAGTGGAGTGAGGCGGTATCGTCTTCGATGGTAACGCTGGTGATGCCATGTCACGGCCCTGCTGTGAGGCTGCTGGTGGTTGTCGTTGATACGATGGTGGGGGCTGCTGCTGTTGTTGTTGTTGTTCCTGTTGTTGACGAATCTCTTCATCCACAGCATTAACCAAATCGTTAATCGACGACCTCTTCTTCAAGGTATCCGTCGGCTTCTTCTCCGGCTGCACCAACAAGTTCTTCAAGTCCATCGGTGCACTCTCCAATTCCTCTTTACACGTACCAGTAACTAACCGCCGTGTCAATGAATGTCTTTGTTTACTTCTCCGTCCTCTCACAGGTACCTGTATTTTTTTTCTCTATTCCTTCACTCTGTTCGGTGCATCATGTGAATTCGCGGTGGAAAAAAAGAGTGCCCTGTTACGGTAGCAACGGGCATAGACAGCTACACCAAATGGCATTCAAAGCATTAATAGGAAGCAAAGGTAACAAGAACTCATAATCATGTCAAGAAGATAACGAGTAAAGTTTTTTAAGCTATAGTATATGTAACAATAAAAACACCTCCAGCTCTATCCACTTCACTTGTATGGGTTTGGAGATCCCACTCTTAGCCCGGTGACCGGGTTAACAATTTCAAGGACTTTCTTTGCCCTTGGGGTTATTGTCTTTGGAGAGTTTGTCGTTGCGTTCTGTGAAGTAGGCGATACTGTTGGGCTGAAGCTTGTGCTTGTGTATGGGTTGAACTTGTGATGTGTATAACTCTGTTGGGATGGGCTGTACTGGATCTCTGGACAAAACTCCAAATCATCCTCCAGCTCAAAGCCCTTGGACGCAGAGAGTCTATTTCTATTGGAATATAGCGATGCAAAGTTCAACGATGGTGAGCCGTTGGAGCGTGGTGTTGGGTATGACTGCAGAGCTGCTCCAACAGTACCAACCGCTGATACGCTCCCCGAGGAACCAGCCCCCGGGTTGAGACCCCTACTCAAGTTCAGATTGTTGTATCCGCCGTTGAGCATGGCGTTGTTCGCCAGTGGAGAGTTGTTGTAGAGGTAACCCTGCTGGGACTGTTGCTGTGGTGTAATCTGTGTTTGTTTCTGTTGGAATGAATAATCATATCCGTACTGCTGTGAAGGTATCATCCTTGTCGGGTTGTATCGATTGTCGTAGCTTTAGAGAAACCCTCTTTCGGTTAGAGACTGTTGATATGGTATAGAAGTACTCTGATGACCTTGTTTGTATTTGTTCCTTCTTCTTAAACTTTATATAAAGATTTTGAAGGAAAAGGGGGTAAACAAATGGTTTTAATATGGAGGTAAATTTTAATTAGTGCTATCCCCCTGGTGACAAAATTTGTGGCCCTAAAACCAAAAACTTTATCGTCGTAGGGGGGGATGGCCAAAAAAAAGAAAGAAAAAGAAAGAAAAAGAAACTTCTACGAAGCTGCCAAATTGCAGTTCTCCTTTTTCCGCCATGTTCCAGCCCCCTTTGACTTGAATACCCAATTGGGATATGTAATGTATTTTACCACTATATATAGAGTTATACTGGTGCTTATGTAATCTTTTACTAAGGGACTACCCCAAGCGAAGGCTGTGATAGCAACCGAGAAACCTCGGTATGTCACGTCATCAGTGCAGTCCATCACTACAATGTCTGTTCTTAGATAAGGAATAGGACGTCTTACACATCTGTATATATATCTGAACTCAGTATAAAACATTTAGAGAGACCATTCATGGACTTTTTCCATCTATGCTTTTTTTCTTTTGATTTCAAGGTACTGTTTCTGAGGGGTATAGTTCTTCAGCAGCCAGTCAAAACCTCATTTGATCTTTGAAGATACGTTTATACCAAGAGCATCGACATGGGGCAGTGCTATTCTTCGCTCCTCGTTGTTCAGTAAAGATTCTATACGGACCTTCTTTTCTAATTCATGCGTGGTTGTTGGCGTGGATAACGTCCTCACATGCAATGGACTCGTAGAACCAATGTTATTGGTGATGAGAAGCGTAGATGATGCTGATGAAGATGAAGATGACGATGACGACAACGACTGTAGTGAACTATACTCCGGTCTTGTGGTATCACCATTGGAATTCAACACGTTGCTCAGCCATGATTTACGATCAGCATTCTGCTGGTGATGTAGTTGCTGAGGTGTTGGCAAGATCGGTTGTAAAGGTTGAAACGACATCTGTTGTTGATGTTGCTGATTATATCCACTTGAAGACGACGATACCGATGTGTTAAATTGGAACGAATTCGGCGTCCGTAAAGTATCATAATGAGAAGACAATGGGGTGCTTGTCTCTGATTGTCCACTGAGTGCAAACGATGAATTGTACGGTGAAGATAGAATATCCTTAGCACCAGTGCTTGAGAGAAAATGTATACTTGGCAATGCAGTTGATGGGTATTGTGATTGAGTGAAGCTAGCGCTCGTTGGTGACGTTGCTAAATATCCAGAGTTTTCAGAATTCGGCGTAGGTACTGTATAAGGACCAGTATCGTTGTACACTGCCTTTCTAGATGGGAGATCAATAGGACGTGGTCTGTGCTTTGGATGAAATTGGGTGGGTCTCAATAACGTCTTTGCAGCCTCCAAATCCTCACCGTTTTGGGTCAAGATATCAGTGGTATAATGTTGCCGTACCTGCTGAGGTAATGGCGGCAGTGGTTTGTTCATGTTGACGTTGTCAGTGGTGTTGCTATTGCTTCTGATCTTGTTCCTCTGGTCGTTGTTCATGTTCACATTACCGCTCTGCGTTATAGAATTGGTGTTACCATTGTTAACCATATCCAGATGGTCAATAGTAGATTCATTAACATGTACAGTCTGTTTATGCTGTCTCAAGTTATCCAACCTGGAGAACTTCCGCGAGCAGTGGACACATTCAAACGGTCTCTCACCTGTATGCTTCCTGATATGACACGCTAAGTGCTCTGATCTTGTAAATGTCATGTTGCAACCTGGGTAGCCAGTGCATTGGAAAGTTCTTCCCTTTGATCTCTTCTTCACGATCTTAACCTCGTGAGAGTTCATCGTGATCTCGTTGTAGCCACTTGTTTTAGGAATGCTCATTCCAGTAATGAAAGACTCACGGCTAGCAGCAGTTCAAAAATCTTGCGGTTGTCAAGTGGTTCCACTGCTGATCGCACGCCCAACCGCTCTCTCTTCTTTCCTTCTTTGCCTCGAGTTACGCGTGTCCTTTCGTCTCCTGATCTCTCCTTAGCTGTCCTTCTGTAGATCCGGAATGGAAAGCTTTTTGTGCTTGTCTCTTAAACGATGTTCCTTTGCCAAACTATAATCTCACGGATTTACTACACAAGACTCTGTGTTTAATCCCTTCTTGTATATATGCAAAATCTTCAGGAACGAGAAAAAAACAAAAAAAGAACAAACGATATGTGGAGTGCTGGCTTTGTTCTCTCTTGCTCTGCCGTTCTTGAAATTTGTTGTGAGCAGTGTGTATGTCCTCTGAAGTGTAAGGATAAATCTTTCCAACGAGTTGAAGGTACCTGATTGGACTGAGACGAAAGCAAGTTGGAAAATGGAAAAACCAAAAAAATTATATATACCAAACAGCGCTAAAGGGAAATTTCAAGAATAAATTTTGGTCCCCGGTACCTTTCCAGTGGCTTCCTCCCTCCTGCGCCAGCTTGTTTCTTTTTTCTGGTGTGCGTTTTTGCTGTGTTATTTTTAATTCTGTGCTGTTTGCCCACATAGTTCGCCCATTTTCTGCTGGCGAGTATGTGCTTTTTGCGTTTGTTTCTTTTTCCTCGGCCCTGGCCCTGGACCTCGCACTGCCTTTGCTGTGTGCTTATGCCATGAACTCTACAGACGGTAGTAACGGTAACCTCCGCGCGTTAACCTCTCTTTCCCTTTCTTTTCAATTAGTCAATTAATTCCACCAACGCTTGGTGGGAGTACATCACAATCACATACACATATACGCTGTGATGCATCGACATTGCACGTATAGAACACGTACAAAAGTGTACTTTGAATCCTCACGTATTTTGTGCCACAGTACAGTCATTCTCTTCTGGAAGGTCGAATGCTAGGTTATGTAGATGTCTGCTGGGACCATTTGCACGTATGATTATGCAATTGATTTGTGTTGGAGGTTGTTTCGTCGATAGCCAAAAAACCACTGTGACCATGTGGAATGCGTGTGGAACGACGCCTATGATGGTGACTAATGGCTACAGCAGCAACCACGTACGAATTATTGGTCTTTGAAAGGATAGATCTACAACGAAGAATGGAATAAGAAGAACGACCTCAGCAATAACCACACGAGGCTCCCATCTTGAAAATGAGGCTTTTCGTCTGAATACCCCCAACCAGAGATTAACTCGGGCTCTACAAGGTAAGAAATGGACAACTTCTCCTACACTGGTCTGTGATTCAAAGTCAAATAGACGGCAGGTTTTCGTCTGTGAGTATCGAAAGCTGCACCTTGACTATTGACAACCTTGCAGACGATAGTGGGGGAGCTCGTTTAAACTACGGCATATGGTATACCATAAACTACGTAGTTGTACACCACACAGGTACCGCTCGATCATGAGTCAATAGCCATGATGGAACATGGTGGGGTCAGCGATATGCGTGTTCAGCTATGGTCATCTATAATTTGTTACATGATTCAATCTCTAACGCGCGCGTGTACGGACCTCGTAAAATCCCGAAAATTCCCTGTGAACCAAACTTAAACACTGGAAACCGTACGGCTCTCGCTGTGAAATACACGAACTAGTCGATACGACACCTTAACAACCACCACTAGGGAAATCAAAATTCGACGAACGAGTATAGTTACAAACGAGAAACAATAAAGATGTACATCACAGCATTCAACATCTCTAATGAGGCCATCCATAGATCCCTCTTTGACCATGTTGTGAACGAAAATGAGTAGAAAAGGGGAATATTTTGGCCTCTTTTCTCTGGTGTGTTTTTACCCATTTTAGTCAGCATCATCCCAAAGATTTCTCGATTGCGTCCGTGCTACGGCCGAAGCTTCGTTCCAAAATTCATATATTTAGAATTCTACGTATATTCATACTACCAAACACGATGATTGCAGATCTATTGACACATGACACCATAATCTACAACCTCCGAAACATATATTCTTGATCTAGAAAATTTTTAGGTTATATTAATCTTAAAGAAAAGAATAAAGAAGGACATCCGGCGCAGGGACAACGTCATCGGGTCATCTTTATAGCGTGCGAACTTTGTTCCAAAACATCAGACTCTACGCTGCAGTGTGCGCCTTGTGCGACACATTACATATTTTGACGTCATTGTAATAAAATGGCGTGAGGAGCCTAAAAAAAGTCCAGAGAGCGGAGTCTAATGACTGCTAAACTCAACGCGAGATGTGTAATAGTGAGTACCGTTGGTATGATATTCGACACATATCATGGTTTACGAACCAGAATCATGCGAAACCATTCTTTATTCAAATGGCATTACATCAACAGTTCATGCCTTTTCAAAGTGTAATCGTGCTTCTATCTTTCTCAAGGCGTTTGGGATTGGCGAAGAATCGCGTGAAACGTATCACTTGACTCGGTGAAAAGTGGATTAACTCTGATCATGAATTTCATCCCAGATATGCTCATAGCTGGGGATGAGGCGCATATCGTGTACTGGTGGCAAGCTTCAAATACATCTCTTCCAGCAGTATCACTCATAACCCGGTTTCTATGTATTTAAGTTTGCACGATAAGAGGCTCAAGTTTCATCATTCCTGACATCACTCCTCTACAGGGCGACACCATTGTTCCCACAGTAACCAAAGTCTTTTGTATGGTCTCTGTTGCTCTTGTATGTGGAGCGGAAACTTTATTAGCATTCTCGCCTCATCTATTCTTCGAGTTATGGTCAAATTTTGCAACCATCGCCACGGTTTCAACCAAACCATGGCTTCTATGGAACGCCTTCTCGATACACGTTTTAATCAACGAACGATATGGCTGAAGAAGAGCATATTGACAACTGATGGATCTCTTCGAACCCTGTTGTTGAAAGGTCCAATGTGATTGAGATAAAACACTAGGAACAGCCATCGTTAATAGGACTATAATCCAATTGCAAAGAGTTTGGAGAGAGTTCCCAAATCATTTGCAGTGTTTCTCTCACTGTCAGCTTATTTACCTTTGTTTGTCTTCCACTTCTCTGTTAATAACGTGTTTCTATTCTATACATGAACATGAGTGTCTCTACTATTCGACCTGTATAACATGATTCGGACTCGAAGTGTAACCTTGGGAATGTATCTCTTTATCACATGACTTGCATTGTACCTTGATGCTATTGAAGCTTCTTTTCTGAGTGCAGTAAAGGGTGAGTCGTTGACGAGAATACGTAGTTTGTTTTTCTATAGCTGAAGCTATAACGTCCAGTGCAAACAATTTTTTCCATGAACCCTCTAATTGCATAAGCTTTTTGATCTTTCAGCGTGGGGATTGTTGTAAAACATTACGAACTTTCAGAATATCAGTGTCATCATTGAGTACCCGTGTTGGGACCTTCTATGGCTAAACGATCAAGTGTGTATAAGATCACTCGATCCAGTCGTATTGCTGCCTGGTAGGTGGTCAATCTTTGGCCGCTGCACTGTTGGGAACACTCGCAGGTATTAGTGCCAGGTTTGGATACAGAGAGCTGTATCTTTTGAAACACTGTAGTGTTGTTCCTGGTATTTGCTCTTGACTGTTGACTGTTAATTGTGAACTGTACCGAGGTCACGATCAAGGGACAGGAGACCACTGTCCTGACACATGTCCTTTCCAAGGTGAAGCATGAAGGACGACTGCAGCACGCATGCCTGGCGAAAATGCATGAAATGCATGATGCTGGACCTTAACCTCCAAATGTTTCTCCGTTACTGTCCTAATTAGTCCTGGTCTGGCTCTTGGATTTATCGACCACCAATCGACTCTTACAGTTGGAATTGGGAGAAGATAGATAGTCCAGTCTATGGTTTACAGTGTTATTGTTGTTTCTTTCAGATATTGCATGTAATGCAAATGTTCCCGCATGCCTAGCAACATACTTACAAATATATAAGCAATGAACCATTTTATTGTGTGAGATTCAACTGAAGATGTATTGATATCACCAGAGAGGAAAGCATTCTAAGTATATGCAGGAGAAATAAGTCTATGGATTTTAACTGTGAGTGTTCATATCTAGGTTCTAGGGAGGATCAGAAAGCACCTTCGAAGGGAATCGTATCGGCAATTGCATCCACTACTGTCTAACAGTTCCCCATTCGTTTTTTCGTTAGTAACAGAACATAAGCCTGGAATATTGTTACAGTACACAACGATGTTCATTCGCTGTTATCGTTGCTGGGCGGAGTGGTGAGACAGTCATTGCGATCTGGACTTGACTTGCAAAAGTACTGTTTTTATGGCAATAACAATGGTCCGTCATTCTAATACGCAATGGTCAAAGATGGTTAGATCGTCCAAACGACGTTTTACTAATTTTCTACACAAACAAGGACATTAGACTACTACTTCTAAGAGTATTGGTAGATTTAACTTATATGTGGTTTTTGAACGCATTGTCAATAGCCTTGTATGTTTGCGAACCAGTAGCTATTTAAGTGGTGGGGAGTTATCAAAAAGATGAGGATCCAATCGTACGGAGTTCCAATCTGAATCTTATTCATCCACTGGAGCTTTTGAGTATAAGCACGTATACATATATCCAATCGGTTCCAGAAACAGATCAACATTATATACATACACTGGGTCCCAGATGAAATCGATTCAAAACTAACGGATTTTTTCGCGTGCTGGGTCCGAGGATGAAAATCGATTCAAAACTAACGGATTTTTTCGCGAGCTGGGTCTAAGATAAAAATCGATTCAAAACTAACGGATTTTTTTGCCCGCGAAAATCTCCGTTAACTTTGAATGGGACTTCGTGGTAGGAACACGCATAGTCAGAATCAAACCGATAAAGGACTGAGACGAGGACTCGACAGTGCTTCAGACCAAATTTTGGAATAAATTGGCTACAGTAAAATGCGGTAAATAAACCTGAAATGTAAACATTAACCACACCGAAGACACTGCAGTTCGACTTGTAAGCATGATATTCTAGACTTTCTTATAGCTTTGAATCTATTAAGAATAGTTTAGAATTACAAAAAAACTTGATATGTTCTAATTGAGTTCTTTAATTGCTTGTGTTTCATTTTTTACTACATAAATAGCTGTTGAACTTTTCTGACATATAATTTATGTCAGAAAATGACGTAAATATTCAATTCTGGCAAAACAAAATTCTTAAAAAACGAGGACAAATCTAACTTTACCATTAGAATGATACTTATAAAAATAGCAAACCCCCCTTCAAATTTCCCCAAATTATACCACAATGTAGTGCTTACTCAAATTAAGAGATATACAAAGTATGATCATGTTAACTTCAATACTTTCTGAGATATAACCATTCATAGTTTGTATGGTATAATCAAGAAAAACACATAAATTTGCTTATATCTCAGCAACAAAACAAAAATTGAGAAAACTGACGAGGAAAACAAAAGAACATATCCATATCATCATATATGCTAACTTTGAACTTGATTGGATCAATGGTTGTTTTACAATAAATCACAACGTTTTGCATTACATATGTAATTCTGATTCTTCGTTGCCTCAGCAATCGTAAAAATGTTAGGATGTTTCTAATTTCCGCTGCAATTGTTTACATTTTGAATTCTTATCAACACAAAAATGACACAAAACCAGTACAGCTTTATACACAGAATTAAGAATATCACAGAAGAATGGCCAAGAACAAAAGGTTGAATAATAAAGGCAAGAATCCCAGAGGGCGTCCAAGAAAGATTCAGAGGACTCTTACTGGGGCCATCCGACGGCGTCCTCAACCTGAAGAAGAAACATCAGCGGCTAATCCAGAACCACAGCGGCAAGCTCAAACGAATGGAGGTACGAGACAACAAGAAGACCCATTAATTATTGAGATAGACTAACTGACCTGTTATGAGAACAAGATATGGGACCAAGAAACCTCCAAGTTCTGTCACAGAATACCCATACAGAGATCACAGACTTGCCACAACAGCCGCTAATACCTGAACCTGAACTAGATAATGGAACTATGGCCGATAGAATAAGAGATAGGCGAAGAAACGCAGCACAGGTGGCAGAAAGAGCGTTAGAAGAAATTAGACGTGATGGTGCCTTTGATTATGATCCCAACTTTGAATACATCATTGAGGATGACACCAACGGTTTTAATGAGAATGATGATCCAGTTTATGAACAACAACAACAGCGGAGACCACGGAATTTCAAGTAAAATCCAAGTGATCTTGAAAAGTGTTGCGATTGTTATCATACACTCGTTATCAATGCTGATTTACCATCTTTTTTCTGTTATAGGAACATGGTTTTACTCGAGGAATTCGATGAACCTTCAGAGTAAGTGAATGATATCTTCTTGGATCCAATCACGTCCACATATTCTCGAACAATCAACACAATTCTTTCACTATTATATCATCATTAGGCTCTAACAGTACTGCTGATTCGAGAGGTGAAACTTATTCAATGACCATCAACGGACGTTTATTCCATAGAGTTGATGGTTTGGTAGCTCAAGAAAATGCACCTGGTGGTTCTGGTAAGACTTATATTGAAAATCTCATTGTTAGAAAATTAAGATTGCAGAATCGTGTCGTTGCAACATGTGCATCCACAGGTATTGGAAGTTTATTGTTGGATAATGGTTCAACAGCTCATAGGCTCTTTTCCATTCCAGTTGTTGAGGATGGTAAAGAGTCAATCATTGAATGCCCTCTCAAGATGGTTGATGACAGATGGGGGCTCTTAAAAGAAGTTGAATTGATCATTTGGGATGAAATTAGTGCCCAATCAAACCAATGTATCGAGGCTGCTGATAGACTCTTGAGGAAGATTAAAGATAAACCTGAAGTACCATTTGGTGGAATTGTTTTGCTCTTGAGTGGTGATTTCCGTCAATGTTTACCAGTGATTCAAGGAAGTACTAACCAAGAAGTTATCATTGCAAACTCTTTATTCAGGTACTCAAACGCTAAAGATATAGAAATCTTGAAATTGACGGAAAATTTAAGAATCTTGAGAAATGATTCATTTACTGAAGAACAACGAAACGATGCTTTACAAATCTCCAATAAATTGCTTCAAATTGGAATTGGGGGGAACGTTGTCGATTTTGTTCCAAATGTATTCGAAACTGAACGAGAATTCTTGAATCAAATTTATCCAAGCGGGTTATTAAGTTCGTTGGAATTTGGAACAGCGTTTAATCTCTTTGGGAACACATGTATATTGACACCTTTTAACAAATCTGTTGACGCCATTAACTCCAAATGTCTTCAGAAGATGACAACTGAATCGTTTGACTGTATTGGCAGTGACACTTTGGAGGAAGAATTCGACAATACCATATCAAGAAACATTGCAAAGCTGTTCCATACACCAAGAATTCCTCCGTTCAAATTACAAGTGAAGTTAAATACACCAATGATCTTGACGAGTAATATATTACAAACCGAGGGATTGGTTAATGGATTAAGAGTATTGATCACTGAAGTCCGCTCAAATCTCATAGTTTGTCAAATATTGACTGGTGATCGTAAAGGTGATATTATTCAGCTTACCAAAATCAAATTCAAACATACATGTGATTCCAAATGTTCAGTAACCTTCACAAGGTGCCAATTCCCATTGAGACATTGCTTCG